TAACTGGCCTTGATAAGTTTTCTGTTTGGATGAGGTTTTCATCATAGGTTCAGTTTCAACTGCAATCTTTCAATTCAGTTCTGTTTATCACAGACTATTGAATTCTGACATTATATAAAATGTTGTTTTCTATTGAAATCAAATGCAAGGTCTGTATCAGAAGCTAGAAACCAAAGCAAAAAAAAAATCATTTACATGCACATGTTTTGACAGCTTGCAATACAATAATAGACACAGAGGAGCTGTGTCAGAATCTATGATAAAATAACAAAACTTCTCACATGATTAAGTGTCCTTAAAAAAAAAGGAAACACTGGACTATTCCTCAGGTGGCATAGTGGTGTAACAGGTATGAATGGAAGAGGTTAATACTGACTGGGGTTTTAGCATTGCATTCAGTGGTGTCAATGTTGTGTAAATAAGTGAATGTGATTTTTAGTGTAAAAATGCTTTGGGTCGTCAGAAAGATTAGAAAAACTTAGTACAAACACTTTGTTATATTACTTGATTTATTATCCCAGCATGCATTTTTCTGATGACTTCATGAGTCAGTGGCGTCTGCCAGGATTGATAGTGTTTCACTCCTCTCCTCAGATATTTTTATTATAAAGCAGAACTTCAAAATTTAACAATATGACATTTTCATGTTTTTTTTTTCATGTATACAGACACACATTGACAAAAACTCAAAGAAAAATGGGAACTGAAAACAGAGCAGGGGATTGTTGGTAGAGTTACAGTCGTCTTTTAACACAATAAACGCAACAGGGGACTAATGATTATGTTTCTTAGTTTTGCAGATTTGAAGAGGTTTTATACTGATTAAAGAATTAGCATGCTATTATGAGTTATCACAAGGCCTTGAGGAAAATTCAACCCTGATTGGTCAATCATAGCAGACCTCTGCACCGAGAGAAATAATCACATAATCACAGAAATACTGATACAAAGATGAGGAGCCAATCTGCGAAAATGTAATTTAATTAAAAATGAGACAGAATTTGAAACAAAACTTTCTTTAAGACAAAACTCAAACAAAATCTGACACAAGACACACAGCATAGAAAATAAGAGAGGAGAAGGCTGGAAGAAAACAAGACAGAACTTCAAACCTTTGCCACAGTGTCACCAGGCAAAAGCAAAATGTGTTAAGACCTCTTAATGACAGGTTGACCCAACTTTACTTTTGCTATTGAGAACCATTCACCTTTGTTATGGGGTTTTACCAAATCAAAGTACAGCACAAGGTGATTAAGTGGTAATAAATCCTATCAGGAATGTCCTAAATCAGCTTGTGATCTGAATCCCTTTGTCTTGGTTTATACCTGTTATGACCAGCTCTTTGTATGATATCCCTCTCTTTGCATGCAGATATTTGCAAACGAATACTGCTTGGAATTATACGTTAAAATCATTTTTTTATGTCTAAGTAGTGAGTTTGGTGGCTGGAGAGTTCTTAAATTTGGGCCTACTGAGACCAAGAACATCTGGACAAAGTCACATGAGAATCTGTTCAACAGTTACCAATCCACTTTATAAAAATCAACAAAAGTCAACATGATGGGTGTGCCAGAGCAACAGACAAGGATCATTAAACTTTCTGCAGGGTTCATTCTCTGGGTACAATAAATGTCTGCACAAAATCACAGGAAAATCAAATCAATAGTGTCATATTTAAAACTGCACAGCTACTGTGGTTAAAAATGCAGGAGGTAATGGGGTAGCACTATAAATTAAAGATATACCCCCATAATGAAAAAGATTTTAAGCCATTTGGACCCTTTGCCCTTAAACAGAGGACTTGTTACCAAGATGAGATGTATTGCCATCCTCAAATTATGTAATAAAAACCCAAATTAAATAATTTTATCATCCCCTAGAGACTGTAAAAGTCTGTACTAAACAGTGTGATAATCCATCGAAAAGGTGTGGAGAATTTCCATCTGTATAAAAAAAGAAGGACTGGCTGATGAAATACCTCTGCCAGCACCAGAGGCAGACCATTAACAGCAGAGGAAATCATTTGTGTCCGCATGGTCAGTAAACCTCTGTTCCTCTCTTAAGGGAAAACCATTATGAACATTCGTATTTAATATCTATTCATTTAAAAAGATTTAACTTTGCGAAACCAGTTATCATACTGTCAACCAGAACATTAAATAGTCTTTTATACTTAGAGAGTACTACGTTTTTCCAAATTGAGGCTCAGGACAAGGTTTGTAAGAGTAAGCATTACATTTTTCACATGCTGAATTTCTGCAGATGTCGTCAGCGTAATAGTTTTTCCGACCAGCAGCAGCTTACTCCTAAATACCAAAAAGGTGTAGACATTCCCAGAAACCCATCCTCCTTCTGCTGACTCACTGCTCCGGCTCTGTGTTTTAAGAGGAATGTGCTGCAAACCCACAACGACTCAGCAAATGAGACTTTTTTTTTTTCCTCACTCTTCATGTATTATAGCTGTAGCACTTGGCAGTAGCATGATTTAAAGACTTTATTTGGATTCTAGGGTTGTATTGTATTGTCAACAGAAAGTGTACAAACCACAGGAGATCCTGGTCAGCTGGAGACTTGACTGTTTCTGCAAGAAAATTTTTATGAATCTGGTGCTTAAAATCATGTTAAACTGAGATGCAACGATCAAAATGAACAATATATCAGTGACTGTACATCTTATGTCCAAAAAACTGATCAGTGCACTTCAGACAGAGGAATACAAACAGGTCTGAATGTGTTCCTCTAGCTTAATTGCATGATTTGCAAAATTAAACTAGTTCTATGCAGGGATGATGCAAATTTGCGATGCTTTCAACAGGTGACGTTGTTTGCTTACTGGCGAGGTTTAAAGATCTGAACGCCTTGTTGGGATATCCAATCAGTGTTGAGATCCCCTGGTGACGCATCCTTGCAATTTATCCCACAAAAGGACCGAGCTGATGGTCATCCTTTGTTGACGAGAACCTCATACAACCCCGCTTAGAGAGAAGTGATCTTTCCCTTTATCTGATTTGTGACTGAGGCCATTTCTGTTCAATTCCACCTCAGGGGAGACAGATGTTCTAGCATCATTATTACGTTGCACATCTGAACTTTATTAAAAGATGAGCTCTTGTACATTTATGAATACTCCCACAAAAGCCCGTCTTTGTTCTACAGGCAAGAGGCCAACCTCAGCAGTCATTTACCAGTACAGATACAGGATCTGATGCAACAAGGTCTTACGCGGAAATCTGTTCAAATCTGTTAGTAATTGAAGTAGGAAGGGAAGCTGCTGAGAGTTGGCAAGTCATTGGGGTTATCAGGCAGCTTCTCCGGTCACAGATGTTTCTGTTCAAACACAGAAAAAAAAACCCTCTAGGGAAAGCCAAACTACAACCTGAAACTACGTCTCTACGACAAATACACTCCCATCTGCAGTTTAGACTTCCAAAAGCTGTTGTGTTGTATACTCTATAGGCTTTTCCAGCATGAGAGACAAGCCCAAGTGAGTCGCAGAATGCAGCACTAAGTACAAGAAACATGTAGCCTATTAATGTCTATGGAATCTTAGTGTACTCTTATTTATGTTACTGTCAATAAGAGAAGTCCTGACTAGGTTACTGTCGTTCATGGGTGCTATGTGTCCATATGACAACAGTACACGGTCATTAGTGAGCTGGCTATCTCTGGTGCTAAAATCACTTGCTGTTCTTTTGTAGTTTGCTGCAAGAGCTAATTGACTGACCAGGAGTTATTCTGTTACAGCAGCAGTGCATGTCAGTGTCAAAGCAAACCTGTTTCTCTTTTAACCTGAAGATGACTGTGTCCTCTGTGTAACCATGATACAACACTGAGCCCAAACTATGTTTACCGTTATTAAAAAAGCCATATGCCAAATTAGTTGAAATAATCACAATTTTTTTTTTGTTATTGTTAAATTCATTTCAGTGCCAAAAAAGACTGAATTATGTAGACAAAAAAATACTTGGCATAGTTCATGCTTAGATAAAATTCAAAGCTTTTTATTAGGGGTGGGAGAAAAAATCGATTTACATAAGTATCGTGATTTTTTATTTTACAATTTTTAAATCGATTTTTTTGTTCAAAAATTGATTTTTCTTTTCAAATTCAAGAATAAATCTTAAAAACTGACTTACATGTGATGTGTATTTTTTGGGGTAAATATGGTTCCTGGAATAGTCAGGAGACAATCATAATCATTCAACTGTTTCACTGGTATTAAAAATGCTGACTAGAAATCGAGAAGATCAACAATATCCCAGAATCGCAATTTAAATCGAATCAGCATCCGAAAAAATGGAGAAGAACCAAATTGGGAGAAATGCGTATCGTCCCAGCTCTACTTTCTTAATATCAGGACAGGTCTCTTTCATCAATCATATGTCAATATATTGAGGCTCTATTTAGCTGTCTACATGTCCTTTATACAGTTATGATGGTCTGTTTGAGAGTTAACTCAGCCGTCGCAACGGCTATCATAATTATTTTGTTAAAGTACTTGGAGATCAGTTATGCCACTCACAGTTGCTTTTTGAAATAAATAGATATCGAATAATGCGTTAAAGTGCAACGTCTAAATTCCCTCTAAAAATTTACAGAGTCTAGACGGTTGAAATTAGGTCTAAAAAAAACTAGATGACCAACAGCCGTCTATTGCTCAGTAGGCTAGTTATAATTAGAGTTTTCCTGCGGTCAAAGAACACCTACAGACATCCAAACATGGTACATACATATATAAGGTAAAGAGAAGTACACCACTGTTAGACCCTCCAAGCTCTAATGCTACACAACCACCATCTTCTTGTTACTAGTACCCAAGGGGTTGGAGACAAAGACAAAGATACCAATCATGGTAAGGCAGAACTTAATGACTTTAATTGTAAATTTGCCATTATTTAGATACAGATACATAGATATTTAGATAATGCTACAGCTCGATGTGAGACAGGAGAGGACACGGCAGTTGTCTAGTTTTCAGCACTTTGTTGGACAGAGCTACCTCAGACCTCCCAGCAGGGTCGGTACACTCGTCCAACCATGCACCTCATCGTGTCCCTCCTCAGAATAGGGATGCTCAGATCCGGGCTTCCTCCTCTGTGCTCGAGGACCTGGCTGTTGTCGTCAGCTCTGCGCTTAGAGAAAGACAGTCCAGTGTTTAGCGCCCGCAGGTCCCTCCAAAGGCTTGGATCGGCAATGACGATCACCCTCTGGCCTCGGGTTTTGCCGGCTGCTGCCAGATCTATGTCGCTCAGGCTGTTTTCCATGACCTCGTCGCTCAGAAATGGGTTGAAAGCGTCCTGTTCCAAGGAGCTGTCTTCAGTCTTGGCCATAGGTATCGCCACAGACAGAGTAAAACACTGGAATATGAGCGCTGTCGCAAAGATGACTGGCATGATCAATGGTCGCATGGCGAGGATCTACCAAGAGGTGCGGAGCAGAGTCTTCTTGAGTAAGATTCTCTTCAGAGATGTTGCTTCGTTCTTCTGATCCTTAGATCTTGTCACCTGCTTTTATATCACTTTGAGGTGCCAGGTTGGCCATACGCAATTGTTTTTCTCCTGTTGCGATCAGGAAATTAGTTAATGGCACTTGAGGACCATAGGACAGACCTCCTCTAGTGTGTAAGACTGACATTTCGCTGAAGAGTTAATTAAAACCACCTCCAACATAGTGGCAGGTAATAGGATCTTGACAATAAAACAGTGGGTATTCTTTGGACAGGTGACACTAAGAACAGTATTAATCCAAAATTACTACTCTTTAAAACAAGGGCGGATTACCAACCCGCGAAGCTCTTAGAGTTCGAGGATGGTGACTAAAGCTGTCCTTACTGTTGTTGCAACACTTTTCAATCAGGGATTAAATCCTTGATAAGCACAAAAAAAAGGAAACAAATGACCGCTGGAGTGTTTGTGTACTCGTGGCAGCAGCTCCCTGTCGACGTGTTAGATGAAGTGAAGTTCAGCAGTCTGAGCAGAGATGACACAGAGGATCTGCTGTGGGGCCCTGAGGTGGAAGCTGATTTGATCTCTTGCCGGACGGCAACATAATTACCATCCTACCTAATTAAGCCTGCCAGATGGGTGCTGCAGAAGCTGTGCACACCTGGGCTTGCATAATACCCGTACAGAATTAGACAGTGTAATTTATCAAAGACAGACTTCAGTCAGATCAAACACATTGACAGTTTCACAAAGTTTTTAACCGATTCACTTCATTTACTTTCATCGGCTTTTCCAGAAATGTTTGAGCAAACCTAATTCTCCCAACTTGGATCTTTGGAGCAGACACACAGTAAGTAACACAAAAGCTTAGTGGAGAATTGATTTAAGATTTTATTAAAATGACTGCAGCACATTGTGAAACTTTGATGGCCAGACGTATAATTTGTAGTCATTAAAGTGTTTAAGGATATTTTAGTCTTGCTGATGTGCAGTTTGGCAGTTCAGAGAGGAAGTGCTGAGGGCCATTTCCTTTTTAAAATGATGTCTGTGGTCTGGTTTCTAAATCGTCTGGCACAAGAAAACCATCTGCGCTCTGTTTTTATTATCGTCTGAAAGGTCTTGAATGGTTTTATGACACCCGTTATATGACAGTCTTATCTATTATTCCTAGATGGAAGATTGCAGATTCATGTATCATAGGCTGATAGATCTCTTATAGTGTCGTTTTTGTTAATAATAATCATATTTTTTCCAGTCATTCCATTTACACTACCTTGGAGATTCAGATGTAACAATATAAATGCTAACTGATTGATTACTTTGAATTATTTTGGTAAGAAAGGATGAAGAAACCAAAAGTACTTGATATATTTGGACACCTTACTCTGTCTGCCTATAGCACAACCTATAACACTGGTGACATTCCTATAAAATCGAGAAGCAAAGGCAGAGAACGTTTTCCATGTTCGCCCTACTAGAGGTATTTGTGAGCCACAGACGGTGTTAAACTGTCAAAGGAAAGAAAGTGGAAACAAAGGATCCAGGAGCCAAGATGTGCTGACCAGCTGACTACATTTGTAAGCGCCAACCAAAACACAAGGTCTCAGCACATCTGCTGAGCGACGACACACAGAACACCACCACCTCCAGCACCGCAGCGCCTCTTTTTTCACAAGACCGAGCAGCAGGCCACATAGAGCAATTTAAAATGTTATTCCAGCTAGGTAAATACAAGACACAGATCTGACAGCAGCGAATGTATTCACAGCCAAAAACTGAATCATGTCGTTGAAATTACAGCACAGTGTATTCTGCCAACAAATTCTGAGGTCCTAGCTTTTGAAATCTCAGTTTTCGCTTATATGGGTTAAAGATTTCTGTGTAACAGAGCACATAATGTGCAATACTCTTTTTAGTAAAGGGTAGGAATCTACTTTAAAGTTAAATTCCTGTGTGGGCAACGGCCTCCTGCTTTGGTTGGAAACAAGATTGATCAGATTATAGACAACATTTAAGAGGCAGTGGCAGCAGCTACACTGGGAAAGTCAAGTCAAAGCAGATGTGCTGTGTACATGGTTTTAAAGACCAGCAGGGGGCAACTTCACTTTTGAATGTACAGACCTCTCGTGGTGTAAGAGGAGAAGAAAAAAGCCTTGTGTACACTCATATGAGATAGACTGCAGACCCAAAGGCAGAGAAATTTATGTTTAATTTCTTATAGTTCAGAACTTACAGGGTTAATGCAGAGAGTGTCCTTCATTTGAGACATCTCCAACAGTCTGCAGGGCCTTGAACAAGGATGTGGTGTTTCTATGCAACTAACCAGCCATCAAGCTGCATTCATTCATGAAAAACAACCACAGAAAAAAATGTCTCCTAGCCATGAAAACGTTCCTTCATCATATGGAAAAAAAATTCACAGCTATTCTGTTTCCTCTCCTCCTGTTTCCATTTTCTTTGATCATTTAGAAAGAGGACACATTGAAACAGAAAATGAAATCAAATTAATTACCCCGTGCCCACAAAATGACCATGTCTTGTCTTTCTGTGTCAAAAGGACTGTAATGATGGCATAGCATGAAGACAAATCTTGAGAAGCAAGAAGATGAAAGCCAGAGCTGCTTTTAACTTGTTGAAGCTTCTACCCATAATGGCAGAGGGTGTCAGAGTCAGTGTGAAGGTTAGGAAGTGACAGGATGCGACTCGAGGGGAAGATGAAAGTAAAAAGATAAAAGCTGACCTTGGATCTGGTACCACATCTCAGGATGATAAAACAGAAATTGGAAATTTCTACAAAAAGTGGCATGTGCGAACTCTAAGACACAAACTTGTGGTTTTAAACTAAGATGAAAGAGAGAAACACAGTCAGACGTGTGCACAGATGGTTATAGTTATGGAGATGGTCAGTGAATATGTAATCATACTGGGTTATAAAAATAGGATCATCATTGCTGTGTGTTGGTCAGGGAATGACACATAGGAGACATCCCTGTGAGGTCCTTCAAGCGTGATGGTTTTAAAAGGAAGACTGAAACAATGAACTGCATGAATAAGATTTGGAGAATCTGCACCACACTCAGCTCACACTGCTTCAGTGACCATGCATAAACCACAGTGTTAATGCTGTGTGAGGGAATGTCACCACAAGTTTCAGAAGTTTGAGCCTCAGAGATGCTAATACGAAAAGCCGCTCCTATATTTTAGCATTTTCTCGTTTATGAAAAGGACCTTCAATGCTGTAACTGTAGAAATGATGGTGGTTTTAAAACTCAGTGGACCCCCTGAGTCCAGCACTAAAATCCTGTATGAATATATTGTTATCTAAAAAAATCTAAAAATGATGGAATCCAATGGCTTTTGGCAAAAACGAAAATGTTGTCCTAGTTTCTCAGTAACTTTAAAAGCAAATGTCCATGTTGATATTGAATTTCAAAAGTGTGGACATTTGTTTTAGGCCTTCAACAAAGACTGTATGACAAATGGAAACTCACCATTTCCATCTGCATGTAATTCTGCATTACACATTGTTACCATCTTTTTTACTACAGCCCCAAAAAACCCAAGCTGGAAGAGTATGAAGCAGCTGTGTCTCAGTTGTGTAGTCGGTCTTCTCCCCATCAGAAGGTTGGCAGCTCGATCCAAGGGCTGTCCACAAGTACAGTGTGCCCAGTGGTGTGTGAATGGGATTAGTAAAAAGTGGTGGGTAGATGATTCTCTTCACGCAGCAGCCTCTGCCATCAGTGTGTGAATGTGGTGTGAATGGGTGACCGTGGCATGTAATATAACATCGCTTTGAGCGGTCAGTGTAGAAGGTACTGTATAAACATAGTCCAGTTAGAGAGAGTACCTTGCTTACATCATCTTCTACATAGTTTTACTACAGTGGCAGCCCTGAAGGCTAGTTAGCTGGTTACTGAATTTTCGTCTTCTGTTGCTGCTCCTGGGTTTCCCCTCGATTTTCTGGCAGGTGGCAGCTAAGAGGCAAATGAAAAGCTGATACCACATGCCAAAAACCCCACCTTTGTGCCTTTAGGTAGGTTGACCAAAAGTTGGTTTGTTTAGGTGTTTTCAACAGGACAACCATACAGACAAAAATTATATATTTTTTTTTGCAGGATGACAAAATCTTTACTTTTTATACTGTGCTGTTACTCCTTTTCTTCTGTTTTGCTACCTCAAATTCATTAAATTTTCAGATGAATCTACCACATTTGTATGTCATGTGTACTCATGGTTCCGTCACAGTGAAATATGAAAAGTATTTGTGCCTGTATTTAACATAAAATCAGAAATTACTCAATTTATTATTCAACCAGAGAGATACTATTGATGACTGTCTTCCCCCACCATTGAAAAAAAACTTCTCATTGTGCTTTTGTTGAAGCCGTGTGTGTGGTATTTACAAGGATAATAACAGAAGAGTGTAAAATAATGGGTGGACACCTATTACTGTGTGTGGCATGACGAGGCACAGTTTGACAGCCTCACATCCATAAAACATTAATTAGACGTCTGGCTGAGCTTCATGCTGAGCTGCTACACTGATCCAGACTCACTGGCTGCCTGACAGTGAAAACTCCTCGGCTGTTTCTCAGCAACAGACTCAGCGGTTTGAGCTGTGTCTCATATCCACGGTAACAAGCAAATGTTAAATATAGCTGGGTTTTCTTCGATAAGAATAAATGTGATGTGGCTCTCAGTGAAGAAATGATTCAACAAGGTTACCAAGTAAATAAATGCTGTTTTCAGTGGAGCTTTTAGCAGAAACGATGATGTTGTTCTTCGATTTGGCAGCGAATGATATTTACCTTCAGGGTATCAAACAGGAGAGTGCAGTGCATTTAGAAATTTGGGGTGTATTTGTACGTTATACAGAGAGAGCAGGAAGCAGGTCAAGAAAAAACAAGGGCAATCCACTGCATTAATGTTGTTTCTTGGTGAAAATATGTTTGAAAATGTAAGATTTAAGTGACCCCAGTATGATATTATACTTTTATTATAAAGTTAAGGTCAAGTAATCTGGGTTAGACACACATATAGGACAGTTTATATCTCTATTAGATCTAATAGTTTATGGCAATAATGCACCTAAATAAGGACAATTTCTTACTAACTTGAAATGAAGGTCAATGTTCAAATTCTTTCCAAAAGGAGAATTTCAGGTGTGTGGAAATTTATCTTACACCTTTGAGAAAGTATGACAAAAAAAAGTCTTCTCAATATCATCTCACTGGCTGGAGTTTACACTTTGGTTCCAGTATGTTCAAAAACCATCTGTAGCTGTATGGATATATGTTCAGCAATAAATCTTGCATTCTCTCCCATGTGAGCCCTTCCACTGTTATGGAGCAATTCATGTTTGCAGACCCGGTAGCTGCAACTTCAGGGCAATCTTAAGACTCATGTCATTTTAAAGTGAGTAATGCAACCTTTTTTGGTGTCTAACTGTAACCCTAACCCAAGTGTTGCAATGACACAAGGGTCCTGAAGATGCACCCCAGAATTTCTGACCTAAAACTGCAGCCCCTGACTCTGACAATACAAAATTTTGTTGTTAGGGGGATGATACTGTAAACACTTCAACTTCAACTTCAACTTTATTTTATTTATATGGCACTTTTCATACAAAGTTGTAACACAAAGTGCCTTACAAAGCATAAAAACAAAATGAAACATTAAAATCCCCAAGAAAATCCCAAACCTCCCACCCGCACAATTATACCCATACACACACCCGTGAACATAGACATACAATTCCACCCACACAACTTCACATACATACGCATCTACACAGTTAGCAGCTGATGGTGAGGAGACATGACTGGGCACTGAGATCTGAGGTGAGGAAGACGCTACCTTTGGGGGCCACGTCGACCGGGAGGCATCCCGGCCCATTGCTGCTGCAGGGGGCGCCGTCACAGGGACCACCAGCCCGGGCAGACAGGAGGCTCCGCACCAAGGTGTAGAGCTCTCTGGTTCCACCCGGGCCAGAGCTGTCCCCAGAACGGCGCCCCCACCAACAGACCAGAACCCGCTCCCGGTGAAGCAGCCCCCAGGAGGAAACACTGGAAAAACTGAGGGACTAAAAGAATAAAATAAGACATAAAAGTATAGAAACTAAAACTGTAATCGCTAAGACAGACCCAGTAAATAATGTAAGATAAAATGATTCTGTGCACTGTAAAACACGCTAGACTAAAAATAATGATAATGCACTGTAAAACACGCTAGACTAAAAATAATGATAATAAAATTGATAGATTAAAGAATAAAATAGAACGGTAATAAAAAGTGTTAATTAGTAAAACAATAAAAGTGAGCATAAAAGAGATTAAAAGAGTTAAATTAGTCAATTAAAAGCCTGATTAAAAAGATGAGTCTTTAGCCTCTTTTTAAAAATATCAACATTCTCTGCAGCCCTGAGGCTCTCTGGGAGGCTGTTCCACAATCGGGGGCCATAATAACTGAATGCCGCCGCCCCGTATGTCTTAGTTTTTACTTGTGGGATTTTTAAGAGACCAGCTCCAGAGGACCTCAGGGTCCGTGAGGGTTGATAAGGTAAAAGTATCTCGGATAAATAAAACGGCCCAAGACCATTAAGACACTTAAAAATTAGGAGGAGAACCTTAAAATCGATCCTGAAACGCACGGGGAGCCAATGCAGCGATTTTAAGACAGGAGTAATGTGCTCCCGCCCTCTGGTCCTCGTCAGCACTCGCGCGGCTGAGTTTTGTAATAATTGTAGGTTTTGCGTGTTCTTTTTGGGAAGACCAGAGAGCAGGGCATTACAATAATCCAAACGACACGAGATAAAAGCATGCATCAGCACCTCCGTGCTGGCCTGAGAGCACTTCCTTTGAATCTTTTGGTCCGCTTGGATTTTCTGGCGACAATTTGCCAAGTTGCCTTTCATATTTCTCATATACTCTGTCACGTAGGTCACCACAGACCAGCAGTGTCTGCATATGAATTGTTGTTTGATAAAGATACAATTTTAGATAAACTAAAAATTCCTCCATACATCAGATTTAAAAGCCACTCTAACTTTGCATTCCTCCAAGCAAAATGGATGCAACAGTGGGTGATTAGTTGCGTCAATTCGGGGATGTTACATCATTTTTCCAGGTAGTACAATGTCATCTTTGATCACTTTGCATCTCAGGGAGAAACATTTTCACCCTCAGCTGTTACCTGGAAACCAGAGGATGTGCTCCAGTACTCACCTGAAGGCTGCAGAGAAGTACCTGTTGACTCATTCAGAGCTATGTTTGGTACTTCACATGTGGACAATTACTGCATTGATACCAGCGTAATCATCAATGGTTTTTTAATATACAAGACCACATTTTTTAAAAAAAATCTAGAGAAAATAAATGCACGAGATCACAGTTTAGAATGACTAAAAGTAAACTAGATTTTTAAGATAAAATAAGAACTCTGTTGATTCCCGAAGAGAAATTAAATAGTTGAAGTGATTGAAATCTTCTTGTACCTAAGTTAGTTTATAAATACTATAGGTGAGAATGATAGTTACATTACAGTATCAGACAAATCAAACCTCAAAAATAAGGAAAGTGTGGGTGATTTTTTTTGCTCTTTTGAATTCATAATCTCAAATTTAAAACAGGTAGCCTATGAACATGCTTGTTAGGAAACATGTGATAATTATATAAACGCATGGTGGTGTTGCTGTACTAGCAGTTTTTTAAAACAGGAGCTAGGGAAATGAAAATGTATTTATTTTGCACTTAAAATGTCAAAAATGAAGAGTATCACTTGTTACGTGAGCACTTCCTTTCCTTATTTTTCTTTAAATACAACCTATTGTGTTCATAACTACAAAAAAAAAAAAAAATTCACATCTTTAGATGTAGGTTACGCTTACATAAAATACTAATGGTTTCAGTATAGGCTACTAAGAACAAAAACCGTCTTTCTTTTTATCTTTCTTTCTTTATTGACAAAATGGCCGTTACCATGGCAACACTTCCGTAAGCAAAACTCCGCTGCCAAGTGTGTTGTCACTTAAGAGGAGAGGAATTCACGCCATGAACGTTCACCTTTGAAATTAACACGAACCATATTAACAACCTTGGTACAAAAATGACTGAAAAGCCTGACGGTGTGGTGAACAAAGCCGGGAGGTGTATGTTACATAACTGGACAGAAGAGGTGAGTGAAGTTAGCTTGGTGCTAACCGCTAATGTTTGCTAACAGCACAACACAACTCCCTTGTCTGAATGGTAAACGTAGTCACCAAAACATGCAAGATTTGAGATTGAGAAAGTTCGTATTGTTGCATAAATCATTTAGAATAAGTAGCCCATAACAAGTAAACACCCTCCCTTTCCATTAGTTAGTTTTAACTGAAGATTACTGAGTTGAAATACTATTACCCTCATTCTCAGACCATCTTAGGTTTCTTATGTTAGCAGATGTCTAAAGCTGTGTTGGACACGTTTTTATATAATAATAAAATAAATGGAACAACTAAAAATACCAGGAAAAATGTCAATGGGCTTAGACAGTGGGAAAACATTTTTAAAAAAATGTTTGATAACCACCTTAGTGGATATTAGGCTTTACATTTGTGTAGCATACACTTAATACCAATGCTGCTAGTCCCCCCTTTGCTTAGTTTACCTCCCTGTCATGCTTTTTGCATGTACAAATACAAAGAAAAGGCAAGTAAGTAGCGAATATTGAGAATATCCATGGAAATCTCGAGTTGAAAGAACAATATTTGTTTTGTGATGTAGTGGAGTTAAAGTGATCAAAAATAATACTTGAATATTCAGGAAATTTACTCAAGTACAGTTCCTGAGTAAATTCACTTTGTTACTGTCCCCCAATGGCAAGGACCACCTCAGAAACCAACTTTCTTTCCTCTTCTGTACTAAAACTTGTCCAAAATTTATACCTTAAATGAATTCATCACTATCACACCAACATAGTTAACCCCCCAAAAAATGCAACTATTTGAAAAGCTCAACTGTGTCTGGGTTGAGTTGTGAAAAGGCAGCATGGTGTTGTTCTTACCTTTCCATTTATAATGATGTGACATATGTAAAGCATCTCTGGACAGTATTTTGTGTTTGGTTGTCATGGGTGTGTAATTCTGTTTTTGTGGATTGTCTGTTTTCATTGTTTTGCACAAATTAATAACACTGTGGAGGCAGCTGACAGCATGCAGTTCCAGAGTCCAAGACACATTTCCCAGTGGGTTCCATTAAGTCTATTGTATTTTTTTATGTGGAACCACTTTGCCAGTTTAAGGCCAAGACAAGGAACAGATCCAGAGAAATGTTGATGTACATTCAAAGTCAAAAACTAGAAAAAAAAACAATTATATGTGAGAAAAATAGGTCAAAGCAAGAGACAGTGTAAAGACTACAATCAGACATTGAAGGCGGTTTTGTGTTGGCGCCTCTTTGATTGATTTAGACAGAAATTCAGTGTTTCTTTGTTGATCCTGAATGTCCCTGTATTCAGAGAGCTGTTGCTGCACTTGATGCAGAGGAGAGTATCCAGATTCAGAGACATGGGCACAGAGGGATCCTGACACTGGATCAGGACACTAAAATGGAGACAGTGACCACACACAAAGCACACTTCATCCCTCCGAAGGGTCCAGGAGTGAGGATGAGGGGTATGTGTCTTTGCTTTTTAGAGTCAACAGTCATAATATTTCTTTTTACACTTTTATGACCCTTTGACACATAAACTAGATTAAATTCTTGAAGAGTTAAAAAGAGTTTATTCAGGTGAGCGTCTGGAGAAATATGTGGTTACAGACACCTTGACCTTTTTGCCATCTTATACTAGTTTGAAGTCCTTTTCAGATGATTTCCTTTGTATGCTCAGTTCACCTTTTATTTTATCTCTGTGGTACAGGCATCCGCAGCGAGCTTTTGGAAAAACATATCGCCCTGGTGATAAGGTAAATCAGCTATGAAACCTTTTTTTTTTTAGCCGGATAAAATATTGCTGGAAGGGGTTTGTTTATGGAAACGGTAACACTGCCTGACCATACCAAGAGGGAAACATGCTGGAGGAAACTGATGTAATATTTACACGTCTGGGTTTGTTTTACTGTTCAATCCCAGCTGTAATACCTTTTAAATCAGATTTTATGATGTTATTTTACATGGAGGCCAGTCATCCTAATGGGGTTTATGGAGTCTATCCCTACAGATGTGGTTATTAACGGCCCTGCACGAGTTAACTGCTCATAAAAAATACAAGGCATCATGTCTTCGATGAAAACGGCTGGTGCAGCAGTAGACGCTGTCTCATCACTCAGTCAAGAGCCATGCGCTGAATTTCCTGGACTTTATAAGCACACACCAACGCTTTTGAGTCAAGCCAGTTGGGTTCAGCTAAAACTGGAGAGACTATTTTTTTTTAAATATATTTGTATGTTCAACCCATGAAAGCAGTGAGCAGGTAAGGATTTCATATTAAATCACAGCTCGAAATCAAATGTTCTAGGATTATGCTTGTCTTACATCATCGGTCCGTACATATCATGGTCTCGCCCACACAGTTGTTTGCACTGATTAGACCCACATCTCAGGACTGTGTGGGCATGAACAGACGGTGCTTGACTAGTGTCTATCTCCTGGAAGTGTTCCTACACCTGCTCAGGCGAACAACTCACACCTTTTGCAGCCATAAATATTGATATTCAGCCTCACTGTATGCATATATTTTCCCCTTGCTGTTATGCTGCATCCAGGATGTTGTAAAATAAAGCAGTATTGTTTTTTAGTTTTAGTTTTTTTTTTTCTTTTTTTTTGATAAATCCTCCAAGTGTTACACTGAAAATATACCCAGCCTCTCAAGTAAGGCAGTAATATGTACTTCTGGGCTTGAAAATGTAACGACTGTTCAAATATAATTGAACAGAATTTGATGGTAAGCCAAGGGAGACAATGTTCAGGAGTTACATGAGTGAGAGGTTGTCCTTCCCTCACTTGAAATATGTGCGATAAAGCTGTATGGTAGACTTTATGATCGATAAAGTGATGTCTTCTTGTCTTGACAGCGAGGAGTTCCATGCTGAACAAATCCCACCTGAAACTAAGACTGATTTCTGCTCCACCACCAAGAGGGATTTCTGTGTGGAGGGGTTTGTGCCTCTTACACCTGAGTCGACACAAGTAAGAGCAATGTGTATGCAAGTTCATGAGCAGGTATTGCCAAATCTCCTGATAGCAATACCTGCTACAGCCAGGATGGCTACAAAACATACCATACCAGACATCAAATTCAAAAGAAAAAAGATGTCCTTTTATAACAGATCCAGTTTTCTCTCGCTAAGATGCAGCTAATTGTTTGTAAATCTCATCAAGATTAAAACCACCTGGTACCTAGTATATTCATCAGGGAGGCAAATTGAAAGAATAAATACAAGGTATTATATATATATAAGTATTGCAAAGGGAGAGCATACAGAGGTGTAAAAATCCTTTCACACACTGAACATTAACATGCAGGGTAGCCTCAAAATATTCTTTGCAGACATGTAGTCATACAGAGCAAGGAGCTGCTGCAATTGCTTATCAATGGCAATTACTCAATGATATTTAATGATTGAATTTTGTTTGTAAATATTGAAATTAAAAGGTTAAGGCAAGGGCTGCTCTAAAAGAGCATATTTATCCTAAGAGCAAGGTCTAAATGTGTCCTGATTAGTAAGAGTATAGTGTCTTAGCATCAACAAACAACAAAGAGGACATTTTGTTATTTATTCTTATTTATTTTGTTATATATTCTCAGTGTTTTTGGAGAGCACAAAATATAAAAATCTAGTGATGGATGTTGAAACACAAGGATTGAGGGAAAAAAATCAAACAAATTAAAGAAAACCGACTCTTAGCATGCTAAGACTGAAATAAAGTTTAGGAGAGGCATGTCTGCATCTGACAACAGAGAAACGTAAATCGAAGAGGAGTTTACGGTGATTAAAAAAAGTCACACAGACTAATATTAAGACTGTAAAGTAGTATATATATTTTTTACATTTGATTGTCTTCATTTAAAGTTCCACCCTGAAATAATTTCCTGCTGTATTGATAGATGTTTCAATTTAATAGCCATATTTTAAGTGATAAAAGCCTTCTGACAAATAACATTTTGAATAAAGTAGACAACCACTGTAGACAGTGATGTGAGATATAGCTGTAAGTGTGAGTAGGTCTTAATCACAACCCGTCCAAAGACAGTATCGTCCAGGCATTGATTGAACTTCTTCACAAGACATAAAATGATGTTCCTAATGATTGTCTGAGCTGCACTGATGGACAGTAAAAGCTTTCAGCTCTGGAGGAAAATGAGCTGTCCGCATTACTAGGCTGGGAGTGACATGAACTGTAATCTTCAATAGTCTGCCCTTATGGACGAGAACAAGACTGATCACTAAAACCCGGATTTTTGAACTGTGTACTTGGTGTTTTAGCGAAATGGCTGTCAGATAAATTTGAGTTAAATCAAATTCTTTTATCTCTTTGTGAAAGAAAGACAGCAATAAAACTGTGTGAATGTGAGCTGCTTAATTGCTCTCAATGCAGCAGCTGCACAGATTGAGCTGCATTCTGTAAAGACGCCGCTGCAAATGTTCTCTGTGACTCTGAGTGATCACCTCTCTCAGATATTTCTCTACAGCCTCAAATTTCTCTGTTTCCATTCCATTGTAACCATGAGGTTTTATCAATGGAAGAAAACATAAGAACAAACAAAAGGTTGACAGACAATACCAAGAAATATACAGAAGCTAGTAAAAGGCATAAAAGCAGAATAATAGCTTTAACAACAGTTTGCACTCTTGGTTAAGCGAGAAACAAAACATATGATGTCCTTGGAGAGGGAATGCCACACATTCACTGTAAAGGACTTCACATCATTGTTGGACTACTTTCTAGTAAACATAAGGACAAAAGTAAACATTTCCTTCTGTGTCACCCTCAGACAGTAAATTAGTACTACTGTATACAGTTATCTAACACTTTCCACTCAAAGCTTGACTTTCGGATAACTGTAGGGAACTAGTCATGTACAAGACTCCATTTACTGTTAACTTCACCCAATGATTTATTGTTCAATGAAAAGCACCACACAATTTCTGGTCCAACTTGAAGAGAAAGACTTACTTTACCTCTTTATTGCAGATCAGTTTCACTTCAGTCAGTTAGTTATTATTATCATTATTGTTAGGAGTGAGAATAGTTGTAAAATTTATTGTTAGGATAGTATTTCTTAGGGTACATGGTAGTAGTGGAAGTGTTGTTTCATCATGAGGTGTTAACTCTCTGTGATGCTCATCTAACATTGATTTCCTGTTGTCGTCTTTCCAGGGTCATGATTCTAAAACTGAGGAGGCCATCACATTTTGGAGTGAAAATCGACAGAGGATACAGGCGAGTCCGACTGTTCATCGTACATTGTCTATCGTATTAGTTGGAGCAGATTTTACAAGCAAATTCAAAGCTTTCATTATTTTTTAAACATTATGAGTAATGATTGTGTTACTGGCAAAAAATCAATTTCCCCTTCCCTGTATTTCCTTGCCGAGGATGGTTTGTTCTAGAGTAAGTGTTAACTGTCTTCTGCTGTCACAAATGGTACCACATAATCTAAAAGGAGACTGCGGCAACAGTAACTCTGAGTAATAATACACGTGTGCCTCAGTAAGAGGAGAACGGTTATAAAGTATATCACCTCTGCTTTGTGCAAAGTGCTGTTTGCTTATTATCTGTCCAGTTATTTAAACTCCATGAGTGTTGGGCTCTTAAATCCTGTAAAGAACAGTAAGATTCTGAAAAACATGATTATGGTTTGATCAGACTGTGTCAAACGCACACTGTAGATACAGTCTCTGATTTGGTGTCTCAGGGTCACAACATAAACTGAATAATCCTAGTTTAAAAGATCTGATAACAGATATTTACAGTAAAAATGAGAATCTTGAAGTCAAAATTCAAGATTTGAAATGTTTAAACCCCATCACTAAACTTTGTATGAATGCCTGTCGCAAAACTAAAACTTTTAACATCATATGCAGGAGACTAGCCCTAGTAGTCTCACTTTTATCACTCTTTTGGTTTGTGAGGAGTTGTTATATCCCTAAAAGATAGTGGTTGGCATATTAACTATTTGGTTAACTCTAACCAGTAAAGAGGTGAAGTTAAGGTGGGCCTTTAGCCGCTTGAAGAAGGGCCTGGCTGCAGACACAGCAGAGCTCCATAAGCACATGTTCTGTTGGAAGTCCGACTTGTTTTTTGTTTTGCACTTCCATGTCAGTTCCAGTTTTTCACAGCAGAGATTTTCTCGGGTTTAAGATTTTTTTCTTGTGTGGTTTTTGTATCACAGGGTGTGACAGCCGTGCAGAACCTAGAAGCTCCTTTCAGGAAATCAGCCAAGTTCAGCACACCCATCAGTGAGCGTCTGGATGAAATTGAGCTCCTGTCTGATGACTGAGGCTGTATGACACATAATCACATCACATCACATCACTACAATGGACTAATATCAAAGAGCTATTAAAGGTTATTTGCAGCTGTTTTGACACCTCTGTTGTGCTGGTAAGCTTGTTAGAGCACATGGTTCTCTGTCATGAACAACAATAAAATAAATAGAAGAGCAGTTTAAAGCTTGATATCTACACTTGTTTTCATGTGTATATGATAACAAGTGTGGTCTTGTTTTTATTTTACTTTACAAATTAGAATTTCAACTGCTTATGAGCCATAAAAGGCCAAAAATAAATACCAGGGGTAAAACGAATGGTCTAAAAATGAGGCAAAATAACAAAATACCTTTAAATTGGGAGATTTATGTGAAAGACAATATAATTTTATCGTCTGTATATGTCTAGACCCCCAACTAATGTAACACAGAGAGAACAGATACACAGTATTTCAAGATTTAGATGGAAAATCCTCCCGACAGCTTCTTAGTCTGATGACACACGACTTGTTTCTGTTGAGAGGAAAAGTTTGGAAACTTAATGAAACATTTGGCTGCATGTTTGAGCCGTCAAACATAATCAATCACCATATTTGTCTGCACTCAGGGAAGCTTTTGTCAGACTAAAAGTATTAATGGTTGTTATATATTTGGATCAGGAGTGAGTAAACAACATCTAGACGAATGTGTTCTCTTTGCCAATTTCCCTCCATCCTGTGCTGTGAGCTAAGCATCTTTAATTAGCATCCAAAATGGTGTCAAAGTATCTCTGTGATCACAATTAGCCTTAGCTGATGGCTTGCTTTTTCGTCTAGCCACCACAACCAGTCAGTCGGAATAATCAATAGCAAACAGAACGTGATCCCACATCAACTGTCTATGATTTTGTGATTTGCTTTCTCTACACAAGTTTCTAGTTTCTTATTAACTCACTGCTACAGCTTTGTCTCGCATCAAAAAGTTAAAAGTACAGGTAGATTTGGAAGTATGAAAGCTAGAAGTGTGTGATAGAGCTTAAAAAAAATCCAAGTACTTGATAAGATATAAAAAAGAAGTCTTCCTTGACTATGGTGTTTCCCAAGATATACTGTAAATGTACAACCTGATGTTTAAAAATCCAAGTTTGAATCAAGCAAGTGATAACTTAAACAAACAGTAAGATAAGATAAGAAGAACTTTAGGGGACAGTAGGGGACTTAATGAACATACTTGGTTTTACTGAAAAAGCTGTATACAGGTTACATCGTTATATGTGACTGCATCTTTGACATGGTTTTTAAATATTATTTTCTCGAGTTTTCTGCAAAATTAATGGCTTTTGTTATGGGACCTGTTTGTAGTGTTGCTTTGTGCATCTTTCACAAGACCATGAAGATTTGTTTGCTTGCCACCTCTAATCGTTCTTTTTCATATCCTGTAATTATTGCGATCCAAAAGTGCAGTGTGACAAAAAGACACACTTTCCTCCCACATCGGGTAAATATCTCCCCATTGTCCTCAGAGAAAATCAACACTTTACAAATGCCAACAGGACTCAGAAAGTGTTACAAAGGGCTCTTATCTGTCTGTTTAAAGGTCCACACTGAGCTGATGTTAATATGCTGGAGACACATATTGTATGCTGGAGATTTACATTTGTTTTGGCAATCAGGGGACAATTTCAGGCTCTGCTGAATCTTTTTCAAGCTTTCAGTCAGGATAAGTAGGTTGTAGCTATGGCAACAAGTCATTTGAGCTCAGATTATGCTGTTTTTCTTTCCAAACATTTCATTATTTTCATGAGATGTTGCAGAAAAAATAAAACGCCTCTGAAACATAAGGCCTGGGAGAGATTTTTCAGTCCTGCAATCGGGGTGAAACTCTGAATACCATTTCACGCTGAACTTTTTCCTGTACACCTCTTACTACGGTTATTCTGTGTCACACTGTGCATTACTGTAATTGCTTGCTGGTCAAGGAGCTAAGTGCCTGATTTTATGGAGAAAATAAACCGATAAGTAAATAAAAATCAGGTGATTGTTGAAAAATCCAGGAGGTACAATTGCATTTATTCTAAAGGTTTATATTGTATGGCCTTCGGAAGAAGATGTGTCAGCTGAATGCTTAACTCCCTCACAAAATTACCCATATAATTTAAACACAGATAGTGAATAGAAACAACCGTAGCTTGCAAATGTTGTGGATGCAGTTTAAGTGACGTTACCAATGATGATGATTTTACTGTTGATAACGATGTAGGTGGACTGTGGTGTAAACTGCGGAGTTTTGGCTCCTTTATCAAGTGTGACAAATGTAAACTTAACTGAACTTTCCCGGCACACACGTCTGAAGAATCCTGTATGAGAGCAGGTCACCACCACACAATTCATAAATCAGTCACATAAATAAGATAGCATGCTAATCCAGAAAGCTGTATCTAAATGCAATATGTGCAAAAACTGATTTAACTAACAAATAATAATAACACCCAGCTGGAAACTGGTTATTGTGACCAGCATGGTAGAATAATATTCCATCACTAAGTACTTTATCACCAGTATGTGGTAGATATGCTCTTCCTCAATGTCTATTGTCATAACTGTAAATGCTAAGATTGTGTGATTAAGGTACCTTCATTAGCAGCTGTGTTATGCTTTTAATCAGCTACTTATACCGCTGTCAAAACCAACAGACATCAGGAGGCACCATCTCACTTAGGCTGCCATGCAAGATGACACGCTACAGGAACTGTTCCTCTGATTTGTATTTAGGAAAAGATGCTGTAAAGTAGCATCTGCAAATATAATAGTGTGATAGTTCATGTACAAGACAGGCAGCAACCTCAGAGATATGAGGGAGGGAAACGCAGGAGTGCTAAAAAAAACACTGGAGTTCCCTGAGTGTCCACTGGAGGCCAGCTGTGGAAGCACCAGAAACTACATACATACTAAACCAAAAAAGCAATGTTTTTAAAGCAAGAATAAACATGTCTACAGCCTGGTTCAAGAAAGTCACCACCACCACCATGTGTAGTCGTGTTAAAGTCCTTACACACCGGGGGCGTTTTTTTCGTGCAATTATTTCAGACGTCAATATTTTTTTTTTTTGCAACCTCAGATTCACCGGTATATCCAACATGGCCGACCGGCTGATTGTTTACGTGTCGGAGAACAGAGTGCTTTTTGATAAAAAAACACAAATATTACAAAAATAACGACCTGAAGGAAAACTTGTGGAGAGTCATAGTGTCAGATTTCTCATATGAGGATAGTTTGTGTGCTTTAACAGTTTGCTAAATGTCTTTGTTTTAACTTTCATCTGTGCTAAGTAACTTTAGCTCGTAAGCTAACCTGTTCAAATACAACATACCATATGTATTTTCACCGTCTCAAACTCAATTACGTTGCTGTCACAGCACCATTAGGTCTCCATTGTTACCTTACATTTATGGATTTTAGTTTAATGTGCTTATCTGGTGCTGGCCCTGACTCAGTACATGCTATCATGACAGACAGACATCTCAACACTAGTGTCTAATCAGAACTGAAAAACAGTCAGTCTGCTGTTGGGTCAGTCTTCTCGCTTCCACCCAGGACGCGTCTTTTTTGAGCAACTCCAGCAACTTATAGCTTTTAGAAATATTTTTGTTCCATTAAAACTACACTGAACTAAATGAAGTAAATGTTATCACAGATTTTTTTTATTTATTTATTTTTTTAACAGTAATACCACCACGTCTATCTCAACACTTGGAGCACAATTACATCTCTGAATATAAGGAGTGCAGTGCTCAAAAATTTACAAATGAAACATAAATATGATAAAGATTCAAAAAAGTATCAGGAAATGGCTGTTGCTGCATTCTACTCTACCTACATAGCATTTTTTTATTTATCTTAAATTTATTTTAAAATCACAACATAGTACAAACCTGGCCATTGAACTATGAGGGCAAAAAACCAGGAGGAAAATGTAAACAAAATAATGGCCCATTAATGGTAATTGACGTAAAATGCTCAATTAATTGTAATGTTTCTTTAAAGCAGCGGTACATACCATAACCCTCTGGTCTTTGCTGCGTTAAAAGGCAGAAAATAACACAGGACAGGATGACAGACAGCCCAGTTGGCCGTGAGGAGTTTGCAGGTCAGCTCCAGGGCTCAGCAGAGACCTTCACTTGGCTCACCGAGCTGCTAACAGGCGCCGGCTGTGTGTCGCTGTGAAAAAGTGGGCGGTAATTACAGCCGTGCAGGAGGAGAAGATGTTCTCCTGCAGAGATGAAAAAAAAACACACACACAAACATACACACTAACACATGGCCACACACAGTGACCATGCCCCCGTTCCACAACTGATAATGAGCATCTAATGAGCGGTGATGTCATTACAGCGAGCACACAGCTGCCAGCACACTCTTGTACACTTCTTTTCCTTATCTGTCCACCACTGCCCTCAGTTAATAAGGCTGCACATACTCACTCCTCTGCTTCTCTCTGGTATCTGATGAATGCACATATCATAACAGCGCAGGCAGCAGTTTGAAGCTGCATGAAAAATATATGTTGAAAAAAAAAGGATCTAATTGTCATGGCATGCAGGGTTGATTTTTAATAGAGGATAAAAATAGAAAATAAAATCCCAAAGGTTCAGCAGTTGTCCTGAAAGGTTACATCATGTGGTCTGTCCCTCAGCTGAACTGGCTGTGAGACACCTGTGAGCACTTCAGCAGGACATCCAATATTCAGGCTGGACAGCGCAAGGACATTTATAGGCACAGACGTTTTCAGAATTTGCATAAGTTTCAAGTAGGATAACACAAAATTTATGCAAACATGGTTTTATCATCCCCTACCATCTAGCTAAACTTTCAAACACAGAAGGCAATTTCACATGCTTTTATCTTATCAAGCCACAACAGCATTTCGGCTCACCCGGCTTGAAAGTCTATTAATCAAGTTCAGACTGCTTTGATATCAGTAGTCAGGCTTTAATCAGAAGCTCCAAAATCACTCCTGGTTTAGCCTCCTAATAAAGGCTCACAGCATGGTTTAGTTTTACAATTTCACAGGTCGATTTTAAGGCTCTTTATAGTCTTTGTCACCAGTATCTCCAACATCGTGGTACCATATCAGCAGATGCTTACACAAAGACTTTATGTGTGGTTAGGGCACTAAGGAGGGCCTCCAAGACGGGTCCCCCTAAGCTCTTAAGGTTCTCATTTAACTAACCTTTTTTTCCTGATGGTTTTAAAAGTTCTTTCTATCGCATGTTGGTCAAACATCCTTTTTTCAGAGATACAAACATCACCATGGCTATCAAGGTCAAGTACGTGTTTGTTTCTAGAAAAATCCCAGTCCTGAACAGGTTCAGTTTTGCAGCTTCAGACCTAAAGCTAAAGGTAGCTGCACAATCAGTTTACAATTATTAAATTATTACAAGAGTGAGACACAGTGGAAAGCTTCTGATGTAGTCCTGCAATTCACTCAGGATATGGTGCCTTTAAATATAGTGGAGAAGCCTTAAAACTATTAACCTCTCTGATGTCTACAAGGTGAGCTCCTCAGCTACAAACTTGTCTTGTTTTGGTTTTGAAATCATGAAACATAAAAATAATGAAAATGAATCTAAAAAAGGCTTTAAATCACATAATGTGATATCTTGTATATCTCATGATGTTATTAATATCAGCAGTAGCATTTCTAATTTTGAAGTAGGTGCATAAGTCTGAAAAATGTGCACCAATTATATTTTACAATTTATTGTACAGCTGTTAGGCTGTTGGGGTGATATCTGGTTTTGCAAGTTTTAAACCTATTATATTAATGGATATCAAATAAAATGTTCATTATGGTTTCCCCCGGAGGAGAAACAGAGTTTTACTGACCATATGCACACAAATGATTTTTAGTCCAGTTAATGAACTGCCTCTAGGGACGGCAGAGGTATTTGGTAAGGCCAGTCCTCCACTCTTATCCAGATGGAAATTCTCCACTCCTATTCATTAGATTATAACACTGTTGAGTAAAGACATTTACAGTCTTCAAGGGATGATGAAATATTTTAATTTGGGTTCTTATTACATTGTTTGAGGGAGGAATTAAATCTCACTTAAGCTACAAGCTGCTTACCTTGTAGGAAAAAGGGTCTTAACAGCTAAAAATGCTTTTTTAAATATGGATCCACCTTTAAAATCTACTTTGTTTTGCTAAGTTTGCTAAGTTTTAACCACACTAGCTATGCAGCTTTAGAAATGGCAATATTACTCATGTGGTCCATAAAATCCACCACTTTGGTCCTGGGTAATACTGGATTTGATTAATTTCACTGATTTTATACAGACCTTCATTGTCCCCAGAAAATGAACCCTGCAGACAGTTTGGTGATCTCTGAGTATTGAGCTCCAGGTTGATATTATTTTGTATTTTATAAAATGGATTTGCTACTGTTGGACGGATTCTCATCAAACTTGGTACATCCATGCGGTTATATGTAAGAACTCTTCAGCCTCCAACAATATTACCAAGTGAAATATCTCAAGTGTATCAGCCATAGTTGTGTCAGTTTACAAATATATGCGAGGGATATCATTCGGAGAGCTGGTTATGACAGGAATAATCCAAGATGGAGCGATTGAGGCCGCAAAGATTTAATTCATTCCTGGCAGGATTTATAACCACTTTATTTCTCTACTTTGTTAAATACTTTATACTGATTGGTCAAAACCTCATAACAATGGTGTTTAATTCTCAGTAGGAAAAGCCATGCCAGGAACAACCTGATCACACACGTCATATCGAATCAACACGCGTAAAGGAGTTCAGCACATTTCACCTCTGCCTGTTGACACTGGAACGAAAGCTTTACTTTCTGTCTCAGGCTGGTCTCTAGGGTCAGGAAATAATGACAGGCAGTGGGCACAGATGTGTGAGGAGCCTGAGGGGCAACTAGACTCCTACGATAAGGAAATGTGGAGCAATACCTCACTGTTCAGAGCAGGTAACAGCAGCAGAGATGGTGAGAGCACTTCTTAGTTGCAACTGTAAAATACGGTGTTGGAGATACACTTGTAATACCTTTTCTGTGGTGCAACCGTTGACACCTTAAGTGGACACTACATCAACATGCTCCTCCCATTGCAAGATGTGAGGCTAAAAAAATGCCGTGACAAGCGCTGTTATACCTTCTTTGTGTTAAACACGTGTCAGCTTCAGAGAACAGAATAAGAAAAGCCCAATGAGGACAGAAATGTCAGCCGAAATATTCCTGCAAGAGTTCGATTCACCCTGTTTGAATAATTACCAGCCAGATTTGTGCCTCTTTCTGGGAAATGACCGTGTCAGGATAACAAGTACCTACATTTTAGAGATATTCGAGAGATCTTTGTGTATAAGAGCTGTTAATGTGTCAGCAAATAGAGTTTCCACACAAAATGTATGTATGAGTATTTCACTTAAAGGGTCAAGTGTACTCTTTTGAGAGCCATTAGCGCTACTTCTGGCTTTTCTTCTGTTGCACACTTGGAGCATCCTAATACCTATAATTAACCACACAGAAACCACAGAGTGATCTATAAATGGAAAAAGAGTGATTTACTCCGTTTATTGAACAAAATATTTTACAGTATCTTGGATATACATATATACATATTCGCTTGTACTGTGTAACACGGTCCGTGAACCCCTGCAGTGACATCATAGTAATCCTGTGCCTCCAAACTTCAATGGATGAAATATTAATACATCATTGACTTCCAAACACATTATACAAATCTTAATATAGAAAGCACAAAAAATAAGAATTTATCAGTGAAAAGTACTCACTCTCAGGACAGAAAGCTTCTTCATACAAAAAACAACTTTTACAATTTTTTTTTTCTCTTTTTTGCAGTTACAGTATGCAGGTCATAAAAATACCTGGAATTCCCCCCGTTTTTTGTCACATGGTGTCGTTCTCCTTTCCTCTGCACGGAAATCACCGATAAGGACTTATTCTAGAACAAATAAAGAAGTGGCTCGGCCACTGGAGCTCCTGCTGTTCGTCTCCTCTGCTGCTGTGGATCATCAGCAGGCCTCTCAGATAACATACACATCAGTCTTCTCCCCGAGAAGCCAGTACGTTCTCATTTTGCCTTTGCCCTGAAAAACACAGAAATCAATAAGTTCATCAATGAGATGTAGAGGAGGATGAGGGGTGAGGGTGATATGCCCTGTTAGGCCGCCCTTTGTTTAAGAGTGACCCTGACGTTCACTGAGTTCAGGTTACACTTCTCCCTCTCTTCTTAAGAACAGCAGTATTAATCAGTGGCAGCTGGTCAATAGAGGGTGCTAGGGCACCGCCCCACCGCTCTCCACAAGGAGAATGGCACACCACTGCAGAATTTTTTAGATATCAGTTTGAAGAGATCAAGACATATTATAAAGCCAGTGTAATAAGGTGAAGTCAAAATATAGATTAAAATATTCCACTGTCACATACTTGGAGTCAAAGGCATGAATGGTTGTGTCCTCAGGTCTCTATTGACTCTTGTTATAAGTTGCACATGTCTCTTTTCAATATAAGAGATAGGAGCTACTTGAAGCACTATTAAACTATGAGAGTAATGGTAAATTGTAAATGGACAGTGTTTATATAGAGATTTCTCTAGAGCGGGGCAGATACTTGTTGAACCTGTGAGAAAAGCTTGATGCTTGAGTCATAGAGAGAGCTATAACAAAATGCAAAAAGAAAACTCAGTCAAGCTGTTTGAGAGGCGATCTTTGCAGGAGAAGCTGAGAGTAAATGAGCTTGAACCAGAGCTTTTACTGTCTTCACTTGTTTGCTTTTCTGTATTACAAAGAGGCATCAGAATAATTTCTAGTCTGTTTCACAACAAGTTAACAATCCCTTACGGAAGCTTGAAACAACATTTCTTCACCATCTGTAGAAGCAAATATGTACCAATAACCATTAGCTGTAAGATACAAGGTGAGTGAAGTGATACGGAAACTTGCATTTCGTCTATTGGCCAGTAGGGGGCAACTCATCTTTGGTGAGAGGAGGTAGATATTTTCCCAATGAGCTGGTGGTCTCAATTGTTTGTCTGTTTAAGAATGTAGCTCCAATGACCCGAAGGTTGGCGGTTCAATTCCCCCAAAATTCAAGTCTGTCCGTTGTGTCCTTGGGCAAGACACTTAACCCACCTTGCTCCCAGTGTGTGTCCTCCACTGGTGTATGATTGTGAGTGTTGTGTGGTGGTGGTCGGAGAGGCCGTAGGCGCAGAATGGCAGCCACGTTTCCACCACCACCAAAGTGTGACTGTGTGAGTGAATGAATGATGTATCCAATGTAAAGCGCTTTGAGGGTCTCTGATAAAGCGCTATATGAAATCTGATGCATTATTATTATTATTATTATTATTCTGTAATAATGACTTTAATTAGGTCAGGGGTGCAGAAACAGACCACTTTACCAGCAAAGTGGGTGGCAGTATATGTACCCCAGTTGAAATATAGTGACTACCAAAATGCTAACCTTAAGGCTTCAGAACATTAGTCCTTAAATCAAGAGATCACAGCACAACAGTTAGACCAACTTTTTATTACAGTCTGTCAGTAAAGATGTTATACTTTTCTTCTAATGGTGGATTCTAGTCTTTACAAATCAGAACTCCAAATCAGAGCTTTTATAACCCCCAAAAGACACCATTTTAAGCTAGATGCTTCCCCCCTTTTCTATTGGTTTTAATCTGTTCTTGTTAAAAGGTTTCTGAAGGAAACGTTCTTACCTTCATTTCTACATCTCCTCGTAACTGGAGATCGAAGTAGCCAAACTCATCCAGCACTTCTTTGGTAGCAGAGGATACATGGATCTTTAAGGCTGCAAGACAAAGGAGAAAACAGATACGACTCAAGTTTATGTATTCAATCCATCAAATCTTTGAATTACCACCACACTGCTATTATCTCCAGCCTCAGGGTTTTATAGCAGACTGATGATGTAAGTCAGCAGCTGAGATGCTAACAGTGATGAAAATCTGTATTGTTTGTCCCAATTAATGCTCACAGTGCAGAGATGTGAGACATGACTCCTGCCTGTGAAGCTTCAGGCTGCACAGTTTATCGCTGGCTAAGGGCCCTTTGCTGTAAGTGCAATCAATTATTTACCAGAGGAGGCACAATACAGGAAGCAGCCCAGTAGTTAATCAATACATCCGATGACTCGCTCGCAGGAGCTCCAACCACAGTTTCATAACACTAGTTCCTGTCACAGCCAGTTAAAAACAGAAATGTCAGAGTAAAAAGTATGCCTCTCAGCACGTCGATACATCTCATATTCAGCTGAGGAGCCTTTCAAACCAAACACATCAGCAGGAATTCATTTACACACACCAGCAAAGACAGATAGGGCTCTGTTTACAAACAGATCAAATAAAAAAAATGCTCATCCAGATGTAAAGATTGATTGATACAGAATTTTCAACATACAGAATAAGCATATTCAGCATTTTAGTTCATTACGTTGTTATAATTCCTTCTCACTTACAGGAAACACTCATTATCACTAAAAACAGATTTAAAACCAGTCCACAAATCTTCTCAAAAGCTTTTTAAGAAATCTGACCTGCGTAGAAAGAGTTGTGTGTGTTTAAACCAAAGAAAGCGAGGCTGTTCATCGCATTCTCAGTGGATAATCTGTAGCTGCAAATAATCCCATCATTAGCACTTTTTTCTTCTTCTGTAGCAGCAAAGTTTTGGGTTAATCTAAAATGCGTCAGACTCTAATAGACCCTTTAATGCGATGAAATCATTGAGCATGAAAGACTCTTTTCTTACAGATAGAGTCGTAAAAGTTAGAGCACCTATTTGGAGTTAAGTCCATTGATTTTAAAAATGAGGGGTTATTTGTAGAGCTGTAAGGATGACAGATGTAAGAATGACGGATGTAAAGCTCAGTGTAACAAACTAGACATGTTTTTTTTTTTGGTCACAATGTAATAAAGTAGAGGTAAAAGAAATACTGCTCCAGGATATTAAACTGTGTGAATCAAGTGTAAAAATCTAACCAAAGGAACCAAACAAGTGAGAGTGAGACTCACCCTCTCCGTTTGACTCCATTCGAGACGCTGTGTTGACTGTATCTCCAAACAAACAGTATCTGGGCATTTTCAAACCAACCACCCCGGCACAGACTGGACCTGCAAAACACAAACTAAATATAGTCACATGGAACAGTGGAAAACCACAGTAATATCTGGCACACTTAGGGTAGAAGTCATTATCACTCAGCCATGGTGGAGAGAATGCTTTTTAATAAGACGACAGAGGTGTGAGTGGATTGAAATTGCGCTCAGAAGCCTTTAAATGACTCTGACATTGTTAAGTACCAGCCTACACATGCTGGTCTGTTTCTGCTGCATGTCAGGTGTCTGGAGGAGAATATAAACACGCTGCCGAGAACTGGTACTGTCTAAATACTGTGTCAGAAGCTGTTGGAAATGACCTCAGACGAAAAGCTGCCGACAGATCAAGATTAAATATCCTGTGTTTATTTCCAGTCATTGTGTTTATATGTGGAGAAGTGGAAGTCACATATCACAGCTGCCCCGCAACTGATGTACTCTCACTAACAACTGATATGATATAAAACCACTAAAACCAGTACAAATGTCCCGAAACAACCTCACAGTGCACTCAGATTTTTGTCTTGACGTAAGGCGTCTATGTTTGAAAATTGAAGACTTACGAATTCAGATTGATGTTTCCCTGTCCGGTTTTCCCGGGGTTGTACTTTTTTATGATTTTATATTTGTTTATTGTTATTGAGTGTCCAATGTGACGTGGAAAACGAAAAAAGTTCAATTTATATTTGTTGTTTTGAGACTTGTTTGTGGTGAAAGAAGTTTCAACTCAAGATGTTTCTATTGTGTTTTGTCTTTGTTCACAGAATCTCAAACACGCTATGATTAAAGATGATCCTTCAAACTTGTTCTGGGATTCTGTGGATCAAAAAAGCAGAAATATGCTGTTATGCAACGTTTTGATAGTTTTAAGGAAGAGATAAAGAGAAATGCTTTAGTTTGTCCAAGTTTCTGTTGAATTTGTCTCTTAGGTTTTTGTGTTGCAATCAATATTGGACCGGATCAGAAGCCTTTTAGAGTGGAAATGGATTTTGCTCTGTTTGTCCAAAGAATAAAATGGTTCAGTGCTTTCCCTATTAAATGGAAGTTCAACTGAAAAAGTTCTCCAAATGGAAATATTTTAGTTGTCTGACTTGGACTTCTGAATTTTTGAGTCTGTTAATAAAAGTCTAATTTTAGTTTCTCAGTTATTGATAGAGAGTTGAATTATGAAAGGGTCAGAGCATGCCGGAGGCAGGAAAGAGAATAATAACTCTATCATTGAGAAAAGAAACATAAAAAAAACTTTATTCTGCTTTTTTATTATTATTGGGACAGAGTAGAAAACGTCCTGCATCCACCAGTAAGTAAATCATGATATCAGTTTTGGCAGCATGCATTACTCAGATACACTCACCTGTGTGTATTCCTATCCTGAGTCTCAGCTGGTCGTTGGGTCTGTGTCGGATCTTGAACGTTTTGACCTGCTCTAACAACGCCAGCGACATCCCAGCGATCTCTCTGGCGTGTAGCTTTCCGTTCCTCACCGGCAGCCCTGACACCACCATGTAGGCGTCACCGATGGTCTCCACCTAAAGAACAAAAATCAAAAGGCTAAATCATTTTGTAAAATACAGTCAGGAAAAGAAATTTTTGGATGTAGCCTTGTTTCTGAGAGTTTCTTTAAACATTAAGTCAAGCCCAAAATGCTGTAAAACACGTGTTCTCAAACATCAGACCTAAAAATAGACAGATCATACCATTTCTATTGACATGGATTATCCTGGCTTACCTTGTATACGTCAAAGTTATCAATGATGGCATCAAAGCAGGTGTACAGATCATTGAGCAATGTGACCACCTGGGGAGAGAAAGAGGAGATTAATATGCAGCTACTAGGTGAGTCTGTTTTGAGGGCAACATGCTCTACCTCTGAGGTCAAGTCACCCAAAAAATCAAACTATTCATTATTCAAGGAGAGGGAGCTAATTCTTTTCATACAGTAGTGTCCTAATAAAACCACAAAACCAACAAACCGGCAACAAAATCAAAGGTCAAGAGCTTGTGAAACAATTTATAATAGTTTGAATACTCGGGATTCAAACATGAGTGTCTACTTTACATCCTGGTAATAAAGCAACACATAAAACAGATGAGCTGAGAGTGTCTTCCCCACCTTCTCTTGACCACATATGGTTACCTCTGGCAGCAAATAACCGAGATGACAAAGGTGTTGTTGCCAAACTTGCAGCTTCAAAATGTGAGTCTGCATCTCATCACCGAGGTTCAGTCTGTTATTTTGAGCCGAAGCTAAAAACACTGACAACTTGGGAGGCCTGTGTTTCTGCAGAACCTCACAGTTTCCCACATTATCTCAGTCTGTCTGCAGCTGCCGGCTGAGCCTCACTGACAAACACGTTTACAGCATCATAAATCACACCAGCAGATGGAATATTTCAAACCCAATCTGGATTAAATTTAACAGAATGAAGGGCTGTAATGTAGCACTCAGGCAGATGTTGGCTGTTTGTTCAAACCCTGATTTGTTGTTCAGTTGTCGTCTCTAATGTTAATCCTTTTTTAAATAGTCACTTATCTTAGAATAAAACAAATGGAGTTTTGTCTTATCAGGACAAGGCCATCAGAAACATTCAATCTGAGGATTTAACTCTTAAAACTTGAGTGTGAAATTTATATGTGAGCTAAAGAGATGGCAGCTCCACAAATTACAGACAGAATGTGATTCTTGCCTTTACAGCTCAAATATCATGTTTCCAAACATTAAAAAATTTGCTTTTCTCTATTCTCACGGACAGTTTCTAGCTTTCTAGCTTTCCTGGAAACATGTCATTATAGCAGATGGAAATCTTTCCTGGGGTAAAAAGGTGGATCTCTCTCCTGAATTATATTATCACACTTGAATGGCTCCGGATGCAGGTGAGGTGATATCTTCCATATATTCATAAACAACACTGCACTATAGAGAAGGATGCATCTCTCTGATGCACTGCAACATTGCATCAAAATAGCCCTCAGTGTACAAGTCAAACCACTACAATTACTGTTGAGCATGTGCTGGAGGATTTGATTGACCGACAGGCTGACAGCAGCACTGAGGGTGTAAATTTTCATTGGGGATGCTGGGCTGGGGGGTTGGGAGGGTTGGCGGCTTTAGGCTTGTATGCCGCCTGACAGGAACAGCTGCAAACCGCGACGAAAGCTCAAAAGAGGATCACTCTTCTCCTGTTTTATTTGCAGATTTAAAAAGAGAAGATTTTACCTTTAGTGAGATTTCTAATTTCTATATAAACATTAAGTGAAAGAGGTCAAAAAGGAGGAATTCAGACGGTAAGGAAAGGCTTTCAATGAGACAAAATGTACAGTATGTATTTCAACATGGGGGTTAAAGCCACAATTTTAAATTTCAAGAATAAGGTCCAAATAGTCATAAAGCCATATAGAGAAAAAAAGTCATCAATTTAAAGGCTTGGGGTTGTACAGGTTTGAATTTACCTTGTATATTTACGATTAAAAAAGTCATAAATTGAGGACCATTGACTGAGTAATACACAGAGTTTTGAAGCCTATTAGTGAATCAGACTGAAACCATTTTTTGACCAGGTCGTACATGCGCTTATTTTTGCTCTAAAAACTGCTACTACTACTGGTGTCTGCAGCGTCTGCAGACAGCCTCAAGTGGACACTTGAGGAACTGCAGTTTTTCGCTCAACCACGTCGGCTTTAGTGCTGCTTGTTTATGACATTGTGGTCGTACAGTTGCAAAAAACAAGTCATTGATTTATAAAAAACTACAGTCAGAAATAAATGAAAATAAAGCTGTAGAATAAACTCAAAAATTTGAAAGAAAACAGTAAAAAAAAATCACAAGAATAAAGCCATAATTCATTAGAATCAAATTATTAACCCAGTGTGATTAAAGGTCTGAACTAATGATGAAAATAAGGCTTAAATTTATGAGAGTTTATGTTTATGTTATTTATTTTTTTGTTTTTTTGCTTCGATGTTGAGATGACAGGGCTGTGGGAGAGAGAGCAGGAGTGACATGCAGCAAAAGAAGCTGGAAGCTGAAGGATATAAAAGGGGACTGCAGACCTCTAGGCCAGCAGTTTCCTTTAATATGTGTCAGACATATAAATCCCAGCTTTTGAATATTTAGACTGTGTTATTTATTAAATATTAAAAGCAGTTTGGTTAGATTGTATTAACTGCTACAAACACAAAGACCAGAAAAAGCTTTTCTCGGGTCCAGAGAAAAGAAGCAGTTTGAAGGTGAAAAGAACAAGTGTTAGTTCTCGGGTGACCCCACTCCATCTGAAGGTGTTACTCAGTCAACAGCACTTTACACCCTCTGCAGAGATGTGACAATGATCTGATGTATTTGCTCTAAAACCTCTGTTTCATGTGAGAGGGAGATATGTGGTGGCATAATGTGACTCAACTCTGCGTCAGCACACTCTCCCATCCAACAAATATACTATTTTGAGTTGCAGCCCGTGTGTGGGAACACACACACTGTGGGAACTATGAGACACACCGTAGGTAGAGACCTGATACTGGTGAGCACTTTTATGCATGAATACAGAAACAGAATCCGCTGCATTTTTAGTCACGAGCTGTGGATTGTAAAAGCTTCAGAGGAACTTAGAGTAGCTTGTTACTCCAAATCCTAACAATGAGAGAAAAACTGGATTTCAGAGCAGTAGTTATCCATCGGAGAAGTAATCTCTGTGTACCTGCAGCGGTGTACTTTCAGCAGACATTGACGTGAAGCCCACGATGTCGCTGAAGTAAATCGTGACGCTGTCAAATGCTTCTGCCTGCACCGTCTCCCCTCGTTTTAGCTGCTCTGCCACTGAACTGAGGGAAGGGAAGAAAACACACATGCAGCAATGTTAAAACTTCCATCTGTTAATCATAAAGACAGACATAGAAGAACTGAGTCATGAGCAGAAGTTACCTGATAAGATTTCTGACTGAGTCAAACTGAAAATGGGCAGTTGATGAGCATATAAGGGTTTTCAATACTAGATCATATCCCAATATCCAGTTTGTTTGTTTTTGATCTTAATCACAGTGTTGTCCTTTAACAGGACACTATTAATCCATGGTTTATTGTCATTAATCGGTCTGGGATTTTAAACCCTTTCAAGTATGCTGGACCTCAGTATGTTTACCATGTCTTCAGATCTATGTGTTTTGGTTCTTATTCAGCTGTTTTTGTGTCTAATTGCTGTTTAAATTGTATTAGTGGTCTATTTTTCTGTTTTGTTTTGTTTGTTTTTTTCTGTTCCCTCAAATAAATTTTTGACAAAAATAAGCTGCTATCTTATTCTGGACACCAACAAGTGAAATTTTGGTCTCAAAATCCAGGTCAGACAAATGTGAATCACATTCACTGTTTTTTTTTTTTTTTGTTTTTTTTTAATAAGCAATATTTTTCAATCTCTTTTATAAGAAGTTTTCTAATGAGTCCTCAGTTAGGCCAAGATTCCTTTAACTTTTAGTATAATCCAGTGTCATTTTGATTCAGTTTCCAGGGTTAAGCTGACCATTAACTATAGCCGCCCTTGCTACCAGACATTGCAATGTTTCTCAGGATCAGCTGAGCCAACATGGCATGCTTCATAGACGTAGGATGATGTATTTGAAATGCACTCAGGCTGACTGTGAGGAGACAATCAGGCAATTGCTGAAAATACTGAAAATAAAAATAAAAATGTGTGACTTTTTTCACAGGAAACTGTCTCAGAAGAGAAAAGCATAGTCTGATGATGATGGTTATTTTATTCAAAGCTAGTTTTAAATAAAAACTTGCTTCTTATCCAAAACATGGCTAATGAACGCCTAGCAGGTGTAATTACACCTGGATGTTGGATCCAAATTCTCTTTATTTCAACTTTTTCTCGGTCTGATTTTGCTGAAGGCTAAAACACAGAAGCAAAAGTTATACGTTCAATTTAAAAGCTGTGAGAAATGATGAGCGGTATTCCTCTCTGGCCTGAGCGTTAACGAAGACGAGGTTTATCAGAGGAAAAAAAAGAGGATAGATGTGTGAAAAGATGGGCTTTGCGGTTGTGGTGTTATCCAAACCCCTAAACTCTCTATCAAGTGTGCTCCTCTATCTGGACTTAATGAGCACTCTGCCTGTCAGTCTCTCTGTTCCCTTTCATCTACAGTGAGATTGTGCCCAGGGAAATGTGTATCAGTTAATAAAATGAGGTGCTGAGAGGGATTATGAGTCTTTCTAAATAATTCAGGGATTTAACACGACGTGTCATTGAGGCACAGTGAAACACTCAGCCCACAGTTTTTGCCAAGTTCAAGTTAAAATGAAGTATTAAGCTTCTTGGAATGAAAAACGTGGGCGTGAACGTGAACAGTGATTTTTCTTACTGTGGTAAAATTTGATAGAGGAGGTTTTCAGCTTTCCTCTTCTCCTCCAGGTAGGCTTGTGTCCGCTCCTCCACAAGGTTCTCCAGGTTGTTGGCGTACTGCTCCATTCGGGACAGCAGGTTGTTGAGGATGCTGGTGCTGCCCTCCCTATGGAAAAACAAATTTTATATATCTTTTTAACAAGTTCAAAATGCTTACTGGTTCATCCATCTCTTACAAGTACATTGCATAGAAAGGGAAGTGTTTGGGGATATCTAGCGATCAGAATGTAGATGGAATTGCTCCCATGCTCACCCCTTCTGTCAGTGAAGTGATGGTTAACTCTGAGGACAAGAAGCTCCTTTCATGCATGTCAAATTTGATGCTACATATGTCAGGTTTAAACGTTAGATGTGCATACAGGTGCAGACACAGCCTCTTGTGTGTCTTCTTGTGCTGCAAAGCATTGACTGACTTCACAGACCACTGCTGACTGCAATATATGGATCTATTTCTGCACTTAAAGGGGGGCATAAGTGAGCTCTGTCAATACAAGTTATTCTGTGAGTAACAAATATCACCCCTCAGAAATTTTTTTTCTACTGTGTGTCGCTAAATACTGCATACTGCACTTTTAAATCCTTTTAAAAACAGTCAGATTCAAGCATTTGCTTGTTATGGATTCTTAAATGTGAGGATTTGCAGCTTGTTTTCATCCGACATGATATGAAACTGAGTCCAGAGGTTTTGTTAATGATGAGGGATGAAAAAATGAATATTTGATACTAGTATTAAAGAAATATTAGACCTTTTATACATCAAGTTTTGCTCTGGTTCTGTAACTTTATCTAAGCTTGAGTAATCCTGCTTATCTTTAACCTCAAAGTTTGCTATTTGTTCTTCCTGTGCTGTCGAGAGCATCCAAACTGTGACCATCCCTGAACTGAACCACATGAACCCGCAGAGAGTTGTTTGTTTGACCAAACCTAAAAAAGGTCATGCTTTAACCTGCACAGAGGATATTTATACCAGACACTGCCAGAATAAGACTCAGGGAATCATTAAGGATTCCAACCAGCCGGGTAATGACTTTTCTGCCTAGAGCGGTCAGAAAGAAGATACTGGATACAGCAGGTCCCCGGAGGCTGAGGGAGAGATGCTGCCTTCACCGAGGAAGGAACAGGAATTAGGTCACTATCCTAAATGGACCCACAAATCCTACAGTTATAATTTTATTATGTAAATTGAAAAGCTTTAATCGTTTGAAAGTTTCAGGAACATTTTACAAGAGCCCCAAAGAACAAAACAACCAAATAACTCGTCAATCTATGTGACAGGTAAAAAGATATACTTAAGTTGTTATTCCAAAAATAATGTTATATTCTTTTTGTTATAAACGCAAAGATTGAGTGGACTAAAACTACGTATAACTGGGTCGGTCAAATAATAATCAGCTAATACTGGAAGCTATAGCTCAGGCATTTTGGTGGGTTATACTTAACAGCAGCTCATGTAGGCTAAAGCTGATGAAGGGATGAAGATCTCCTGGACTCACTTCTCACCAATTCAATAACTCCTGGTCACTTCATTCATATTATGTGATCTATAGCTTAAAACAAATGTTGACTCGATTAGTATCACTGGAGGTTATTCGTGGAATCAAGCCGTAGTTGTATGGTTGCATTAATTGATTACCTTAACAGATGCAAGTTAGCTTAAAGTAAAGGTCTACCTACTGCTTTTGACATGATTTCTGATTTCTAAGACTCATGAAACAATAATGTTTTGGAGCAAAGAGGTTGCTAAAGACTTTTTATGATAGAGATAGCTAATTACTCATATTACTATCTTACTTGGTATCAGTTGCAGACTGAACAATGATGCCTTTCTTCGGAGCAACGCTCAGTTGTTTTCAGTTCATATTTAATCTCTTTTAATCATTTAGACAGTGAAACTCAGAAGCTTCCAATGCTATCAAGATGAAGATAAGCGTTTTGATGCACCAGTGACATTCAAAGCTTTGGACAGCACCGGTGACGTGGCTCTCCGTGTTTGAGACAAGCTTCAACACTTTGTATTGAAACATTGTGGTTTACTCCAGTAGAACAAGATTTGGGGCTTTGGTGTCATCCATCTGTCTTTACTTTACATCAATCATCAGACATCAAGCAGTTTCTCTGGAGCAGCAAAACATTGGTAACACTTTACAAAAACCATAATTTATAAATGTAAGTAGTTTATTAATGTTTAATCATCATTTAAAAACAGCATATAGACCAATTATAAATGGCAAATAGATACTTTGTTAATGGAAGTTAATAGTTACTTTACCATTAACAAGCAATGAAATGATGAATAATTTGGTTATTCATCATGGTTAATATTTGGTTTTTAAACCATCTATAAACATTACGTAGATGGTTATTGTAAAGTTAGAGTTAGGGTTAGGTTTTAAAATTGTGAAATTTAAAATGTATTAATGGTCTATATGCTATTTATAAATGATGATTAAATATTAATAAACTATCTGCTTACCATTTATAAATGGTCTATGGAGTTATGGTTATTGTAAAATGTTACCGAAACATTTTCTATGAACTTTTTTACGTGTGAAACTTTTGTTACAGCCCTTTGATTTGTAAAACTGGTGTCATTCCTCTTTACATTATTGGTCACCTGCACATAAATGTCTTCTTTATGAACCAGTTCATCCAATTATTTTAACTACCAGAAAAAGGTTCATATTTTTCATCACTTTAAATACATTTGGATTGAAAATGCAAATAAAGACAAACTGTGGATGTCAAAAAAAGAACAAGTCCAAGGACTGACCCTTGTGGAACCCCTCATCTCAGCGTGTTTCTCTATACTCTAAATGATTACTGCAGTGGACTGAAAAGGTTAAATAAATGCAGCTTAAAGGAGGTAAAAATCAAATCATTCAAAAGCCTCACAGAGTCTTTGATTTGCTGCTTCTCCTTGAACGCAGCCACCCGGGATCAATAGCAGCCACATCCAAGAAAGCAGAGGTATACCAGGAAAAGACATGACGAATATTTCTGATCCATTTTTCCAAGAATAAGGCAGGATGGTTATGCTTAATTTTTGCATGTATGCAGAATCTATCTTATAAACACTCAGCAGCTGTCACAGTCCAACATGAAGGAGAAACAGACACTCGAAACATCATCTCAAAGGTCTCTATTTATGTCTCAGCCGCTGTGATCCTCACATTTCACTTATATTCTTAAAATTATATAATACATCTATTGCATAATGTGTGTGTCTCAGGAGATCTTCGCTTTCACACACACACACACATTCGTACACACATTTACTCCGACAGAGCGAGAAGGTGAGTCATCCACACCACCGTGGCGTCTAAAAGCATCAATGCCTGGCATCCTGCCATGTTCCTTGTGGGTCACAGATCCTACACACGCCCACATGTTGTTTAAGTTTAAAGAGCTAAACATCAGAGGGAGACATGAAACACAGTGATGAGTATTAGCACGCTGAAGGCAATCACACAAGCCGTGCACTGTTTACCGCACCATGCATCACAGCAATATAATCACACCACTCATCCACACTGTTAGCACCAGTCTGTATGATTAGATGTTTAAGTTATGGTAATAAACATCTATTTTTTATAGCATGCTTTAAAAACAGCAGCTTACAAAGTTCCCCGACAAACGAGCAAATGACAAAACACAGCAGGCAACACGAGAACCCAAAACACACAAGGCCAGACACGGCAAGAAAAAAGGAAGGTCCAGTCAATATGAGGTTAAACTACGAGGGTAGAAGTTATGTACGCATAAAAAAAAACACAACAGAGAGAAAACAGAAAATGGTACAAGTAATGTATAAAAGTGAATGTGGAAAAACTGAACAGGGGGTACAAAAAATACAAAAAGCAGTCATGTTATAGCAAATAAACAACAAAGATAAAATATATATAGGAATAGAGAGGAATAAAAATGAGAGACAGCTGCATAAGAAAGAAGTTAAGGAAATAAATGCAAAGAAGAAGATTAAAGCTCATATAAGAGATTTTTTTGAGCTACAACATGAACGTGAAAAGTAGTTTAAAAGTGCTTTGAGTAGTTCATAAGACAAGCAAAGCACCATATGAATTAGATTAGATTAGATTAGATTAGATATTCTCTTATTCATTCCTCAGTGAGGACATTAAAATTGTCGACAGCAGCAGTACACACAACATACTTATTCACACATACTGGGTACAAAAACAAATAAAGATAAAAGAACTAGTGTAAAATAGAAAGAGCAGTTCAAGAGAAACACAGTTTAAAAGACAAGTATAAAAAAGAGAAAAAGATTGAAAAATATAAACCACATCACTTTTCCTATTATGTCCATTGAAAAATCACCCTAAAGGGGTGCATTGTGACATTTTACAACACGGTTAAAATAGTGTTCAGAGAGCACAAATAGGCGTCAGATGGGAACTTTTTTTACAATTGTTTACATACAGGAATAGCATCCAGAGGTCACTTAGTTTACAGTTTGTATATTGGAAGAGCACCCAGAGGTCACTTAAGCATTGGAGGACCATCCAGAAGGCACCTGTTGACACTACTAACACCCTGCTGTTGGCCACCCCTCCAAGTACACCACAAAACCAGGCAATAACTGAACTTAAATAACAATGCATGAATTTTACCCTCTTCTTTTAAGTTCTTGGCAAGACAGTTTGTCACAGATACTATAAAATTTCTTACTGAACTAAATGCGCCAAAGGTCTTGTGTGCATTATGCAACGATGGGCAGATGTAGACAATACATCCAGTTAGGAAATATAAGAGTGATCCAGCCAACCGTCAAAGAGTTTCACCTGGAAATGACTTTGCAGAGCTTCATGGATTATGATCAATTTTGAATAACCAAAACTCATGAGTGTGAGTCAGTGGAAAAAGCCTGACAGGACAGTTTAAGGACACATGGCCGTCATTAAGAGGATTGTCTATCGCTGTGTGTTTGAATGCTGAATCCAGACGCTGATTAAAAATTAAAAACACTCCCTGCTATTTAAAAGACAAATGCTGAGGGCTGTACAGTCTTGCTTTCTTGTTTATAAAACATCCCAGCATATGTTTGCAGAGTTTTTTTCAGATCTTTGGACTGATGCCCTTGAGAGAAAAATCAGTGCAGAAGGAATCAAAAAAATACATAAAAAGTCAGAGATGACTAACACCGAGGGATTCACGTGCCGTATTGGAAGTGTCAGCCCTCTATACGTGTCTTAAACTGACCTGTTTACAGCTGAACACCCCTCTTGTTACAGCGCCCTTCAGGCTTAGCCTTACACACACACACACCAAAAATAACAGCCCATCAATCACAGCATGTCAACAACATACATTTACTTAATGAAAATAACCGACAAACAGTACATTAACGTGCAGGCCTCTTTGGGGAAGGGCTTAAGAAACACGAGGAGGGGTTTTGCATTCGGCTGCTGAGAGCATCCTTGAGTGCTCCTGGAGATGTCAATCATGTAGAGCTCTCTAGTTCGAGCTTCTACAAATGGAAAGCCATACATCACTGGGCTTATCCTGACTTACAGAGTGAACAGAGGAGAGGTCAGGCCGAGAGGATGCGCACACTCAAACCACGTGATTTTTTATTCCTACTCCACAAAATCAACAAATTTAAAGTTTTATGTAGCTGTCTTACAAATCCTATCTTAGAAGTATCATATCCAAGACTCGGTGGGAACTTAACAAAAGAAGATATTTACAGATATTCTTGTTATATCTCTGTAGGATTATTGTTTTTTTTCTCAGGGTTCAAGGCCGAGCAGTCACCTCACACCAGAGAGGCACAAAGAAAAGCAGCAGCAGTCTAATGGATCTGGTTTCATAACACTGTGGCTCGTGAACGAGCAGGTGTGTGACGCTGACAAAGATGGTAAATGCTCACCCAGAAAAACACAAGGGCGATGAAATCTTCAGAGAGATGGGCACCATGTTTCACACTCACTTTGAATTAAAGAAAGTATACATATAGCTTTAAAGCATTTTGTCTCCTTCACTTTTATTACCTCCATATTACACTGTATTACACAACCATGATGTGTTATTATAACATGGCTAAAGCAGAAATATATAGGCAACCAAAAGACACCAGGGTAGATGTATGTTTCCCAATAAAAGCATTCAATCCTAGGACTGTACCTTATCATAATAAACAACAAAAGCAAGGTTCAACAATTTGTATATATGCACATCAAGAAAAAATATATGCAGATAAAGACGACGAGATATGAACTAAGAGGGAAAAACAACAGAATTGACTCTGTTCTGTGTGAAGTGTAACATCTAATCGGGCTGATTTTAAAGGGACAGTGTGCTCCCCCTCTCCCATGAGTGAAATCCTATAAGTGATGGTGGCCTTCAAGGACAGCAACCCCTCTGATATAGGGGTCAAAAAATTCTATCAAAAACATCGATCAAAACAAGTTCTTTTGCAAAAACACGTCTATTACTAGCATGTCTGTGCTACCATACAAAAACATGGAGAGAGATATCAGCCTCTTTAGAAGAGTCCCTCTTCTTTACAGGGGGGCCTCCTTCTTTTTTTAACTTCATCATTCCTCCCTATTTTTTTTTTACAACCAAACACAAATGTTAAACAATGTTTTATTCTGCAGTCTAAGAGTCCGCTCATCTAAATCACCAAATATACATCAGACATGGGAATCCTTCACGACCCAGTGAGAGTAGAATACAGTCTCTGAACAAGAACACAGTTTCGACCACACAGTTTTCTTTGGTGCATGAATTTAGGAATCATCCTCCAAGATACTTGATAAAGGAAAAGTACAGCAAAAAAATAAAGCAGCTGTAATCAAGGATGACTCATTGAGCAGTTTTTTCCTAGAGACTGGAAAATAATTGAATCATCCAGTTTATTATGAAGTCAAAATGATGCTCATCTTCAATAACAATTGAGTTCCAGCTATTTTGGATGAAATCAACCATGCATTATCTCTTTGTTGACAATCATACATGACCAATAACGCGTGTACTTAGTAGCTGAAGGGTTATGTCAAGGCTGCAACAATGATGAATCCCACCTGATCAATATAATCTCATGTCAGAGCTAATCTGGCCAAGGAGGAGTCATATGGAGAGCACACAGCTTGTGTAACCTTCTGCAACTTCTGATTGCCTGTGAAAAATGTTGATGGTGAGGACAACATCATGCAGGGTGAAGGAGGAGTCGGTGATTATGTCCTTTTCAATAACACACATCCGCTGAGTCCTTCCCACTGCAAACATCCTGCTTACAGTGATTGCCTCCCTCTATTAGAGTGAATGAAGAAACGTCTGCGTGATTACTCTAGCTGTTGATTGCATGAGCGTCCCGTTCAGCAGCCAGACGAGGAACACCTCCCCACCATCACTCAATATCACAGAGTGAATTAAATAATGCACACATAACAAGCACAGCCTGATTGAGCGTGACACATCTGCCCAGATCAAAATCAGCACTGAGCTGGGATCTGTTATTTTACCAGAGGCACCACACAAGTATAACTGCGTCTTAAGATAAGCCAGACACCACAAAACACGACCGTGTCAGAGGCAGAAAGCGCCAAGTTGCCATTCAGTGTAATGAACCGTGAGCCGTGTTTTGATCTGCTTGTCAAAACTCACCGGACAGGCTGACTGCACCTGGCAGGCAAAACACAACACTGGCTGCTAGAAACAGCATTCACTAATGCACCGTGCTTTAAATCCTTAACCCTCTAACACTTAAATTAAAGGTCAACATGTCTGAACGAACCCCTGAGATCTTTAAGAAACACTCTCAGAGGTATAAATTTTGTTCTTTTTGGCAATATGCTGCAACTAAAGCCATGGTTATGAAACCCTCTCTTGTAGAAAAGCATCCTCACTGATGGAAATGTTGCTCAGGGTGTGAAAGTTTGCTTTTTTTTTTTTTGCATTTGAACTTGCTTGTCTTCCATCATTGTGCATCTTCTTTTTTGTTTGTTTTTTTCCTTTTTTTTTAGCTGACAAGAGAAAATCATTTGAAGCTTCTATCTCCTCTTCCTGCAGGACAAACTGCTGCTCGGTGACTGACCCTGTTAAATGACAGACCGCGGTGGATCACCACTGTGTGAGAATATTTTGAAAAGTGTAGAGAAACACATTCAGCTGAAAATGATCATAATTTAAACGTTAATGGAATTGCAAAAGTCCCAAAACATCAGGTATGCAACTCTTCATTAGGGGGGAGGACAAGGGAAATACAAAGATGCATTTCCACTTCAGGCTTCCTTACATGTGAATAGATGTCATTTTAAAGCTCCTATAAGTTTTTTTTTGTTTTTTTTTGTGCTGGTTATAGAACAGACTATAATTAACTTTAGGATACAGAAAAGCACACCAGATCAATCACAAATAGTTTAACGATTTTTGTACCGATCTTCTTTTAACTCTGAAAACAGTGCCAGGGGGGTAGGTGTCAGCGAATCAGCTGAGAAAGCATTCCTTTTTTAAGAGTTTTCACATAGAATATTCATAATGAATGATTCAACCGTCAAATATTATGAAAATTAGAGACTTATTTTACTTCATAGTAAGCAGGCAGAGGATGAGATCAGCTAATGGGGCACCCACACCAAGCGTGAGTAAAATCATCTACTTGCTTAATTCGCGCGAATCTAGACGCGTGAATGAATAGTATTTACTCGCTTCATTCGCGTGTCAACGGTAATTTCAACAGTAGTCCCTGCCAATTCCACCGGTGGGATCAAGAGATAGAAAAGGGTTTTTTTCAATTTACCAGGAAATCCGACATATTCAGCTTCCACCCAATTTGTCTCATTCGGGCCGCCAGAGTAGCAGGAGTGTCTTATTGCATCTTCACATTGACTTAACATGCAATTCATTCGCGCAAATGATTTTACTCGCGCTTGGTGTGTGGAGACAGTTTCATGGTGTCGTCTGCAGGAGGCGCCAAAATAGACTCAAATCAAAAGTTTGAGGTATTTGAGTTAAACCTAATAGGCCAGTGCAGAGATTTGTTACATTGAAATAGAAAAAATACTTGATTACTTAAAGAGAACTTTCTTTGGGAATAGAGGATTTTATATTTGAAACTGAAGTTCACATTAAATAATAAAAATGTTGTCATTTACGTTAACAACCATGAATTGTGTATTTCTGTGTGTGTCTGTGTGTGCCTGTGTGTGTCTGTGTGTGTCAGATCGAATCAGCACAGATGGTTTATACAGTAACTCTTTCTGACAGAGCTGCCAGAGCTGGGAAAACTTGTGTGTTTCTCTTCCTGCCTGGACATAAAACTAAGACTTGAAATATGCATATGAATGATTCATGGGATCACTGAAAACAACACCAGAAACATGGACTCACACACCCCCCTGTCTTACACACACACACTGACATAGAGAGAGAGAGTCAGGGATGAGGAGGCAGCACAGAGCACTTCCTGTCCTGTCAGGAATTACAAACAGCCTTTTATCTTAAATTGTCCACTTGATTTCCAAAACATGATTCTTTGAGCTGTTTGTTTTCCTGAATCTCTTACAGGAATAAACATGCGACACTCACAGAGGGAGGACAGCTTCTCTACAAGATGTTCTCATTTTGAGCTTTGGAGGTTTGAGACTCAAAGTGTGGCAAAGACAAGACTGTTGATTTCAATTTGTGAAATTAGCTCTGAGTGACAGTCATGAGAGTGGAAATGAATAGAAAATACTTCAATAGTGTTTTGATTCCTGCAAAGACTACAAAGAACTATTTTTAGGCATGCACAAATAGTGTCAATCTGCCAATAATAATAATTTTTTATTGTCTTTTTATATTTCAATAGTAGACTTTTATCTGATTAATATGATAAAAGGTGCTTTCATATTCTTATATTCTCATCGATACGTCTACACATTCTGACATAGAGGCAGTGGTATGCATTCGCCGTTAGTGAAGAGACTATGAAGCAAAGCAGCAACAGCTGACGAGTAAAAATGGCATCATCTTTGCTGATATTTCACAAGTTCAAAGGTGAATAACAGGGCTGCAATTTGCAAAAGATGTGCCAAATATATAGCAGCAGAAAGTCCTTTTGTGTTTAATTCATCAATCCGTATCTTCGAGGTGTTTTTTTGGTAACCTTCCCAGCCGTCAGACAGACAGAGTCTGAAAAAAGAAATCTGAAATTTGGAACTCACTTGTTGAGTTTGGCCACGTAGATCTTGATGTGACCGAAGTCTGGCCTCTCTGTGGGGTCCTCAGCCCAGCAGCCCTCCATCAGGATGGTCAGCTCCTCTGAATGACATCTGTTGTCTGTGGTTGGCCGAAAGTACGGCTTCTGACCGTTCCTCACCTTCTGGACGATTTCTGCAGCAAAGAGGACAGAAGAATGGATGAGTGTGGTGCGTAAATACTCATCAAATAAAGTTTTCTCAAATAGGATTACAGTCATAAACATCATTCTTTTGTGCAGCCAGTGGATCGGTCATTTCATCAGTCTTTGGCTACACTCAAAGCTTAGAAAAATCACTGCAACTCCATGTTTTAAGAGTTATATTTGGAGGGCTTCCTACCCTTTCACATGCATATAGGGGAGGGAGAGCAGCAGCAAAGACCCCAAAAGTCAATAATTATGCCACTGGTAAAATCAGACAGAAAAAGGAGGGCCTGTAGCTGAGGTGGCATTCACAATCACTTGTCAGCTGAGTCTGATTTTTAGCCTGCCTGAACTTACTCCTTGCTAGATCCTGATTGTTTATCTGTCTTGTTTGGTCCATCAATCCCTCATTTCAGAATTGTGTGAAACATTTTTTCGGTAACCCTTTCTTTTATGGTACACTTATTACCAGGTAATTAACAGGTAATTACCTAGTAATAACATGAAATTATCTGGTAATTACATGATAACTACTAAGTTAATACTGTCTAGCTACCAGGTAGGTAACCTTCCATTATCATACAAATTTGAAGCCGAATTGCTCTGGTATTTCCAGGATTTTCTCCACTTCCTGGAACCACCACTTGCGCAGTAGCATTGTACGCATTCGGCGGGTGAGTCGCTGTGATAACGCTCGGCTCAAACAGCGTATCACTACGCAAACTTTGCACGCCGATAGGCTGTATCTAGTGTCAATCGTAGAAAATAAGAACCCCAAATAGCTTTTGAAAATGGAGCTGCATGGAAAAAAGAAAAACTAGACCGTATTGACTAAGTAGTTATCATGTAATTACCAGATAATTTCATGTTGTTACTAGGTAATTACCTGTTAATTACCTGGTAATAAGTGTATTGTAAAAGAAAGCGTTACCTTTTTTTCTAAATGATTCCTCCACATACTCTCTGTTATCATAATCGTCGTTAAAAGACCAATTGAAGTAATTAAAAGATTGTGCTGTGAAACACTGATTAATCTCTATTTTTAACACAGTCAGACACTGGGGAACAGGTGGCAGCTGTCGCAGCTCTCAGACTGTTAATGGATAAATATCAGGCACTTGTACCATCAGCGTGGAGCGTGAAAGTAAATAAAAGGCTAATGAAAGTAATCACATGGAGGACGCACACAGGAGGCTTCACACATCCACTTTATGTCTTCGAGTTGAACTCTTGATCTGGAAACGGCTTCAGAAGTTTTTCCTCCTGCCACTGAGCAGCAGCAGTATTGGGGGTGAACGTCAACGACAGTGAAGAAACTGGTCAAACCGCAACATGTGTGCAGGAAGCTGAGGAGCTAAATTGTCAGCAGTGATTAGACTCAGAGAAGTGTTTGTTAACTGAGGAAGAACAGCAGTGTGCGAGTTCTCCAGTGAGAGGAAAAGCTGCCGCCAAGTAAAAGATCCAGATTTTCACAACAGCTGTGTCATACTGGCTCGAACACAGTCTGTTTTCACAGATTCTACATATGTGATTGGAGAAAAAAAACCTCTAAACATGTGGTCTAGGATCTGGATTTTCAGTAGCAACAGTCTTTGGCTTGTATGGAACAAACAGTTTGTATAAACTAAGCAGCAAACACCTGGCTTTAGAAATTAACCTGACGCAGAAGTGCAAAAAACTGCAATTCTTCAACTGTCCATTTGGGGCAGGCTCTAGAAGGCTTATAAGCCACATACACACCCATTCAAAAAAGCTTCTCTTCAGAGCTAAAGTAAACACGTTTGCAGATATACAATATATATCTCATTTTTGTATGAATAGCACATATTTCTCCCCGAACACGAGTCCTATTTGTGAAACGTTAGTAAATTTATATGTAGTTTTACACATTGAAGTTCTCAGTACTTGAATCTCACACCAGATTCATGAACCAGACTGAAGATTCTGGTGTAATCGCAAGCATGTGTGTAAGTTCATGAATGCCAATTAATCATAATGTGACAGCGTGATCCTGCTATCCAGCAATCAGCATGAATCTCCACCCATGAATAGCAAATAAAAATCATTTATAGTGTGCATGTGTGTTTCCAGTGGACCGACGTTCACAGAACAGAGAAAATAAGAGAGAAAAAAGCAGAATAAAATGTACTCTTAGGTGCAAATGTGAATTAAAATAGTGATTTCTGACCATAACAGGCAATATTTTAGATTGTTTTTCACTTACACAGGTTAAAGCCAGGTGTAGATTTAGTTTATAGCTACAAACAGTGCTACTAAAATGTTGATGAATGCTGGATCACCTGTAAATTTCTAAAGGCCTGCCTCAACCCCAGCTCATGGAGACTATGTCCATGTTTTATATGGTCTCAACTCCCTTCAGGTGCACAAACGTGAAAAACACAGAAAACCTGGAAAATTCAGCTCACTGAATGTCCTTTTACTTATCCAATCAGAGATTTACAACCTACAGTAATGAATGTATTTCAGCCACAGGCCTCCTTTGGCGTTCAGACGTTGAAGAAAAGGAGTCTTGGCTGAAGGTTAGTTTATTGTTGATTGCTAGAGATACTAAGAATCTGGCCATCATTTTCAGAGACATTTATCAATGTCAGGCGATAGCTGACAGGTTTTGTGATGGCTTGCTTGCATAAAAACCTCCCTGAAATGAGTCATGTGGAAGAACAAAATCACTGCTCAACATGTGTTTCTGAAAAATAAATTTTACTCCAGAGTTCTCGCTAAAGTCCTGTGAGGCTACAACAGTCTGAGTCACACCAAATCAAGTGGATATCTCTCAAGGTTACTATCTCTTCAGTACCAAATATCCTTGTGTAACCTATGACTGTTTTCACTGCAGAGGAGGGATCCTGACAAAAAGAGGAAATTTTGGACTAAATACCGTGAAACTGTAGAAGCTAGCGGTGTTGAATTGTCTGACTCAGACTTCTGAGGCTTGAGTTGACCTTTGAAATTAATTGAAATAATCCACAGAAAGACGACTGCGGACTTAATTCCCCATCACTTACAGTGAAATGGCTTTAGAGAGAAGATCCCTTCAAAGCCAAGGAAAGCAGAATAATTAAAGAGACTAATCAGCATAAGGTCATGTAATTATTATTTTAATTTGAAAAATCTGAATCTATCCTTCAGTGGATTGTGCAGCAAATGCTAATTTGCCTTCTCAATCGACCTTTTACACAAACTTAATGAATTATACTCATGATTTACATATGTGTCAATGCAGAAAACTGTGGTTTTCTTAAGAAGTCAGTGTGCTCTTGATCTAGAGGTCCTTACACACCAGCGAATTTGTGGAGCGAAGCGAAAAAGCGAGATGAAAATGCGAAAATATTCGCCGGTCCGAAAAATCGCTTTTGCCTATACACACTGGGCACAAAGCGAATATGCGTACAAATTTTGCAAAGCGAATTACCAGCCTCTCTCCCATCATTGCTCTTGGTGCCAGTGGTGTGTGTCGTGTGAACTGCAGCCGCATGGGTCTGTAACGTCATCAACAACATGACTTTTGATTGGCCAGAGGTCTAGCAGGTCCAGATATTCGCCTGCAAATCTCCGAAAAATTCGACACAAGAGCGAAAAAATAAAAGACGCTTTTCGCCCCGCGGAAAAATCGCAGCCGGTGTAGAAGCTTGCATTGACTTTATGCTGTTTTAAAAATAAAAAGGGAAAAAATAAAGGGGAATAATTTGCCTGGCGAATTTGCGCCTGGTGTGTAAGGACCTTAAGACTGCAGCATCCTTCATTGTGTCAGGGTTTGGTAGAGTATCACCTTGTGTTTTGCAGGTTTAAGTGTTTGTCACTTTTTGAGCAGTTTTGGAATCCCCCAGATTAATTCCCAAACCAAGATGTTGCAAAACTGTGTTATTGTATACCATTCAGTAACACAAGAGGTCAAAGTGCAGTCTACCAGAAGAGCTTGGTTTTCTCGTCGACAAACTCAGTTTAACTCTTGTCAAAACTGTCCAGAAACTCCAGGGAAAAAACATCCTAACAGAAGATTTCTTTTTTGTGACACCAGAGACAGCCGTTATACTTCTCTCTTCAAGGCCACCAGACTCCACTGACGAAAACAGTAATTATACTTTGCCAAATGCAGGGGTTGCTGGTCACTCACAGCCTGAAGTTTCTTTTTTGTTTTTGTGTGTTAGAGAAAGTCTGAGTTGGACCCCAACTTACCATCAAAACACTGAAGTCACAAAAACAAAAAACTGGCAAAAGCGAGCAGCTGCTCCAGCTTCTGCGGAGTAAAAATCAGTCTGTTGGTAAATGGAGTCTGGCGGCTTTGAAAAAGATACGCTACAGATGTTTCTGATTGAACAAAAGGAAAGGACCATTTCCTCGATATCTTTGGTCACTTTCAATCCCATTCTGAGCCAGTTTAGTGGTCAACAATTGAAGTCATCCACTGGTGCTCTTATAATCTGTATTGTGTTTCCAACATAAAAAAAATATATCATCTGAAGTCTTACACCAGAATTTCAGCAGGCTTCAGCTGTAATAAGACAATGAGAACAGAAAAATCAATCTGCAGTCCACCATTATGCCACTCCATGAAGGCATCCAGCCCTTTTCAATGCAAGTGCACAACAATGCCATTATGAACCTTTGTACTTTGTCTTTGACCGACAAACTACACAATACCGATATCCCAGTGAGAGATTTCACATTACAGTATTGTGCAAACATAAGAGCTAGGCACACAGTTGAAGTCCTGTATATACAGAGATTCAAGCTTGCACACATACATGCTGCTATTCTGCCCTCTGTTTTGCAGGCTCACAGTCACTTCATTTTAAAATTGATTTACTGTGCAAGCACAAATAAGAATAGACTTAAAAAATGCATGTAGACGCATTAGTTAAACTGCTGTTACACATCTGGATAAGTAAGTGACTATTGTTGTTTTCATACATATATGCACCTTAGACAAATCCAAAATGGCCAAAGTGTTCTGAACATGCTGCACAGTCTGCATGCCAGGCTTTGACCTGAAAGTCAAATGGCATAAATAAAAAGTAAACAAAACGTCAACAGAGGAAGGAGTAGGGACACTAAAAAGAAGAAGCTATCGTATCGAACATACAGAGGTACAAGGCTGCAAAATTGTCCATGTTCTCAAGGTGCAGCTTATAGCCCATTAGCCTCTTGTATACTTGTATACATTAGGACAAAGACAGATGTGTAGTTAAATTGCCTAGTCAAGCTATCATCATAGCTCAACTTTACTGTACATGTCAACGCACTGACTGATCTGGTCTCTAAGGCCTCTGTTACAACCTCTAATGCCAGCATATCAGTTGGACTACTTGGTCCACCATGATGCCTCATGTTGAAGGTGAAATGTTACAGGAAAGTAAATAACACACCATAAACCAATATGAAATCTGACAGAGGCAAATATCTATCTGAACTACATCTACATTCTCTATTCAAAGGCTGCTTGCTATACTGTTAATGAAAGAAATGTGGAGAAATGGAAGTCTTGGCTGGATGACTTCAACTGAAAATAGTTGGCCATAAAGAAAGCCTTAAAAACTGGCTATACTCCTAGAATCCATGATTGATAAAAATCCTGGAGCTGGTCTTTAAAGGCTATATTATGCCTTCTGATGTCCTGGACCAGAATCTTTCTTAATGTACACTCTGAGGGGGGTTCACCAAGAATGGATTGCAGCTGATAAAACCAAAGGTCAGGCAACATTTGCCTCATTATCTGCTCTGTCTCAAAGTGTAACTCACAAAGCATACTGCACTAGCGGTGCATGAAACACCCATATTTGTGCTGTTTCCTCCAGTTCTGCATCAACTGTCAGCATCTCTTCAGTCTTAGTGCATGAGCTGCACTGGGCACTCTCATCCAGACAAAGCTGGAGTCTACTCTCAGTTGTCGAGAAGTCTATTCATGGCAGAGCTGAAAAACAATTTTAGTTTATGTTCCTGTGTTTCGCTAGTAAAAAGCAGCAAGGCGTTTTGTGTTTTGTTAAATTCTGGAGGTAACCGTCATGGTGAGGATCGGGAGAAGGGAGGTTGTATGTTCCTGACACCTTTGTAGCCAAATTCATGACAAGATAGGAAACTACTACCATGTTGCAAAACCATGCTTAAGATATTTTTGAAAATGTATGCAGCATTTTTAAACCAAAATACAATAACTACAAAGCTGCCTCCAAAAAAACAACATATACTTGCTGACAAAATGTGTTTTATATACCCTTTTACTCTTATTTCAAAGTGTCCCCTTTGGGGTTTTGCTTTGGTTGTTTTCAGAAGCAGCTCTGTTGTCTCGCCTCAGCTTTGCGACGTGCTGCTTCGTCTGACTCCACCTGCCTCCGACATCTGGACAACATGTGTTCTCTGTTTGTGATCATAGCCCCAGGGACACACAAGAAAAAGGTCAGAGTTGTCTGACCTTACAAAAGGTCCACTTCTGAACGCAGAGGAAAAGCCTCTGAATGAAGTCGCTGTTATGTGAACTTCCGTTTCTTCCAGAGGGAGCCTTGAGGGATGTTTTGGTTTTGTTTCTTATAATAGAGTCTGAAAAGAAGCTTGATAATGTTGAAGAGGAATGGTTTTGTTTGGGAGTTTAAAACAATTTGTACTGGTTTATCCATTTGATTGGCTTTCCCTGGTGCTCCTTTCTTGCGGTATTTCATTGCATGCTTACTTTCATCGGCTTGCAGTGGTCAGCTGACCTCTCAGATGCCTATAAAAGACTGTTGTGTTTACCTTTGGGGCTGAGGTCCATGCCTTCCACGTAGAAAGGTCCATTCCTCAGGGCTATTTCCTGCAGTATGATACCGAAACTGTACACATCGCCTTTCTGAGTCCCTTGAGGAGGATGCCGGTCATATATGAGCAGCTCAGGAGCCGTCCAAAGTTTCTCTGAAGAGCCAAACAGAGCCAGAGACTCTCAGATAATGTCAGAAACACAACAGTAGCAGATGTTTTTTTGTGAATGAAAAGATTCAGACTTACTTGCATACAGTGCATGCGAGTCGTCATTTTCGCAGGACGTACGGAAGCTGGCCAAACCATAATCCGTGATTTTCAAAACAAATCGGCTGTCCACCACGCAATTAGATGACTTCAGATTTCCATGGCAGCCGATGTAGCTGTTGTGGAGATAGTTCATTCCCTGGTGGAGAGGAGCGTTAAATTAAGCGTTAAGGTCAGTTTTTTTTTCCCCTAATGAACAAATCATACATGAAAACACACAAATCCAGACATATGGAAATAATCCGCTTTGACAAGTTGATGTATGCTGAAGGTTTGAAAAGACACTGTGTTTCAAGGACGGCACAGTCGTGGGGAATGTCTGGGAAATGACTGTTAAATCCTTTGGTGAGGGGGCTGAATGTACTTATGTTCAATATTTGGTGGAAATGGTGAGTCAAACGTCCCTCAAAGCTTCACCAGCTCCTCTTCTCTGCAGAGTGCTGCTATCTGTGTGGAGAGATTTTGGCCAGAGTGCCTCAACATGCATGTAGCTCGACATCCTATCCATCCAAGAGGCCGCTCTCTTCACAAAACGTCTCTTTGTGAGGACAGATTTAAAATAATCTCCTAAACTGAGTCCAAGATTAGTTTTGATTGAGCTGGAAGGAAACTTTAGCAAAGTTTATGATTTTGTTTCTGTTCTAGTTTAGACCATAAAACACCAATATTTACTGGAGTTTCATCCACTGCTCTGAGCCAAAAATACATTTTTGTGCTTGTTACTCTGTTTTATTCTCTTTCCCTGCCTCACTCACTTTTTACAAACTCTTATGAAACCATGGCAACCCTGATATTTTTTCTGTCGAGCTGTAAGGCAACAAATGCAACAAATTTAACTCTAAGCAGTGACCTGATCTGACAGCACTTGTCTGAAAAGATCTCATAAGTCAATACGTCTGAACTGCTTTTTATGTTTGTGCTTTGTTTAGCGGCTGACCTCCACCTACCTTCACTATGTCGTTGATCAGCGAGTAGCGAAACATCCAGTCCAGATTGATGCTTTCATTCTCCAAAATATCCTGCAAAAAGGGACAGAAAACATTTGAAGACAAGAAAAAACAAACTACTTCTGCTTTATTTTTGAAACTTCAAAGGGCCAAGACAGGTGACAAGATTATTTTGGGATTAAAAAAAAAAACAACTTTCATCCAGAAACAATTCAGCCATATTAAATCTTCCATTCAGCCAGGACCAGCTTCGTCGAAAAGAAAGCAATAAGTTATCTTTGGTGAGAGCTCCCTGCCCTTCCATATGTGTAATACTAAAGGCTGAGGCAGGGAGAGCAGCAGCAAAGACCCCAGAGGTACAGAACAAAGCAGGCACTAATAAATATGACACTGGTGAAATAAAAACATGAGCTCAGGGGGAGAGAAGGTAACACAGGCAGGCTAAAGCAGTTTCAATAACACATTCATCTAACATTTGCCAATAAGGTACTTGGCTGATAGTCTTGTGTCGTATGCGAACGATTCGTTCAAAAGAACCGAATCTTTTAAGAGAACGTACTGAACCGAATCACTTCCTCAAGTAATTCGTTCATTTCACACTTCAGCTCAACTGAAGTGAGAAACAGCATTGCCAGGCCAGCAGCCGGCGAACGAGGGACCGCATGCACCGACACCTGAATCACTTGGTGAACGAATCACACATTGAACTACACGCTCTGGAATCATTTTTGTCTGACAAAACTACCTTATAGCATCCTATCATTGCAGCGGTTTGTGAGGGAACGGTGCATGTTCAGTGTGAATTCTTCTTAACGATCAGTGAACGAATCAATCACTGACCCCAACTTACCGAGCAGACCTGATAAATAGCATACCATAGGACAGTACACTAAACACATCATGACTTAAACACAAGTTCATTTTTACAAACCTGTTTGCCAAAGCAACACAGCCAAACACTCTCATCTCCCAGTCCCAGAATCTATGAATTGAACTGAATCCTGAAACATTCATAGAGTAGAGAATTTCCCAGTTTGGGATCAATAAAGTATTTCTATCTATCTATCTATCTATCTATCTGTCTATCTATCTATCTATCTATCTATCTATTCAGCTGTGTATCAGTTCAGGAGGTCAGAGTTGCAGGCTTCTCCTGCTAATTGATTGATGGTGATTTGGTGAACGAATCTTTTGAACAACTCTTTTTAGTGAACTCATTCTAGTGATTCATTACATCTAAAAGAACTGCTGTGCCCATCCGTATTGGCTGAGCAGCCGGCTGATATACTTTGGCCTGTGTTTGGCTAAACTAACGCTAAATTCAAATTTTAGCGCAGTATATGAGTTTAACATAAAAGTCTCCTCTCTACAAGTGTGATTGATGGAGCCCAAAGTCTTCCAGCTCAGCCCTTTCGAGAAGCTGCTGGCGTTTCAGGACAAAGAGTACGGGCCAAGAACAAGCTGACTTAAAACACCACACTTCTTGTAAACATTAGTTATCACAAAGATAGAGTGTGAGACAAAGACGAAAAATATGTTCAGGGAAATGGGTGCATAATGTAAGCTCTCTGTAGACTAAATAAGGAGATATATGACTTGGCCCTTCAGAGCTCAGTAGGCAGAGATCAGAACAAACACTGTCAGGAATCACAGTGTGATGACGCTGACCACGAGAGCACTGTTTACCCTTACTGCCCAGCAACAAAAATTAGATGGCTATCAGTGATTTATTAGGCTGTGCCTGAGTCACATGTATTTATATATTAATCACTCTTGAACTTTAATTGAAACAAAAGAGGGGCTGTATGAGGCCCTTGTCAGGAGTAAGTCGGTACATAGTTAAGTCAAGCCACAGTAACAGCTCTGGTTGGTGAATCAATTGGACTACAATTATTGTCCAGTTTACAAAAACCAACAAGAATCAAGATATTGCCAGTTGCAACAGGACATAAAACAGCGGAGAAATGAAGAAGCAGCTGTGAGCTAGCTGTTTCATGACAAAACATTTAAAACTGACATTTCAAGATTTAAAGTGAATCCAAGAATAAAGATAGAGCGTGTCCCTCCCTGACCTACTTATCAATTGAACATTTATATTTTATAACATTCTGATCTATGATATACCAGGGGTGTTGTACTTCAAAATAAAAGCACAGTTTTAAAATACACAAAATTAAACAAAAGAAATGCGAGCCAGGAAAAAAAATCAAAATAAAAGCAGGACAAACAATTTTTTCATGATGCAATGTCTTCTCCAGAGAAGTTTGAGTGACAGGGCTGGTGATACAGATGAATCATAAACCTAAACATCATTGGAAATAGATGATGGTATGTGAGTTGATTGTATCCGCTCGAAAGTTCATTAAAGGGATATTCCGGTGTAAAATTAATATAGGGTCAAACACACCGTAACACTGAGTTAGACACCCCCTCGAGAGATGAATGTTGCCGACCGCTTGCTTCTCTAGATATACTAACTTGATTAACAACCGCAGGATAGCAATACACAGCGGTCTGACGCCACTCTATAGCCACAAATAATGCTCAGAACAGCACCTAACTTCATCAACAGTACATATAGGGTCCCAGACACAGCACTAGCCACCAAACATCTTTTTAACTTTGCCTGATTTCTTTAGCAGAGACTTCCTATAACTGCGTCCCCCTGCTGCAGTCTGTAATGGCCTGGCCTGAGGTCTAGCTACAAACAAGCAGCTGCTGGAAGAGAGGAGGTGAGTTGTGTTTAGTCTCTTTGCTGGAATATCCCTTTAAGTATGTGTTCTTCAGGTACTTGCCAACCGCAGCTGACAGAAACCAACGTATTGTGCACTTTAGTGACTCTATTCCTGAAATGCTGAGACTCTGATTGTTTTTGAGACTTGTTTTGAACCCCTCAACTTTCTCTCTTTTCAGACAAACCAAGAAACAAAACTTTCCAAAAGAGTAATTTGAAACAGGCTTCTAACTTTGCAACCTACTTTTTACTCTGAGACATCCAAGTGAAGGGGAAAAAAATGAAAAGATGGGGGATTTGACAGAAATTTTTAAAAAGATACAAGATGATTTTCCACCATTTTTCTCTGCCAAGTAGAGAAGCAAAGTAGACGTTACCTGCAGGCTGCCTCGGGGACAGTACTCTGTGACGATGCAGATGTTTGGAGGGTCAATGCAGGCCCCAATGAACCTGGTTAGATGGTTGAACTGAACGTCTCTCATCTGAAAATAACCACACAAACACACAGCAACTGTGAGTGCAACACTTTCCAAACATCACATTCCCAAACCCTGTGGAAACAGAAGACAGGACGGGACAGGGAGGGGGGGCTGACGGTTCATTAGTATAAACAAGCTTTTTAGAATAACGCTGCCAGCAGATCATCAAAATAGTCTATTTACAGTCGGCTAGTTGGCACTGGGGGTTTTTTTCTACATGTTGAGGCGCATTCCTGCTCAGGGCACCCAGTTGAAACATGTGCATGAGCATAAATTGCCCTTGGAGGTTATGAATGAGCCTGTGTGCTGAGGATAAGGGGAAAAAAAGGTTGAGGTGTTGAGAGGATGTAGGAGCAGGAGTATTAGAGCAGAGCAGGCAGGCAGGACGTGTAAAACTGCTCTACATGGAAAATAAGCACACGTTGATTTTACGATACAGCACGTCTTCCAAAACATGAATCACTTTGAATAGTAGAAGTATGGAAACAGAGATGTTTAAGGTTTGCTGATTTAGAGGAAACTTGGAGAACATTTTCTGGCTTTTTTTTTATGAGAGAGTGTGAAAAAGCGTCTTTAATAGAACAAGCTCCATAGATGTTCAACGTCTGCCTTTGGTTCAAGCCAAGTGCTGACAGAAGGAGTGACCCAAAAAAAAGAGGAAAATCTCCCGACAGCCAGCATGGAACATTTAAAAATGGTGTTTGTAATTTCAACAGCGTACTTTTCTTCTTTGGGTGTCGTGAGTGACAGCCGCTCTCGCACCAAAAGCACAGGGAGTCGCTCGCTCCTGTTTCACGGCTCCGGGGATGTTAGCATACCCTTTGGCCTATATAATTTCCCCTGCCGCACTCTGGTGTGTGTTGGAGTCGAGATGGGGGGAAACAGGGGGAGGTACTGGAAGACAAGTGGTTAAGTTTCCACTGGCAGGCCCAGTCTCTTCCCCCATCTGGTTGCCTTTTTCATGAGCTGAGGTTTGACAGCCGATCAAGCCCCCGGGGCATCCGAGAAGCTGCCAGCTCAGACAGCAAGCAGCCCCTCTCCTCTCCCCCTCATGTGTGTCTGCAGATTGACCAAGGGGCCACAGAGGCATCCCAGAACTGCCCTCCTCCGACGGGCTAAAACTCGCACACACAAAAAAGGACCAACTTTCTGAGCTGAGACAGAAAAAGAAAGTTGGAGAAGTGAAAAAAATGGACAAAAGTCTTCCCCTGCTAGCATCCATCTTGCTCATGAGCGCCCATGTAATTTCCGAGTTAAGGGTTTTCCTGTGCCACACTGTGTTTCCATCACTAAACCACATAAATTATGTGGATTTTTTTTTCTCTTTCAGCTTACTGATCGCCTGCCTGTAAATATTCCCCAGCCAAAGGGACCTTTTCATCAACAGCTGCTGTCTATGATGTTGAAAAGACAGATTAAGCTGTTAACAAGCTGCAGTGGCTCGGCTCTACCGGCTCACAGGAAGCCAGGTGCCACTTTCAGCAAACAGAATAAACCTTCAATAAAAGAGAAACTGATTAATGTCCCACTGAGGAAGAAAACCGATGTGTTTTCTGCAAGGACTGAACCTTGTGCGACACTCGTTTGCCTGCAGTCTTCACAAGTACGATAATGTCAATTCATGTTTGTTTTACCGAACCAATGGATTATGAGCTGAATGCAGCTTGTTGAGATGGAGGTGTGTTTTTTTTTAACCGTCAGCAAGGTCTCCAAACACGGCTCTCTCTTCACATTGAGGCCACTGGAAGTATTAGAGAACAGTCCAAGTACACAGCTGCTGGCATGGACAAGAAGGCCAAAAACAAGAGTTTGATTTTCCACCTCTCTGGTAACAAGACTTCAAGTGAAAAAAATGTTAGTAAAATAGAGGCTTCACTACATTAAAAAATATGTTAAATTACTTTTAATAGAATCTGAATATCACCTTGAAGTTTAAACATGTAGATCAGCGCCAAGCCATTTAACGTCTTGTGAAAAAACTCAAATTGCATTTTATAGGTACTTCATAAACAGGGGTAATATGCTCTTGTCTCTTTTTAAAGCTTTACTGCTGCTCCTCAGGCCTAGAGGGATACTTGAGTATTTTTGAAGTAGGGTTGTATGAGTTACATGTCATTAGTAGGTGTATCAGCCACAATGAATGCCAGTCAGCTGGTCCCCTTAAAGGGATATTCTGGCGTAAAATTAATTTAGGGTCAAACACACCGTAACACCAAGTTAGACACCCCCTTGAGAAATGAATATTGCCGACCGCTTGCTTCTCTAGTTATACCAACTTTAGTAACGACCACAGATAGCAATACACCGCGGTCTGAGGAGCCATAAACAAACCTCAACCAAAACGCCACTCTATAGCCACAAATAATGCTCAAAACAGCACCTAACTTCATCTACAGTACATATAGGGTCCCAGCCACAGCACTAGCCACCAAACATCTTTGCCTGATTTCTTTAGCAAAGAGACTAAACACAACTCACCTACTCTCTTCCAGCAGCCGCTTGTTTGTACGGAGACCTCCAGGCGAGTCCATCGACTGCAGTGGGGTGACACAGCTCAAGGAAGATCATTTATGATCATTACTTTATCATTTCCGTGAAGTAATAATCACCTTATTAATCATTTTGCACTGCAGACGCAGTAGTTCTTCTGCCTTAGCATCTCAGTCTGATTGCATTTCCATGAAGAAATGATCATAAATGTTCTTCCTTGAGCTGTGTCACCCCGCTGCACTCCGTAATGGACTCGCCCGGAGGTCTCTGTACAAACAAGCGGCTGCTGGAAGAGAGTAGGTGAGTTGTGTTTAGTCTCTTTGCTAAAGAAATCAGGCAAAGTTAAAAAGATGTTTGGTGGCTAGTGCTGTGGCTAGGACCCACTGAAGGAAAACGTAGAGAAACCTCTAGGGAGCAGGGGGATCCCAAGTAACCTGGCAGTGCAGGTCCGTGAAATCTAAGCGAACATACTACAACTAAGGGAATTATGTGCTGAGCTAGACTTGGTAACAACACCTCTAGATCCTCAGGAATCAAAGCAGTGATTCACCCGAGTCTGCTGCAGTCTGCAACCATTACCAACCAGAGTCCATTGCCACGTTTGTCACAGCTGTCTTCAACATGCAGGAGTTCAATCACAAAACCAGAAAAGCCAAATGGAAGCACACTTTTAAAGTAAACTGGTGTTGTTGTTTTTTTGACACAACCTGTGTTTCACAGGTTTGTACCGTTTTAGAGTTCTGAGACTCAGCTGACTTCAACTGATCTTACACATTCAGTACTTAATATCATACAAAACTGAGACGCAAAAATATCAAATTCACAAAATATCATTGACTCATTCGTCATACACCTGATTACATACACTGTATTGGCTGAAATTAGCAGAAATGGGCGTCTGTGTGTTTTGTCTGCAAAAACAAATGGACTTTCTGATGGCAAAGTAAATGGAAAGAGTACAATCAAACTGAGGTGATCATGAGGGTCTTCAAAAAATAACTGAAAATACATTTTTCAGTAGACATGGCAGAGTCAGCCCGGTCTGCTGAAAACAGTGGCACACCTAGCATCCTGTTTCTGCCAGGAGTTTCTCAGAAAAAGGGGCGACGCTGTCCGAAATCCACTATGGCAAAATTATCCCTTTAATGGTAGTTGTTGAGAATGTAAAGATAGTTTTGCCATTTTTTTAAGTATCACAATGGTCCTTAAAGAAATGATCTTTATTTTCTAAGGGATTGAAATGATGCATTCATGATTTTCACTGAGCTGACTCGATTGTCACAGAATCATGGACTTCCCCTTCACAAGTTGACGTTTATTGAACACTTACATGTTTGAGCTCCAGTAAAACTTGTCTGGTCAGCTCTATCCTCTTCTTGTTGACGTGCTTGATGGCCACCAGGTTCCCCTGTGTGCAGCAGGAAAGTAGACAGAGCAATAAATCAACTTCAGAGTAAAGTGCTGTCTATGCACAGCCTTATCATACAAAGACTTGAAGATCATGGCGAAGAGGCACGCTAGTCTAAGACAGCATAATATAGTTAAATCACATGAAAATGAAGAGAGGAAGTCAAGCAGCATCGAGGAGAGAGAACAAAATCTTACATTATCATCTAGTGGTTAATTTGGGGTCTGTTTAGTCTGCTGGCTAAGAAGAATTTTATCTAGGATGTGCGTATCAGTAAACTTGAAAACAAGATGAATATCTCCAAACTACAGATGACGTAATGGAACAGAAAAAGCATTAATTTCTGTTTCAGTTCATGTATAAGCTTCAACTTTCATCAAGAGGGAATATCAGTAAAGATATATACATTTGGCCTCTTCTGGTGTCTTTTATTCAGAGGTTATTTTTCAGCATGTTCAGGTTTCTGGGGTTCTCCTCTCTCTCTCTCTTTCTACTGCAGTGTCAGATTTGATCATCTCTTGCCTGTGCTGAATTTGAGAAGAGCATCAATACCTTCAATGAACTGTGAGACATTCAAAGTGTACCGTGACATCAGCGTTTATGTAAAAAAAAAGCTGCATCACACAGCTAAAAACAAAGACATCTATCTCATCATTCAGCAGGCTCTCTTTGTGTCACATTTCCTCTGCCCTCCTCCATCTTAAACGGTGAAATTAACCGCAGCAACAAGTTGATGGCCACATCCAGACTGCGAGGCGGGAGTGTAGAAACAAAGAAAGGAGGAAAAAAAAAATAGAAAAAGAAAATTGACGCATTCTGCAGCTCACATTAAAACCAACTACCTAAATTCGCCCACACTCTTTCTTTCTCTCTCCAGCTCTCTCAGCTTTCTCTGCGAGTGTGTGCACATGTGTGGGTGGGAAAGGAGTGCGCAGGAGTTGAAAATGTCAGAACTCACTAAGCCTTACCTTAAAATAGCCCGTTTTTGCAAATAGCTGATATTTTCCATGGGCAGTTATCAGGGAGCCATAGCTGGAGCCTCTCTGGGAGGGTGGAAAGGAGAAATGAGAAGAAAAAAAAAGCAGTTAGCAGTGTGTAGATTAGAGCAAAGAGGATTAAATGTGGTCATTTTAAACTGTGCTGCTACTCCAGTACGACGCAGCTTCCTAAAAAGAGTCCATTCACCAAAGTCCTTTCCAAAATACCTTCTCTGTGCTACATGAAATTGCCTTCTCTTCTACTTAAGAGTGTTTTTAGTTTTTCTAACACCAGCTTGAGTCCTTGGGCAAATGTCTGCAGTGCACATACAGTGAATAAAAATCAAGTGGGCGCGCTGCATACAGACAGCCAGTACAGTCAGCTACACATTTGTATAGAATGCAAATACTGGCAGCACATGGCACACTGGAAAATACATCGGTCTGGAAAATTACCGTGTGTTCCACACACGCATTATCCCAGGAACTGGACCGAAAAGCAGTAATGAAAAAGGTGTGTATGTGCATGTGCTCTTCATGAACGCTCACACGTGTGGAATGAAACACAACCCAGGAGGAGATGCATTAGGCGTCAGACAACAGAACCTGATACTTAAAGAAGTTGATGAGGTATTATGGATGGAGGGAGCCGGGCCAGACGAGGGCTTATTTTAACAATCATTTAATATGCGTCTGCCACCGCAAAAACCCGGCCACCTTCAATAAACCATCGGGAAAGCTCTCAGGAATGTGTAAACTAACAAAGGATCTCCACTCTCTCTCTCTAAGGGATGGAGCTGTTCTTAGAAGCTGCATTTTAATACAAAGAAAATGGTGGTGTGAGTGTGAAGGTCTGAACTTCAAACATCTTACTACAGCTTTTTTTTTAATCCTAGTGTGTTCGGCTTTAAAGCAGCAACATCTCGTACTGATAATCAGCCGCGTATGAATGGAAGCTGTAAAATCCAGTGTTGAGTCTGTCCCGCTGGCAGACATAATAACATAACACGCCAAAAGAACAACAACTTGTTAATCACACGCTAGAGGCAGAGCCAGCAGTGCTAATGACAGAGAAGGCGATATTCAAACTGAGAAATACGAAGAAATACTCCGTTTTGCCAACTTGACAGTGTTTGAAAATGTTTTCTCAGACCGAAGTTTTGGGACCTAGGTTTCGTTGTGTAGAGTGTTGTTGTTTCGTATGCTTTTTTTCTTCATTTGTTTGTATTTTTTTCTCCTTTTTGCTATGTGTGAACTTGAAAATCGAATAAAAAATTGTTCACAAAAAAAAAAATGTTTCCTGAACTCCAACACACTTACAACACCTGGTTAAATCCACTCATTTTTTTACTATTTTGGTCAGCTCTGGATTCAAAAGTCCAGTTTTTCAAGTATTGATTGAGCTTTACTGTTCAAAATGACGTCAATTTATTTTGATGATTCAGTTGCTTCCTATTACAACTTATATGTGCTGAGCTACCTCAAAGTTCACTTTACACAGATTCAAATGGGTCAGTTCACATTTGTGTTTATGGGTGTGGACACATAAGATGCTTCAAATACACTCAGGGAAAACCTGCTTCAACAATGACAGTGTGAATGAGATGGTTTTGGAAACAAACAAAAAGTTTTTCAAAAAGGCACACCTCTGTAAAACCAATTGAATTTTAATTTGTTGGAATTTGTCCAGATTTTTTCATAAAACTAAAACTACTTCACATGTTTCAGAAATTCACCCTCATCAGGGAAAAACCAGACATAAACGCTGTATCTTTGAGGAAACTTCCACACATAAATAATATACTACCTGCCATTTTATAAAGCCTTATATTCTCCCTTATATATATTCTTAAGGTGAAGTACATTCATACATCGTTTCACATTGTTCTGTAAAGAGTTACACAGTTTTTACTCCAACTGCAAAAATACAAATCTGTTCCTCAACTTCTGAAAAAGAAACCAACACTTTCTGCTTTTTACCTTCGACATAAATATGAATATCTGTCAGCTAAATCTTCTTACATAAACCATCTGTCTGTGATTTTCTCTTAAATCTACATTATGAATAATTCTCACTGCTCTTTCCTGTAATAAATAATCCTTTTTTTTCCCGCAGATGTACATTTCGCCCCCAACTTTCACACTGACGTCCAGGAGTCCTTTTTGAATAGGAGTGCAGCTGCTACGTTTACCCCTCCACCTCCCTGTCTCAGCCAGCTATTAAAGAAATATCAGCTTCAACTCTCAATCTTCTTCATGGTCTTAACACAGTCACAGGCCACTACCACCACCAGTGTCTGGACTCAAGTGAGGATCTTTTATTTCCCATTTCCAGCCAACAGCCTTTGATTGGATAAAACTCTCCCTGTAGAGTCCAAATGCCAAAGACCTCTGTGGGGCCATAATTCCAAATTAGTTCTAACAAATATGTTTTTCCATTTAATAGACTCTCTGGAGTAAAATAGTATTACAACTTAAACCGAGGAAAAATCCAATATAAATAGTCTTTAACTTTATATAAATATAATTGTGACATTTCTCAAAAATTTATACAGCTTCATTGTGTTTTTTAAGTGATTTATTCTCCTCAAATCATATATTTTCTTGCAAAGAACCAACAAATCCACTCTTCATCAAAGTGAGTGCAATGAAATGTAAGGACCTGGACCTGTAAAACTATTTAAATTACACACAGAGTAAAAAGTCAATGACTACTTAACGGTATCCAAAGATTTCTTCAACAAAGGGAAGCAGGGCTGGGGGATATGGCCTCAAATCAATATCACGGTATATTGAGCAGTTCACCTCGATAACGATAAATCGATGATAACTACTCCACAAGCTGCTGACCCCCTCCAATATTAACTTTGTCAACTTCAGCCGCTGCTCCAGCCGCTACAACTTTTGAACCGTCCTCCATCTCCTCATCTGTCTTTCCCTCTTTGTTACGGACTGGATGGGGTGGAGTCAAGTCTACGACGTAGGACAGCGTCTTAAAGGGACATGAGACCATAGCCTACCCTCACACATCTAAAACCAACTTTTATCTATTTATTTATTTGTCACCAAATATACCGATATGGGCAAAATGACGTCGGTTATTGTGGTAAATTTTGGTATTGGTAAATATTCGGTTTATCGCCCAGCCCCCGAGGAAAGTATCACAGATCTGGGAACATGCAGTAGATGCACACCTTATGAGTGCATACTTCCAAATGTGGTACCTGTTTCTTATTTGTCAGTTTTTTGTATGCTAATGTGAAAACATTGGCCTAATCTAAATTACACTGATGTATCCGTGAAGGAGAGACCCTTTTCAAAACACAGGGTATCAATTTAGTCTTTACATGTAAAAGTACGCTGTTATCCGTCTTGCTTGGTTTGCCTGTATCTGTAGTTACGCTGTTTTTTATTTAATGAGTATAATGAAAATGCTTTTGAGTTTTTCAGTGTTGGTTTCATGTGCTTTTGCAGAGATTAAAGCTTTTCATGGTATGTAGGGTTTTTAACATAAGGTTTTCATGTCTAAAAGCCATAAGCGTTTACAAATGTGATTCATATTATATAAGATTACATGTAAAGAAACTGAAATGAATGCATGTTGCGCACAATGGTATGAATTGTGCCATTTTTATGATCTACACATGGTGCGTGCTGTGCTTTTTGAGTTGAGAGTAAAAATACTGTAGGAGATTGGTCCAGAGGATGTGTGGGCTTGTAAAAAACCTGTAATATGAGATTATGTAGGTGTGACATTAGTTTTAAATTCTCAGAGGCCTAAGAGCTCTGTTTTTTTTTTTTTTTTTGTTATTTCACCTGCACATTTTTATCATTTTTGTCTGGCAGTACAAATAAATGAATCAGCGCTTCAGAAGTCTCTCTACCTGTGAGAGTGTGAGTCGGCTGCCGGCTCGTTTGTGGTATTTATTGGGGCTCTCAAACTGAAGGTCCTCCCACCGAATCCTCCAAAGCATTCCAGCCAGCTCTTTCTCCAGCTTCAGTTTCCTGGAAGAGAAAAACCAGGTGTTGAAATCAACAAGGACGGAAACACAGAGAGTTGAAGAATAATCTCTGGCTTTCCATGATGACCTGCAGGAGGAGAGATCTCCTGATCTGTGGTATGACTTTGAGAATAAGTGGATGAAATTAAGAACAACTATTAAAGTCATCACGTCATTTACTGATGCAGTGGTCTTTAACCTTAAAGCAGAGCTCCAGTATTTACTGGTACTAATATACTCGCACATGCAGGCTTGTGTGTTCGCATTTTATCACATCTTTAACTTCACTGGTCCTGATGCTCTACCTACTGAACTCTGATGAAGTGGAAAACTACTTTGAAGGTGAATTTTTTACGATCCTGGACAAAGGGCTCTTTATTTCAAACACATGCTCTTATATGCAGCACCATTATGCAGTAAAGAACTGTTTTTCCATGTAGGGTCTGATATAAACCAAGTGATCACACTGTCCATAAATGGCATGTTGAAATAATCAGCATTGATTGATTCCTGACCAATAATGTCTGCAGACACTGCAGGCAGCCTCATCAGTGCGGCTGCTGTCAAGCAATAACACACATGACAATGACAATAACATCCTCTTCAATGAGAACTCACTTTTCTTATACTAAACAACAACAAACCAAAACAAACCAAACAGTTACAGGCCAGTGTTTCATAGAGATCCTACTATGATGTGTAGCAACACTCTCACATCACATCAGGGTCACATTAAGAAAAAAAAATAAGACTTCGAGATTAAAGTCGTTAATTTATGAGAATAAAGTCATTACTAACAAGACTAGTCATAATAAAGTAATAATTTACTAGAATAAAGTTGTACTAAAATCATTACCTACGAGATCAAAGTCGTAATAAAATAATTATGATTTTATTCTCCAAAGTAATTATTTTATTACGACTTTATTTTCATAAATTAACAACTTTGAACTCCAAGTCTTAATTTATTATTATTATCTTTAACGTGGCCCTAATACTCCATCGTACTCACATACTCTGTAGTGCTGAGATGACATGTTGTATGTCTTCAGTTTAACAGGGAGTGTTTCGTTATCTTACTAGTGTGTATTCACTTGTGTTACTCCCTGATATTAAACGCAGCGCCCCTACAGGCCAGGTAGACAGCCATTTAAAAATCAAACTTCTTTGCTGCTTTTGTCAATATTTGCAGCTGCTTTTCAATGACCATATCCTTATCATTATGGTCTGTTTATACTGATTATGTCAATTAAAACAGTAAAACAATGCTGTATAGTAATTATTGTGTTAACTTTGGGCCTGACAGTGTGACTTTTTGAAATATGCAACCTAACAATAGCCATATTTACATGTGCAAAATTTCTTGACCCGATTAAAAATTTGAGGGATCAGGTAATCAGAATCCACTGTTTATATGAGTGCAAAATCAAATAATCCGATCATGACGTGCGTATACGTGCACCAAGCTTTATTCAGATTAAAAGCATTTGGACATGCGCAGACTTGTCAGAGTTTGCTAAAACAACCACAGAAGAAGAGTTGTAGTTACGCCTGTGCTGTCAACATACCAACAAAAACGGATCAGGATTTTCCTCATGTTAAATTTTGTCACTAGATGGCGCCCTTGCATACTTATTTTACTGTTCTGACAAACGTTGCGCTGTGCGAGGAGCAGACACGGCGCCTGCAGTTATGTTTTATGCCAGAGTGTCAATAACGGAACCTCCTGAACTGGCCTCAATAAATAAGCCAAAGGCTACAGAGTGAAGATCGAGTCGGGTAAGAGAGTCACTATTGGAACAAGTGTTAGCATGGACGCGTTACAGAATAACGATCGGCATAAACCACCCGTCTTGATCGGAATACAATTTATTTCCGATTGAGCTGAATTGGATCAGAATCTTCCAATTGACCTGTTTACGCATTTTTATTCCGATCGGGCACAGATCCTTCAGAGATGCAGTATTTCCCCTGATCACTTTTGTCCCGTCTGGATGGATGAGTTGGAAAAGAAATGGATACAACCTGCTTGACAAAGGCAAACATTCCCCAAATGCCTGCGCAGGCTTACCAGTAATTAATCTAGTAATTTTCATGTCAGTCATATTTCTGACATGTTTTGAGTGTTATTTAAGAGTTTCAGACTCTCTGGAAAACACGCAGCTCCACAGACTAGAGGAGGCATACCAGCAAATCAACACATCTGGGGAAAATCTTCGAGGCGCTGCTGTTTCTTGACACTTAATGATTTAAAGCACAGACACTTTCAAAATAAAACTATTAGCTCTGAGTTATGAAAACCGGAGAGGAAATTCATTTTGAGCTTGAAACACTTGAAAAACGAGAGGAGGCCACACATTCCAACCCAATCTAAAAGGTGTAAAACACTTCCAGATGGCAGCAGGAAATTATTGCAGCGTTTGCATATCACCGCGTCTTAACCATCCCATCTGGCCCCAGAAGTGGCCCTTTATTTTCTTTACCACTTTTTCACCAGGATCAACTTTGTTCTTGGACTTTCCAGATATTTAGGGTATTCTACTGCTTTTTGTGTCTACAAATACACTTGGAGGTCATGCTTGTGTGCTCCATTTTGAGGGCAGGAAACACCATTAAACCCCTAATGCCCGCCAGCTCCAAAAAAGAAAAAAAAAAAAGTATTTTTCTATTTAAGGAGCCTCATTTAGAGACCTCTGGCAGCCAGAGGGGCAAAGTGTGGGGCTCCACACTGGGCCTATTGTTTCATAAGTCCCATATGTGAATACCTCTGCTGGACCAACCCCTCCATTAAAACAACAGAGCCTCTGCTGCTCTGCTCAACATCTCCTCACACTGCTGCAGCACACCAGACTCCAAGATCAACTGAGAGCTGCACACCACCTGGATAAAGCTGCAGGACGATGTTTAACAGTCGCTCCATGAAACGTAGAAGTCAGAGGGCATTATTTGATTTAAAAAATGTTAAGTATTGAAACAACCTTCAAGAATACGGGAACAATGGACTAAAAGACCGCGACGTGCTCCCATCAGGTGTTGACCGCAGATACAGACGATACAAGGACAAATTTGGACGAAGATGGGCGCCTTTGACTCTGTAACCAACTATTGAGACAATTTCTATACATATACGTGTTTTTTTGTTGTTGTTTTTTTTTGTTAATGAAAAGACTTATGCATGGGCTATTGTTAAATTTAGATTTTAATTTTACCATTTTTCAAACTATGGGCGGTTTTGTCATGAAATACTTCCACCTTGTTCAGCTAAAAAGAGTTAAAGAATGCATGTAACCAATGTTTTAATTTGAAAAACAATAAGCTTTGTACACTCAGAAAATAAAAAAAGAATTGAATATCAACTAAGCAAGAATATTTGTTGTAATCTGCCTTATTTCATGTGTTGATACTCCTGAAAAATGATCATTTTCAAGGAAGCCAAATTTAAGACTAAATAAGACCACATTTTTGATGTTGTGCAGGTTCCACCCCAAAGAAATCCACTGAAACAGACCATTTAATACATAAATATAGCTTTATTGAACTGAAAGTTAATCCAGTTTCACCAACATGTACATTGAAGACAAGGAAGAGTTGCAAAATGTCACATGTCAGAGGAGCAAAATACCTTTTCCACCACCAACAACACCACTAGCATACACCAATAACATTCCCCCATATAAAAATTTGATTTCCCAAATTAAGAAAAGTTATACATTTTTTGTAAATGTAATAAAAACATGTAAGCAGCAGCACATATATAAGACATAGAAATATCATGTTTAGTTTTCTTTATTCACTCTTATTAAAAATATACTGTATATAAAATAAATATTAACCCTCTGGTTCATAGTGGTCACTACAGTGGACAGCTACCAAAAACTCTTTTTCTCTTAAATGCAATGGTTTCTATGGTGGAAGTGTATATCAGCCTCTAGGGTGCTCTCTACTGCCCTACTCCATTGAGTTACATTTAGTGAGTAATCAGTGTAACTGCAAGTAAATTTCCTACATATCCAAGATGGCCGAGAAACAGCCACCCCTGCTGACTACAGCTGGCATGTCCTGTCAATACTTCTATAGTAGAAGAACCCCAGCTGTAAAAAAAATATGATGATATACTGTAACATCTAAGGAAGGATATTATCCATTTGGAATTGAAAATTCCATGTCCAATATGTAGAACATTACAATTAACCATGTGTCCAACTGAGTGGACATCATGCATCACCCAGTATTTTTTTTAACAGGAGTCATGTAATTGCTTCACTGTTACTTGTGGCTGTTCTGGTTATAAATCAGTGTATACAGTGTAATTAGTGTGTAACAGTGACCAAGAGTGGCTGCCAGAGAAGAATAGACATGTAGGAGCTGAGGATGATGGAGATACAGACAGTCAGGGTGCAGAAAGGGTAGATGCCTATAGTCAAGTGGATGAGGACCAGGATGATGAGAGGCAGGATGCAGGGGAAGGTCAGCATGATCAGGGAGCTGTGGAAAATGGGCACATGACACCTGACCATTCTCAAGCTCGCAAAAATATCTGGAAAGTCCAAGACAATCACTTTGATAGAGATATGTCACCTTTTCTAGGAGAGTGGAAATTCAATGTGGAGGGAAGAGAGCCTATAGACCTATAGACCAGACATCTGTTTCCAGCAGATCTCATTGATGATATAGTGAAAAACACCAAGTTGTATGCTCCCCAGAAAGGGAAAGAAAATGTGGCAGTGACAGGAGAAGAAATGCAGACTTTTTTAGGAATCAACATGATCATGGGGTACATTCGTTATCCCAGGGCACACATGTACTGGTCTAGTGAGGATGGCCTTCGTCTAGGGATGATTGCAAATGCCATGTCTGTAAACAGATATGAGCAAATCCTGTGCTCATATAAAGCCTGTGTGCCACTGTGCCCTGGATGCTTTGCCAACTTTCATACATCCTAGGTGTGATGAGCAGAGACATGTTTGGAGATGCAGAGACTAAAATGTCAGTTTTTGTTGTTGAAAACAACATGCTCGTATAAGGGCATGGTAATGTCAGTCCTGAATCTTTATAGTACTGTGGGGATTTACAATATTGTTTCCAATGTTGGAGATAGTTTGGCATATTTTGGTGTACTGTACTTTTTAAGTAAGTTCATAATGTTTTGTGTTGAGTGCTCAGGCGCATATAGTCCACTTGAATGGACACTTTTGTAGTTTTGTGAAAAAATAACATTTTTGAAAAAAAACAATTTTACATGTTCTTTTATGTCCTGAGAATGATAAAAACACTTATGAAAAAAATCTTGATCAGGGCTTTCATAATTCATGCATCAGAGGGTTAAAAAATCAAATACAAATTGCACCCCCCTATATGCAGTTCAGGCGACCCCTTTGTAAAGAAAAATTCATACAAACAGTGACAGAACTCTGAAGAGATTTAAACGTTTTAGTGGTGTTTGACAGGACTGATCATGGAGGGCTCCAAGATGATGTTTAAGACGAGTGTGTGCGCCTCTCCGTTTATCAGCATAGCTCCACTGGTGTCTGCAGAAACAAAGAGGGATCTGTTAGCCTTAACTACCGAACAGAGAAGATAAAACACACTTCTTCTGATAATTAGGAAGTTAATATTTATAGTTTTGTGGTTGCAAGGTGCATGAAATTAACTACAAAGCTAACAGTGCAACAAATTTTCCATGCATTAAACTGTCTCACTGAATCAGGACTGAAAATGTGTCATAATATGTACTTGTTAGAGGGCCAAAACTAAAATACTTGTTGGTACGTGTAATATTTTGAGTTTTTTGGGATTTCACACAGAGATTAGAGTATATTTCACAAAACTTACTGGCAAGGAGTCCTTGAAACTAGCTAGCTAGTTAGGAATCCGTGCTGTGCCTGATGAACCGTGAGCTGGAAGAAAGAGGAAAAAAAAAAGGTAAATGTTTTTAAGAATAAAGAGCAAACTCTGTGTCAGATTTTCTGGAAGTGAAATGAGAAACTCAGATTCAGGATTGGTGGATTTACCTCGAGTGGAAAGCTGCTCCTTCGTCTTTCTTCCACCATTCTTCTGATCAAAATCCATTGTGAATGGCTGGTGATTAACACTTGTTTGTGTTAATAGTCAGTATTAGAAGAGTGATTGTGTTATTTTTTTTTGTTAGAGCTGACATATAAATCATATTGTCTTCACATAAGTTTCATCATTTTGACCAAAACTATTACAAAAGTGGATAATAGACACTTTGCTTTAATTAAATGTAATTGTACCTCTGAAATTAACCAGAATTCAACACACACGCATGGTGAACTCATTGGGTAATGAAACGGGACCCACTCCAGCACTCCACAGACATGCAGAGTGAGCCACATGGGACGCTGTAACAATTTCACTCAATTTGTTTTTCCAGCTGAATGCCGAGCTCACAGTTTCAACCATTAAAATGTGGCGCATTATTGTTTTATTTGAATGATCTGCAGCTGCACAGGGTCTGTAATTAACTCTAACACTTATTTTAACAATGACACCCAAACCTCTCAGTTTATTTTTAACTAATCCATTCAGATCTTACAAACACACACAATAACCGGTATTTCTATTTCAGAGGTTGAAACCTTATGCCGTCCGTGTTGCTTAAACGCTTTTTCGCTCAAGTCTTGGCATCAGATTAGTACTTTCAATATTAATGATAATTGCATTGCAACAGAGGTTTGAAATCAATGACCTTTTTTTTTTATTCAATACTGTTTTGTCCTTTCCAGCACACTGTACGTAAGCCGCCACAGTGTCTGCTTCCTGCTGCCAGTATGAAAAAATACACCCCCACTGGGCCTTTAAATGACACATATCATTTTAAAACACTCTCAGGACGTTTACATGCACTGTGGAGTCAAACTGTAGTTAAAGCTCAGTTTAATCAGACTGGTTTCTGAGTGAGATTTGATTTATTAATAAAAGTATGTCTGTTATGGATACGGTATTCAGAGATATGCACCCTTTCAGCTTGATAAAATCTGACCATCCTGCGGTCGACTCATTAGATCACAAAACAATCAATGAACAAGAAACTATGGACCACTTTACTTTACACTTTACAGCTTTACACCTTAATTACAAAGTCTAAGCTATTCTATTTAAACATATGCAATGAGACGGCTTCTGTCTGTACATTTCTATCATCCAGCTCCAGTGTCAAAGCCTGCCATGCACACCATGGAGCGTTTAAGGAGGACCTGGGACAGACTTGAGAGTATACATGTGATCGATCCTCAAACCATTCCCAATCTAATTAGACCAACTCAGTCAAAGTTCAGTCAGAGTGACATGATTTTGTGTATTTTAAAGTCCAGTTTAAGTCGGACTGCAGCAGTAAAAGTTTTTTCAACTCAGAGCTTCAGGACTGAGATATCATGCTCCAGCTAAGCCTACAGACACAACCAAACTGATATCAGCTGGCAGCCACATCACAAAAGCACAAATGTGGAGTGTAAATGTCCCTAAAGAGCTGTAAACGATACACTTCGAGGCTGCCTCCTACCTCTGAGTCATGGTTTAATACCACACTGCTGTTACAGCGCAGCGTCTGTGTAGATAGCAGGTCTTAAGTCACAATCATAAAGATTATTTCATCGAATTCACTTGATGCTCAAATCAAACAAATGGAATTTAAACACAATATCAAAATGGGATTAGCTCTTGAAATTCAGCAATTAATCACCATTTTAAAGTCAGATGAAGTTTTCATGAAAGAAGTCGAGTAAATTTGATGATCTCTTTGACATACGTTTCAGTTGGTTTCCGGGGTAGTAGCAAGGAAATGACACAGTCTTATATTGTCAGGGTAAATTTTACAGAAAATACAATCCCCTAAAGAATGTATAAACAAATAAAATTTCATGAAAGTCATGTCCTTCTTTGCACACATATTTTTTTGCCTCTGAAGTAAGGGTATGGAGTATGACGGGGTCCACAGACTGCACAGGGTGGCAGTCTGAGGTCATTGATGGGTCAAACAAAAACAGAACAGTAACCCAGTTGAAAAGAAAGCAAGCGCTGGATAAAAACTTCTCAACTTAAAGGTGGGGTGGGCAAGATTCCATTAAAAAAGCATATTTTTTGTGGTGTATATACAAAAAAGCTTTTAATATCAGTCAATAGCTATTAGTTATTGATGACATTTGGGAATATCACGATATTGCTGTGTTTTGTTATGTCTGTGTAGTCAACATTTTAAAAATTTTTGAGCGGCCCGCTCTTTCTAAACGTAAACCAAACTGTTCTCCACCTCCCCCAACCTGATTGGTTGTGAGGCAGACGTTGTGAGGCACACGCTCCCTCATGTTGTGAGGCACGCGACAGTAGAAACCAACCAGGAAGTACAGAAAATTGTCTGAATCCTACTTTGGTCACGACTGCCAACACAAGCAAGAAAACGAAGTAAATACCGGAGACTCTGGCGCAATAACGGGCGCTTAAAAAGGTAGTAAATCGGACAAGAGCTAAGAAGCCGGGTCAACATCAGTGAACACTTCAGGATCTTACAGACCCTGTAACCTTTTTGCTGGACAAAGTAAGCCAAGTGTCTGTAACAGAAGTGTTTCTTGTCAAACCTGCTGCGTGTTGTAGCGCCGCTAAACTGTTTTCCTCGGGTCCTGAAGTATGTCACTTGTAGTTAGTTGGAGAAGTCCTGCAAACATTGTGTTTTCTGGTAGTCTGTTAGTATCTATCTTCATTAGTATGAAGTATTTATCTTCATTATATCTGAATCTAATTAGAATGATTCGAGCGAGGACGAGCGTCTGTTTGTGGGCGGGGCTTGCTGGAGCAGAGACGGCGCGGAGAGGAGGAGCTGAGGGCAAAACTGGTTGGGAGGGGTAGAGTTTACATTCAAGATTTCTCCCAAAAACTGGCACTTCCTCAGATCTTGCCTACCCCACCTTCAGTAAATTGATAAAAAGAGTGAAATCACTGATAAACATGATCTTCAGGCACTCCATAACCAACCTGATCTGGTTATTTTGTTGATTAAATGAAGTGTTTCTCGATAAGCTGTGTTTTTTTATTTTTTGTAAGTCTAAATGGATATTGCTTGTTTGCTTGAATTCTTAACCACTTGCATATTTAATAGTGTTTCACCCTGGAGCCAAACATGAACAGAACTGACGCAGCATGGAGGACCTTGAACTCAATATTTTGAAACTTAGGGCCAATAACACGGCTGCTGTGTTTTATGAGTTTAAAGGGGGGGACTTGTTTGGCAAAAATGACTTCATAAGAGCGAGATTTTCACTGTGTCAAAGTTTGTTCGGACACTTTTTCACATCATATAAAATGGTCTTTTTCCTCTAGAGTTGAGAAATGAAATTTTTGCAATGAGATTTTAAAAGCGTACAACATACAAATAAATGTGTACTACCTTGAGAGAAGCACAAAAAGGACCTTGACTGATATTTTCCCTGTGACATCAGTGTTGTGTGAATTATCTAAATAGGAGGCGATTAGCTTAAATCCAGTGCAAAGAAAACAGAGTTTACAACCACACTAATGATCATTAAGTGAGAAAAGCAGTAAGGGTGTTTGGGGGCTGGTATATGAGCTCACTTGGCAGCTTAAGCGCACTTCACCGCCGCTTTAACGCTGTCACCTGCTGAGCCGTTGCCGTGGAAACAATCATGTAAATACCACACTGGCACCTATAGCAGCACGACCCATAAATCCTGTCTCCAACACCTCTTGCTCCCTCCTTCCCTCTGTCTTTTTCTTTCTGTCTGTCCGTCAGTGGAGGAAAAACTCAGTCCCTCATTTACACAGTTGGAGCTAAAAGCAGCAAAGACAGGAGGCGTCACCTCCATTCAGTCAAACTCACCTGTAAATGAGGAAACTGGAGATCCCAAAAATGATGAGCGCTAATCCAGATCCCACAGCCACAATACCCAGAACTGGGAGATGACCTGGAGACAGAGGAGGGATTCAACACTCGGTCAGTTTCTGTCATATGTTCAACAGATGTTCACATTCATATCTTTAAAAAGAGGAAAAAAAGGCAGTGAAAAACACAGCTGTGACTTCCTGACGTACAGCTGCACTGCTTTAGCAATCTGTCAGCCACAAACACCGGCAACAATTTAACACAATTATACAGCTCTGACATTCCTGGTGTATAATTAAAACCCTAATTGAGACTAATTATACATCCTGCTGTAAGTCAGAGGAAAAGCTGAGAATCATCATTCAGGATATATCATTTCCAACTGCACTGGTAATTAGCTTCAGCTTCGTTGCATCACTGAATTCACTGGCAGTTTAAGTTTTGAGTGCACAGCTTTAAATATTCTGCAAATGATGTCCTTGATAACATAGTAAAGGATCTAAGAAAATAGTCTGTGGCCAAAAACATGAAAAGTAAATCCATCCTAAGGACATCTTGTCTGTTCATATACCATTACATATTGTATAATGACACAATACATTACAATATGAGTTGATACAATATGATCTGATGAAGTAAATTCTATTATCATATCTAATGGCATCACAACCTACCCTTTTTCACCATATCATACTGTTACATATCATAACATAGTGTATCATATATCTTAGAGCATAAAGCCTTACTAAATCATATAGTATCATCTAGTATCCTGTTGTATCCCATCGTATCATATTGTTTCGTATGGCATCATATCGTATCGTATCATATCATGTCTTATTGTATTGTATCGTATCGCATCATATTGTAGCATATCGTATCATATCGTATTGTATCATATTGTATCGTATTCTATCATATCATATTGTATCATATCGTACTGTATCACAACATATACAATCAAATTGTATCATATCATGTTTCAAAGCATCCTGCCCTAATGAATCATGTCATTGTGTATAGTATCCTGTTGTATCACATTGTTTCATGTCATATCTTATAGTATCATATCGTATTGTGTTGGACTGTATGCTATTGTATCATATCATATTGTATCATATTGTACTGCATCGCAGCATATCAAATTAAAACATGTTGCTTCACACCACATTATATAATTTTATATCATTTTCTGATATATTTTGTATTGTACTGTATCATATCTTATCATACCTCATCATATCATATGTAACATATACTATTATTTCCTATTGTACTGTGTCATGTTGTATCTTTTCTATTTTATTCTCTTGCCCCATATCAATTTATATAAATTCATGTCAGATCATAATGCAATTGTATTGTATCCTATTATTCTATTTTGTGTATTGCTGATCATGTCATATCATTTTATATCATATCGTATCATATCGTATCCTATATACCATATTATATCATATCATATCATATCATATCATGTTTTATGTTAGGGTTTCTCATCATATGACACAGTAATAATTTTTTTTCAATAAATGGCTTCTGAAGGGGAACAGCTAGTCAGACTGGGAATAAAGCGAGTCCCAACACTGATTTCCAGACCTCCAATTCATTCACTGATCTCTTAGCTAGCTCCTGATACTTTGAAAACTGTGCAACAGCATGTTATGTACTGACCTTGTCTATTTCTTAACTCTATTATCAAACACTGTCATCACTGTGCTTTATGTTCTGCACATGTTTGTCTAATATAATACCTCATTCCTTATCATTTATTTCTCTAAGTGCAGAAAGTCACACTGGAGACAGCGACTTTTGGGTTCTTAAATTCACAAATTCTTAGCAGATAGCTTTAGATTTATTGACTTTAAACCTTCTTCACTGCAAAATACATGTACAACTGCTGTGGTTTCCTCCTCAGTTAATCATCACTAACGATTCCCGTGGGAAACTGTCACTATGTGGACATTAGTCAAAGCATCTCCAGCGCTGATCTTTGGCACTGCTTTTTATTCAAGCACATCTAAATGGGTGTATTGGCTTCAAACAGGCATAAAAGATGGAACAAGACTGATAGAAGAAACAGATTTCTCATCACAGCATTAATGAATGTATCCTTGGCTCTGTACAGATGGAGAGATAATATGTTATTAGTGAGCTGTAATATCCATCTAATGAGTGATTTAATTTTACTCTCAGGAGGAAAAAATGGCCATTAAGTGTGAGATAATTTCTCTTGTCATCATCACTGTGCATGAACATCTTTGTCTTAAATCTCTTCATGCAATTCCCTAAAGCTATTCCAGCCAGCTGTAGGTCTTGTTCTGGGGACATATCATTCCGCTAACAAGTTTGATAACCAATTTTTCACAGCCAAGGTTATCAAAAAGTGAAAATAGGATATCCCGACAGCCCTATTTTTGACCTTTCTTTGAAAAGTTTTCATTCAGATCCATAACTTATGATCTGTAGGAAATAGCTCGTACTTCAAAATAAAAGCCTAGTTGCGTTCCTCAGTTTGACTAATTGTGTTGCTGCAATAATTATCCTAATTATGAGTTAAAAATCTGAGGCAGCACTTTCCAAAACCACTACTATCCAGAAAGTAAAAACCAGATAGCATAGAAACTACTCGGGCAGCAACAGCAGCTGTTTTTACTCATTCTGTTGTCTTTCCAGTTCCTTTGGCATAAACAGATAGCTGAATTAGCTGATAATCATGTTAATATTTGCAAATTACAGTTCTTCCACTGCAGGATATTTGTGGGCTTAAGTATTTATTTGGCATCAACATCTAGAAAGTTACATATCCCTTTTGCTGCTGAGGGGGTGGTGACCTAACATTGTGACATCAGATGCAAAAAGTCTATAGATGATGCAGAGGTGTCATACCATCATTGCAGGAAGGGTCATCAGTGGAAAACACACACGGGGGGTTATCTAGTGGAGGGCCCCCGTTAGGCCAGTGGATCTTCTCTGTCTGGGACCAAATGATTTCTTTGGTGGTTCCATTGTAGTAAGCAACAAGCTGCAAACACAGAGGGGAAAAGGCTGGGTCAGATGGATAAGAATAAATACACCAGGCTGTTTTATTTGCTGTTATTAATTCTGTCATTGGCATATTTTGATCACTGAATTTCCATATTTTCCTTTGTCTCCTCGTTCAGGTTCAGGTTCAAGCTCAGGTTACTTTATTAATACCCAAAGGTAGATTTGTTCTGCAGTGAAATAAAGTGATGATGTCCATTTATACAAGTCACAGTACAAATCTAAAACAACCACAAAACAGTGTAGCGTTGGGGGTAAAACACATGATAAAAGCACCCCAAGGCTCCCCAGTCAGGACACAAGAGAGGGAGAAAAACGTCACTACATAAAGAAATGCAAATAAATAACCCAAATAAACAACCTTTGGATACAAACCAAGGTAAAAACAAGTCTAAAACCAACATAAGTAAGTAAATAATACCTCCTCAGTTTGTGCTAATTGTGAAAAATTATGTGCAAAATCTCTACAACTTGTTCACTTCAATAATAGCAGCAGGAACAAAGCTGTTTCTGTAACGTTTAGTTCTGCATTTGGGGACTAGAAACCTCCATCCAGAGGGAAGAAGCTGGAACTCGCTGTGTAAAGGGTGGGAGTCGTCATTTAGAATAGAGAAAGCTATCCGCTGTAACTGTTTGGTGTACAGGGATGCCGGAAAAAGCTGTGACTCACCAATCAGTCGAGAAGACCATTTAGCTATTTGGTTTAAGGCATTTCTCACCTTACACCAACATATATAATGATCAACGGACATGCACCAATATTTCACACATTATTCACCTTCTTAATTTGAATGTACCCAAGTGTACTGAAACTTGCTCACGAACTGATTCAGTTTCCTCTTCATTCACACTGCAGTTCTTGAGTATCACTGCCATATGCACAACACCTTGCAGTCTTGTCTGTGCTCTTGGCAGTTTACTGCTCTGTTTATTGTTTATTTGCCCTGCTACTCGTGATCAGTGAGCTTTGATCAGAGACAAGTTAGTTGATCCCATCATGTAGACAAAAACACAGGTGGGTAACAGCTCTTAAACATTTCACAAACATCCTGAGCAGCTTGTTTGTGTGAGCTTTATTCTGACGGCACAGCCTCATGAACAGCATCTGCTGTCCTGCTGTGAAACTCGACTCCTGTGTCTCTAAACAGCCAGAGGAGTTTTTATGTGTTCGACCCATGCTCCAAGCATGTCGGGTCCCTCCTGTTAAAAACTTAAGGGCTGTCAACCCCCACAGAGGGTCATCAAAACAATGCAGGATGGGATAGGTGAGGGGGCAGGGGGCCAGAGAGCCAAAATAGTCCCAGTTCTTTAGTTTGGGGGTTGTGTTTACTGCCCTACACTTAAAAATTAACTCCTTTTAACAATTCGCTCCATGATGAGTTCAGCTTCTTTAATCTTGATTCTGTGAGAGTAGACAAGTATTTTAGACCAAGGATATTTAAATACATTCAACCTATTCATAAGTAGTAATAATAGTAATAGAGGTTTGTTTAAGATATTTAAGGTTTTGTTAAAGTCGTTTTCTTACAAGAATAAAATAAAACCAAAGTCATAAAGTTATTAGAACAGAGTACCGTATACTACGAGGTGGTGATAAAGTTGTAATTTTGGTTCATGGTAAGCAGCTGTACCAGCTGTCTGTATCAAGATGAAGAACATAGAGCGTCTCATTAAGTTGTCTCTAATTTTTCGTCTCCTCAGCATGACATTATTATTAGTATCAGGACTCTGAAAAGACTGAGCAAAGAGCTGGAATCTCTCTTTTAAGTGGCTGATTATGAAAACTTTACTTCATGAACAATATAACTTTGTTCCTTGAAATATAACATAGTCTTTATTGTCCCAAGAAAATGGGTTAAAAAATTAAAAATCTTTAAAAACTCATTAAGGTTCTTCAATCGTTGCTAACGGGGGTTAGCAAAGGAGCATTTCAATCTGAAATCTGATAGATAGATTTAGCTGAAAATTCACATTTCTACACATTTAGTATTAGGGCTGGGCGATATGGCCTCAAATCAATATCACAATATATTGATCATTTCACCTCGATAACGATAAATGAACGATAACTACTCCACAAGCTGCTCACCCCCTCTCACATTAACTTCATCTACTTCAGCCGCCGCTACAACTTTTGAACCGTCCTCCAGCTCCTCACCTGTCTTTCCCTCTTAGGTACAGACTGGATGGGGTGGAGTCACGTCTCTGATGTCGGAAAGCGTCTTAAAGGGACATGAAACCATAGCCTACCTACACACATCCAAAACCAACTTTTATTTATTTATTTATTTATTTGACAGTGAATATATTGACATCGACAAAATTACATTGGTTGTTGTCGTAAATTTTGGTATTGGTAAATTTTCGGTTAATTGCCCAGCCCTACTCAGCATTGATTTTTAATTTACAATGTTGTATCGTAAGCTAAAACTGAACGCAGCCAGATGAGGAGTCTTTGTCCTTAAGCAGTGAGTCAAACCTTTTTTAAAAATACGCAAAAACAAGAATAAAATTGACAAGTGGTTCGACAATTTAGGTTCTTTTAATATTAGTAGTGTTTTGAAATCAAAGTTGTTGTTTTTTTAGATATGCAGCAGTCTAAGATTGAAACCACCCTGAGATGTTTTGAACAGGGCAGCTGCTTTCTAAGGTCAACAGGTTATATGAAGCGACCAATTAAAGGCGAGGATAAATGAGACCAGGAAGTCACTCTGATGGCCTCTGAGAACCACTGTGAAATTTTTACTGAACTCACATCCAGCTAACCCACTTCTGCTGCCCTCAGAGAGAAAAAAACACACTAAAGCAGTTCACAGTCATGTTTACAGAGAACAACTTACACAAATATTTTCATCAGACTGGGAGGGAAATCTGAGGTTTTATGCATCCAATCATTATAGAAGTTTTAGGAACCAGAAATATGTCCCAGATAGTAACATCCATTTGCTGTTAGCATCAACAACTGAACACAAACCAAAGCTGTGGTTTGAAACTCCACGCAGTCTGCTAAAGCATTAGAGGAATTAAAGAAACATGAAGAGAATCAGACTGAGACTGTATCTCTTATTTTCTTGTGTTAACAGCTTTGCGAACTTTAGCTGTGAGACACTTAATCAAGTCTAAAGCTTATACCCAAAAACACTCATTTGTACACAGAAAAACAGCTTTCTCTACTGACTAATCTCAACAAAGAATCTTACTTACACAGAGCCCTGAAGATTTTATATCCTCTCAGTAAATACAAAAGGTTTTGGTAGGTTGTTTTATGCAAAAGAAAGACGAAAGAGAAAGAAAGAGGTCGGGTGAATGACAAGCTCCATATGGCCCTGAGCAAATAAAAACCTGGGAGGTTGTGATTCCAGCTTTAATCCTTTGAGCGCTGAGGGTCTCCAAATAATGGTTTAAAGGAAATTTGCTCATATTTAAACCCAAAAGTATGAGCAACCACATTGAAAAACTCAATAAGAGGGACATGTTGGTCGCTCTGTAACAAAAAGAAAGTGTCTCCTCATTTGCTTATCAGTCCGGTCCATGCCTAACAAAAACATCTCTTTGCCAAATCTGCTTATAACCAGCCGCAGCACACGGCCTGTTTGTCCCTAAATGCATCGTTCCACCATCCATCTTTGCACTCGAGGCTACTCTGCAAAACCCAATCCAATAAAAGTGTTATCACAGATTTTGGTCCTTTCAGCCAACCTTTTCATTCTTTATCTTAAGACTAAGCAATAGCAATCTCTTCTGCTGAACAAAACACTGTGACTGAACGGAGATAGAAATGATCAAACCACCGCAAACAGCCAACAGTGTGGTTGTTTTGTGTATCTTTGTTGTCTTTTCTGATGCTTTTCAAAAGGAAAACTATGATATGAATCCAAAATGGAAGTGAAATCAACCACAGCTCCTCAAGTGTGACTGCATAAGCCTCACTAGCTCCAGTGTCAAAGGGCAAACAAAACATGTCAACTAGGGGTGTCCCGATACAATATTGATATCGGATATCGGTCTGATATCACCAAAAAATGAATATCGGATTATATTGGCCTGCATCTAAAATCTCCTATATCAGCACTCCGATACAAGCAGTCCATTCCAGACTCTGCTCCGGCACCTCTATCTAGTAGCGCCCTGATCCAGAAAGCTGAGCTCACAAAATCACAACAACAGTGTGTGCTGAGGTACTAACAAAGTAGAGAGGGGAAGGAGTGATGTTGGCCTTGTGGTAGTATTTTTTTTTTTAAGTGTGAAAAAGACATAACAGCTGAGTGAAAAACTTGTCATGCACAATTTTGTGCCAATATTGGATCAATATCGGTATCGGTCAATATTGAAGGCTCCAGTACCGGTATTGACACCCCTAATGTCTACATCCTGGTCCAGAACATTGATTTGAGTATGTAGCTTCTGTATTTATTTGGTTCATATACTCTTATCTGTTGATATCGTCTCTTTGATTCAAATTGAGAACAGAAATTTTTTTTACAAATAACTTGCATGTCAGCTGATAGTTGGATCTACTGATAGGGCGGGTCGACTGAGATCAGCTTTGCCAACAATAAAGAAAGGGGTCTGTAGATTTCCATCAGTTGGTCATACTCCCACAGCAGCCATCTCCTTGTAAAGTCACGTTTAGGATGGGAAACTCATGAATCTGAATCATATTTTCTTAACCCACTGAGCAATAGACGGCTATTGGACATCTAGTTTTTTTTAGACCTAATGTCAACCGTCTCAATTCTGTATATTTTTAGACAGAATTTAGACGTTGCACTTTAACCGATTATTTGATAACTATTTATTTCAAAAAGCAACTGTGAGTTGCAGAACTGATCTCCAAGTACTTTACCAAAATAATTATGATAGCCGTTGAGCAATATACAGAGTAGAATAGATACAGCCCAGATTTAGACTTGGTCTAACCTTGGTCTAAATTTAGGCATTTAAAAAACTGTCATTTTTGGATCTGTGGTAGCATGATTTTAGACCAGTTGTCTAGGCTACATTTCAATGTCTATTCGACCTCTTTCAGACCAAAAAAATGCTCAGTGGGAAGGTGTTTCAGGTCCTAAATCGTTTAAATCTCAATATTAGCCCATGTTGTACTAATACAACAAAAGCCTTACTTCAATCATTGTAGTTCCTTTGAGTCTTTTTTTCCTGTGTCCTGACCCTTGCCTTGCCAGTAATTAAAATACCTTTGACTTAGTGACTCAGCATTCACACCATTCATAATGTTGCACATCACTCACTCAGCAATGCTAAATGTAAAGACTGTGTCAAAATGTAGACTCAGTCATACGCCCCCTCAGCAGAAGATCCCAAACAAATTAAATACCAGACATACGACAGCATGACTTACCCCGTACTCTCCTGTCGTCATGTTCGTCATGGCCCACAGGTTGACGTCTATATCTCTGGCATTTTTGTGGTCTGTACTAACAAGTCCCGTCACTCCTAAAAAGACAAACACACAATGTTCACATTAAGGGTCTGATTCAGAGTGTGTAACGTCATGTATGGTACTATCACAAACCCTCAAGTACCCATTACACCTTCAGCCTTTCATATTTGGATGAGTCATCGTAAACAGAGTTTTTCTGGTATTTTTAAGTATTTGAATCATAAACTCGAGTCCTTGTCCCTTTCCGTTATAACCATCTCTTTGTTGTTGTTGTTCTGGCATTGTGTTCCGCCGTCTACTTTGGTACAAAGGCACTGGAGCAATTTCCTGATTTTTCCTTTGATTTTGTTGTTTTGGTTGTCAAAGAAGAAAATTGTTGGAAATGATCTTGGACGTGCAAACATGACTGGAGAGAGCATCAGCAAAGATGGCATGTTTGTGTCTTGGCACCACAGCTTTGACTTGATCTGAACAAACAATGATTGTGACAATTCAGACAGTAGCAGCATTATTTTCATCTTTATTATATCAATTGTTTTCTTTTCATTTCATAAAACTGATCCTCGTGGAAGAACTTGAAAAACCTTAATGTGAACTCAAGGTAGAGAGCCAGAATTAGACATCAAAAACCAGAAAAAATCTTTTGTTCTGAAAAACCAGGCGCTACTTAACACTGTCTTTGACGCACTGTCAAAACAACCACAATGAATAAATACTTTTTATGAGTACTTTCAACATATTTCTTTGTTTTACTGCATCATGCTGAGCAGAACAGCCCTCGTCAGCCTGATTACCTCCTCCAGGATGATGTGAGAGCAGACATGGCAGCCAGAGAGGTAAACATGGAAGTGTGTCAGCACTCACATCGAGCATCAAACGGCCTTTTTAACTGGAGTTCAACGATGCTATAATTATTAGTATTTATTTGTTTGTCTTGTTTTAACCTTCTCTTGTAAGGCCACCTTGAGTGCTTTGAAAGGCGCCAATAAATAAAATGTATTATTTTTAATTATCATATTTAAAGGGTGTATTTAATCTCATTTTAGGGTCACCGATGCTTTCCACCAAACCATCTATCCACGTTTATGGTGTAGCACTGCAATCTTTTTGTGAGAGGCAGCTATAGCTTTCAGCTTAAAGTCTAACGGTAATTTCTGAGGAGGTGAAGACTTGAATATTCATCATTATCACGTACAGCTCACTTTCTCTGCATGTGACCAATCACTGGACTCTTGTTATATGAAAACATACCATCTTGTTATTGATTCAAACAAACAGTAAATGACATTTCCTCGATGATCCTCAATCTCCAAGCCATGGAGTTATTTTAACCCTCAGTTGTAACTCAAAAATAATACCTTTTGTATCAGCTTGTTGTTTATTCATAAAGCCTGGTTCATACTTCTTCATTGACTATATGCTGTTGTTAATCTGCAGTGGTTGTTACTACACTCACAGGAGTGTGTATGTGTCGCCCTATAATACCCTGACAAAACGCTAGTGTGATCTCTGTGCTAAAAATATGGCCAGTTTTTGGGTCTTTGCTTGTTTGTGCACAGGAAACCATGGCAACTGTATCTGAGTGTTTTCAGATTCACAGTATTTAATGAAGAGGGATATTTGAATTAAATTAAACCGCAAAAAGTACCAAATAACAGTTATCATTTTTTGGCATCCGGAAAGGGAAAATAAACAAGGGACTGGAAGTAAAGAGGCATCTTTGTTGATCAGTGGTGTTGTGCTGGAGTTAGAGTGAATGAACTTTAAGCAGAAAGACAAAAAGAGGTGAGGATGGAGGAGATGTGACGCACAGAGGCATGTGGAGTACATGTTACCCAGCTGATTGATCACCAGGTTTACTGCCTGTATTGATCAGACACATCACTATGCTTTTGGGGAGGAACATGTCAAGCTTTGCTCACAGGCTACTCCATATGCAAACCAATGGCATACATGCAAAAGAATAGATTAAGCACAGGAGTATGAATCACACTTTAGCCTGTCCTGAGTGCGACAGGGGCAAATACATGACATATTGCTGCATAGGGTATACCATGACTGTATAAAGATTTATGCAGAGTCAGTGGTTTATACAAAGAAAATGTCATGCACACAGGTTTCTGGCAGTAGAAAATCTGCAACCCTGTATCCTGGTTAAGCTTCTAAGATTAAACCAAACATTACAGAGCTGTGAGTTCAATCATACAGATATGAAAATATGAGACACAATTGATGTTTGCAAAAAATGAAGGATTTCCACAAAGATGCAGACCAGTAGAGACAAAAACGGTTGAAAAATTAATCTATGTTTCAAACTGTGCTCACAAACTTTCTTTTCTTTCTCTGTTAAAAACCTTAAATCTCATCAGTGTCTTCATTGCAGATGGTAATGCATTCATAGTTTTATACCTCTAACAGAGAAGCATGAGCAACCCTGTGTTTTTCTCACTTCACTTATAAGGTGGATTAAAATGTAGTTACTGTCACATCTTTGTTTTACTAAACCAATATACTGCTGAACTGTTTCTTGACTGATTAAATCCTCCAGGCTTTACCTTGGCATAAGTAGTAGCTGGTAATTTACTATCATAGCGCCACTTTGGAAAAGTTTCCTTACTCCAGTTAGATCAGCTAAAACCTCTTTCAGCCGGCATATCACTCCTGAAAGAGTAGAAAAAGATGCATTTGTCGATTCGTTTGTTCACAAACCAACATTAGCTCACCCCAAAATCTGCGGTTCTGCGTCCTCATTGTGATGTTGATGCCGTCATTCTGGGCTCCACCTTCTGCCAGCGTCTCTTCTAAAGCTTTTGCGTATAACACAAAACCGTCATAGAAGCTGCCCGCGATGTAGTCCATCTGCAGGAGGAGAAGTATCGATGTTTAAACTTTTAACAACACAGTAGTTTGTGCAATACACAAGGTAATGATTACAGAGCTTAATGATGGAAAAATAAAAATACTTAGCATGTTAATGGAGGAAACCCCTATTCTAGAGCCAGCACGCCAATAGGAGCATGCTCATGAAATGACACAAATCTGGCTAGTTAAAGTGCCATGTGAGTTGAAGACAGTAATAAAAGAAAAACTATTAATTGCTTACATTATTGTCAACATCATTCATCATTAACAGCTGACATTTACACAACACAGTGGGTGTTTTTGTCCATATAAAGTCTAATAAAAGATTAAAGAGGGTGTGATGCTGCTGGGAACACATGAGGTTTTTACAGGCTGTAACTCACCAGCGACGGCTCCAAGTGCACTCCGAAATCCTTCAGAGCTTTGGCGTGGAGTCTCTTCTGGAATTCTTTGTACTCTAGATTATCAGGAGGCCGGTATGTTATGACGAATACAGACTGGAAGAGACACAGAGAGGGGGAAAAACATTTTCATTCCTGCACTATTAGTGGTTTCTTTTGGCACAGAAAACATATGAAATCAAAATATCAACACAGAATAATATCTAAAACATTGATCATTAACTGACTCAAAATTTCCATGTAACTGATCGTTTTACCTGCTAATAAACATTGATCTGCAGGGGCAGCTCTGTAAATAAGCATGGTTTTATTCCCATCTGTGCACACTGTTTGCAAATCTGCATGTGCAGGTAGGGCTGGGCGATATGGGAAAAGTTTATCACGTTACATTTTTTTCATATCAATCAATATCGATACATAACACCATATAAAAAAATCACTTGTCAATCTTAAATGTTCCCTGTTATTCTTAAATGAAATTTAACAGTGCCTTTTGGTAGCATATCTTTTGCAATACAAGAAGCTACTGCATCTGTGAGGTCTTTGTGTCTCTTTGACATTTTTTGTAAGGCGTTGCGCTAGAAAAAGCGGACTGAAAGGTCGTTTCAGCACTGCACAGAGCAACTCCTCCTTTCATTGGCTATTCGTATAGTCGACAAAAAATGGCTAAATGCAGGTTATCAAAAAGCATACCGACTATATTTTATATTGATATCGAGGGAAATAAATTTTTGATATATATCATTATCGTTTTATCACCCAGCCCTATGTACAGGTTATGACTCTATTATTATCAATCCATCTCTACGCTTTTTTTTTATCTCTGCACATACATTAGCAGTTCACCCTCACTGTTTACAAACCCATAAACAGATTACGAACTTCACAAAGTTCCCAAAAGTCATCATAACTGAAAAGTCATCTTTCATCAGGCTATAGATTCAGCAGAACTATAGCACAAACCAACATGTATATAGTGGATTTGTAATCTATAATTTAGTATATTACTATAGTCAAATTCAATCTTATGAAACATTCTCATGAGATTTCAAATTAATCTTGTGAAAGGATTCAAAGGCTTTCATGGCTCTGTAATACAGAGGGTGACAGGTAAACAGTGTAATGACTCTGCTCATAATAAGCGGTTTAGAAAATGTCTGTAACACCACATACACTTTAACAGAGCCATCTCATATCCAATCAAGTGTTTGAATAAAGAAATAAACATCCAGCCAGGCATTTCAGTCAGAATGTGACCTTCAGTTTTGTTAATATGCTTGCTGTTATGACAGAAAAAACAAGTCATACATTTATTTGAAGGCATCTGATTTTGCTCTGAACAGAGAGATATATAGATCCTTTTTCATGTCTCTACACTGGAGCTTAACCACAAACTTCCATAAGCAATTATCGCTCTGAAAGAAGCACGTCGCCATAATGAGCTCTGTTATCGCTCGCAGACAAATTAACGCTTCACAGGAGCAGCAGAATGAAAAGCCAAAGTTTTGCTCCAAAGCCAAGGTTAGGAGCAGTTCACAGTCAGATGAACAGATCTGAGGTCTGTTTTATACTGCAGCTGTTTGATACTGACGCTTTATTTCAAACTTCAAAAATCCCTTTAATGAATCCAAAAATCTCGTCTCCAATATTAAAATTATTTTTCTCTTGTGTAAATCCAGCCCTTATGAACACACACGTTAATATTATGGCTCAAACTATTGTATCTTGAGTGGGTGTGGGCTGATTGAAGTAGTTTGTTTTCACTTAGTATGAATAATCATTAATGCACTTTGACCAAAATTAGTAACTTGTTTGCATTAAAACTCAAATATTTCAATGCCAGCTAACAAGAGGTTTCAGAAGGAGAACTCTAAAGGCTAAAGCTATTTCAAACCATAAATTTGGCCAATCAGTGATTTGACTTTTATGTCATCGCACATGATGATGAGTTTCCCACCCTGACTGTGACGTGGCAGAGAAGAGATGGCAACCATGTGAATTTACTGGTGCCCTTCCACAATCAAGCTTCAGGTACATTTCTTGCTGCAGTTTAAGGTTTTGATTTGTATATTAACAATGATCATGAAAATTTTATAGATATGTGGAGAGTATCTGAGAACTGTATTTGGTTAAAGATGCAAAATTTCACTGAAGGCCTGAAACATTTCACTAAATGCAAACACGGAGCAACTCAAAAATGCAAAATAATTCTTGAAATGCAGCAATCATTTCATGAAACCCAAAAACAATCAGAAAATTGAAGAATATTTTGACAAAGTACAAAAACTATTTCATGAAATGCATAAGCATCTTGTATGAGGTAATAAGATAAAATTATAAGCAAAAAAAATCAAAAATCATGATTGCAAAACAAACAAAAGTTGAAAAAAAAAGAAAAATATTTACACGTTTTAAAATTATTTTTGTATTTCATGAAACATTTTTGTGTTTGTGAAATTGCTACCTTCTGTAAATTAGATTTTCTGGTGTTCATTTAAAGATTGTGAGGGGACCCTTACGGGCCACCATACATTTACAGTGATCTTTGATTAACATGTATTTCTATGTTTTTAAACGCTGTCATTAGAGGTGCAGATAGGCGAGGAAGTCAAACATACATAACGCTGTGGAACACATTATTGCCCCATAAATGCAAAACAGAAGCGCAGTATTAACATTTATTCATTAAGCTAATGTTCAAAATCCATTTTAAGCATTGGAGCAAACATGTGAAGTCCATTATGGGAGACATTTTTATAATCAATTCAACATAAAACTTGATTTATATTCAATTCGTCCACTTCAAAACTACATGAACACTGAATTAAAGAGAATTAAGAAAAGCTGGTTTGACATTTAGGGAGATCAATTAGCCCACGACAGAGTCTGTGCCCACTCTCTGATGTCTCAGAGCGCTAATTTGTTTGGCTTAATGGCTTCCTGTGAAAACAGATTTTTTTTAATGTCATACAAGAATTTCACTCGTTAAAGTGGTCCAAAAGGTGGAAGGGTCTTTTACCTCTGACACTAAACTACAAAAGTGATTCATCCTCCAAAGATCATCCGTAAGAGTGCCTGTGAGCTTCTCCTGAACATACACATTCATCATAACGTCAGCACCGTAAAAGCTTCATGTGATTTTAACTTGCTGTGTGAAACTTTTAAAAGCTAGTGAAAATTAATGAGACACCACTTATTCACAAAGTGTTTGAACTAAGTGTCCCTTTTTGCTGCATTTGAAGACTTTTTTTCCTGTCAAACTTAGTGAACGGAGTCTGATAACGATTAAAGGATTTGGAGAGAAAATGAATAAAAACGACAAATTAAATATCAGTTGTCAGAGACCGTCATTCCTCTTTCCAAGTGGTGGTTTTTGGTCTTGTATAATTTCCTGACGGTAATTACAACGTCGGTGAAACGGTGACAGTCCACATTCAGTAAATCTGTGTAGAATCTGGATACAATCTATCAAAAGAAGTGATCCAGACTAATGCATGCCTTCTGCTACACACTGTGTGTGTGCCCACGTGTGCATGCATGTTTGCGTGAAGTGCCAGCTCACAGGAAGACAGTTCCCAGAAGATTATTTTGCATGCAGAGCTCCATCAGTGGTGTGTCAACCCCTGCAACTTTAAATATGATTGGCTGAATAGATATCGAACCTTTATGTACCACACGTGTTCATCCTACCTTAAAGACTTGGATGGGATCGGCCCAGTCAGTGTCAGTGTTCTGCCATGGTTTGCGATCCGTCAGACTCTCGGCATACACGTCCAAGTAGAAAATGGCGTAGTTTTCTGGGTCCTGGATCTCACTTTGAAACAGTTTCATGATGTTCAGGAAAGTGTCCAGAGGGCCACAGATGTATACAACTGCAGAAAAAAAGAAACAGAATAATAAAAGGATGTTAATAAACTGTATTTTGAACAAGTGAACAAGCTCTTTATGATCTTTATTATCACACACTGTTCTGATTTGATGTCTGCATACAAACTCTTGTGTTTATAACTTGAGCAGTGATCCACAAATGATTCTTTAAACAAAAACAAGTATGTAAACACAAATAAATACCAGATGTTATGGGGTGCATGTATGAGGAAACAGATCCACAACAGACGCAAAGCGTACAGACATCATCTCTGAAGCTGCAGGGCGTAAAGATGACTGAGAGAAGCGGTGGATGGAGTCTGCTGCAGGTGGACAGAGTTAAACTAGCTCCTCTGTTAGCACATAAAATCAAATTCCTACATTTTTATTCAGCCTGCTCTGCATTGATGTTTTAAAATTGTGTGAAATTTAGCAGCGAGAGTTGACAAAATCGTATTTTCATTAGAAATACAGTCGATTTCATGAGGAGTTCACTGAGTTCATACAGCAGGAGTCACATATTGGTGACTTCTCTGTGCCCCAGTATAACAGCCCAGGTAGCAACTCAGAGCAATTGTAGTAGATTAGGGTGATCATATTCTGAATCCCCAAAAAGAGGACATGACTACGCGGGGGGGCGGAGTCACGGAGTCACGGATTCGTGTGTAGTCAATTTTTAGAGTTTTTCGGGTCAGATCGAGTGTCTTTTACACACTTCTTACTCAGTAAGTCCACGTGACACAAACCCGAAACTTCCAAACAAAATGCCGGACATTTAAAGGATTTTATAAACGTCCCTGGACAAAGCCGGACAAGGCCGGACAGCCTGGACAGCCCCCAAAAAAGAGGACATGTCCAGGTAAAAGAGGACTTATGGTCACCTTATAGTAGATATTACTAATTATGGCTGTTAGTTTCTAACCTCATTATCTATGCAGTGATCTTAGTGGCAGCCTGGGCAGGAATACTCTGATAACAGGGTTTGCATTGATTGGCTGCCTGAAATAGGGCTGGGCGATGAACCGAAAATTTACCGATACCGAAATTTACAACAATAACCAACATCATTTTGTCCATGTCAATATATTTGGTGTCAAAAAATTGAATAAATAAAAGTTGGTGTTGGATGTGTGTAGGTAGGCTATGGTCTCATGTCCCTTTAAGACGCTGTCCTACGTCGGAGATGTGACTCCACCCCATCTAGTCCGTAACAAAGAGGGAAAGACAGGTGAGGAGATGGAGGACGGTTCAAAATTTGTAGCGGCGAAGTTAATGTGGGAGGGGGTGAGCAGCTTGTGGAGTAGTTATCGTCTATCGTTATTGAGGTGAGCTGCTCAATATATCGTAATATGGATTTGAGGCCATATCGCCCAGCCCTAGTCTGAAAGTTGTCTGGGGTGTGGGGAGGGGGCGGGTGGAGCAGACAGAAGCAGACGAACTAAAACATCAAAAGAAACTTGACGAGCCCTCCAGGAGAACAGGACAGAGAGACAGGAAACATGTGGAGCCAAGAGTGGGGAGGACATTCAGCAGAGCGTCATGGCAGCAGTTCATCCAGAGACCACGACAACAAGGAGTAAAGCCTCAAAAAAAAGGCAAAAAATACCAAATGAAATAAGCTCAAAAAAGTTTTCGAGCTGCCAGAAATCAAACCAGAGACCTTTGTTGGAAAATAAAACAATGTATCTACCCACGACCTTCACTCTACCACCCACACCCTCCTGCCTGTGCCATGAATAAAATAAAAAAAAAGTAGCATAATTTCCATTTGCAGTGTATGTCAGAGTAGCTCCTGCCAGCTGCATGCAGTCCTCCCAGTTAGCAGACATTTCCTCATGTGTTAGACCAAAGTCTGCTGCTGCTGCTGCTGCTGCTTTAGACCCCGACTTTCATCTATTCCAACACGGCTCACCCTGCCAAGTAGTCCTACAGTCTCCTGGACCACTCCCAAAATAAATGCGCTCCACAGCCGGGGGGGAAAATGTCCTCTTGTTTTCTAACAGGCGTACAGTACACCAACCTGCTGAGCTGAGGCTTTGCTTTACACAAAAACACATTAAATTGTTTTGTACAAGCTGTTCTGCTTCACAGACTCCAGCATGGTAATCAACTGTGTTATTGCACTGATCTGGATGCTGCAGGGAACCTCCTCCTGGTGTAATATAGCCTCTTACTGAGCCCTAAATTTAACATTTTCCAGCATAAATTTGCCGATAAATCACAGATAATAAGCTTTAGTTCTAGTTGAGAGTTGATGTCTTCATTTTTTCTTATTTTTGGCCTGATTTTGCAAAATGAAGAATCACAACTAGTTGACGGATTTCCAAAGTTAAGCAGGAAATTGAGCAGTTGTCTCTTTTTGTCAAACAGATATGTCATTTTCTCCAGATATTTCTCAACACTGTAACCCAACATGTGACCTGCACTTTTAAAATTGACATATACTTTTCATTTGTTGATTTTCTGTGCCAATTAAGTCTGAAAAACATATATAATCATCAAAATGACTCATAATAATAACCCAGGGATTGATGACGGATGGTTGAGTGCTTTTCCTTGATAGCGCTGCAGTCTGCTGTGTTTCAAGATAATGACACTCAAGTCGTAAGTGAGGGAGTTTTGTTTTTTTTTTTCCCCAACGGAGAAAATGTGATAAAACACTGAATAATGTCACTTCATGAGAAAAACAACTGCAGAGAGATGAATGACAGACCATATAATTATCAAATCGGTTGTTATTTTCTGTGGCCCAAGACTTAATAGAAAAAATAGACATTTTTATTGATCAAAATGTCATTCTCGCAAAAATGCTACGATTCAATCCTTTTTTGTTTTCAGAATCAACAAGAAAACCCTGATAAGGAGTTTTGCAATGTTCATACAATAGTCTTTGATTCATATTGATGCTTTCTCATTAAGCGCAAACAAGACTATCAGTGACGAATTTGATGATTTTTATTTTTTTTCGTTTTTTAATCTTTTAAGGCCTTAAACTGGTGCAAGGTGATAGGTATCCAATAAGCCGCTGGAGAAACAACTGCTTTGACAATTTCACAATAAATGACACATTTGAGTGTAAAAAGTCAAAGACTGTTTTATCCACAGGGGGCGCCAAAATAGACACAAATTAAAAGTTCCTCACAGGAGCTTTAAATGTTTTTGTTTTTCTGTATTTCTTAAGAATAACTCTAGTTTCATTTAGGGTTGAGATTACAAATCCTTTTTGTAAGAATTTCAAGGGACAAAGTGAGGCCTGCCTAAGCTGCAGAAAACTACTGCGAACATCCATGCCCTTAGCTGTTGCTTTGCTTTAAATTTGTTCAAATTATAAAAAAAACAGAGTGCCTTTCATCCTGAAGCATTCATGGAAAATGATTTTGTCACCAAGGTTGATGCCGAGTGCCAAAATCTGCCAGAGTTAGAGGCAGATCTTGTCTTTCTTTACTCAAGGTTTAAACTACATGTGCTAGTGAAGCAGCTGCATTCAAAGCTGTTTTTTTTTTCTGCTTTTTAAATGAATCAACATAATGAATGCAGTGACTCCTCTGTGTGATAAACAACGCTTGCTCCGTCACTCAGAATGGAAATCTTACATTTCACTTTTGCAAATTCAAAGTTAGTGTAAGAAACAGTTTGTTTACTCTACGGGAGTTGTTTTTTCTCGGGTTTTAAAAAGGAATATATATCAAGGACAACATCTTTAGTTACTTGTCAAATTTAAACAAAAAAAGATGAATCTCAGATGGGACTCTTAGTATCATGAAGATGATGTTACTATTATAATACAGACAGATGAAGCGCCAGCTAATTATTAACCACTCTCAGGTTGTGCCGGCCTTATGCCATACAACTTTTCATAAAATTTTGAAGTCACAGACAAATTTCCAAAGTTTAGAATAAAATCATTAGCGTTGGACAAAGTTGGAGCGTGCTCCTGTGACATCAGTAGTTTGGACTTAAAGAGTTTGAACAGGGACATGCTGCAAACAGGTTTTGTGCTGAACAAGATGAAAAGCAGGTAGACATATGCTTCCTTCATACATATGCAGTTGATTCACACATGTTCCTGAAAACTTCCAGAAGTTTTCTGGGTGGGCTGCACATGGAGACGCAAGGAGAAATGATCAACCTGACCATGAGCAAAGGGGCAGAGGTGGAGAGGTTTATATGGTACAACTGGTGCAAACCCCGAGGAGCAACACAAAGCAGGGGGAATAGAAATGTCTGAGTACGAAAAAGGAGAACAGTTTTCAAGACAAATACAGCAGAGACATCTACACCAGCCTGTTTCCGTATAGCACTTCTGTAAATGCAGTACAAGTCTCTGCGGTCTAGGTCTTAAACTCAGGCTTTTGCGGTATGATTTTTACGTCGCGTCTTATACAAAGACTTATCTGCTGCCTCTTCACCACCCTCTCATATGACTGAGAGGGACATGTGTAAAGAAGCAAACCTTTAGGGGCAGAGCTCCAGAAATTTACAGGAAATGTTCAGAGGCCTGTTGCACCTGCTGTTGTGTCTTAAGTTAGAGCGTAAAGTCCACTCTCAACCCTACGCTGAAACGAGTAAAGTTGTAACTCAAGTTGTACCTTTTTTGGTCGCACCATATGGATGTGGACGTGTGTAACTATCCTAACTTGTTGGGTGAGGGAGGCTTTGGAAACTGTTAGCTAGGGCTGATTCGTTCTCCTTTTACCTAATTATGGCTGCCTTTCCACTTCTCAGGGTAAAGGTTGCACGTTGTGATCAAATTTTGCGTATTTCATCAAATTGTGCATGACTTTTAAAGATTCTTATTTCACATCACTTGCAGCCCCAGCAGTGATATATACTGATAACTTGGTAGTCCTGCAATAAGTGTACTCTTGCAGACCTAATAATAATGTTTATCTAACTTCATGCTAACTTGTACAGACACCTCTCAGTCAAACAAACTTTATTAACCTGCAGCCAGCTGTCTAAACCCTCCAAAATGTGTCTTGTTGAACTGGCAGTCCAAACACATCTCTTGACAGTTTGATTAAACTGGAGTATGATGACGTTGCTGCAGGAAAAACTGCTCTATCTCAGGTTATGGTTTTCTTATCCTGCATCTGGTCCATTATTTTCTTTTTTAAAAGCAAATCTGAGTGCCCTTTTGCTTATAATAGTTTAGAATTGAAGAAATTCAGTGGTCTGTGTATATAAAACAGAAACTAGCACTGATCAAAAGGTCAGTGATTCTCAGCAGGTTGTTGGATAATAAGACGTGAAAAAACAGGGAAAGATTGAGGTGTTTCTGCAGAATGACAGGCCTAAATAAGAAGGAAAAAAGTCAAACATCTGTGCATTTTTAGTATCGCTTATTGATATTTTATGATACTGTGTTTAATCTTGATCCCAAACTGCATCATCAAACAGTGCTGCCACCATGCGATATCACATCTAAATGCACAAACACAAAGCAAGCTATTAACAGCTTTCATCCTGTTCTGTTGCCTTATTGAATGGATTTTCTGAGGTGAACCTGTGTCGTGTTTTTCTTGTAGCTGCCTTTTCTCTCAGACTATCCTCTAGCTCTTTGTTTTTTCATGTTCTAATCTGTCTGACGAGCTTTTACGACTTTGTTGTATAACACATAAATTACAGCTTTTCCTCTGCAGCACTTCTTGGTTCTGAAAACGAAGCGAGAAAGCTACATCTAGTTCATCCAACCCTCTTCTTCTGAGGCATTCAGGGAGTAAAAAAAAAGGATTTCTGCAATTATGAGCTGCTAATACCTGAGCTGCACTGTGAAGAGAGTCTTTATCACTTACTGCAAGCTTCAAGCTGCTGTCACACTCAGGGAAAAGAGACACAACAAAGCCTGATCCAGTCTTTCTCTCACACAAATGAATTTTTCTCTTTTGTGTCACATTAAGGGAATGAAAAGCGTTTGGGCGACAGTGTCACAATGGCAAAGTGTTGAAAGCTGAAATGTATTTATAGAACTGCTTTAGTCTCAGGCTGAGGCTGAGCTCGAGGACGACACAGTAGCTTGGGGTCTGAAATATGTGACAAATTGACTTCTGAGGTTACGTTTCACAGTTTTACTATAATGATTTAAAAATAAAAGATAGTTTTGATGATGACACTGTGAGACGTGATTACGGTGGGGGTATTATGGCGACATTAAAGAAAAGGAAAAAAATGGTTTCCAATACAAAGTTGTTAGATTATGAAAAAAAAGGATATACTGTATATACTATGGACAACTTGGTTCCACCTTCCGCCTGTTTACGGATTTGAAGCCAAAAAGCTCTCTGTATTTCCGCGATTTTTCTCCATTTCCTGAAAACAACATTGCGCAGTAGCGTTGTACGCACTCCATCACTTGGGCAGTAGCATGGTAGGTATTCGGCGGGAGAGTCGCCAGGAGTCGCTGTGCTCAAATAGCCTTGGGTGAGCTACGCAATCTTTGTACGCCCAAAGGCTGTATCAGGTGTCAATCATAGAAAACATGAACCCCCTAATAACTTTTAAAAACGGAGCTGTACAGAAAAAAAAGATGACTTAAGCACAAACCAGTCTTACAGTAACTACATGTCAACACCACAAGCAAGAGGGAGAAAAATTTAAATTCTGTGTAGTTAATTTCTAAAGTTTGTCCACAGCTTCATAAGATTTGCTGGAGGAGGCGGGATTTATGACCTATACTGCAGCCTGTCACCAGAGGGTGAGGCAGACGGCGTCCATTTTATATACAGTCTATAGACAAAAGTCAAAGAAAATTTAGTCATAATGTAACAAGAATAAAATCTTTAACGAAAACAAAGTCAAAATATGAAGAGGATAAAGTCGTAGCAAAGTCATAATATTGCAGGAATGAAGCTGTAAGTGAGGTAGTAAATTTACTACAATAAAGTTATAGTATTATGAGAGGAGATATAAATTGATGAGAAATAGGTCAGATTTGTAGTCTTTGGTTAACCTACATGTTATTTTAGATGTGAAGATCAGAAGAGCGGTCAGCTGTCTGCACCAAAATCAGGGATGTGTAGCATCTTGTGCAAATATGTCTTTGTAAGTGATTTTAAATAACTGCATACTCAGTTAGTCAGCTGTATATTATGACAAGTTTAGGTATTCTGAGTTATGAAGAATAGCAGGCTGATTAACTGGCTTTTCATATATCTGCAACAGCTGTTTGTCCTCACCTGTTGAGCTTATTGAGTGTAAAATCAGAATCCACTTAATACATCTGTCAAATAGAGTTCAAATATTTCAGCAGAAGACCACTAGAGAGTCTGAAATAATGGAAAATAACTAAGTATCATTTCCCGAAAACTTGTTAAACTGTCCTTGGTTGTGTCTGCATTTTCCAGGTATTAAAACCAGGAATTTGGGGAATTTGAGGTGGCGGTGGGAGGGGTGTTTCACTCAACAAAAAGACGCAATTACTCGGTCAGCTGTCAGCGCTCCAAATGATCTGTGGCTTCACAATAAAAGCCCCAGTTTTCCTCTCACACCTCAATCAGCCTCTTGGCGTTTGAACCCACTCAGCGGTGGGGTGACACCACAGAGCCGACGGCCTGGAGCTTCTCTTCCGGGATGAAAGTATGCCAAGTCAGGACAAGCCCCGACAAAACCATTAGCTTCCCTGACCTCTAGCTCGCTGCCGCACTTCCATAATTCACCTGGGAAGGTGGGAATGTTGGCGTTTTGCACCTTTCACCTCTTTCCACTGCTGCTGCTGCTGCTGGGCTCTTTAATCACCTTCCCTCAGTGTTTACTGCATTGTTTGTTGATGCTGTTACTCTAACAACAGATTAAGAAGTTTAAAACTCTATTTATTTCACACTGCCAGAAACCATAATATTCCAACATTTACTGGTTGGAAACTTGCTCAGAGATGTTGAGCTGGCTCCAAAAGTTATTCTTTCCAAATGTTCCCAGGAGGAAAGGAAGATTTCTGCAGCTCAGTCATGCAAAGTCGTATAATATCAAGATCAGCTACATGCATATTTGAATATTTTATGTCAGAATACAGGCATTCAATCTTGAGGATTTTAGATTATGTAGTCACATGACAGAGAAGAGGCCAAAATATTAAGTCTGTTTACTCTAACTCAAACATTTCATGAGCGCTTCTTTCCTATCCTTAACCCAACAGCGTTTACTTTGCAGATTTAATCACATTTTGTATTTAAAATGAGACAAATAAAACTGTTGGATGATGTTCATTACGGAAAATAACAGATTAGGATGAAGCAACTCAATGACGGGGTACCATAAACATTTTCAGAAGTGTTTTAGGGAAGTATCTAAACCTGCAGAGGAGTCAGCGTGCTCACGAAACTAAACAACAAACTGCATCACATTGAAGAGCCTCCAAAACAACTTCTCCAAGTGTTTCCTGATCTGAACCTTCTGTTTGTCTGTCCACAACCATCATGAATGATCGTTAACAGATCTGTAAAACACTTTAGGAGTATTTGTGAATTAGAGTTTGCTCTAAAATCATTGATCAAACTGCACATCATAGGAGTTTTGTGATCAGGTAGTTTGTTCTCTTCTGAGGCAGTTTTTTAAATTTATACATTAAAGCTTTACATTTTCTGCATCTTTACAGTCACATGGAAGTTAAAACAGTGCCTATTAGAATATTGATCATGGTGTATAATATTACCCATAGCTCAAGTGAAGCCTTTCAACAGGTTATGAAATAGACTGACATTAACACTGACGCCTCTTAACAACAAAGTAGTGTTTGAATAAAACACTTCTCAAACATGTTCAGGACAAATTCAGCAAAGATAAAGGTAGTAGAGACAGACCAATCGATCGTGGGGTCAATAAAGTGGGCTGATTATTGGCATTCTGAGACAATCAGCTTCACATCATCATTGGTACTCACAGGGCCAATGTGATCATCATCTTTTCTGAGAGATAGGTCTGATTTCCATTCACAAATGACAGTGTCATAAATCTGAAACACTTACAGGCTCGTGTTCAATTAAAAGTCTGCTACAATGTGTAGAAAAAAGTACAATACTTTATAAGACTTTAAGGGTTTAGTTGAGGGTGTAGCTGAGACTAATAGGCAAAAATGTTGCAGCTGCTTGTCAGGAAGCTATAAGTCAATTGGAGTCAATTAAAAGTAAAGCCTTTTCAATATGGCGTCTGCCATTGTTGGGCGTCTATGGACTCACTAATGAGACTTTTTACATGGTTTATTAAGTTTAATAATGGTTTTACATATGATGTTTGATATGGTGGAACGTAGGGTGACCATATTCTGAATCGTGGGGGCGGAGTCACTGTGTCGCATGTAGTCAATTTTGAGAGTTTTTCTGGTAGAATCGAGTGTCTTTTATGCACTTCTAACTCTGTAAGTCCATGCGACACAAACTTGAACATTCCTTACAAAACTCCGAGCATTTGATGGATTTTACAAACTTTCCCGGACGAAGACGGACAAGGCCGGACAGCCCCCAAAAAAGAGGACATGTCCGGGTAAAAGAGGACATATGGTCACCCTAGTGTAACGCCACTCTACACTGTTGTTGTTTATCAGGGAATACTTCGAACGCAACACTGAACTAACACACCAAAAATTATTGGCGGTGCCTTTTTTCAGCCCTGCCCAGCAGACAGCCTGATTACGCCCCTGTTTTGCATCACCTCTGCTATTCGCCTTTAGGATATGCTAAGCTAATAACCTCCTGACTGAAGCCCCTTGAGGCAGACTGATATCAATCTCCTCGTCTCGTCCAAATGAGTCAGTTAGTTGGACTCTTTACCAGAAAACAGCTACTATTTTGGCCTCGGGACATGTTTTTGTAAGTGAATTTCCTTGTGGTCTTCGGGGCGCCATTCTGTATTACCTGCTTGCAAAAAGTAACCACTTCTCCAAAGGCTTTCTTTTTATCCTCTGCAGTCAGACTAATGTCTGATTTACACTGTCCTGACACTTTTATTCATTCTATTCTTTATTGTTTACCCTTATTTGTTTTTTTGTACTGTTTCTAAATACTACTTTTTATGTTTTCAAGCTGTTCTAAACAAATCTCCCCCAGTAGGACAAATAAAGGAGTTTTGATTTATTGATATCTCAGTGGGGGAAATTGATGGTGTTTTCTGAGTGAAAACATTTAACAAGTTTCTGTCTTCATTGCTTTATTCTCAAATAAAAATGGAAAATCAAATGGATATTTTAACAGCCTGAAAAGCCCAAACTTATAATTCTTGTAACTGAGCAGCAAAAAATCCAAGTCTTCTTCGTCAGCCTCTGCATACTGAGCGGTCTGTCTCCTCTCATGCAGTAACACATGTGCAGCTGTGCACGTGCACTCTCAGTCAGACAATTAACTCTTCACAACAGCAGTAATGATTAAGTCAGCCTCACAATGTTTCCAGTTAATTAAACTTAAAGACCGAACAGTGACGAGAGATTTAACAGCCACTATACTGTGTCATTTGTTTCAACAGAAGACAGCCACTTTAATTTACATTCAAAACAAATAACTCTATTTAATTCTCAAAAAGCTGGATCAGTTCTATTCTGGGTTTTCTTTATGTTTTTTAATCTATTAAGTGGTCACTTAGGAAACTCTGCCATATTTTGAAATAAATGAATAAATAAATAAACTTGGGTCAGTTTCAGCAAAGTTTGGTTTCACCTGCAGGGTATGTTTGGACTGAGAGGACACCCATTTGATCTTGTCCTATCTCTTTCCTCTCTTTTTTCTCTCTTTCTTTAAAAGTCCAGGTGGTGGTCTTCCTCAGGCAGTAAAGCAGCAGCAGCAGCAGGCTGCCCACAGCCTAAACATTCCTGCGTTAAAACTCCGGAATAAACAGGCTTCTCCCTGCACCTTTTCCAGTCCACCTCTGTTTGGATCTACTGGAAAAAACAACCTTCACTGTGACCTCATTGTGTTAGAGGGGAATCACCCACAGCAGGGTTTCACTCTAAACACTCAAATAAGTGCCCCGAATTGAGCAGAAACATACTTTTGGATTCTGACACAGGTTCAGGTCAACTCGGGTATTTTATTTTTGTGCCTAGTCATGGGTTGGAGCCCCATTTTGATTCTTACTATTATAGATTTAAGTAGGTGCTGGATGCATTCAGCAACATTTGGTCCATTTTGACACATAAGGATCAGGCAGTAGCTGCAGATTTGTCAGCTGTACATCCATGATGCAAATCTCCTGTCCCTCCACATCCCAAAGGTGCTCTATTGGATGGGTTCTGGTGAATTTGGAGGCCTACAGAGCACTCATTCTTATTTTTAAAAGATCAGAGTTATTGATTATCAGCATGAAGACTGATCATTTCTTCATATCTGAGTTCACGTTATCTGATTTTGCTCGAATTCAAAACTGAAAAGTCATCTTTTTTTAAATAAAGTTCATCTGGCAGTGTGTGACCAATTTGGGACAAGTTACTCAAATATCTCTAGTTGGAGGGAATTTCCTCCTCCATCTGCCAACATTATCTTTACAGTAACCAGCTGGTGCTCTGGTCTGTTTCCTGATAATGTCAGCTACCTCCAGGGGTAAGATATTCTACTTCAAGCCAATTCAATTTCATTTTACTGACCAAAAAGCAGAACCAGCAGTCTAAAATGTACTTGAAGAACTGAGCTCAGCGAAGAACTCCCTGAACCCAAGATGGTGGTGTGATATTATATTCCTTCAAATGATGTCAAAGTACATTTTCCCATATAGTTTTTAAATAACCAACACTATTACTGAGTGAAGTCACTTTGATAAAGCACTTTCACAGGGTGAACTTGATGTATATTATGCATGAACTTTTAGGTTTTGCACCTTGTAGATGATCCCTGCACACTTTAGTCACTGCTGTACAGGGAGGATTGTTACTACAAATCAAAATTAAGGGCTTAATTGATTATATAAAATGCATGTGAATAAAACAAAGTTATATCTTAAACCTGTAAGGTCATAGAGGATCAAATTAAATATTTTTGCTGACATTCATTTTCAAAGTTTAGCTATAATTCAGAGAACAGTTGTTGAATCATTTCAGAGGATTGTTTTCATCCAGTACCTGATTTTAATGTGCAGCAGAGTGAATCCTTTGAAACTAAAACACTTCAGTTAAAGATCTATTAAGGAGTTTTGATGCTTAGCAAAGCTACTCGTCTGCAATAACGCGAGTAGGCTAAACGAGTTGTTTTATACCCTTGACTACTTCAAAGACAGGTGTAATATCTCAAGCAAGAAAATTAAATGCCTATTTCTATTTTTATATAAATTTTGTCCAAAAGTGGTGGTTGTTTTTTGAGAGTCATATCTAGTTTGGTTTAACTTCACACACAACATCAGGCCTATATTTGCACATCTCTGGAGTTGTCCTAACATCAAAACATGACACTTAAATTCCTCTCTAAAATCACTCCTACCCCACTCAGCGTGCACTTACTTCTCCCGCGCTCCTTCATGAAGGCGATCAGGTCCTTGTAGTACTTGAACTCATCCTCGTACGGCTGGGCCTCCACCGTGACGTTCATCTCCTCCTTCAGGTTCAGGTAGATCCCCTCGGACAGAAAGTAGTGCGGCCGGTCGTCCTGCCGCAGGTCGTGAAAGATCACCACGGCGCGGGACGTCCAGTTGAAGTGCGTGTGGAGCACGTTGACAAAGTCCCCGAGCTTGGTGGTGGACGGCCCGCTGCGCACTATGGTCCGGTACTCCTCGCGCTTATCGAAGCCGTACGCTGGTCCTCCGGCGGTGATCAAGGGGAGTTTCCAGTGCGAGGCGAAACGTCCCACGGAGGCGAGCGGGTACACGCACCCGGGTCCGAAGAAAGCGTCCGGGCGGATGTAAAGTTTCGCGTCCACGGCAACCACCTGCGCTCGACTCTCTGCGCATGAACCCGCAGCTGGATCCTCCGTGCTGTAGTTCAGGATGTTGATGGAGCGGCCGAGCAGCAGCCCGTGTTTACCGTGAAGGTCCTCGTGCGCCATGAGGATGGCCGGGAAGACGCGCGGCAGAGCCCACGGATACTTGAGGTGGTTGTTCGGGAGCATCACCGCCACGGTGATGTTACCTGCGCAGCCAGGAAGGAAGCAGCAGGACAACGCCGCAAGCAGGCAGCATCCCAGCGCGCTTCTACATCCCATGTCGCGTCCCGGAGAAGCCCCAGAGATAAAGGTACGGGCACGAGGAGCGCAGAGGAGACACGACCGGCTGTGGCAACCTCACACCAACACATAAGTATCCGTCTTCCTCGCTCTCTGTCTCCTTCCCCCTCTCTCTTTCTCAAAAGTCACACAAAGTGGGTAAAAGCATCATCCAGTTGTGCCAGCCCGGTTGTGCCATGCGTCTCCGGTGCGTAAATCCACCTAAAATAAAGTTCCGGTGTTTCCCCGAGTCCTCCTCCCCAGCGCAGCGGGTCCGCTCACTGACAGTCTCTGAGAGTGATAACATTCATCCAGAGACTGCAACTTAAATCAGAGCAGCCCTCTGCTCGGCCCCCGCACGTCACACACTGTAAGAAATGTCCACTGACACCAATCTGCTGACCACTGAGTTCTGCTTCACTATCCCTTCTGGAAAGTGATCGAGTATTCCTGTGATTTAGGTCTGGCTCACATACCTGTTAACTTTTCTGATTACAGTGCCACGACCGAATCAAACCTTTGTAAATTTACGGCTGACTTTTCACACTTTTGTTCCCACAAACCCACCAACGACTGTGTCAGATTGAGGACAAATAGGAGCATAAAAGAGGTCAATTTTCCAGCCTTTTGTCTTCCTTAAAATCTTAGTCTTAATAAAATTGTAATACGTTTAATTTTTTTAATGGGGTTGATTTTTTGCAGTGTTTGAATAATCATCTCAAACGGGCGTGAGCCGCCCCCTGCTGGTCGATCATAGTTTGGGGTCCAATATAAGCATGCTCCAGAGTCTAGTCTGAGGCGCATGATTCATTGATTTGAATAAAGGCAGCTCTTAACCCGTTATGGATCCAGTGTATTTGAACTTTTCTTTGCCTTTGTCACTTATTGCTTCCAGATAAAATTGAAAGGGTTTATGGCGGAGTTTTAAACGTGAGAAAGGGTCAAAGGAGTTTGTAGCACAAGTTTCAAAGATGGATAATAACAGCTGATCTGTCACCAATTCAACAGCCCCACCTGCTGGATTTCTCTAGGAAACTCACCTAAGAGAAAACAGTACTTTAAAAAGTTTCTATAATAACACACACTTTTATATAGATTTTTTTCCAAGTGAATATTTGCTCAGTTAAAGGAATATTCCAGCATAAAATTAAGTTAGGGTCAAGCACACCATAACGCCAAGTTAGACACCCCCTCCAGAGATGAATGTTGCCGACCGCTTTCTTCTCTAGTTATACCAACTTTAGTATCGACCGCATGGCAGCAATACAGAGAGCCACGCGCTCAACCAAAACGCCACTCTATAGCCACAAATAATGCTCAGAACAGCACCTAACTTCATCAACAGTACATATAGGGTCCCAGCCATAACACTAGCCATCAAACATCTTTTTAGCTTCGCCTGATTTCTTTAGCAAAGAGACTAAACACAACTCACCCCCTCTCTTCCAGCAGCCACTTGTTTGTAGCGAGACCTCCAGGGTGGTCTCGGGGGGACGCAGCTCAAGGAAGAACATTAATGATCATTACTTACTGTAATAATCACCATATTAATAATTTTGCATTGCAGACACGGTAGTTCTTCTGCCTTAGTGTCTCTGTCTGATTGCATTTCCATGAAGAAATGATCATAAATGTTCTACCTTGAGCTGTGTCACCCCACTGCAGCAATGGACTCGCCCAGAGGTCTCGCTACAAACAAGCGGCTGCTGGAAGAGAGTAGGTGAATTGTGTTTAGTCTCTTTGGTGGCTAGTACTATGGCTGGGACCCTATATGTCCTGTTGATGAAGTTAGGTGCTGTTCTGAGCATTATTTGTGGCTATAGAGTGGTGTTTTGGTTGAGCGCGTGGCTCTGTGTATTGCTATCGTGCAGTCATTACTAAAGTTGGTATAACTAGAGAAGCAAGCGGTCGGCAACATTCATCTCTCGACATGGTGTCGAATTCGGTGTTACTTTGTGTTTGACCCTAACTTAATTTTACGCTGGAATATCCCTTTAATATGCATCGGTTTAAGACAACACTCACGTGACTCTGAATTAAGAATTTTATTTTCAGCAAATAAGAGCTTGTTAGGCGAGGACAGTGCTAAAGCTTGCAGCTCATACAGCAGCATGAATGTCAGAAATCTGTTTGGCTATAATGCATAAAAATACACTCTCTATCATCACATTAGTTTAGAGAGGCGACCGACTTCATTTCTCCCAGTGACACAAAAAGACACTTTCCTTTAGGAAACATCAACAAGATTGTCTACATTCACATTCTCAGCGTTCAGCTCTATGGTAGCCCTTCAGAAGGTTAACTTTAGTTATAAGTTGAATACATGACTCTATTTGAAAAAGATAATAGCTAGCATTGGTGCCCAGCTAAATAAGCTTTATAACCTGGAAACTGAACAGTTAAAGGCCTAGAATAACTTGATAGATTGTTCTTTTAATACCCTTTTCCCTTAGTGCTGTTTTGTTAGTACGACTGACTCAACAGCAGGTTTCTACTCTTCAGGTCAGACTGTTGATCCGTCTGTAGGTCCATCCATCCTTTGGTCTCAGATCTCTGTCCTTCACTCCTTCAGCCAGCTGAGCAGCTGAGGCGTGTAATAGGTGATGATGATGTCAGCACCTGTGATACAGGAAGCAGAAAAACATGGTGAACAAGTCAGATGTTACTGACATCTACTGATAACGACAATCACATGCAGATAGAAGTTAATGGCGATTAGGTCTAATTAGTCAGTTAGTGCTTTGCCGACTGATCACTGCCCTGTCATGTGAGCTTTTCCTGGAAGAAAACATGCTGTCAGGATCGGCTCGCAGTAGCTAACTCAACATGAATGACGACTTACAAGCCCTGCTGACCTTTTCATCGTTACTAGCCGCTGTTCTGCCATTACATTCTGCTTTTTAAGATGCCGAGACTTCCTTCATTCATGAGATAAATGACCATCCCAGGAAAAGAAGGGGAGAGCTCGAGCTACAGGTAAAGACAGTTGTAAATCTAACAGATCTGGTGTTATTTTCCAATGAACTCATTAAGAAAGTCACAACTCTACACAGTTATTTACTTTTGTTTGCTGCAGTTGTTCATACCCGTCATCCTCCATGCCAGGGGGGCAACTAAATGATATACATTTACAATAAAATGGATATGCATTTACAGAAAGTTTCTGTCAGAATTAAGAATTTTTAAAAAGTACAAGTTCCAACACTAACTTTTAACATCTTGAGAAAATCTAAACAGAAACTTTCAACATCATATCCAGGAGTTAAGAGTTAACCAGATACACTTTCAATGTCACATTGTTTAGTGACATCTGGCCAATCAGATAGTGACTGGTGACAGATAGTGTCACCAGTGGAGAGTGAAAACAGACCCAGAGTGCCAACACATCAGCAGCAGAAACTTGTTAACTGACTTTATAATGAATCAGTGGAATAAGATACAGAAATAATCACACAAACATGTGTGTCTCTGCTCTGTGCTGTTCTCAGTCACACCTGCAGCTCTCGGAAATTCCAGACAGCAAGCAGACTGCTCCGAATCACAGGTTGGCAAATACCGTCATTTTGTTCAGTCCTTTTGGTGACTCACAACTATGCATGTTAACTTAACTTATATTATATCCAGCTGGTGTCTCCTGGTTTCTACATGTGTTACTTGACCCTGCTTACAAACTGTCTCATGATGTATGTTATGGTATCATGTTGTACTATATCACATCATATTGTATTGTAGCGAATCATATCATCTCTATATGATGGAAGGCACCTGGGCAGAGTGTTCTGAGGGGGAAGTTATGATAAAATGTAATCATTTATTAGACTATTTTCTATTAATGAACATACCCATGATATAAACATATTTGCGCTCTCACAGTTTCCTCCACCAGCTGATGTCTGAACATGTTATGCAGCCTCGTGAATGTGTAGGAGTGAAAGTTCAGTTTTGTTTGGACATGATCTTTATGTGTTTATATGTTCTCTGCATGAACTCCTCCCTCACACTTCCTTCCTGCTCACCTGCTCTGCGGAAAGAAGTCATGGCCTCCATCACAGCAACTTTCAGGTCAAACGCTCCCGCCTGCGCTCCATGCCACAACATGGCAAACTCCCCTGACACGTTGTACACCGCCAGCGGGTGAGTGGGGAACTAAAAGAGACCCGAGGGAAACAAGGTGATTTACCACACTTCCTCCAAAAGGCAAAATAATATTTGAAAATTATGTTTTTATAGGATAGTTTTCTCAATGACGCATGTTTCCACACTGCACTGTTGAAGTTTTGTCCTTTCATATCTAAACTGACCTTGTCCTTCACCTCTCTTACAATGTCCAGATATGGTAGACCTGGTTTCACCATCAGCATGTCAGCTCCTTCTCTCACATCTCGTTCCTGCAGCACAAAAAAAACAATAACATCCCCTTTAACTTTCTCCAAAATACACCTGTAAACAAAAAGTTCCCACACATACACACATCTACTCACAACAGCGCGGATTGCGAGTCCTCTGGCTCCAGGAGGCAGCTGGTAACAGCGTCTGTCTCCAAACGCAGGTTTGGACTGAGCAGCGTCTCTGTGGGAAATCGCAGCAGGGGAGCCTCAGTGGAGTCTGACAGCAAAGAGCTGTTTTACTGATCTGATTAAACCTGATCCTGCAGCTTTAACTCACCTGAAAGGGCCGTAATAACAGGAGGCAAACTTTGCACTGTAGCTCAGCACTGAAGCCTGGAGAAGGTAAGAGGCAAATGCAAAGAAGCTCATTTTAAAACAGTCTTATTGTGTTTAAATCTCTTAAAACTCTGTCCTAAAAATCATATTTTACTGTCATAGTCTATTAAAAATTTAAAAAAGGAATAACTGGATTCTTTTGGTGGCCTTTTGCCTTTATTAGATAGGACAGCTGAGAGAGACAGAAAATGTGGGGAGTAGAGAGTGAAGAAAGACATGCAACAAAGGGTCGAACCAGCAACTGCTGCAACAAGGACTACAGCCTCTAGACATGGGGCGCTTCAACCACAAGGCCATGAGTAAACCTACAGCCTACAAACTTTACCTTATTCCCCAAACCACTGGATATGAGGGCTTGTTTTATGGCTCTGACTCTTCCATCCATCATGTCCGAGGGAGCGATGATGTGACAGCCTGCAACACGTAACCAGGGCAACATCAGTGACGGTGCAAAGTTATGATTTGTGCCACAGATTTATATTTATCATGTGATATCTTCAAGGTCAGGCCAACAAAATGACTAATAAGCGATGGTAATAAAATGTCTTCATTTTTACTATTTGCACTTGTATGTTATATTAAAGGGGTTCATGTCACATCAGCTATATTTAATGTATTGAAATGATCATTCTATACAGAAACAGTCATTTGTTGAGAAACAAAAGCCACCAAATCTGTTAGAACTGTATTAGCCCATCACCTTTTCTTTTAGGGCTGGGACGATATGCTTTTCTCTCGATTCGATTCTTCTACAATTTTTTGGATGTGATTTAAATTGCGGTTCCACAAAATTGTCGATTTTCTCGATCTTTAGTCTGCATTTTTAACACCAGTGAAACAGTTGAATAATTATGATTGTCTACTGACTATTCCAGGAACCATAATTCCCTAAAAAATACACATCACATGTAAGTCAGTTTTTAAGATTTATTCTTCAATTTAAAAAAAAGAAAAATCAATTTTTGGACTTAAAATCGTTTTTAGAAATTGTAAAACAAAAAACCACGGTACTTATATGAATTGATTTTTTCTCTCACCCCTATTTTCTTTCCATCCAATAACAGAAAAGTATCAATAATGGACTTGATAAGGACTCACATCACTAAGGAGGCTCAATAATGGTATCAATAGGTATTAACAACCCCCATCCCTCACTAATAACAACCCTTTAGTAAATATCGAGCAAGATTCATTTACCGTATTTTTTGCACTATAAGGCGCACTTCAAATCCTTTTGGCTTGTCGGAGCACTGCAGCTACCGTAGCCTTGCAGAGTTATTGGATGAGTTAAATATAGTTTGACTTATCTGACTGTTTTCTTTGGCTTAATGCGCCTTATAATCCGGTGCACTTTATGTATGAAAATAGACGCAAATAGACGTGTTCATTGATGGTGCGCCTTCCTTGAAGACTTAAAAACAGGCAACTGGGCTGTGTAGAGTTGAGAACTCCAGTTGCCTGTTTTTAAGTTTTCAAGAAAACCATGACCTGGATGAATGAGAATCTATATGGACATGATGGTGCGCCTTATAATCAGGTGTGCCTTATAGTGCAAAAAATACGGTATATGTTCGTTGAGAAAAGAAAATTTTAAAACAAAGGAGTCTGACCAGGAAAGGAAAATGTGACAGAACCTGTGAGTGCTGATATGAGCATTCCTAAAAGGACGAAAAAGAACAAAGCTTTGTTTCTAAGTTGTGCATCTAGTCCTGAGTTCACAAAAGAAGAAAGAAAGGTACTGTCATGCTTCACGGCCTACAACGATTCAAAACAAAGCAGCAAGACTTACCAGCTCTGGCGTAGGCCAGCGCCACTTCTGCCAAACGCAGGCAGCTGGCGTCATTGTTCAGAGTCCCATCATCATTCAAGATACCTGCCAGAAAAAAATAACAAAGAGGAAATAAAACTTTTTAAAAAAAATATGTGTGGCAAATAGTTTATCTCATTTACTATTGCTCTGCATGAGAAATGAACATAAGGTAAACCATCTAAAGAGACACTTACCACAGTGACCATGTGATGTGTAGGGGCATAAGCAGACATCACACGCCACCAGCAGCTCTGGGAACAAAGACCTGATCTTCTTAACCGCCAGGACGGCCGGTGTGTCGTCTGTGTCAGCACCTGAACCTCTTTCATCCTACCAGGAAGAGACGCAAAAATAATAATAATAACACAGCAGGAATTCATCTCCTGGTCCAAAAAACTTTGCTATGAAAGAAATCATATCTTCATATTATGTTTCCAAACATAAACACATTTCAATCTGAGTGTTTGTAAAGTCTTTCTCCTCACTTGTAGCTTTACATACCTTTGCGATTTTTGCAGGGACACCAAAAATCAGCACACACTTCAGTCCATTTTCCACAAGCGGCTTCAACATGCCTTCCAGCTTGTTGACACCATATCTATTAGTGACACAGAAATCAAAAGTGGTGGGAGACAAAAATTAGGGCTTTAAGGACAAATTTTAACAAATGTAAAAGTCACTTAAAATTACAACAACATTATATTAATGCTTTTTGGTTATTATAGGATAAGCGCAGCACAACAGAGAAGTAAATATCAAGTGTAGGAGAATCTTTGGGGGTGAATATTAATCTGTTAACACGAGTCATGTTTAAGAAGTTAGAAACACCAGTGAATAGAATAGAAATGTAAAACACAAATACAGTTTCAAACAAAAATTTGGTTTTTATTTTTTCGAGGAATATAGATATAACGGATTTTCTTCTTATCTTGGTCCAGGTCCAGCGCTTGGATCTGGGTCCACCCTGCTTTACTGCCTTTATCAGAAGACAACACCCTCAGTGGGATCACAGTTGTGGTGTGGCTCTGTGTGTTTGTGTAGTATAAATGTAATGTATACGTTTGTGTTGTGCCGCCATGACTCTTACCTCGCTTGTCCAGGCAAGCTGCCAATGGGCTCCACTGCATCCTCACTGTCTCTGCAGCAGATCATAACAAAAACAGGATTATTATGGAGAAGATCATGTTCCGTTTTTCCTCCTCCGTTGTTCATGTTTATTGCGAGAAACAGACAAATTGCATTTACGTGATGAAGATTGGGTAGATAAGATTGTCAGGTCTTAAGTCCGCAGCACATGTCTGCCAGTGTCGAAGTGTTGGGTGGAAATAGCCACTGTGGAGGATGGATTCAGCTGGTGTCTGCATCTTTACCCTGGGAGACACAGAGGGTTAGAAAGAGAGTCAGGTTGAGAAAGCACAGGAAAATAACAAAGGTAGGAGGGCAAGGCTCTGTTTTGATAGTTCACCAGCAAAGCCAAACTTTAAGCCTTTTGGATTTCAACTCAGCTCAGTCACCATTAAAAGTGATCAGGCATGCATGATGCTGCTTCTCTAAACAGCAGCTCAGCGCTGAATAAACACACTGCAGATTTTTGAGTTTCTGAGAAGTAGTGGAATATTTCCTGCCAAAGATAACAACAAATGAGTTAGTTATACACATGGGGATTTATAGCAGAGTAACAATAAGACAATATCTGAGTTTACTGGTATGAAGAATGATGATTAAGTGTTAAAGGCTTGATCTCATGTATCTCATTTATGAACATTATTCAGTGCGTTGGTCAAGAAAAGCCAAACTTCAACTTTAAGGTCATAAATCATTTCTGTTACAGTGTTCAGGGATTTAGCTCGACATAGCATGACACACACTCAAAATGTAAGCCTTAAATTAACTATATTTCACCATGTACGTAAATGCTTTGAGTCTAACTCCTTACATTTGTTAACTGCATGTCATCCTGTCACCTTGCTTGTACAAAAAGTACCGTAGTGCTTACTCTACAACGAGCTGACCAAGAAACCTCAGTCCACGAAGCTAGTGAGCAGCTATCCTCAGACTACTGTTAGATTCGTATCCAAATGTTTTAAAAATTACGGATGTAAAACGTTAATGCCAATGAACGAGCACTTACCTGGAGCGACGTGCGCCACAAACTTCCCCAACACGTTCAGTCAGTCCTCCAGCACTGAAATGAATGGTTGCAACAGGACAGACAGTTGTTTCTTCTTTGTGTGTGACCTGCTGTTCGCGGGCAACTCCGGGCCGCTCTACCGCCCCCTATCGACTGGAGTTCTCTTTAACGCCAACAAAATTTCACAAAGCCCCTCCTGAGAAGAAAGTTGTCTCGAGTTCAATATATGAAAGCTGATGGTTATACAGAACCAGGATTAAGGATCAATGTTTGTATGATGTATGGATTTGTGTGATCGCTGTCCTTTTATGTATTTTATGGTCCTTTTATGTCTTTTATTTCTTTTATGCTTTCGTGTTTTTATTTCATTTATTTTATTTTAAATGTTTCAGTAACACTTTACAATAACCATAACATATACATAGTAAATAGACCAATTAAAAATGGCAAACAGATAGTTTTCTTATGTTCAATCATCATTTATAAATAGTATATAGACCATTCTACATCTAGATGTTCAATTAACACTAACTACATATTTCAGTTTCTTCTCTCAGGATTTCTTGGTTGTATTTGTTGAGGCCAAAGTCGAATTTTGTGACTTTGTTTTGGATCAACTACTTAAAGCAACATTTCAGGCACTGTAGGTTATAATTTTTCTCAGAATTTTTACAAAAACAAGTGTTAATAGCTGCTCCTCATTTACTTTTATTGCAATCTTTATGCACATCTCAAACATTGGCTCTGGGGATATTGAAAATGAAAATGTGATCCAAAGCCCAAAATGCAGAAAACATTTTACAGTGAATAAAGAATATTATTACACTCAAGTGTGGAAAAAACAAGAGTCTTTATTGGTCGAGAGGCAGTTTAAATCATAGATATTTCTTAAAAGGATAAATGGAAAATGTCCAGGAAACACAATAACATATATTCATGACATAAAAGCACATATGATGCTCAGGAACAATACTTGTATAAAAGACTCTCAGCTGTTAGAGCACTGTTAGTTTGAGTCAATGTTTGCAGGTTTGTCTTGTGGGCTGTTGTGTGTCGCTGTGCTGCTGTTGTCTTCAGTGTGTGAACACACACTCTGATGTGGTTTCTCCTCCAGGCTCCTCTTGATAGTCAGCTCTCTCTCGGCCTCCTCTACACATGGAGCTTTGGCTGCCTGAATGTGGAGCCTCCCATTTGGATCCAGGCAGCAGCTGACAGCTTCAGGGTCCAGGCCTTCAGGCAGATCAAACTCCCGTCTGAACTCCTGGAGTGTGTAGGAGCAGCAGCCTTTCTCATCCTCCAGCTTTTTCTCCGTCTTACCGCTGACTCTAAGCTTCCTGCCCACCTGTCTGACAGACAGCTCCTCTGGGGCAAAGCCTCGGGTGTCCAGAGTCAGGCCAAAGAGCTTTCCTTCTTCCTTCATCTGGTAGGACACAGGAATCACAGCCACACCACTTTGGGAATTCTCCGTCTTTTTCAGGATGTTGCATTGAAGCTTGTCCATAGCTTCCAGACTGTGCTGGGTCTCCTGTAGGGTTCTCTGCAGTAGATCTGGATGGTAAAGCAGAGGTCTGACCTCGGGCCACAGGCTGCGTACAGGCACGTAGAAGTCCATGAAAGGACTGAGGCGAGTCTGGAGTCTGTGAGAGCACAGCATCTTCACTGGTGGTTAAGGGTTGAGTCTTCTTGTTGTCAGATGAAACACTACTACAGTGTTGGTCCTTTCCAGTCTTGCTTGTGTGTCTTTTTGTGCCACCTGTTAAACTGTCTCAGCTTTTATCTGCTCACTGGAGAAGATCCAGAATCTTCTGGACTTTTCCTGTCATTTCCAGAGCTTTCCACAAGGAGGAGCTGTTACTCAGGAGCCCTGACCTCATTGTTCACTTATTTGAAACCAGAGTGTTTGCTAATGGTGTGTGACTCCAGATTTATTTGCAAACACACAGTAAATCCTTGATAACAATAAAAATGAATATGACAAAACAAACCTCTTAATTTTATCCATCTCACTGCAAAGTCAAAACAATTTCTACCAAATAATGGAGTTTAGAGACAGTAAAATATGACATAGCAAGGTGTTTTGATTCTAGATGTAATGTTGTGTCTGACAATTTTAACTTTATTTCACTGACAGTATGGATAGGATCACTGTAATGTTAGTGAAGTTGACTGAGTAGAAGAAAACAATGTATTTATGTTTATTCATTTTGAGACTCTAACAAGACACAAACTGATAGTAAGTTTTTAAAAAAAAAAACTGATCATAGCTGACTCACCATGAAGAGGCTGATGACTAATTCAGAGTTCTGAATATTGTTCACCTCTCCTCCAGACTTTTCGGGAACTTTCCTGTAGTTACCACAGCCTTCCACTAAGAGGAGCTGTCAATCAGGGGTGCCGTTTCATCCAAAATATCCTTTTTTTCCTTCACTGTCTGGGATTAGTTCATAAGGGATACAGAATTTTTTGAAACTACATAAAGCCAGATAGGTCCACACCCAGTCAGAAAGTTTAAAGGAAAAGATCAATAATTTGATCCACACAGTATACAATCATTGGTTGCATATCTGAACACTGTTGTAAGAAGTGACTGGTAATATACATACAGTTCAAAGTGTTCATATGGATTTCTTTTACCTTTAACTCGATGGTACATATCAATAAAGTCACTGGACTTTTACTGAAGTTGAATATTTTGTACTCGTTCTACTCCTGATGATTCATTGTTTTCATGATTTCAATTTTCATGATTTTCGAATTTTCCTCTGGGATTAATAAAGTATCTATTCTATCTATCTTTAAGGCGAGAAGCATCTTTGATTACAGTAACGGTCACAGGGGGCGCTCTTGCTGCATATTAAATATGACGGACCTACATTAAACAGACGAAGAAGCGTTACAGTCAGGAAACGTTAACACCGGTTCAGTTGTCTGGGAAACCCGCCATGTATGAACTCTCCGAATTTTGAGTGCTGTTTTATTTCACGGCTGTCCCTGGGTAGTTTTAGCTTTTTGAGACAGAGAGGAGGAAGGCGCTCGCAAACAAGTCGCTGAAGTGGATGAATGTTGAGCGGGGTTGAATCCTGTAACGTTGCTGAGGTGAACGGTGGCTTTATCGAGAATGACCCAACAAGCTGCAGCTCTGCAGACCTACAACAATGAACTTGTTAAGTGTAAGTTTCAAGCTTTTATTCTTACTTTGAAGCTACTGTGATACTGTTCGTAAATGTATTCCATGTAAAGACAGTTTAAGGTGAACGTACTCTGAATTAATCCAGTTATTCTCCTTCTACCTGCTGTTTGACAAATGGGATGGTGCAGGTCAATCTGATTATCCTGCTCAGATTATGTTGTCTCTATCACCTCCAAATCAGCCTTCAACCCTGTACAGTTCACATCAGGTCAACTAAAGGTCCAACTACTATTTCTGTGTAATATCAAGAGGTTATCTATTCTGCAACGTAGGGGAGAGTGGGGTAAGTTGAGCCACCCTCTGTTGCTTGGAAATGGTAAAAGAAATTGATAATGTGACCAAATATTTAGGAGATGGGCATCAATTCATTGAGTCTGTGAAGGTTGGAAGCACAAAAGTGAAGGGGTTTGACATTTATTTACAAAAAAAAAACGTTTTTCAATCTTGAAAGTGAATTTAGTCTGTCATACATTTTATTAGAATTGTGTTCAGACCAAAAAAGTTGGAATGTTGGAATCTATGAGTTACAACATGAGGTCCAAAAGCTAGCATAAAAGTCCACCATTTTAGATTAGAGAACTCATAAAGTCATAATAGTAGACAAATAATAAACAAATATGAAAAATGGCTCATCTTACCCCTCTCTCTCTCTCTGGTAAAGACTGAAATCTACTTCATGTAAAAACCTCTCAGTAGATGATATAAAGCAAACACATTTTGACCATCCTTTGATATAGAGCTTCTAGTCATAAAGTAACATCCAGTCTCAGCATCAGCTCACAATGATCTGTCACCAGCCTAAACTGATACAGAAAGTCTCTGCTTTCCACTTCTCCATTAGGTATTGAGGACCTGTCCACCAAGAGGGATGAGCTGAACCGTCAGATCAAGCAGGAGGAAGAGGAGAAGGAGCGGCTGCAGCATGACATACGTATCCTCTCAGAAAAGCTGAACAGAGTCGAGGAGAGCCTGGCGCAAAGACTAGTTGCCCGTGCCACTTTTGATCGCACCATTGCGGAGACTGAAGCCGCATACACCAAGGTGAGGAGGGCCTGGCTAAATGTCTGTATTTTCAACAGGTGTGATGTGCGAATGACAGGGTTTCGGTCCACTAAATGTGTAATTGTGATTATAGTTTTGACAAAGGGAGAAGTCAGTTGTGTGTTCCTGGGAACGTTTTATGCTTAGACAATCCAGATGAAGGTTATATAAGTGGTTTTATAAGATTTTGTTCAAAGAGTGTAAAAACAAATCTTTCTGTTTAATGTAATGTATAGAGCACTACATTAAGCCATGCATGCATGTTTCAAATAGTTATCCTTGACTTAAGGTAAAGAAAGATTAAAGGAGATTTAGTCTAAAATAAATAACAAATTTTCCCATTATGTGATTCATCTCGGCAGTTGTAGCTTTTAAAGTTGTTTCATTTGTCAGAGTTTTACATCCATACATCAGTTTTGTGTGCAGGCTAAGATAGATGAAGGTGTTAGTGACAATTGAACATCGGTTTTGTGTTATGAAAAAGTTCATCAAACTTGCGGTGAACCTAGCCTAACAAGTAGTGGATTCTGTTTTACAATGTTAATGCTAAGACGACCACTGAGTTTACATTGTACTGAATGTATATTTTTACTCAATTACACAATACTACAGCCTGATTCCAAATATCAAAGCATGGTTAAAAATGGGTAATACTCATACAACTTTTGTCAAATATAATATTTGACTCACACTCTGTGTTTTGGTCTCTTTAGCCGGTGAGGAACCATTACGTTGTCCTTCTGCTGCAGCTGCACCCCCACTCACTGATGCTGAACTCCCTGCGCCCTCATACTAATCAGAGCAAACAAGCTCTCCAGAGCTGCCCTTATTAAAAAACAACATGACAGTCAGCAGTACCGGAGCCTCCTTTAGATTATGTTTTTGTAGAGACCTCACTGTATGTAATGCAGGCGTTTTCACTTCTTCTAAAACCTGCAGTTCCTCCTGTTTTTTTACATGATGTATATTTTGTTTCCCCCTATAGATCCTGGAGAGTTCTCAGTCTCTTCTGAGCGTCCTGAAGCGAGAGGCAGGAAACCTCAGTAAAGCCACAGAGCCCCGGAGGAAGGAGCAGTAATGGCGACTGAACACTCATTTTGACCACAAAAACTCACTTTACTCTGCCGTAAACAAAGGTTATCCTTCTTTCTGAACTTTTTGTAATATATGTAACAGATTTATTGTAAGTTTCTCGTTCAAATTAAAGTGTGTCTTATGGCTCATGATTGTTTCTCTGAGAACAGGGGACTTCTTTAAACATTCATCTTGTGATTTCAACTCCTATTTTATTTTGGACGGGTTAAAAAAAACAAGACCAGTGTTTCATATTTTAAAAATTAAAAGAGGGGAAACTTCATCAACATTTGAACTTTATTAGAATTTAGTTATTTTCCATACTTGGAGTGCTGATTGAGTTTTGACTCACCTACACTTACCTTCCTTCTCTGTGGATGTTGGTAAAGTTGTGCCTGAACCCTCTGCTCTGCCCATGATATAAACAACACAGTGTTTCCATTTGTTCAAGTCTATTTATTGAGCTTTCATTTGTACAAGTATGACATCACTTTTTTGTTTCTTTTTTGCCCAAATCTTTGACAATAACTTTACAGTAAGCACATCTGCTGAGATGTATAAATTTACAGACGGAGGGGAAAGTAATGGAGGAACAGGATGAAGCTTTTACCACAGAGTTGCTACAGCGTGACCGATACGACCTGTTCACTTTGCAACAGGAGTTGACAGATATGGAAACACTGCATTAAAGAGGCCACATGTACACTTAAGAAGTCAAGTGGTGCGTTTTCTATTTCCTGGCAATGGCCATCAGAAAAGTCATGAGTGGAGTCATTCAGTTTACAGAGAGTTACAGATTCCCACAAAGAGAAGACCTCTTTGGTGTTTGGGTCATTAAAGGCATCACCAACCACAGGTATGTGACTGGTAACCACAGCTCCCACTGCAGGTCCAGTTTAAACTTTTTGAGAATCATACCAGTGAGTTTGAGCTCCTGAATTACAGGTGGAGGCAGCCATTGCTGTACATTCATTTTCCCATGGCAAGAAAATGCTTTTAGAGCAAAATATAACATGATACAGGTCTATGAGGAATATACTGGTATCTGAGTGTTCTTCCTCATTATGTAGCAGTAGTTAAGATTAAACTATTCCAATCTTGTCTATGCTAATAGGTGGGAAAGACCTGTTTTCATCCTTGTACAAAAGCACATCAGTTAATTATAATATCAGTAATAGGTAAACAGCATGGGAATCTGTCTTGACCTCTTTTTTGGGGCCAATTTTACTCCAAGAATTTACACTGATTGCTTTTTTTCTTTTTTTTTAAACATCACAAATTCAGCCTCTTGAGTACCTCAGCCTCTCAATTTCCAACATTGTTATCCATGCAGTGACCTGAAAGGGCAGGCATATATGAGAATAAGACACTGTTCTGTTTGGCTCGACAGTGCAGAGGTGGAAAAACACCAAGACAGACATGACGAGTTCTCCAGAAGAACCCTCCACCAATACACCTTTATGCATGGTCCAGATTTGGCCCCTGAACAAGAGGAAGCAATTGTTGAAGTGTTGCAGCTGCAGTTACAACAGCAGGTCTTTGAGTGGTGCGTTTAAATGCAAACCAGTGTATCAGAAAGAGGAATCACTAGAGTGAGTGGGAGTGGTCGAGTATCACTCCTGTCATCACGGGAGCCAATTCAAATCAGAGAGGCTGCTTTCCCAGCAGGTGGGGTCCAGAAACTTTTGCAGAGGCTCTTCCACTTCTACATTTTCAGTGTTGCTGGACTGGAGGATAGCCAACGAATATCTGAATAATCAAGGCCGAGCTTTTTGAAGATTTCTAAAGAAAGGTCTAAAAAATGACGAGTTTGGGTAATGAAACAGCTATTTCAACTAACACCAAGCCCAACTGTGTCAACATGCAGCAACAATGGTGCTTTGTGTTTCTGGGGCGTTTTATTAACTATTCTTGTTTTCGTAGCATTCGAAATCATTTTTAAAAAGTAGAAATGAATGGCTGAGGTGGATAGAAAAGTACATTCAAACTTGTGAACCACAGTAGCACGGTTTGCAGAATCGTTGGCAGTGATGTGGAGTTGAAACCCCAAATTAGAAAAAAACTTTTGGGCGAATTCGAGCTGCATTTGCACTGATTGGTCTCAAGCCTGCAAACTCACTGGTATGGTCTTTTACAACACATTTTACATCAGGTCCACGAATTTATAAGAAACAGCAAAAGAGGATTTTTGAGATAACATCAGGAAAGAGATGAAGCACTAAACCTGTTAGGAGGACTCCGTTTTGTGGTCACAGCAAAAAGGCCGACAATCTTAAGACTTTTGATGCAAGGCTGTGGCGAACTGAGTAAAAAAAACTGGACATGGCATTCATCGGCAGTGCATTCATCGTGTTTGAAGAGCTCTCCTTGAGAACAAGACTCATTCATTTATCATTAAAAAACGGTACTCTGGCAACCGAGGTCTACAAAATTCTCATCCTCTGTATCTGATGTACACACCGTTGTCGTATAAAAAGCAGGCGTTGATCGTGGTAATCGATTGGAAACCAAACTCTTCATCCAGTCTTCTTTTTCTTTTCTCGCTCGCCCTCACTGTTCTTTGTTATGAGGTGTAAAACAAAGCGAAAAGCATGACAGTGCAAACACATTGAACATCCAAAAAGACTCCAGATGAAACAGATGATTTCTAAAGTCATCAGACAAAGACAAACAAGTCTGAACAGAAACTGAGCGAATCACATCTGATTGGAGAAATGAACAAAATGAAAGGAGTAACAAACACATCCTCGGAAATATGGTGGGAACTGTACAACAATACTGGCCAAAGGGTCGATCCCGGGCGTGTGGGGAATAAATGTGAGGCCATGACAGCAACACTTAAATCTGTTGGCATTATGGGTTTAAAAAAATCATCTTGAAAGTTGATGCATTCTTGTATATAAAACAATCTTGATAATAAAAAAATTACACACCTTTCACACACACACACATACAGTTTTGCTTTCGTTCTCACAGACACACTAAATCATGAGTGATCATACTTTATGTCGCCTTCATGGACCTTCTGTTTCCTTCGTGGAATGTGAGAGTACATGAGGTCCGACTGGAAAATAAACAACTACAAAGACCATTAGGGGTTGTTCGCACCAGTCTGGTTCCTTCAACACCAGCAAATCTGTTTCTACAAAAATGTCTTATGTACAAAAGCAGGTCTCAGACATGCAAACTTCAACGGTAAGCAGGAATAAATACATGGAAAGCCAGAAATAAAGGTTGAACAGCTTTTATCAATTTATACGCTGTATATAAGAAGTGGATGTAGCCACTTAAAGGGGTGCAAAAGAGGAGATGCATATGGGGAAAAGTACCTAGCGTCTGCATTTTTCCTCATTGCCAGCAGGGGGCGACACAACTGATTGCAAAAAAGCCTTCCAGGAAATGACTGCTTACTTTTCGATTACCTCAGCAAATGTTTCCCAAGCTTTTAAGTTGTCCCTATCACAAGTTTCAGGTTTTACTCACCAAGCATGTTTGTTTTGTAAATTGTGGCAAAATTTACAGTAAAATGGAGGAAAAATTAGACGATCAATGGAAAACAAACAATGCTTAAGGCTGGGGGTACCTGTGATCAAAAACTCATCAGCATGTGACTCCAACAACAGGAATAGAGGTCACTCCATGGGCACATAAATGACGCCCGAGTGCAAAAACTGCAGTTCCTCAATTGGCCACATGAGGCTAGCCTAAAAAGTGAGTCAGCTCTGATAGTGCCCATACATTCTAATGGATTAAAATACGTTTCAAGCCCACTGCCAATTTTTTTCATTCACTTCACCTTCATTTAAATCACTTAGTGAACCCAGTCCCTTAATCTCATATCTGACTCTTTCATTGTGCTCAGTGATGATATGGTAACACTGTCCAAGAAACATGTGCAGAAGCTTATGGCTCCTGTAAGGGACTTGAAGTTTGAGTCAGTTTTGAGTCTCTTTACTGATTTTGTCCTAAATTCTTGTGAATATTTGCAGTTGAAAACATTAAAAAGAGGAATGTGGCTAATTTTAGGTTTGATAACACTTTTTTTTAAACTTGAAATAAGACAAAAACATTAGAATTGAGGTTTTGATTTGTTGGCTGAGGAGTTCATATTGATTGGCAGGTATTTGTTTGTGCATTCACTCTGCTTGCCCTGCATTTTTCCAGCATTGATTTATTCTCAGCTGGCGGTGGATTGGAAACTGGATTGTTTTTTTTTTGCTTTTCTGTGCTGGAAAGTCCATCATGATGAGAAAAGCTGTCAGGTTGAATAAATCTCTTTCATTCACCTGAAATTCTACAGCATATATTCAGAAACAAAGTGGTACATCTATCACTTTACTGATCTTTATCCAGTAAACAACCAATCGGCTTTTTGATGACTTTACTGACACCCTCTCTGCAGCTGTGGTTTCCAGCATTACAAACAGCTGCAAAGACATAATCAGTCGACTTGCTAATGGTCTTGTTTGCTTTTGTAGCTCATCTAAAGAGGCATAAATACTAATTAAAGTTGTTTTATCAGTAGCAGAGGCTTTATACTGTAACCGTATAGCTTTGATAAATGAGCTTTTTCCATTTATCCCTCCTCTTCGCTCCCCTATCTTGACACATTTGGTCACTTCTGTGTAGAAATCAACCAACCAAAAAGACTTCATTGTTGTAGTTTTGAAACTAATGTGCGACATCTTGCTTGTTTCATCCACTTCCTACATACAGCCGGTTTGATAAACGTGACGTGACACAGATATTTCATAGAGAATATACAGAAACATTCTACAGTATGATGTTTTTGTTTTTCAACAGCAATACGGACGTACAGACATTATTGGCCAAGGTCACTTTTTCAAGCTTTTCAATCACAAATCAGAGCCGCTGCTGACTGACAGAAAACCTCCTCCACCGTGCATATTTTTCCTCCCTCGTCACAAATAAAGGAGGTGGGTTGAAGTTTGCTTGCCCTCAAGACTCTCCTAAAGAACGTCCAGCAGCTTCGATACAGCATAGTTTGCCAGAAAATGTACAAAAACTAAAAGGCATACAGAAGCTTTACAGTTAAAGAGAAACAAACATGCAGATACAAAAACAACAAAAAACAAAAACTACAATTGTGGCACCCTTTAACCTTTTCTTGTTTTTGTGTGTTTGAGTCTGCCAGCGATCTACACAGGCGGATATCTCCTCCACATCCTCCGTGTTTGGAGACTTTTCCATGCTAACACTGCTAACTCTGTCACCGTGGCATTATGTTTACATGGGCACTGGCGGCTTTCCTGTGTTTCAGCTCCTGTGCTTAGTCGACATCCAACAAAAAACTGGCGCAAATTTCGAAGTTGTGATGCCCCCTCTGCCAGAGTGTGAAGAGGAAAACAGAGGTCTCCCAAAGATCCAAGACATCACTTTGTTTTTCTGTAAAGTGTTTTGTTGGAGAGGATGAGGAAGAAGGAGGCCGACAGATCAACTGTCCAGGATTTGGAGGGGAAGACAGTCCAGCTGCTTTTGGGTCAGATCAGGAACGGAGTGGGATCTGAACACAGGCCACTTGACGAAGAAGCTGTCCTGCCCTGATATGCAGTTGATAATGTGGCGTGGAGTGGTACCGTGGCAGGAAATCAGCCGAAATAAACAAAAACAAAACGAAACAAAAAAAAAAAACGTGTATTTCCTGTTTGATCAGGTCGATGTGCTTAGAGACGGCTGGAGTGTAGAGCTGGAGGCAGTTCAGGTCAAGGTGTCGCAGACCTCGCAGGGCTCTGGCTGCAGTCTGGTCCCGAAGGTGAGATGCTACCTTACAGCTGATTGGTCGGTCTGATCAGAAGTAGAGCGCCGGCTCGCTGCTGTAATCAGACAGGGAAGAGCTGTCTGCTGGTGTAAGCTGAGGAGAGAGAGGACAGTTTTTTAAATGTGTCAATGATGCGTGCAGCACATGATGTTTGTAATCAGCATTCAGCTAATCATCTTTATTTGATTATTCATAGGCAGCACAAGAGTGCATCATTCTCACTGAAAAGGTCAAGAGTATATGGCCACTCAAAGACTCAGAGACATTTGAAATGATTAGATTCAATTTGATGTGAACATAAAGGCTATCCTGACCATAACTTCCTCTGTGATCTCTGTCTGCTGGGCAGCCGTCTCCTCCTGGTAAACACTCTCTTCATGTTTTTGCTCCTGCCAGGTGTTGAAGTCCACTGAGTGTTTGGGGACGTAGCTGGCAAGATCTGAAGACAACAAAGAGACATCATGATTTCACACTTCCCTGGTTTATTGTTGCCGTCTCTTTGGAAATTCTCAACCATTTTTTTTACCTCCAAAAAAGGTTAAGTTTCATTCCCAGCATCAAATATTTCATTCATTTTGCCCAAATGGTCAATGAGAAACAAGTTTCTGTTACTTTGAAAATATGTACTGTATAAGTCACCTGCTGAACTCAAACATTGCATATCCATCAATTCTTTTTTAAATATAGTTCCTGATTTGTCCAGTAGGGGGCTCTGTCATCATACTTTATGCTGCTTTTAAACAGTTATAGTCTCCATGACTTGGCATCAAGTGTAAATATCCTCTGATACAATGTAGTCATAAAACCAGATTCCGTTCAAGTTATCCTCTTTATTGAATTCAAACTTATAACTGTTCTTACAAGACCAACTTCTGACTGTTTAACAGAACCAGGTACCAGATTTGGTTCTGAATTGGACTAAAGATTTGGAGGACACCAGTGACTGCCAAATACTGGGTAAATTCTGGTCTAAGGAAGGTAAAATTGAAGTCAGTGTGCCACCATGACTGACAGGCTTTTATGATGTCTAAAAGTGTTCTTCTCAGACAGCAACCTTCATTGGGTTTCTGCACACTTTTTACAGTCAAATTTACAACTTTTTAAAAACACAAATGGTAAAAATTGAATACAGAGAGCAAAAAAAACAGCAATTAACACAGATGTGGCACAATGAATAAATATGTAACCTTTAGTTTTTGCATGTCTTGTAAGCGCCTTACAATGTTTGCTCCTGCCAATTATTCATCCCCTGTATTTTTCATCCCCACGTCAAATTTCCCCAAACTTGCATGCTCTTCTTGTCCTCCCTCTCTGTACATAAAAAGCTGCTGGATTAATGAGCTATTAAAAAGTGACAATCAAGTTTCATATGACTCTATGTAGATTGATAATCTCCACATGTCTCTATTTGATCTTAAATTTAAGTGGTCGGAAGGTAATGTAGAAGTTTGTTTGGCTTTTGATAACCTTAAAATTTGAAATATTGTTTAAAGGGAAAGAGAAAAAGGTTAAGGATGGTGAAAGTGTTGAATGATCTGCTACAGTGGTAAACGTGAGGGACAAAGTAAGCCATTTTAGATCTTGATAAGCTTGTGAGGACTTCATACTACACAAGTAGACTCAAAGCAACTCAGACATGTCTAAACTACTAATATACACATCAAACATTATGAGGCAAATGCTACTATACAATAAAATAAAAACATCAGAGTGAGACAGTCCCTCTTTTCATTCTGCCAAGCCAATCTTTCATGTACTCAACATCCTATAAAGTTACATAAATAGACTGAAAATTCAATATTAACAATGAAAAAATGGGTTTGAAGTGGCTAAGAAGATAAAAAAATGCATGGATCAACATTTATGGGCCATGAGTATCTGCTGCAAAATATTTCACAGCAAAGCAGCCAACAGCCAATAAGATGCCAAAATTGAAGAATCGAACAATAAAGGTCTTTTATAAAGGTTTTAGGTGAGTTCAAGCATCTGACTTCAGAACAAAACCCTAAGTTTGAAGTGTTTCTCTCATTTCTTGGGGTCTCACCATTGCTGTTATTCAAGTGTGTTGGAGAGTTGGCAAAACTGGGTCGGGGGATGTGGATGCGTCCCACCATACTTGGCTGTTCATCCGCCACCTTCACGTCTTGTTTCTCCCCCTCGTCCTCCTCCCCGCTGTCCCAGCTGTTCTCTGATGGATACTCGTACGTGCTCCTCAGACTGGACTCGTTGAAGGAGATCTTTAGCTGCAGAAGACAGACACAGAGATAGAGTAACCAGATTAAGATGTTAAATATGTTGTTTGGGTTCTTATGGACCAATACGTTCTTCTTTCAAACAAATTAATTAATGAAAAATAACCCAACTGAAAAAAACTACACAACAGGTAAATAAATAACAGGTTATTTTCCATTTCATTTAGCATTTAGACGGTGATGCTGGCTCCCCATACCTCTACACTTAATTCCCAACTCACAGGCGGCATACAAAAGATATCACTGCAGCCATCAGCATAATGCCATTAAACCCAGCTGTGGTCGATAAACTCAGGCAGGTGCCTGGACATGACTTAGCTGACAAATAGCTGGCTGGAAGAACAGAAAAAGAAACAGAGCTCAAGGAACGACAAGATTGATTAAGAGGAGAAAAATTCACAGATCAATCCGCAAGTTTTGAGCTCTTCTGTGCAGATGTGTGCATTGATTTTATACCATTATGACTTTACCGCAGAACTGTGGGGGGTGCTGTCCAAACAAATAACTAAATAAATTCAAGATCATTCACTGTGGATCAGTCTTATCTTCTCTGCTGTGATGCTCTGTTACACGGGCTACAGGCAGTGCTCAAAGTTTTGCAAACCATGGAGTCGGGAGCTTCTCTGCTGAGCAAATGATGTGATGATACAATCTCTAAACAGTCTGAGCTTCTTTTTTGAGTTCTAGTTTCAAAGCTCCTGTGACGTCTTTTTTCATATTACTGAAACAGATTGAAATTCACATCGATGCAAAAGCAAAGGAGATCATCAGCAGGGGGGTAGGTGTCAGACAAGTAGCTGAAGAAACAGCCCTGCTTTTACAATTTTTCATATAAAATATTCAAAACTAACGATTCATTTGTCAAAAAAGGATTAGGGCCACTGAAAAAAATAAAAAAAATAAAAAAAAACACGATATATTTTTTAAAATTATTGTTCTGAAAAAAGTTTGAATTCTAAGATTAAAGTCAGAATAATATTTTTTAAAAATATATTGGACCTTTTTTTTAGTGGCCCCATACTCTTCTGTACAAATGTATCATTAGTTTTTAATATTTTATATAAATAATTATAAAAGCAGGACTGTTTCTTCAGCTAAATCCAGCTTTACTAAATCCATATAATAACACAACACTGGATGACCAAACTATTAAACCTCTGCAAAGTTTAAGGATGCATGATCTGGAACGTGTTTTCTAGCTACAGTTTTGACTGTACTGCACTTTGTTGATTCAGTATGTCCTGGAAAATTGCCCACAAGAGTTTTTTTAGAGAGGCTTGGTTACTTTCTCTTCCTCAAGACAGAGGCACCAGAAAATGGTAAAAAGTTTTGTAGCCACAGTGTAGCTGTGCGTGGTGCAAACAAAGGCCGGTTCAAGCAGGAGCTGAGTGCTGATGGCGTGCCTCAGATGTTTTCTGCAAAACTATCAGGGGTTTTTTTAACGGTTGCAATGCTGTAAAGAAAGTAGCACCCACAAGCTTTGTGCTGCAAATCATGCAAAGCTGCTTTTTATGTGTTCCAGACTGACGTACTGAAAGGAGAGAATGACTGTAATTGGTCTTTTATTATCAGTGTTACTGTCAGGGGGGAAAAAAGAATGAAATCGTTCACTTAGACTTACTTATCCCCGTGTTTCAATAGCTGTTGGGGGGCCTTGTCACTAAGAGGCAGCCACTTGTATTTCCTCTACACTATGAGTCTTTGTTCACCTCCCAGATATGTTTACCATGTAAACAAAGCTCTGCTGTCGACTGTTTGCTTGCTGAAATGACTGGTAAAGAAGCCAAACTTAACATGCATCAGCCAGGATTTCAAAGTATCAGACATCTTGACATTTCAAAGCCCTCGCGTTAATATCCTGCTGGCATCAGCCCCCCTTAAAGATGGCTGCAGTTTACGAGCACAGTAAACATTAACGGGTTCGACTTCCTTATCACTCTGTAATTAAACATCTCGACTGATCACGTGTCTCTGCTCTTTGCTAACTCTGCAGGATCATCAGTTTCGCAAACCAGCGTCCTCATAACTTATTCAACAGAGCTCTTAATTGGGGATTCTTGGAAAGCCAGCTGCGGTTTGTTAAGGCGCCATCATGTACTGTACTTTGCCTGTCCTCTGAGCGAGCCAGGTGGCAGCCTCGCAGGAGCTGAGGGCCTGTGATTGATCGTCTCAGAGCGTCCGCTGTAAGACATGTCTGTTTCGGTGACGCTTCAGTGGTCTGCAAACATAGATCCACCGGGTGAGACGGGCTCTTACACTTTGTTGCACCATGTAATCCAACATGAATGACAACTCTGCCATCAGAGATATTTGGAGGCTCCAGCTGCGAGTGACTGACTTTTATTCCCTAGGAGACATCTCAGCTCTTTAAAGGAAGAGGCGAATTCTCTGGGAAGTGTAGTGATTTGAAATGAGCCTCATACGGTCGCACCAAAATATATGTAGCGATTTGAAATGAGCCTCACAAGGCCGCACCAAAATAATACTTGGCGATTGGAATTTATAATAAATGTCTGAAGATTAATAATCTCAAATTATGACATTTATGCACTCGTTGAAAGGGGCACCACCCACCCTTAATGGTGGGAAAATAAAGAAAACAAAAGTTTAATTCAGAAATCAAACATCAAGTCAGTTTTAATTAATCAGTCTTAATTAATCAGTCTTAATTAATCAGTCTCATATCTTAAGTCGAAATTCTAATTTCAGGGACTCCACTTCTGGAAGAACACTAACAGACAGGAACTTAGAAAAATAATGATCTGTTTATTACAGGATAAATGATGGTACAACACACATGCAATAAATGATGATAAGATAATGAAGATAAATAATAATAGGTGAATAAATAAAGATTCTGAGTCAGGCTAGGAGCACTAAAGTTAATGATAGTGAGTGAATATGCGCTAACATATTAACCTACACTAACTTTGGTGTCGAGATAAACTCGGGTGTAGATTCGGAGGAATCTAAGATCACCAGAAATAGGTGGATATCTGAGTTATGAACGCGTGAGACAGCATCAACCCTGTCTGGAGCTCTGGAGGTTTGCATACTTAAGTGAGACTGGTCCTTGGAGAAGATGGAGCAGGTTCCGAAGGTCCGGGGCTACTGGCGGTTCGAGCGGTTCAGCTCAGAAGACGACTGAAGTCAGCCGAAGGATGAGCCAGGAGTTGCAGCACTCAGGCCCGAAGCAAAAACCAGCGCCTGTGGATCCTGTGGATGCTCGTTTGGGTACTTCTTTAGTCTCACTCAAAAACTCTGGCACAGAGGATGACCTGGGCCTGTTGGATTGCGTTCGGAGGTGACTTTGAAATCACGCAGAAAACTCAGAAAAACGAGGCTCGAAGAGCAGAGAAAACTTTCAAAAATGGCTTCGCGAATTTAAAGAAAAATCAATCAAAGGCTTAATCTTGAATTGCTATGCGCACAAAAAGTTGAAGTTTCAAAACTTGAACTAAGACGATGTTAAAGAAAATCAACGTGAATCAACACGTGGCGTAAAACTTAGAAGACTAAGAAAAAGTTCTAAGAGAAAACAAAGAAACGCCCCACAGAAGGGTGTGGACAGAAGAGAAGGGGCATAAGAGCCGGGGACAAGAGAGTCAGCAGAAGAGCAGAAGCATAAGAGAGATAAGAGGCATAAGAAGAGACATAAGAGAGTGAGCAACCCCACTTCACTGGTTTTATCTTCTCACACTGGGTGTGTCTCCGGCGTGTGGGTGTGAGGAGAAAGAGGAGGAGGGGTTGTGTGGTCTCCAAGCAGAGATGAACTCGGATCTCTGATTATTTGATCTAACTTATACTTTTGGCTGGTAAAAGAGTCAGATCTGATACTCACTCACTATGATTAATATCATTGAATGCTAGGTTTCATGATAAATCATTTGACACTAAACACATATGAATGAAGTGTAGGATCACATCAAACATTCTCATTATGTTTTAAGTATCACATTAAACATGCTAAATTACTCTGAAATGAAACAGATAGTAACACATGGAAACTGTGAACAACAAAAGAGTAAATACATGTGAATGAACTTCATCATGATTAATAATGGATAATGAATACTCACATTCAGATTATTCAATGACATTATAACCACCTAATGGTTAAAAATACTAAATAAACATCTACAATATAAACCAAACATTTCTAAACTGTTTCTGTTACCTAGAGTTAAGTTATGATTCATAGTCGATAAATTTAACTCTTAAAAGTTCATGAAACAGTCTGAAAAGCTGTTGGTCTAAAGAACTAAAGAATAAGGATTTATTCTGTCAGATAAGATAACTTGGCTTCTGAAGCACATAGAAAAACGGGAAACATCTCATTTTAACACAAATTTCATGATTAGACAGATTAGTACATTGCTGAATGCATAAGATGTCATGATCAGTCATTTGTATTCTTTCACCAAAGGAATGCAGTCTTTATCAGTGTATGGTCGAGCAGGGTTTTACGACCGAGGTCTGGAGGTCAGTGGCCCCCCTTTATCCTGGGGTCCGTATGTTCACACACTTTAAGACGCTAAATCTCAAATGGGAGATCTGGGTTGAGACGTTAATGTTTATTTAGATGGTCAGTAATAGACTAATGTGAAAGAAAATCTCCTAATTTTCAGTATTAATGAGATTTAGAAAAGCACTCTTTAGTCTGAATGCTAACTGGATCTAAAGCTATAGCTGTTTTTCATGCTTGCTGGAGAAGTCTGAAAGTTCAATTTCAGTTTCAAAAATGGTTAAGACTTAGATGGAAAAGAAATGTCTGCTATAGACATATTAACCATCTGTGTATGAGCATAGTCAACCTGAATCACAAACATCAAAAGTTTACTGTACAGAGTTTCTCTTAAACTTTGTCTGTTAAACTTGGGGATGATGCTCTTATCGGTTTGACTAATTATCTGCCGTTGAGTCTGAAATTTGTCAATCTGAGTCTTAATGACAGAAATTTCAGCTTTTAATCTGTTCATGGGATATTTGACAGCTGACAAGCTGACCATATTGACAGAGGAGAGACAAATGCTAACAAAGAAAGCAGCAACTGGGATTGCAGTCATCAATGTATCACCACAGCATTTGGATATCTTATTGGAGTCATTCAGCTTTGGCTGGGTGACTTCTGCTTTCGCAGGACTCACACCTTCATGACTCCGCAGTGTTAATCTCAGTGGTTAGCTGAGTTGTCATGTTTATTCACCTTCGAAGTGGATGAAACCGATTGAGGTGGATAATAAGATCGTCGTTTCTGAGAGTGTAATTTACTCTGATTCTGCCAGTCATTCACCCCCCTTTGGCGGTGTCGATGGTTTTTCCTTTGTCTGGGATAAAACCCACCGTGACGGGAGTCTGAATAACAACAGTTGGTCTCAAAGTTTACCCGGCATTGGTCTGAGTCAGACCTGGGCCTTGGTGTGTAACTTTGACCTTTGTGAGTTTGTTGAGGTCGAAAAGGTTTTGGAGGCCTGGTTAACCACTCATTTAGAGGCTTATCGGAGCCTGAAAATACACAGTCTGAAGCTTCGTTCAGCTCCATGGGCAGTGATTTTGTCTCCATAGCCAAGAGAGTAACGGGCTCTGCTTTCTTAGCCAAAGTTTGTCGTTGTTTGGCAAAACCTTTTACAGCAAGTTCACGAAGCTGTCGGCTAGTCGAAGTGTTTGGACAAGCTAAGACGCCAAGGTGATGACTGGTGGTAGGGTGGAGGTTCTGGACGAACAGCGTTTTGAAGTTCAAGTCCTCCTCCATTTCTGGTTCATTTCGGAAACCAAAGTAAGCTTCGCGTAAGCGGTTGTAATAATGTTGGGGAGGTTCTGATCTCCCTTGTTTAATAGACAGAGCAGCAGAGAGGCCTGTCTGGGTCAAATAGTCAGAAAACTCTTCAATTAATGCTTGGCAGAGCAAGTCATAATTATTTCTGACATGATAAGGCTGTCGTTCTAGGAAACTGCTAACCTCTCGACTTGACGTCGCCTTAATAAGGTAGATTTTGTCATCAACGGTTGCACCTGGAAATTTCCGCAGGTAAAAGTCAATGTCTTTCAAGTAGGTGCAGGTGTCAGTAGCACCTTGGTGCTCAGGTTCAAAGCGTGCTATGATGCGAGCAATTTTGTCAAGATCCCTGTCTGAGGGAAATGGTAAAAAACCATCATGAGGAGGAGAGTAGGACTCTTGGTTTAAGGATGACCTCTCAGGGTCAAGCAGGGTCCTGTCATGATGCTGAGAGAGATACTTAAGAGTTGGTTTGGAAGGAAGTGATGGCGCTCTCTCAGGAGGCTGATCACCTATCATTTCTTCAAGAAAAGTTTGCTCCATGCGTTCTCTTTGGGCTCGACCTGACTGGAGGGAGCATTGTAACTCTCTTTGGGCATCTTCAAGTTCTTTGTCTGTCTTTTCTTGCCGTTCTTGACAAAGAATTAACTGTCTCTGAGCTATCTGGAGCTGGTGCTGTAAGGTAGAAGTTTGCTTCTCCTTAGCTTCAAGAGCTTCAGCACGCACTTTGACCAATGCTTTCAAAGTTTTTACATCTTCTGTTGCTTGCTCTAGTAGGGATTCTGACTGTATCAGATCCTCTGTGGTCTTAGCAAGCTGCTTATTCGTGTCATCAAGTTCTTTCTCCTTTTTGTAAAGGGTTTCATTAAGTCTTTCAATCTTGTCTTTGAGATCAAGATTTTCTTCATGACTTAGTGAGGGAAGCTTTGACGCTTCACATCTGGCACTGTGTTTTTCTAAAACACTTAGAGACTTCTTAGTCTCCTCTAACGTCTTTTTCAGAGCGCTGTTTTCGTCTTTTTGCGCCTTTATCTTTGCTAAAGCGCATTCCAGCAAGTAGTCTTTATACTCAAGCTGAGAAGACATCATGACAGACATGCATCTAGTGAGCTCTTTGTCACGAAGTGTCGTGGTTAAGGCTGTTTCCAGTAAGTCAGCCATTGCATCCTCCGGATTGGAGGGTTTGGCCTTTTGAATCTTAGTCATGTACTGAGGTATCAACTGACTAGTCAAGTTTGCCAACACTGTGTGTATGTCCCTCAGGGGGTCTCCCTGGCTGGACTCTTTTGTGTTAGGCATGTTTGGTTTTGGTAAAGAGGTGCAGGTGGTTGGTTGATGAGTTTGAGTTGACTTAAACTGAAAGGAAGAAGTACAATATCAAATTAAGTGAGTTAATCGACTTAATTTATCAATGCTTGATAAAGAGGAAGAGCCTATCTGAGTAGATATCTAATGGAGAGAAAAATAACATAAAGTTAAATTCATTTCAATCAAAATTGAAAAACAATGAAATGATGTTAAATTAAATTTAACATCAGATACAGAACCATTGAATAAAGGGTTCAGTTTGTCTCCGTGTTGCAGAGATCAGCAAAGCTTAAATAACCTGCCTGGTGCAGTTGGATGAATTGGGAAAAATCGATGAAATTGTCAATTTAAGGAATTAACTCTGCAGTTAATTCACCAATCGCAATAAAGCTAAAGATTCAACTACCCAATTCATCTGAAATGGTAAAATAAATTTCAAATATTAATTAATTTGTTCATTAATTAATTAATCTTATAAGGAGGGTTAATACATTCATGTATTATAGGGAACAGTAAAACTGCTCAATGATGTGATAAGTAACAACAAGATCAGGTGATTGGTTCAAGGAGTTACTTCATCAATACCTTATGGAGGCTCTTATAACAAAGATAAAAATCAAAAATCAATGATCAATGATTTAGAATAAGTATACCAAACTTCATCAACCAAGTCAATCACTTGAGTTATGTCTGTAGAGTGTTACACACTGACTACAGAGAGGCAGTACAGCTGGCTGATACTGCAGGCAGACAATAGCAGTGTTAGCTCAATACCAAAAGCAACCATGTGGGGCAGTATGGAGTTGGGAGAACTGCACAAGCTCAACACAAGTGGAGAAGAAGAAGGAAAGAGGAAACAGTCATCCACTTAGCCTCTTGTGGCTGTGTGGTGTTGGGAAGTCTGAAGGAAGGGGCCTTTAGACTCTGCCTCCTTGAAGGGCCTTATCTGCTTAAGTCCAAAAGGTCAGTCTCTCCACTGACAACAAAGGGTTAACATTTCACAGCAGGCTGCGTCTGCACCCTCAAACATAGAACTTTACACCATCTGCTCAGGCAGATTGGTTCAATAGAATCATTTACAGGAACAAGAATCAAAGTGACAAATTCTTAAACAGCAGATTCAACTGCGGACTTTAAAATCACAAATGCGGCGATTCGTGATCACGGATTTTGTCTGAATTCATTCAAACAACAACCTCCCACTGTTACAGTGGTTTCCTGTGACAGATAGCTTATCTGTCAGGGGAAAGGAGGAAATCTGAATCCCATATAGTTACTAGAACTTCATAGCAGACTATAGAGACAAGAATCAAAGTGACAAATCCCTCAACAGCAGATTCAACTGCAGACTTTAAAATCACAAATGCGGCGATTTGTGAACACAAATTTTGCCTGAATTCAATCAAACAACAACCTCCCACTGTTACAGTGGTTTCCTGTGACAGGTAGCTAATCTGTCAGGGGAAAGGAGGAAATCTGAATCCCATATAGTTACTAGAACCTCGTAGCAGACTATAGAGACTTCAGGGGCTTGAAACCACAGCTCGGAGCTTCGCGAACACTGGGTTCAGCCAAAGGCCTTAAATACAAGCGTACGGCGACGCAACAATCGTGCACTTAAATATTGGACAGTCTAGACCGAGCAGAAGAGTCAGTCTCGCTGCTACTCAGAACAACATTTCACGCTGTCCAGCTCAAACACAGACTACAGGCATGTAGTACAAAAGTGTGTGATACACAGAGCATAAAGGTTTTATGCATAGATCAGGAAAACATCAGAACTTAGTCAAGCAACTTCAGCAAGCATAGCATTGATTGTGATTAAGTCTAAAATAGCCTGGAAATAAGTTTCTCTCATCAATTTGGAAGGCTAAGTTTTAGGTTGTCTGTTAGTATCCAGAAGTTTTGTTTGAAACGCCTCACGCAGGGGCTCCAAAATATATGTAGTGATTTGAAATGAGCCTCATACGGTCGCACCAAAATATATGTAGCGATTTGAAATGAGCCTCACAAGGCCGCACCAAAATAATACTTGGCGATTGGAATTTATAATAAATGTCTGAAGATTAATAATCTCAAATTATGACATTTATGCACTCGTTGAAAGGGGCACCACCCACCCTTAATGGTGGGAAAATAAAGAAAACAAAAGTTTAATTCAGAAATCAAACATCAAGTCAGTTTTAATTAATCAGTCTTAATTAATCAGTCTTAATTAATCAGTCTCATATCTTAAGTCGAAATTCTAATTTCAGGGACTCCACTTCTGGAAGAACACTAACAGACAGGAACTTAGAAAAATAATGATCTGTTTATTACAGGATAAATGATGGTACAACACACATGCAATAAATGATGATAAGATAATGAAGATAAATAATAATAGGTGAATAAATAAAGATTCTGAGTCAGGCTAGGAGCACTAAAGTTAATGATAGTGAGTGAATATGCGCTAACATATTAACCTACACTAACTTTGGTGTCGAGATAAACTCGGGTGTAGATTCGGAGGAATCTAAGATCACCAGAAATAGGTGGATATCTGAGTTATGAACGCGTGAGACAGCATCAACCCTGTCTGGAGCTCTGGAGGTTTGCATACTTAAGTGAGACTGGTCCTTGGAGAAGATGGAGCAGGTTCCGAAGGTCCGGGGCTACTGGCGGTTCGAGCGGTTCAGCTCAGAAGACGACTGAAGTCAGCCGAAGGATGAGCCAGGAGTTGCAGCACTCAGGCCCGAAGCAAAAACCAGCGCCTGTGGATCCTGTGGATGCTCGTTTGGGTACTTCTTTAGTCTCACTCAAAAACTCTGGCACAGAGGATGACCTGGGCCTGTTGGATTGCGTTCGGAGGTGACTTTGAAATCACGCAGAAAACTCAGAAAAACGAGGCTCGAAGAGCAGAGAAAACTTTCAAAAATGGCTTCGCGAATTTAAAGAAAAATCAATCAAAGGCTTAATCTTGAATTGCTATGCGCACAAAAAGTTGAAGTTTCAAAACTTGAACTAAGACGATGTTAAAGAAAATCAACGTGAATCAACACGTGGCGTAAAACTTAGAAGACTAAGAAAAAGTTCTAAGAGAAAACAAAGAAACGCCCCACAGAAGGGTGTGGACAGAAGAGAAGGGGCATAAGAGCCGGGGACAAGAGAGTCAGCAGAAGAGCAGAAGCATAAGAGAGATAAGAGGCATAAGAAGAGACATAAGAGAGTGAGCAACCCCACTTCACTGGTTTTATCTTCTCACACTGGGTGTGTCTCCGGCGTGTGGGTGTGAGGAGAAAGAGGAGGAGGGGTTGTGTGGTCTCCAAGCAGAGATGAACTCGGATCTCTGATTATTTGATCTAACTTATACTTTTGGCTGGTAAAAGAGTCAGATCTGATACTCACTCACTATGATTAATATCATTGAATGCTAGGTTTCATGATAAATCATTTGACACTAAACACATATGAATGAAGTGTAGGATCACATCAAACATTCTCATTATGTTTTAAGTATCACATTAAACATGCTAAATTACTCTGAAATGAAACAGATAGTAACACATGGAAACTGTGAACAACAAAAGAGTAAATACATGTGAATGAACTTCATCATGATTAATAATGGATAATGAATACTCACATTCAGATTATTCAATGACATTATAACCACCTAATGGTTAAAAATACTAAATAAACATCTACAATATAAACCAAACATTTCTAAACTGTTTCTGTTACCTAGAGTTAAGTTATGATTCATAGTCGATAAATTTAACTCTTAAAAGTTCATGAAACAGTCTGAAAAGCTGTTGGTCTAAAGAACTAAAGAATAAGGATTTATTCTGTCAGATAAGATAACTTGGCTTCTGAAGCACATAGAAAAACGGGAAACATCTCATTTTAACACAAATTTCATGATTAGACAGATTAGTACATTGCTGAATGCATAAGATGTCATGATCAGTCATTTGTATTCTTTCACCAAAGGAATGCAGTCTTTATCAGTGTATGGTCGAGCAGGGTTTTACGACCGAGGTCTGGAGGTCAGTGGCCCCCCTTTATCCTGGGGTCCGTATGTTCACACACTTTAAGACGCTAAATCTCAAATGGGAGATCTGGGTTGAGACGTTAATGTTTATTTAGATGGTCAGTAATGGAGTCAGTTTGAAAGGTAATAAAAACTCTGTCTCTGTTCGCCGAACTGACCAATCCTGAAGAGTCAGAGGTTTAGTCAACCTCCGGTTGGGTCACTTATTTAACCTGAAAGTGCAAACACGTCTGGAAAGATTTATATCCTGTTTCCTGGGACCAGATAAGGAAACTTTCCTGTAAGGAATGTGTGGGTTTCACATCCAGGGTTGTCTTGATTGCTACAGAAGTTACCGCCACAATAAAAAGTCTTTTTTTACATCCAAGGAAACCCGATGGAGGCCTTGAAAAAAAAGAACCACTGCAGCACAATGTGATGAAAAAAGTAGAGATGCACCGATCCATTCTTTTCCAATCCAATCCGATAGCAATACCTGATCCAATACTACTGTTGAATGAATGAACTGTATACCTCGCCCTGTGACTGAAGGCATCAGGCTTGACATTAGCCTTGTTAAAAAAGGGTCATAAATCACCAAATATAAAAATTTACTTAACATTATTTATTAACAAATTGCACATTTGCACACAGCAAAAAGATGCAAGACTTCAATGTAAACATTTAGTGCAAAAGGATAGACAGACATGGAATATAGAGCAAACAGAATCGCTGTTTTGCTGTGTCTGATATTAATTCAAAGAAAAAAAAACTGGATCGGAAAACTAGATCGGCGTCATTCATCAGATATCTTATCCAGTTAATTTGTCAATATCAAGGCCAATATCCAATCCAAATATCGGCTGGTGCATCCCTAATAAAAAGTCCATCAATGTCAGATTGCCAATATTCCAGACTTGTGGTCCTTTAACAAAAACTTTTAGTCATGAGTTTTCAAGCCTCAAGTGTCCACTTGCACCATTTGACAGATTTTCTTTCAAATAGACCGATATGCCTCTATGATTCAAAGAAGGAACAAACTTGATGAATTCAGCTGAAGAATGACACTGACAATAGTCTCTATGAGTAGCTGCTGGTCACTGATGTTCAGGAGATGCTATAAATTTGTGCTATAAAAAAATTATTATAATGCAAAGAGCCCTCTGATTCCCACATGTATTTTCAGAAGCACTACCACTCGCCTTAAAGACCCCGGGGTTAAAAACACAAACTGAAAATGAGGTTAAGTTGTGCACGCAGATGTACTAAATTAAAATGACATGTATTTATGCTGATTTATTCAGATACATGACTGAAAAACTTCAGTTTCGCTCCAGTGGGGAGGTCTATTTTTGCAGTGGATTTTAAATTATAAGCATACGAGAAAGAGAGGAAAATTATATTTACAAGACCGAGCTTCAAATTAAAAAGAAAGATAATAAAATGCTTGACCACTGCAGCTGTAAAATGGGCCTTTTCAAGTACATGTCATGAAACAAAAGACATTCAAGATATCATCAATCAAAAGTCTTCATCCATATACGCTAACAACATGTGGGCGTTCCATCCTCTTATCTTCCTATGTGTTGCTATGGTGACTGCGGTCCATAAACACACACAAACACATAAACAGCAGGTTTGTCTGTCAGCTGACTGCTCTTTACGAACTGTACCTTGCTCCATCTACTCTGCCGGCCGTGATCTAAATCTGCAGTAATCTCCATCACAAGGCCGCGAGCCAGCAGCAACACCAGTCAGGGTTCACACTCAACCTCAGTTTCTAAACGCCCCGTTTGGATTTGTATCCTTTCCAGCTGTGACATTAAGTTAGTGATGATGAGTAGATGAGATTTCTGTTCAGTTATGACTACATTAAACCAAACTCTACATTTGAAACACAACAATTTACTCTTACAGACACTTTAAGATTCTTTCAAAACAAATCTGTTGCCTTTTTGGAACACAAAAGTTGTCTTTAATCTTGCCATTTTCTTTTTTACATTTTCAGATCGCAAACAAACTATGTGATTCTTCGAATAAACATTATTACACATACAAACATGTTATTCTGCCGGATACAAAAGGAGTTATTAGGTTTAAAACACTGCTCTATAAATTAAGGGCAAACAGTCAAAGATAAAGGACTTGAGTACTGATTTTTAAGTCCATACATTAAGGACAAGGGTCCTCAGGCAGGCTACAGATCTATAAGTATCTGTTAATCAGGATCTGCTAGACCTTTAATCTGAGAGGAACACCCTCATTTAACTGGCTGAACTCCAGACTGATAAAATCCACTTGACTTTCTTAATGATGTTTTGATTGTTTAATAAGTGTTGATATCAATTTATGGTTAATAAAATGTGTAAAATAAGTGCAGGCGTTGAGATAATGAGATCAGCCAGGAAACGGATTGATAACCTCGGATTTCGGTCAGACAAACAGCAGCATGAAGGAGTCACAAATGAGAGGGTGAACTAGTAAGAGGAAACACTTCACCCCATTAGGTATTAAAGACAACCTCAGGCTTAATGAACCTAGGCCCGTTTTTTACCTGATTTACATTTACAGTTGTTATTCAGTGGCTCTTTTTTAGCCAGCAGCAACAAAAAAAGCTGCGACCCAATCCCTAAAAATGTGCTTAATCCGGATACAAGCAGTGAACGTGTTGTTAATTTTACCACCTCAGACTGAGCTTTCCTCAAAGTGTCAAACAACTTTCAGGAAAGATTCCCAACAGAGACCTTGGACCTTTTTAGTTTGATTATCAGATCAGCTGACATGACCCAATGTTGATGGTTTTGTTTCATCTCCTGACGTTTCTTGAAGAAATGCTCAGAGAGTTGCTTGTTAAAAAATATGACAAATAAAATCTTTAAGTCTTTTTCTTCTTTGAAAAATAAGAAGTCTTGATAAATATAATGGTTTGAATCATGATGAAAATCTCCAACATTCAGCCTCCTGTGTTGCACATTCACTCTAATAGGAAATGTTTTAAGTAATCACACTGTTATAATTCTGTTTCAGCTCTTACATATCTCACTGTTTAGTGGCTGGATTTATCACAAAATACCGGCAGTACACTTTTAGGTTTCAAAGCAGACTGCATTGACAGTCAGCAGAAGTAGCAGTGAAGCCAACTAAACAGATCATACCCTATATGTGAACTGACTCTGGCTCCATATTAGCATCTCTTAAGGGCCTGTGTCCCAGTCACCACCTATTTTTAGCTCCAGAACCTTCTTATTTAGTTCCTGTCTAAGTTCTTACACCACACAAAGTATTTCCCGGTTTAACAGGCATCCTGTCTTAGAGGAAGTCTCTGGATGCCAAAAGCAAGTCTATCAATAAATCAGGCTAGCTGCTGGGCCGGCTTCCTCTTTCACTGTCTCTTACTTTTCTTTTGGTGCGGTCTAACAGCACTCTTCTCTCATGAGACTCTGGTTCGGTGTCACTTCTCGGTTGCTGCTCTCTCTTTGACTTCAGCTTTTAGCTGTCAGTCTGCAGCAATAAACCAGCTTAGAGGGATGTTCCCCAGCCTGCCTCTGCTCATATGTGAGCTTCAGTTGTGGCTCTTTCTCATCTCTCTGATAAAAAGCCTCCGTCATGGAGTCTGAAGTGGTTTGTCTTCAGTCCTCAGGCTGTGGGCCGGGCTAACAGAGACCAGACTCAGCTCTGCTGTCCTCCTCACTCACCACAGGGAGCTCAGGCAGGAAGCTGCAGCTTTGCAGCTTTAAAAAGCCACCAACAAGTGACTAATAATGCTGGTTTTGTTTTTATTTGTCAGCGTGTGTCTGTGCGTCAAAGCATGAGCGTGACTATTTTTATGCACATCAATCATCTGGTGGGATTTTATGTTTCATTGCAACTCGAACTCAAACGAAGGAAATTTCTGCTGAGTGGCCGACGATCAACTCCCTCATCTTTGTTCAAACACTGATCTTATAACACTGCAGGAAGTGACTTACTGCTGCAGCTAAAGCAGGTTTTTTATCATGTTGTAATATGATCACAAAATCATATCAAAACATTTCTCATTATTTGGATGTGCATTATCACTTTTTGTTTTATTTGCATACTTTCAGATATTTCCACACTCTGGGAGGGCCAGTAACACTTTGTGACTTGTCTCTGTTTCAAACACACTTCCTTCATTTATTTTTGCATTTTTCTGTTAGTGAGAGATGGGGTAAAATATATCCTGTCCTTGAGATAAGATGATTGTTTTCAAGAGGTGCTAAAAAAGTCCAGAAATCTGATTTATTTGAATCTTCTCTTAAATCGGAGTAACTCCTCTCTGACTTAAAGCCTCTAAGTTAAGAGTTTAAGAGTTGAAGAGGTCACTGACATGTTTAGAGGCTGCAGAGTTACTTATTGACCTGAAGCATAAAGCCCTTTAAAGGTCTGCAGGTTAAAATGTGATGAAATGTGTAGGACTAGAAAAATAAGCATCTAGAGGAGAAAAGCGTTTACGTGAAATTTACAACCATTTACTGCTTCTTCTTCATTGTCTGACCAATGCATTTTGTGCTGCTGCTAATAAATAATAAATTACCATTGATGCGTGTAGGGGTGAGGTGAAGAAAACGGGGAGGAAGATTGCCTCAAAATCAAACCGTTAAAGTAATTAGGGGAAGTCATTTAAGCTTTGGTGGTTTTTTGTTTGCCTCAAATAGTGGGGAAAAAAAAAAAAAAAAAAAAAAATTGAAGCTGAATACAAAACTAAACAACTTGTTGAGACAGTGATTGCCTGCAGAGTAGAGATCTACTACAACTTCAGCACATACAGGCTTCAAACATTAGAGTGGGGCAGAGAGACCTCGCTCAGAGAATAAATACTTCTCCAGGGATACACTAAAAAAAAAAGTTCATTCAGCTTTCATCAGCTCTGTTTATTTCTTCTCTGTGTTATTTTATGAGGCACGAAAAAGGACAAAGGAAGAAACGAGGGAGAGAAGAAGAAGAGAGTCAGCAGATTAGATTATGTCTTCATGATTGTGCCTCGGCTAATGGTGTGAGATGGGAGCTTTGCCAGGAAATTTTCCAGGCCACCCAGCATGGCGTGTCCTCGTTTGGTGAAAATTGGTTCCTACTGAACGAACACAATCACATTCACACACAAGCACACAAACACACACATACAGAAGGTGATTTCCCTGCCAGAGCCAGTGCTGATATTTGAACACCAAAGCTGCTGAGTAACAGTGAAACTACAACACAATAGCATGGAGCTGAAGGTGCAGCAGCATGAGAGCATTTATGTTTGCATGGTGTGTGTGTCTCTCTCTCTCTTCCAGAAGTGCTTCTATATTTATCTCTTTAGGCCAGGTGGTGTAAGGTGTGTTGTCTAAGGTCATGTTGTTACTGGCTGTGCACCTGCTTACACTAGCAGCAAGTGTAACACCTGATGACTCTGTTCAAAAATGCACTTTTCTGCAGACGCTGGACCTCACATGGCCTGTCAGAGTCTTCTTATGGGACTAACTGTGCGTACCTGTTTGGAGGAGATGAGCAGGTGCCTGATTAGAGCTAATCTCCAGCCGGGCAGATAATATTAGCACAGCACCACAATGAACCGACTGAGGAGCTGAGCTGCAGCTGCATTAGCTCCTGTAGAGAGGGATAATAAAAGCTGCATGTACTCAAACAAAGCATGCCGTGTACCTCTACACTGTGCTGCTAAATGACTGGATTACTGTTGTGAACTACAGAAGACCTTACCGAGAGGAACAAAGCGGAGATGATCAGACAGAAGAGATGTTCTCGTTACGTTACAGAAACACTGCTCTGTCTTTCATCCATTTTTTATTGTGTCCTACATTTAAAACGTCATATACAAGCGTTTCGACAAATTTCCTTTAACAGCTGCGACAGTAAAATAAGCTTGAAGCAATTTTCTGAATATTTCAACCTCAGATCTATTTTTAATAATCATAATACATAAATGGGTACAAAATGTTTTGGATTTTCTTCTGTAGGTCACCTGAGCCTGTAGCTGCACAGTTTTAAAAACAATCTGAACATGTCTGTGACAAAAACACCGGACGACTTTGCTCAAGTACATTTACCAGTAAAGATTACAAACCAGCCATCAGAGATAATTGGTCGATCTCTTCTGCTGTATTATTATCTCCCTCCCTTTTCATTGTTACTCTTATTTACCAAATTGTTTTTTATTATCTATGTATTCATTTCTCTTTCTCTTTTATCTGTCCTCTATCCACCTTCTTCCTTTTTACCTTCCTGAAATGATGCCGTCAACCACCAACCGCCAAGCTTTAACTGTCCATTTTCTTTTTTACTGTCAATTTTCGTGTGTCTGTTTCTGTCTTCGTTTGCTTCTTCTGTTAAAGCACTTTGTAAACATCTGTTTTTAAAGGTGCTAGATAAAAGCAGTAATAAAAGTTATTATTATTATTAGCAGTAAAAAAAGTTAATAATAATAATAATAATAATAATAATAATAATATTTTTATTGTTATTATTATTATTATTATTATTATTATTATTATTATTATTATTACATGAAAAAAAAACTAAACAAGATCATCATTACAGTAAAAGAAAACCTGATTTTTTTTTTCATGGTATGTTCTAATAGGCAGAGAGCTAATCAACTCATCAATGATAATCAACCTGCCAGCTCTGGTGTTAATAAAGTTAGCCAAAGTAGAAGTGTTATAAACAGCATAGTCTATACTTGAGACTGTCTCCAAAAGTCAAGGACTACAAATTAACTCTCATACATTTAATCATTAAAAATGCATTTATAAGACTTGGTAACAGTCCTTAAGAATGATTATAACTGTGATTATGTTTACGCTTTAAGGCTGCTACAAACATAATCAATCTATCTAATAGGCTGTGCCATTGTTTTCCTTTACAGGAGGTGTTGCAACTCGAAAGCTACTCTCAGCTTCACAGAGCAATTGGAGAAATCACTGCACTCAAAGTTCACATTATTGCAGTGATGACCCTTAGTGATGCTGACCTTTCAAAGCCCACCGATGAGATCACAGCTGCATGAGATGCATCCCGAAGCTACACATTCAAGATGAGGAGGAGTGCAAAACAAAGTCATAATAATAATAACAAGTGACATTTATAGTAGAATTTCTAATAACTGGGATACTTGTACAAATATTTGTACTATGAAAAAAAAAACATTAGTTGCTGGTGCAGCATAGTGAACATTCCTGTTGGCACAGTCACAGCTATTATGAGTAATTTACTGGGAGCCAAAAGCTCCCGGCTGCCAAGGAGACACACCTTGGCAGCAAATTTCCTTCAGTGAGCTTACAACTAAATAACTTGTTGGTTGCAGGGATTCCAGCTCCAACCCAAACATCACAGCTTCAGGCAATCAACAACCCAGAATCCAGATAAAGGTCAGTGCAGTGTAGGAGGTACAGTAGCACTAACACCTACTAAATGGCCTCTGGCTGAAATCCATGCAGCAAATCAGGTCAAAATAAACCTACTCATGTGTAGGTGTTTAGTACGTTTACCATCCATGGTTACTTATATGTTGTCCTGATATCTGCTGGTGAAAAGACCTGAACTCCACACTGGATTCATCTTAATTCCCTTACAGCAGAAGGACTAACATGGGAGAAATAAGCTCCTGACTCTGCTTACACAGGCGTAAATAAACTCTGTTATTGTCTAACTGGATCAGCTTGTGTATAAAAGTCACACCACACCTTTAGCATGAGCAAATTAGCAGATGCTTTGTTATGCTTTTTTTTTATTTTTTATATTATTAACATCACTCTGTGCTTTACTGCCTAAGGACATGGTAGCTGCATCTACTCACTGCAGAAAACCAGTCTACATTATGTTTGTATTTTTTTCAGTTTTAATTCCTTGCAATTATATACAGAAAACTTATTCCCACACAGTCCTCTGTATAGCTTTATTAAATAAGGTGCACATAAAAAAATGAGCTATCCATACAGAGGAGGCTTTTATTGGTTGTTAAGTATTACTTATAGCTAAATCTTCATGCTCTATGTTACTGTACATCCATTTGTCTGTAATAGCTAAATCGAGGTCTGGAGGATAATTGGTTTTATCAGTTGACTTGGGTCTATTTTGTACGAAAGGGGGTTAGGGCCACGTAAAGAGAAAAAAAAAATACAGGAAGGAGATTAAAAATTGAAATTTTGAGATTAAAGTTGAAATTTTGAGATTACAAAATGTCGTGAATATTGTTGGAATTTCAAGATTAAACAAATTAAAATAATGAGATAAAACTAGAAATTTTGAGATTAAAGTCAACATGAATAAAATCGAAATTTGGACTTTTTTAAATTTTGACTTTAATCTCGAAATTTCTACTTTAAACTTGAAATGGAAATTAAAAAGATCTCTAATTATGAGGACAATTATCAAAATTGCTAATCTAAATTTTCTCTTAAACACGCTCTGCTGCTTTCTGCGGCTCTAGCTATTCAGACTTCAAACAAACCACAGTGTGCTGCAAAATTTCCTCTGGGGCTGCTGCAGCACAACCAGTTCATTTGAACATCTCTTACAGAGGCATGCTGCCCAGTGGGAGAAATATGTCTCACTAACAGATGCACAAGACCGCCACATCCAACTAACACCCACTAAAATAATAAAAAGAATAAATGCTTTAACAGCTAAAACCATCAATGTTTAAGTGCCTAGGGCTGGCCTCAAATCAATATCACGATATATTGAGCAGTTCACCTTGGTACCGATAAATGGGACAGCAAAGGGACATGAGACCATAGCCTATCTACACACATCCAAAACCAACTTTTATTTATGAATTTTTTTTTACACCAAATATTTTGACATGGGCAAAATGACATTGGTTATTGTCATACATTTCGGTATCTGTAAATTTTTGGTTTATCGCCCAGCCCTACAAGTGCCTCAGCACTGACACCACTGTGGGCACTCAGAGGAGTAGTGGTTGTTGCAAACTGTGCAATATGTAAAAATCTGTGTTTACACTGACATGTCTCCAGGGTGAGTGAGTCATGGTGATAATAATTTGCCCTTTGTAGCTGTGTGTGAGCACAAGTGTGTAGGTGTTTAGGACTCCCGGCGCTATCAGGGTTGGATAATCTGACCGATACGGACTATATAATGGAGGAGATATTCAAAATGTATTTGTGTAAATAAGCCCACAAAGAGACCTGCATCAGTGGAGGTGCTTCTGCCAATATTTCTCTGTATCACCGAAGAGCTGACAGAAACAAGCACAACCAGATGTATGTGATTGCACACACACACACACACTGCACACTTTGTGTTTGAAAGGTGATACCAGCAGGGTGGAGATCGAAACCTATCAGCAATCCACGCTGTCATTGTCGGAGCTTTTAGGGCCTTTAAGCATAAAAGTGGAGACGATGGGGTGTGTCTGGAAAGCTACAATCAAGACAAAGGGCAGGACTGATGTTGTATGGGTTGAAGGAGGTCCAACAGGGACAAATAATTAGTGAATCAACTTTTTCAATTTTTCAAAAACTTTTTATTCCCTATTTTCTAGTTTGAGGACTGCATCACTGTTTGATAAGGATTTCAGTTTCCCTTAACAATTGGAGAGGATATCTTGTGTTTTCAGGGTTCAGTATGAGGAAATGCTTCTGCACTGACTGAACTCAAATCATTAATTGCTCCATTTGGCAGAGTCTTATGTTTTAAAAGCCAAAGGGTGTGATTCATTATCATCATTTCTTTAACCAGCAGTAAAAGGTTAAAGAGTCAATTGCATTTTGGGCGTTGATAGGGTTACTGTTTCACTGAACTTTGGGAGTTAAATAAACAACTGACACAGATACGAGGTAGCTTTTGGCAAAGATTCGCATATCTGGCAGCATGGAGAGCACCTACAGAGGAGATAATAATATTTATAGGAATATTCAATAGTAAGTAAACAATCAACTTATTTGTCTATATGCATATATGTGCAAACAAACGCAGGAGCAGCAGTTAATGAAAATCAGAGCACACTCAGGTATCTCTATTTAGAGTAACAGGCAGTAAAACCCTGAATATAAAACTTCTTTTCATTAAGTTAATTATTATTTACAAGACAGTCTGGCTGCAGACCTCCACTGTCAGGACCCTTCGTTGCAGGCCTCCACCGTGGGGACCCATCTCCACTGAGCGGACCGGAAGTTGATTTGAAGCCTTTCAAAATAAAAGCGATTACACCAGGAAGTACCTATTTTTAGTTTCATGTGAATATATTTTATTTCTTGGGGCTTTATTTTACGTATATAATGTTAATATGATTTGTGGTTTAACAAAGACAAAATACAGAACAGGATGACCACTTCAAACAAACTGGACAGAGTGAGAAATAACGTCACCTTGGGTACTCTCAGTGGAGGTGGGTCCTGACAGTGGAGGTCTGCAGCCAGACCCCTCTCATTATTTGAGGCAACAAACATTTGCTGTTGCACCTCAACTTTGCCTTCAGTAAGGTCGACCAGCAGATAGATTGAGCCTGCACTCCCAAAACGTGGATGACCATCAGTAGGCTTCAAAACGCTGCTTTAGAAACAAATGTGCGGCATCCTTGAGATTATGTCCACAGTCTATGGTAAAAAGAAAATGCCATCAATACTTGTTTTAATACCACGGCAACAAGAAAAACAAACTCCTGGACACCCAAAATCCTTAATCTCACTTGTTTAGATTCTCATCCTTCTCAGTTGTGACACAGTTTGGACCTAAACTGAAACGACTTGTCTTGAAGTGAAAATACAGCCATCCAAAGCCTATACTGGATGCATTGATATGGATTTCTTCAAAAGCAAGTGAGAAATGCCCAGGTGAGCTTAAAAACTAGTGGAAAACTGAAACCTTAAATGTGCTTTGAGACTTTTCAACCCTGTACTGAAATAACTGACCTTGGTCTGCACTGTGAAAACAAACCAATGCTCCCTTTAACATCAGAGCGCTGAGCTGTGCCCGTCTCCACCCACAGACACACTGATTTAGCTCTGCTGATTACAGAACCTGCCCATGGGGGAACCCATTCAGACATCTTTATTAGATGCTGTTTGTCATTTATGTGGTTCAAAGTGCTTCTTGTAACAACTACGCATACACCAATTACAAAATCTATAACATCCAGCACTGATGTAACAATGTCTGTGTGTGTGTGTGTGAGAGAGGCAGACAGACAGTGTGTGTCCTTATCCTGGAATCCTAATGACAGGATAGAATGGCCGTGGCTCAGGTTGCCCTGGCGACAGGCACCATGGATATGTGACAGGGGGAAACGAGAGAGTGGAGGTGGAGACGGGCAGTCAGAGAGAGACAAACATAGCAGTAAAGATAGACGGCTTTTGATCATGTCAACAGGAAAACAAATTAAATGAATGAGTCACACACGACAGGAGAGAGATTCCAGGTAGACACGGCTGATGCAGAGAGAGTTTGAATAAAATTTACATTGTGCAGAGAAAGCAGCTTTTACAGCCCCAGACTGTGTTTTGCATCTGTGCTGAGAGAAATGAGACCTTTTCCTCAGTTATCAACACAGTCGGGTGGGTTCATTTTAATTTCTCACAGATTTTACTCTCCAAATATCAAAATCAAACAAGCATGATTCTGTAGAGATTCTGCAGGTGGTGGAAAAACACTGCAGTACAAAAAACAGTGGCTCCTAACTGCTTTTCTTCACTCGCCCACTCTGTTTCTTTTTATAAACTTTTTTAAAAACCCCGTCTGCAAACGTCCTCTGCTCATCTCCTTACTCACGCACTCTAAACATACACACTCACTCACTCAACACACACTCACACAAACACTGAATTAAATATGACTATGATAGCGGGGCTTTGCTGGCTGAATTCTAATTACACTGACTTTGTAGGGTTGCACATGTGCCTGAGGGCAGCCTGTGTGGGAAACTTCTGACCGTGCGCTCTGGTTTTGGTGTTAATGCAGAAATAAAGCATGTCTATACGTGTGTGAGAAAGTGCACGTACATTCAGATCCTGCAGCCACAAGCCCCTCAGAGGAAATGACAAGTTTGTCGAGAGGAAACCACACTCGCACCATGAGTGATATCAATAAAAGCAAAGTTAGTACCTGTCTCTGAGGTGACAGCTGCCAGAGACAAAGTCATTTTGATGTGTTTGAAGTTGCTGGTGGGATTTAAACTCAAGGACACTCTCATCTTCTAACCAAAGTTTCTCTACTTTACTTCACCAGACAAGAGTCACCCAACAGGGTTGCAACAGAAGCTTACAGAGAGTACTGGAAATGTTGAGAGACAAACAGAGAGAATAAAGGAAGACACAAAGGTGAACTCAGATGAAGTTGCTCTGAGATACTGATGCAACATCACATGCAACAATAAAGCATCAAATACTGCCGGTGTTGAAAATGTGACCAATGCTGAAGGGCAAGTGTCCAGTTAGAGCATATGCCTGCAGACCTGAAAGCTGTAGATTCAGGACTGCATCTCTAAGACCCTTGTTGTTTGCGACAGCGCAACATTGAGCCTCAGATTGCGAAGGACCTCATATTTTAGTGACTGACATAACTATTTTATTTCTATTGGTTAACCCGTACTTCCAATTGTCACAACAATGCAGTGTTGCAACTAAGGCCTCTGGCTGTGCACACACTAGTATTTGCCCATTACAGCCTGATTGACAATGGTCCAAATATAAGACAAGTCCACTTTTGAGACTAAATAAAATAAAATAAAATGGGTTCACATATATGAATCTTTTAATTGTTTAAATATTAAAAAAGGTTAGAATAACCTGCTTCTTTATTGCTTTTTTATAAACAATCACTGTGGCCCTTCATCTACCATACTCACACAGTAGTAAGCACCATAAGGCATACTTATCCCAGAATATAGGACAATACTACTCTTTACAGATACACTTTAAGGTTTAACACGTTTGAGTAAATATGGTTATTTCTTTTGGGTGATTTCGTGTAATAGCTTATTATTTTAAGACCTCATTATCTCATTGGTGTGGCTGGTTCGTTTGTCAGGTGGCTAGGTTAAGGCCTCAACTTCACTTTACAGACTGTTCTCAGATTATCCAGAAATTAGCTGGGGTCAGCATTTTTAACACGGCAGCTCACACCTTTAGACTAAACCTCTACAGTAAATAAAGAACTGTGATTTTCACGTGACTCATACAAAATTGGTTTAATATTTCATTTGGTGACTAAAGGGCGAAAAATTCAGCCATAATCTGGATTAATACTCAGACTGAGAACCTGCTGGAAGGTTTATAGAGTTTTATTAAAGGTTCTTTCCTCATCTGACATAAACAAAGTTAATGCTCCGTCTGCTCAGGCCACGAAAACCTGCTGTACAAAGTCCTGTCAGTTTAAAAATTGGTGGTAACTTTCGCTTTTGCTTCTAGGTCACATGTTCTGCTGGTGGTGAAGACACGTCTTCATAGGTTTATATCTAATTTTATTTCAGGTGTCATAAAACCTATTATTGGCCATCAGAAATCAAAAACTACACCAGCGTCATCATTGGTAAAGAATAAACCGGAACCATTTAAAAGACAGAGAGTCTATTTGAGTTGTATAGTGTAGACACAAACACTGCCACACAATGAGACTTTCTTTCTTCCAGTAGCTTTTCAACAGTTATAGTTGAGTTGGCTGGCTGAGCCCATTGTCTATTGCATGGCAAGCACCAAATGTTAGCTGGGCAAAGTTAGCATCTAGCTTTTTGCACATAATAGAGTTGGAGGAAACCAAAGCAAAGTTTAAGCCAAGTCAATATTAAATCTAACAAGAATATCTTGGGAAGAGAGAAACAGGAACACATTTCCAAATTCTGTTTGTGCAGAATGCTCGCCATCAAATTGGCCGAGAATTGCCAAAAATTCTGCTTTATCGTTTTCACATCAAGGATGTAAAATGATTCAAGAGACTGCATCAAAAACAACTGGTCTCAGGTCCAACATTCCCTTATCAGTGACCATGAAACTGTCTTAGATTTCAGAGATAATAAGCTCAATCCAACATTTAGCATTTCTAAATGGATTCAGGTGCATTCACTTGATAGGGTTAGTCAAAAATGCACTGTTACAAATGAATTGTGGAGAAACACACTGTCTTAACCTGAAAAAATTTCTCCTGTGACTTCAATTCAGCTTCAAAACAGGCAAAAAGCACTCAGGATAGCAGGTGCTTGGCTGTTATTTCAGGAGAAAAACTTTTTTAAAATAAGCCGGGGGGAGGGGCGGGGTGGTTAGCACTCAGGAAGTGTAAGGGAGGAGAGAAGGGGAATGTCTGCTGACTGGTAAATAATTAAACACAATGGACTTTCACACCTGTAGTCCAGGCGCACAATGTAAATGTAGGAGTGTGCCCTTTCAGTGGCCTTCCTGTGTTACAGACGGCTTTTAACTATTAAAGTTGGAGTATTTTAACCTGCTGTATGCTGTATACATGACATTTGACCACAAGGTGAAAATACAGAGATGAAGATTACGTCACTCACCGCAGCGCACAAAGGCCACCGCTGCAAAACATGGATATGGAAGAAAAGTCCATTGGTCAGAAGAAACTCAAAATAAATCCTCTTACCCATGGATATTTTTTTCTACTTCTCAACTGATAACTTTTTTAGTTTATTTCTGAGACTTTTCACCCCCTTTGTTAAAAAGCAGGACAGTGGATAGAGCAAGAAACCAGGGGAGAGAGTGGGAAACTTAAGCCTCAGTTGATACCTGTGCATAGGGCTGGGCGATAAAGCGAAATTTCACCAATACCAAAATGTACGACAATAACCAACATCATTTTGCCCATGTCAATATATTCAGTGTCAAATAAATAAACAAAAGTTTGTTTTGGATGTGTGTGTATCAGCTATGGTCTCAGGAGATGGAGGACAGTTCAAAAGTTGTATCGGCTGGAGTGGCGGCTGAGGTAGATGAAGTTAATGTGGGAGGGGGTGAACAGTTTGTGGAGTAGTTATCGACCATTTATCGTTATCGAGGTGAACTGACCAATATATCTTGGATATTGATTTGAGGCCATATCACCCAGACCTACCTGTGCAAGCAATTTAACAGCTTGTAGCAACTTTGCACAGAATTATTACACATCAACAATGTGTGCATTGTACTACAGTCAGTGTTATTGCTGCATTTGGAAAAAAGATTATTACCTACTGGTCCGGATTTGTTTCTGGTTCACCTGACTCATTACACGACTTCAACAGAGGTGATAAGTTAACCATAAGTACTGGTGAGTTGTCAGTGCCACGTACGGAAGATCCTTTGAAACAGTTCTAAATGTAATGATTTATAACAGGCATTATCAGTTAAGTCTGCTTCTAGACTCACTGTCTCTTGCATCAAGGAAAATGCCAACACCCTGATGCCAAAGCCAGAGCTGTTTCCATGATTACAAAATGGTTTTGCAACAGTATTTAGAACGACTACACCGCCCAGAAGCTCAGAATTGTTTCCAATTATTAATGTGATAGATTGAGCTTTGTTATGGAGGTCATCCAAGGTATTCACCAACAGAAATCACACTAACTATGATAAGATCAACTTTTTTCAAGCTATCCAAGCCCAGCTGGTTCATCTGACTCTGTGCCAGTTTGACTGACAGCTTCCACTGAGAATAAAAGTAAGCAGAATTAAAGCTCAGACAATGATAGAAAACAACGGCAACAAGATGATATTACGATTACCATGTTTGGCAGATGGAGCAACATTACTTCACACAGGATTCTGGATCATCTTATATGATCTTGTATTCGACGTAAAGAAAACAGACTGATGCTGTGCAAAAACCAACATTACTTGTAGGGGTGGGAATTACTAGTTGCCCCATGATACAATATTATCACGATACTTGGGCCACGATATGATATTATTGCGATTAAATGAGACGATACGATATATCAACAGACAAAATATCGCAATACTATGCTGCATCGATTTTTTCTCCAACCCCCTGTACTGAAGAAAAGAAAAGCAGAGGCTAAACAATGGGCCAACCATTCACTGATAACTCATAGAGACATTTAGAACATCATTTTCAAATACAGTATCCCCAAAATGAGCTTAAAATGACAGTATCTGCATATTGGATAGAAGCCAAAATCCAACATACTGAGAATAATGTTGGCATAATGTGAATATTATTAGATATAAGCTTAAAAAGTGAATTATTGATATCAGCAGATATTAAATTCTACTGATATGATGATGCCTTAGTGATGCACATGCAATGAAAGCTTAAGCCTAACATTAACCCACTTTAACATGCCAGAAGTAAGAAAATCATACAATTCTTTGTTTTTTTTTAGATTTTTAGCCTGATGAAATATACAGGTTTCTGCAAGGCTAATGGTGTTCTTAGATTGGTAATGGTAATGGTGTAAGTATCAGCCAAAATGAGTTTGAAAATATCTGCATATCCAAAAAACAATATTGTGCGTCTCTAAAGATGAGCCCAACAGAATCCTATCTCTGCTGCACTTAAAGAGAATCATATCTGAATGGTTCCTTCATGCAAATACACAAAAGATGAACTGAGAGATGCAGAGAGCACTTCAAACCTCCACCTTTGTCCCTCTTTAGATGTTTTGCTGACAAACACATAAGCCTCCCTCCCTTTCCTCATAATAACTGGCCGCAGAGAGCAGAGACCTCAACACACAAACCACTCCGCCTCCCTCCCTGTCTTGTTGCCAGCTGTGACTCTCCTCCACAAAGAGTGGCGTTGTCTGCCATGAGGAAATGAGTCCATCCATCAATTCTGCCTGGGTTAAGTTAAGACAGCCCAGTCCAATCAAAGTGTATGTGAAAACTGTGTCAATCCTGGCCTGTGCATTTCACTCGAAAGCCCAAGTCGACTTTATGCAAATGAAAGAGTGATGCGGTGCAAGAAGCTGCACTTGACCTACATAGCTCTTCCACAATTCCTTCCCCAATAGAGAGGAGGAGATCACAGGAAGCTGGAAGCAAGGGGACAGGCCTTATTAACCATCACCGCACAAGAATAAAGCTGTGCACTGTGGGCACAAGGGGGAAAACACAAAGCAGAGTGGTGCTTGTGGAGCGATAAGGGTACAGGAGATTGCGCTGGATGTGGTCCAGCTTTCAGCACACTTGTAATTTTAAAAACCAGAACATGCAGCAAGGAAGCGTAGAAAGAGTGACTTGTTTTTGGCAAACTGAAAGGAAGAGATGATGATCTGTTTGGGTCAAGTTCTCGAGCCCTGACGTACATATGGAACATTCTTTTCCAGCCGACTTCCTCATAAAAAAGATTCGGGTTTGTCGGAAAACGAGCTCCTAAAAAACCCAGTCCCAACCCAGAATGCTGAGCCCAAGCCATTCTCAGAGGCTGCCCTCACACAGAAGCGGCACTGAACAAAAAATTCCACACAAATTATACAGGCCAGGCCAAGCCTCGATGCTTTTGTAATTGCCTACACGGCCCTGCCCAGAAAATAAAAGGGGGAAAAAATCTGGGCCTTGATGATGACCAAGAAGAGCAGAGGGACAACAAAGGGCGAAAGTGTTCGGTTTAAGAGGACAAAAGGCAGGATGTGCTCACGTCTCATAGCTGCAGCCAGTGGCAGTCTAAACGCACAGAAGCACACAATATGAGTGCTTTCACCACAACAGGGTTTCATAGGTCTGGCTTACTAACAAAGAAGTGGTCTAAATATCTGGTATTATAAAGGTCATGTTCTGCGGGCAAGTACCGCTTTCACCCGCAGAACTTTATTTTAAATTCTAGTAAAAATCCATGTTTCCTCTGATACCAAAAATATATCACTGAATTACAAGAACATGTGGAAAAATGCTGCATGAATGCTTTTTATTACAGAACCAGTGCAGCAAAACATTCTGGGCCTGAAAACACAATTAGTGAAAATCGAAACATATATCTAAAGCTCTGTTTGAGCAGTATTTCAGAACTTCTATTTCTATATTTGGCTGTTCTCTAGATAAAAGCCATACCAAAGGCCATTATTCTATAAATCAGAACAAACACGTGTCAGTGTCTGTTAGATTTGATCTGCTATCATTTATGTGTTGTCATTGAAAGGGATGTTGATGATATTTGACAGCAGCTAAAGCGATAAGGCTGTATGCAGTTTCTGCACACATGATTTGTTGATATTTTTAAAAAGCTTAATGAGCCCAGATAATAGCTGATGTCTTTTACTTCAAAATGCCATCAATTAGCCCAACAGATTAATCAGTCTATCTCTATAGACAAAAACCAATGAAAAAACTCATACAGCTGGTGTGGCTCATCTCTATCGATCTCTTTCGTCAGCATTGACATCAGTTTGCATGATATTCAAAAATAATACTTTTTTTTTTTCTTTTCTGACAAATATTGCAAAACAAGAAAATACAGGAATTTATAGGCAGTAGATGGAGTTCATTTTTGTTCTCTTATAAACACTTCAACATGTATAAATAAATACAATTACACTTTTTATAATTTGGATCTTTGCTGGAAAGTCAGATACTCCTCCTACTTTTACCACACAGTGTCCAGCAAATGTGACACCCACATGAAGAAACAAAGAGACAAGAGGAGCAGAAAGGAGGATGGAGCAATGCGTCACTGCAGGACCTTCACGAATAACCACGAATGATTTGCACAGATGTCATCAAATACTTGATGTTTAATCTTCGTCAACAGTCCTGTACGAGCTGTCTCTAACTGAATCAGAACTCATTGTGTCGTCGTCAGAGCTCATGATCTGTATAAAGTAACCAAGTGATTTATATGGATGCCCATGACGTTAACAAGTGCTGGAATGAGTGAGAACATTGGTTGTTTGCTGGGCGTCAGTGCAGGTCAAAGTATGGCTGGGTAATAAACCGAAAATTTACCAAGTTCCCATAAAGAACTGAACTTCAGGACCTGAAATGAACTAATGCCACACAGCTTCAAGCTGGCTGCAGTCTGCGGATCAGGCAGTCACCATTTGCACTTGACAAAATCACGAGTCGCCTGAGTTTCTTGCCCTGATTGTAAAAGGATGGATGGATTTACTTGGAGAGCAGAAGATTACAGTGGGCCAGGTCAAAGAAAAGGGACTGCGGGCCAAAGTCTAAGAGGCTGAGCAACGGCCTACATTGAAGAGCTGCCAAAACACCCAGCGTTCGAGGTGATGTGGCGATTTGTGGATCACAAAGGGAAGTGCTGTGATGTAACTTAATGCACCCTAATAGTTAAATGAAGAGTACTGTAGTATAAGAGGTAAGGAAAGGAGATCCATGTCCTGGTGGAGGGGTTACATCCTTTTCACAATGAGCCTTTGAACCTACATTATCCTGTTACCTGCATTTTACTGTACTCAAAGCTACTGTGCAGGAACTCTTAGTTTGTGATGGTCTTCACAACCCCTTAATGAGATGCAGTAAGATATGGTTTTCAAATAATTTAATAAAGTCTTGATTTAATTAAAAGTAGAATAAAGACTATACATGTTATAAACTAAAGATTTTTTTGATTCTCTGTCATATGACCAGCCGTAACATTATGAACACCAGGGCAATCCAATCCACCAAAAACAACAGCTCTGCTTCAAACTCAACTATCAGGAAGCTTTAGTTATATAAGATTGGCTATAAGATCAGCTGTTCAACAGTTCAGGGGCTTTTTTTGTCATATTTTTTCCCTGATGCCCCAAATGTTCTCGCTGAATGTCACGCTGGCCATATTAGCAGCAGAGCTCTTCTACTACAGAGCCATGCTGCTGTTATCCCTGCATAGTGTGGTTTGTCATCCTCTTGCTGAAATATGAAGGTCTTCCCTGAAAAGTCATTGTCTGGATGGCATCTGCTGCTCCAAAACCTGCATATACTGTTCAGTATTAATTGAGCCTTCCAGATGTGAAAGCTACATGAACACTTACGCACCACAAAACCATTGGTCTGTAAGCTGATAACAAGTCTGGTGGTCATTCGCCTCTTCTGATCAGAAGCTGCAGCATCCATGATTTCCAAAAATAAAGTCACATTTCGACTCATCAGACCATATGAAAGTTAGCCACTTCTCCATTTTTTCTTTATTGGCATTTCTGAATCATGAACATATCTGGCTTCCTATTTGCGTAGTAGAGGGTTAATCTGCATTTGTGGGTGCAGTGATAAATTGTATTCACCGGCAGTGATTCTTGGAAGGGATTTTGAGCCAATGCAGTCATTTCTACTACAAAGTAAATTGTGTTTTTAATGCAATGCTGACTGGGGGCCTAAACATCACAGCCATCAAGAGATTTGTACAGCGATTTCTCCAGATTTTCAGAAACCTTTGCTGATATTATGCACTGTAGTAATGACATTTTCTTGTTTTCTTTTTTCCTCTTTTTTTTCCCAACTCTACACTGAGGGAAGCTGAGGAAGCCAGAGGAACATTACTCCAAAAAGAGAGGTGATTCTTTTGCCATCTTTTCTCCTTTTATTGTCCCTGTCCCTTCCTCAGCTCATTTTTGAAATGGTTACTGGCATAATTTTAAAAGCATACACTATTTTTCTCACTTGAATACTGGATTTAAATGATTTCCAAACCATCAACTTCCACTTGTCAATCAGTGTAACAGCTTCTATGTGAATCGGGGTTGTTATATTCTGGAAAAGAATCATTCTGTGATCTTCTCAAACTAACTGTGAATATTTTATATCAAAGTAAAAGCAATGCCAGCCTCTAAACTGCTTCCACAGACACTGACGCATTGGCAGCAAATGTGGGCATTAAAATCTAGTTTGTAGAAGTAGAAAGAACTCTTACTAATGGTCTGGTTTGGTTTTTTTAGGTCACACAGAAACATCGTTATCAATTTTAGTCTGATTCCTAACCAGCTAAAAACTCCTCACAGGAGCTTTAAAGGAAAAATCCATGCCACAGGCAGAGATCTTGTGCTGTCAGGAGAGACATAAACACACCATGCTGAAAATAATGTGTGACACCCATGAATCTGAAAGCAGCCTGCAGCTACCAGCAAATTAATTAGAAACATTTTCTGGTATCAAATTAATCCCTTTGCAGATAAAACAGAGGCACTTTGCAGCAAGACCTTGGCCAATAGGCATCAGATATCTGATAATGATGGCGAGATAGCTATTATGCCCAAAAAACAAACTTTGCCGTCATTTAATTATGATCCAAGAACCAGGGTTAGAGTGATTTAATGTAGAAGCAATCAATATGTTCCTGAGAGTCGAGGACAGGTCGGAGCCAGCCCCGAATCCTTCCCCCTGCCAAATCCTGAGAATTGAATACAGCCTTGATGAGATTGTTCAGTCAATAGGCTTGAAGGGCCACCTAACCCAATAATGCGCTCTGCGACAAATAACATTCCTTTGTGGGACGGTAGTCTACAGGCAAAAAAACTCTGCGTGTCGGTCCAAGTGGCTGAGTAAACACATGCTTTTAATCCATCCACCAGGTCTGAGAGCGGGTCAAGTGATGGGATGTTTAGAGTAGCAGACACATTCGCTCACAGCACAGCTCAGGAAAATAACTGTGAGGATTAGCCATGAGTGGAAATGCTAGCCTGAATACCTGAAAAGCTCAGGTGACTGGAGTGTGCCAGTCTGGATAATGAACAATAAAAGAACAGGCGCACAGGGAGAAAAAAGGCAAAGTGAAGCAGAGCCTTTCCTGTGTGATGTTTGACTACTAAATTTAGATCAGAGGAAACTATAATGATCCCCTCAGGAAGAATTGGCACATGTTACGCATGAGGGTTTTAAGAACAAAATAATGCACCTACTTAGAGCATTAACCAGACTGTGCATATTTATTCTTATCCAGGGCTGCAAAACATCTGCATAAAATCATTATTTTTAGCACAACCCTAATACACAGCTGAGACACGAGGTAATATGTTAATTTAAGATAGAGTTGATGGTTTTCAAATCATCCAAACCTGTTTTTCCAACAAATAAAATGTTGAAGCTGAAAACTTTTTTATGAAAATATAAGCTCATAATAAATCTTATGGCGGCCACATGTTTCTAAAATGTTGGGACAAGGCAACAAACACTGAAAAAGCTGTGTTATACTAAAAAAACCATTCCAGGGAAGGTGAATTTCTCAGATTTAAGGATGGGAGGTGGTTCATCATTCTGTGAGGGTCCCAGAATAATGTCCCTGAACATAAAATTGCAAAGAGTTTGGGGATTTCATCATCTACAATACATAATATGGTTCAAGATTAAGAGAACCTGGAGCCTGCTTAAGACAGATGAAGGGGATGTGACAAACTTTCCATTGGTCTGATAAAATGAAATTTGACATTTATTGTGGAAATCACAGACACAGCATACTCTGCTCTAAAGAGGGAAGTACCACTCAACCTGCTTTCAGCACACATACAATTTAATAGCTGACATCCTGATGGTAGAGGGATACATAAGTGCTCACAATATATGTATATTTTGCAGGTATTACAACAGCATGACTTTAAGGTGAAAAAGTTTTGGTGCTGAATTAGCCTGTCTGTAGTCCCAACTTATCACTTGTTAAAAGCATTTGGTGCATCATGAAAGTAAAACTGTTAAAAGTTGGGTGCAGATGATTTGCAAATCATCAAATTCTATTTTTAGAAATGCTTCACATAACCTCTTAACTCTTTAGGAATTCAGGTTGTATTTATCAATCCACTTTGTGCCTTTTAGATTAAACTGCCCTTTTCAATGTAAAAAAAAATCACTTTTAATGTCTTTTAAAATATCTCAGGGATAATGTTTACACCAAAGATATAAAGTAAACATGATATGAGAAGAAGAAAGCTGCAGATCTTTACATTTAACACACTACGACCAGCTGTTTCAGAGGCATCTTGCTGATTAGTTATTTCAAGTATTATCGATTTTCATGTACTTCTTAATCCATTAACCATTCAGCCCCTTCATGTTAGTGAAATTGTGAGACATGTCATCAAAGCAATTCAGTTCAGGTTAGTTTTTGGCCTTACCTTCTTGCCTGTGGAGCCCGTCTTGACAAGGCAGGACTTTTCCAGGGACAGGTATCCACCAATCACCTCGATCTCCTCCACAGCAGGGTAGCGTTTCTTCAGCAGCGAGCCAAGCTGAGAGTAAGGGGCCTGTGGGGGTGTGGACCCCGGCTGACCCTCACTTGAGACTTCCTGCTGGGGTTCAGGTGAGCTCGGCTGACCCTCAGGTTCCTGCCTGCGTTTAGGTATCACAGTGAAGGTGTTGGCCTTTTTCCTGTGCACCATGGGGCTGGGGACAGGGACTCGCAGCGGGGGCTCCACCTCAATGTCATCTATGTTTGTTACTGGAAGCTGATCTGTGGCAGGCTGTTCAGGAGCTGGGGGAGAGGGGGAGAAAGGAATGGGAGATGGGGCAGGAGAGTCTGAGGGAAGTGGGGAGAAGGCAGGTGAAGATGGTGGTGAAGATAGGGCAGGTGGAGAAATAGGAACTGGGGTTACTGCAGGAGGTGGGGACAAGGGTTCTGAAATAGGAGGAGGCACAGGACTTGTGGCAACAGATGGAGAAGGAGAGGGTTCTGCCTTATATGGCTTCCCCGGCCTCTCTACATCCTTCTCCTCCTTCAGTTTCTCCTCATTCCTCTTTGAGGGCATCAAACTAGGCGAGGGGGCGTGAGAGTTTGGCACTCCTGGCATAGTCACCCCTGACACTCTGTGAGAGGGGGAGGACCTGATGGGGCTGGAAGGTGTTGGGCTGGGACGCCGCTTGGGGATGACTTGGAAGGAGTTTTTGGACTGCAGGCGTAAGTTTGCGAGGGCCCGTGCCTGTATGTCTCCATCGGGAATTCTGGAAAGGTCTGGCTTTGGGGAGGGACGGATCTCAAAATCAGATGAGGAGTGTGACACCTTTGCGATGGGGCTTGAAGGGGACACGGCACGAGCAAGTAGGGTCTCTGGAGAGCATGGCACCTTAGGTTTGGGTGGCACCTCTGTACCCTCCCAGTCTCTCTCCCTGGTGGGCTTTGTTTGTCCCCTGTCTGGCTCATCTCTTGGGCTGGCAGTCACCCCACGACCTCCACTCTCCTCAAACCTCTGTCTGAATGAGGACACAGACTGAGAGGGAGCAGCAGAGCGTTTTGGGCTGCCCGGGTCATAGACAGCTGAGGGTGGCTTTGGTTTGGAAGACCAGGAACCCTGGAAGACAGGAGACGATGGTTGGCTGCTGCCCAGGCTGCTGACCACTGGACTTTGCCTGGGCTTTGGCACCAGATCTGGCTGTTGCTTAGACCAGAGCCTTGGCCTGCAGCTGGAACTACAATCCAGGTCCAGCAGGTTCTCTGTGCTGTGGGACTTCTTCTGCAGCTTCCCATAGTTGCTGTCAAATTTCTGCAGCATCCGGCTAACCCTGCCTTGGCCCTGACCTGTCTCGTATGATGACAGCGCATGATCAGGGCGGCCCAGGGTGCTCAAGTTCTCCTCGCTCTTGCTTAACGTGGTGTCATAAATTACCACTTCCTTGGCTCTTATCTCTGTAACAGCACTCCCTCTCCGGTCCAGGAGGTCGTTCAGAGAGCTATAACCACTGACACCATTTTGCTGCCATTGAGACCCGGTCTTTAACCCTCCAGTTTCTGGAAAGTAATCGGGGTCTGATTCAATGATGATGATGTTCTCTGCGCGGATAGTCCGTATGCCGGGTACACTGCCGTACAGCTCCAGGATGTGCGGCACGGGACGAGCGGCGTTTTCTCGGTCCTGCCGCCTCCTCCGCTCCTTCTCCAGCTTGATGAACGGGTTCTCCTCCAGCGGGCCCAGGCTTTCCTGTAGCACTAGACTCTCTTGTCTCTCGCTCTCCCTCGAAAACGTCCTCTCCGGGGCCGCTGGACGAGGCTCTTTGTTGTTGGAGAAATGTTGGCTGGCTGTGGTGATGGTGTAGTTCCGCCCGGACCCGCCGCTCTGCCCGCTGTCACTCTTGGGCACACTACTACTACTGCTGCTGCTCCCGTTCACGTTTCCCGTTAAGTCGCCGTTCACCCGCTGCGGGCCTGCACCACCGGGGCTTGAATCGAAAGAACCGGCTCCCCCTGAACCTCCGCCCTTTGCTTTCCTCCTCTCCAGGATCTCACGCTTCCAGGCCGGCATCCTCGGGCTCTCTTGTCCGGCCTCTTGGCGTAGGACACGAACCTCTCCTCCGCCAGACATTGCGGAGGGTCGTTCAGAAGGGATGGAAAGGAGAGAGGCAGGCCCTGAGGTGCTGTTGCCGGGGTCCGGTGCGGATGTATAATCTGTATCCGTATCTGACTGTACCTGCAGCAACGGTTACCGCACGTTCACAAACATCCCCACAGCCTCTTTTCTCTCCTCTCCCTGCTGTCTCAATGTCTCACAGCTCCTTCTCTACACACATCCCCTGAATACGACCCCGCCCCTCCGCAGCGGCACGAGCCCATTCGGCACTCGAGTTCGCTACCTGATTGGTCATTAGGGCTTACAGACACGCCTCCTTTCTCCTTTGTCGCACGCCGCTCGTAGCGTGAAACCACGCCCTTTTCTATTGTTGACTGGGCAAGGAAGACCTGTCAATCTAAAATGTTGCGTTCAGGTTCATCCCACCTCTTGTTTTATTTTAAACTAATCATATTTCTGCTTTTATCTTTTAGCCAATTAAGTGATTTATTTGCATAATTGTTTGTACACAGCTTTAATCAACATTCAAAAAGCTAGTATTTTTCACTAGTTCATAAACTTCATAGCGTTTTTTTCAATTTGTGAGTTTTGGTTATTCAACAGGAACGTATTAAATGTTCTTTATTGTGAATTCTTGACTTTATCATAATTTAAAAGAAAGATTTCAAATGGATTATCGACTCATCTTGCACTATTTCCCCCCTGTTTCATATCTGTGCAAAAACCCTGTCGCCCCGTATTATTTTGTTTTGCACATCGGATGTGATAAATAGGATAGAGCTCGTGCCTAATGAAGGCTGACGACTGTTTATTCAGCATTTGACGGTGATGCCACCTGTCGATAATCCTGCTGCGGTAAACACACAAGCTAAGAAGTACCCTTCTGCACATGAATCAGCACTAAGAGGACTATTATTTAGTACAACAGATTACCACACCTCATCAAATATTTATCATTAACAGTCATTAAGAACAAAAAGGCGGAAGGGCATATTGAAAGGAAATAATGAAACGCGTAAAAGACATGGAACAGAAACTGATACGTTAATGCGTTTGGATTGATTTGAATATTTCTTTCAATGTAGCATCTTTATTTTGCTGTGTGACAGTTGCAATGCTATCGCCAAGTGAATATTATATCGCACTGCTTTGAATGAACAACTTTGCATATAATAGGCCTATTTTTTGCTGACAGAAACCCAAAAGTCTGATGCGTCTCACTGATGTCTGTGGCCCTAAATTTCCACAGTAATGCAAAACTCTGACTTGTATGTAGGATCTATTGATGGAATACTTTACATAAAGAAGCATGACTTGGACACTATTAAGAAGCATGACTTGGACACTATTAAGATGAACTAAGTACTGTATCGTATATGGAGGTGAGACATGGTCCTTTACGCTTCATACGCCACACCCATACAAAAGGGAAGTAGCGCCGCCCTGTGGTAAGGAAAGGCAAAACCTTCTTCTACAAGCAGGTGCACCTTAGAAATTAGAAAATCATGATTTCTCTTTTTATACTGACCAAAGGGCCATTGGTGGTGTACGGCTCCTGTCACTTCGCAACAGGACAGAAAGATCCATTTTCCATATCTTCATGTCCATTAAATGTAGAGTAAACTACTTCAAGCCATTTTTTTTTAATATGATGAATATGTCTTACTGCTCATGAAAATTGGAAACCAATTTGACAAAATACTACAATATACTAATACAGAGACACAAAGTTTCTGAACTTGAGCCAACATTTTATTGTGGGGACAAAAAATGTTTTGCTTGGTAACTTATTGCCACAAAGAATCCTATAATAATAATAAAAAAAAATGAATGAATGAAGAAGAAGAAGAAGAAGAAGAAGAAGAAGAAGAAGAAGAAGAAGAAGAACTTCACATGGTTGAAATAAAAATAGAAAGTCATGTATAAATCATCACATTTTCATGCAAATAGTTGGTAACCCGTTTTAGATGGTAAAAGCAATATCAAATCTAATTAATTTGTAGATCATGACAGAAAAAATGTAACATATGTTGTCATTAGTGATGGTAAAATGTGTTTTCCTTTAAGAAAAATGATGGTGATATTTGCCTTTTAAAGATTAATGCTGTTATGATGCCTATTGTATCAAAATGCCATTAATCGGCCAAATTAATTATATTTTTCGGATGAGAATATTTTACACGATTCATGAAAAATGTTTAAAATAATTTAATGTCTGTCCTCTGGCAAGTATGCTTATAAATACTCTCAGGAATTTAATTGAAGACCCTCAGTCACAAATTACTGACCCAATGATTTAGGACATGGAGGTGATCCTGTGGCACTGCTTGGAGTTATCAAAGCTTATGCTCCTTTAATAGAGTCCTTAAACCTGTCTGTGTTACTGGGTGTTTCTTATCTTCCTCTTGATAATACATGGATTAGCATAGTTTTTCTAAGGGGTTCAAGCCAGGTAAGTTGGCTGGTCAATTCGACACAGAAATACCCCCCTTTCAGTCAACCTTCCATTTACATACTTCCATACAGCACTCTGCAAGCAGCCAGTCTTTGCAGCAAAGACCTTTTGTGGCATGGATGATTGTCTTTTGTACAGCTATCATATCAGCACTCCTCCCTATGGTGGTGGTTTTATGTACAGAACAAGACCCAGAGTTACATGGTAACAAGATTGCTAGAATACTCAAACTTAAAATCAAATATTGTAATAATCTGAGATAGTAATTTTTTACATTTAACTGAAAGCCACATTGAACAAAATGAAAAAAACTCCAATTGTTTTAATTACGTGATGAGTGTAATCCAGAATATACAACATTTTCACTTTCTGAACTCGCTGATGGAAAATATTGAACGTTTTCAAATTATTCTCTGACATGAACCTGTATATAACAGACATTGTGGATTGAGTGATGATGGTTTATTTACACATATATACACAGATGATACAACAAGAATGATGCAACAATGAGAACATAAATAAGAGTTGGTGAATTTCTTTTAAAAAAAAATCAACATACATGTTACACATTTGGAATCATCTTAAAATCAGGCCTGAAATACATGCAGCTCATACATAAGGTAGCATTGAACACAGATCAAGTACAGTACATTACATATTCTACAAATAAACAGCAATAAATCATGAATGCATGTGCACAAAACTGACTGCATGTTTATGTTACATTCAGTTTCTAAACACTGGGGTGAGACTGAGCTGACAAGTTTCAGAAGCAGCTGTTGTTTAGGTGGTTCTCACTGATGGAATTGACAAACTAGGTAATGTGAGGTAAAAACACATGAGCAACAGTCCCAGAAACAGGCAACAAAGAAAAAGACCACCTCACTTTCGCTGGCAAATAGTAACCTCTACTGTGAAAAAAGCACAAAAGCTGAAGCCACTTCTTCAGCTCTCTGGATCATGGCAGATTCGAAAAAAGTGCAACAGGCAGTTCAGCCTTTAGATTTTGCCTGCTTTTTAAAACTCTCGTGTGTTTTGTGTACAAGTGCATTCAACATAACCTGGGTATACATTTTTCTTATGGCTCATTGACTTCCATCGATTGCACAATTCAGACACACATTGTATCCAAAAACTTAAAGCCCAAATCCATCCCGGTGAGTGTGAAAGAACTGGGACAACAGGGAGGTTTTTACTGTCATTGTCTGGTTATAAATTCAATCATGTCTTCAGGAGCAGGTGCCAGGAGGTATGTTTTTATTAAGAAGTAAATTTCCCTTCTCCAAGTAAACTTGACTTTATCAGAGGGTCAACTTGTTAACAAGCTGCTGGAAGCATGCTGTTGTTCAAAATCTGACTGTAATCTTTGGCAGAGAGATTTCACTTGATTTGGACCGAAAAGGGCATACGTTTTGGAAAAAAGGCCCAAAGAAAACACATATTTGTGCACAGAACAAACAGCCGATTGCCAAAATTATGTCAAAACTGAGTATTTTAGAATTTAGCAACACACACAAGAAATTATCTGCTGCTTTTGTAATACTGCATCACAACTAAGCAAACTATTCATTATGAGGCGCCTTAAACACAAATCTGGACTCTGGTAAGACATGAAATGTGCTACGAGTTTCTAAGTCTCACATTAGTTTTGATTGTGTGGTTGAAGGAGGCAATGAGCCAAAAGAAAAAAGGACACTATAGCTATGCTTTAAATCTCTGATGGCAGATGACGTTTGCTCTCTTCTCCTGCATTCTCAGTGAAGTGAAAGTACAACCAATAACTGCTCCTCTTCAGTTGACACGGCATGCTCTGATCATCAGCAGCTGCAGCAGGATGAACAGCGGCGAAACGATGAGACCAAACCACAGGTCTCTGGCTTGCTCCTGCTCGGCTAGCTTCTGGCACAGCAGAACCTCACATACCAGCTTCAAGCTGAGCACCGTCAGCACCCAGAGGAGCCGCAGCACGGCGAGACGCTTCTCATTCTCCTGGTAAAGACGGATGGATACGATGGCAGTGAAGTAGGTGCTGAGGCCATCGGCAGCAAACAGTGGAACAAACACTAACCACCAGCTCAGTGAAGGTGTAAACATGTCAGCTCGCAACGCAACCAGCATACTGAAAACCAGCAATGCCAGCAGGTGCAGGAAGAGTTCAAAGGTGGCAAAGCCAAGCCACTGGACCAGTTCCCTCAAGGAGAACAGCATGGCTGAGTGTGGCAGAATCACTGAAAATGGCCTCCAGAGGTTGTATGGAGGTACAGAGTCACCTACAGTTTCCGGGCGAGGACGATTAGGTACTAGTGAGTTGACACACTACGCTCTTTGCTTACATCTTCAAATCCACCCAGGTGGATGATCTGAGGACTGGCTACATTAAGTCCATCCAGTCTCAGTATCTTTGGAAACCCTTCCTGTGACACAATGGAGAAAAAGCAAAACGTTAGAAATTGCATGTGTTATGAAACACCTGACAGACCTAATGAAAAGAGGGCTCTGTATTCACACCATATTACATGTAACTGAAAGTAGACTGGGCCCTGATTACACACCCAACTTACCACATTAACGAGCAGATATTTAATGCCATGTACATTCATATTGGCTGACAGCTCAGGTTGCAACCTAAGCTTTACTAAATTACTCTATGATAGTAGAAGATGGCGTGTAGTCTGGTGTTTTAACTGAAGCCAAACAGCTACAACCAAGATACAGAGCCTAGCCGAGCCCTAGATTAGCAATGTAGGCTAACAACAGACAGAAAGAGGCGATACAGTCCAAACGTTACGCCGTTAAAAACAATTGTAAACGAATTACGCTATGCCCACACATTACTGTACCTTAGTGGATGTACACTCATTCCCCCCAAAGGTAACAAGGACCGAAAATGACAGCCATTGGCATTGTAGCTTCGATTTTTCGCCCCTTCTATGAAATCTCGCGAGAATGTGATTTGTACGGTGGCTGAAAAGACCTATTTTACAAACTCGCGTTCTACCTCTACGCAAACTATCCTGTAGATAGACAGATAGACGGACACAAACAGATACTTAAGGTGGTGTTTTACATATCATAAAATGCATATTTACTGTCTCTGGTATTTTCCAAAAAAAAGCAAAATTAATTAAGAAGCATTAATTCATGGTCACTTTTCATTTCATAAATCGAACAAGAAGTCAAAATTGAAACCATCATTTTGGCGTTTGCAAAGATTTATGCACCCTATACAGTCAGTTTTAGTAAGAACCCCGTTGGCAGATATTAAAGCTTGCAAACCCTTTTTATGGCCAACTACAACTCTCTTGATTCTACTTTTTGGGATTTTCAGCTTCACCTTTTTTGCAGGTGCTGTGATATTTGCCTCCAGAATTTGTTGCTATTGTGGAATCTGTTTTTTCTTCCAGTGTCATAAGAATTGGTGCACAAACAGGGAGAACCACATCATTGAGTGGACTGCCAGGAAAACTTGATACAAGAACTTTGGAGAGTATGACAGGTAGTGAACTGAGGCTGGTGTCAGTGCATTAAGAGCCACTGTGCTCAAGTCTTCACTTGTGGACCAACAACTCTTGTTTTCTCAATATTAAACAATCCCTGATACAGACACTGTACCAAAGGCACCAGCCTATTCTAAAAAGAAAAACAAAACTTGACCATTCCTCAGTGGTCTACTGTCATCTTTAGGATGAAAGCTGATTTCACTTTAATTTCGGTGACCAAGCATCGAACTTGGGGGGACAGAGCCTTCTACGCTGCCGCCCCCACCCTCTGCAATTCACTCCCCAAACCCATCCGAGACCACACAGACCCCCATACTTTCAAATCACACCTAAAAACACATCTTTTTAAAATTGGCTTTTAACTTGTGAACTGCTCTTTTATTGTCTTTTCATATTATGTCTTTTTTTTAACCATTCACATTCACTTATTTCTCCTTATTTTCTGTATTGTGTTTCTTGTAAAGTTTGAGCAACTGTAAAAGCACGTTATAAATAAAATTCATTATTATTATTATTTATTTGAAAATGGTCCGAGAATCTAGAAGAAGACTTGAGAGGCACAGGACTGAGGGTGTGTGAATTTACCACAGTTTGAAATGATGTAACCTTCCTGCTGTGTTAGATTTTACTAAGCACCTACCATGTTAAGGGTCAATTTTGACCCCTGTTTTAAAGCAACTGTAAATTACACTAAAAACAATTCTCTATCGTCCAATTTGGTTCTAATCTCTCAGTTACCTTGTTAGGCTTCATTACCCATGAAAATATTACTTGTATTTTTTGTATCTATACTGAATTGATCTCGTAAGTCTGGACATGCCTGACGTTGTTTTTTGTGCAGGGAAAAACAAGGCAAAATGAGAATTTAATTTCACATGACTGGAAGAGGATCTGACCGTCAGCGTGGTGCCTGGCAGTGAACTTATGATTTCAGTTTTTGCTCTAATTATTAGATATTGATCTAAGCAGGTCAACAGTGACCCTAACATGACAAGTGCCATGATTTTAATAAGAGCATTTTATAATTTAGTCAATTTAATTTATTTTTATTTTTGTTGAAATAGAGGTTCCTGGCAAAGTCAAAAAGTCTTGATGCAAAAAAAGCTAATTTAAGTGGTTCTTTTAAGCATTTAAAATCAAAAACAGGTCAGTGCAGACCTTAACACAGGAGGAGGGTTTAGAGCCATGTCATGTGCTGGTATGGTCCACCTTGTTAAACCTGATCTACAGTCATTGCACCTTTCCATCATGACATTTTAGGGTCCTTTATGCATCCATCAGGTGATGAGTTTTATGATGACACCAATTTCCTTTTCCAGTTAGCACCTGCCCATGAAAAAATGAACTTTTTTCACAACATAGGGGAGAGTGGGGTAAGATGAGCCATTTTTCACATTTCGGATCACTACATCAAGGCAATTATAGTTTTGTCTCTAACTAGTGTATCTGCATATATTTCAAGATGCTGTGCATCCCCGAAAATCAACAGGATCAGTGTAAACATAACAGTCTTTATGATATAGCATGCCAAAAAAACAACAAAAAAACCCTATGGTCATCTTACCCCGTGTATGGGGTAAGGTGACCATATGAGAGGGGTAGGTTGAGCCGTATCCCTGCTACCCCCTCACTCACCACCCCAGCCCTCCCTCACCCTCTCGCTCCCTAAATAACAGTCACTTTTTCACATTCATGTATTTTTCATCTGTTATGCGCTACTTAACTGGTACAATAATTCTTTTTATTATTATTGCATATAACTGCTAAAAAGCTGTTTTGTATAAAAGCGATTTAACATGAGAATGTCTTTAAGTGATTCAGAACATTTACAGCTGTATTTTTGAAAAGAAAAAGTAACACATTTCAACAATCTGAACTGAAACTCTGATCCTCTCATCAGGCTCCTTTACTTTCTCAGTTGAACCACTGGCTTAACTTACCCCAGAACCACTATTATGACTTTATTAGTCCTCTGAGCTAAAATGGTGGACTTTTATATTAGGCTTTTGACCTCATGTTGCAGCTCATATATATATCAACAATTGATGTATAAAACAAATTTAAAATGATCTTTTTTGGTTTGAACACAATTCTAATAAAACTTATGACAGACTAAATTCACTTTTAAGAGTGAAAAATGTTTTTTTTTTATTTTTTATATTTTTTTATGTCTAACCCCTTCACCCATGTGCCTCTAACCCTCACAGACTCCATGAATTCATGCCCATCTCCCAAATATTTGGTCAACTGATCGATTTCTTTTACCATTTCCCAGCAACAGGGGATGGCTCAATTTACCCCACTCTCCCCTACTAACTTTTTTATCTGCAGCTGCGAATTACAGACCCTATAAAGAATACCTGCGCTACGGCTCAAAATCCAAACGAAATAAACCCCATTGCTCTTGATCTTGTCTCTTAAATCTAGTTTTATAACAGAAAATGTTATTGACAATCATAACTCCCAGGTGTGGTATCACGCCTTCTGCAAATCAATAAATGTGACGTAATCGTCGATGGGCGGAGTTAACGTCCAGGCACCATGGCTTCGGTAGGACCCGAGGTGAGTGTGTGAGCCTTCTCTTCACGGAGCTTGTTTCACTCTCACATTGTTTTTCGAGCCTCGGAAATTATGTGTCTGTCTGGGAGTCAGAAACCCGTTTGTAAACAGGCGAATGGTCGGTATGAAGGAGACATGTTGTCGTAAATTGCCCGCTGCCAGCCTGGAGTCTCTAGCTTTTGTGCTGGACCGGAGGGCAATTGAATGTGCAGGAAGATGCTCCACCCTGGAACATGAATAAGTCGTACTGGCGCGCTGTCGGGCTCCGCTGTATAGTTGTGTCATTCATGTTCCAGACTCACGTTTCTGTCCTGCTTCTGTCCAGCTTTAGCGCTCCAAAATATAGTGAAGATAGACGTGCACCAATTTTTCCTCCCAGATATCATTTGTAACTTAACCCATATCGTTTGTCACCGGCGTACTGGATGCAAATTTGCCCACTGTTGCTGTTTAGCTAGCTGCTAGCATCCGCGCTAGTTAGCAGGCTGTGCACACCAAGTCAAATCCTGACAAAACTGATTATTTTGAGGACCATTCTCTCAAAACAAGAGGGGCAACTCTGATAAACTGTGAACACTTCGGCCAAATGTCTGGCTGGCGGTGTTTTGTATTGACACGCGGTGGAGTCGGTTAGCTTCATGATCATTGATGCAGTCAAATGAAGGCAACATTGGCAGAGCCTCTCTGAACCTCCCACTGTAAACATATGGCGCCAGCTCTGCTTTGACTCCCTTTTGCATCTTTTTTTTATTTCTTGTCATGCACCCAATTTTTAGACCTATTCCCCCAGGTACAGACTTGTCTTTGTTAGCCACTTGCAGTTGCTGTCACTACTTCAAGTCGGTAAGAAGCAGTCTGTTTCTGGCTGTAGTAAGTTGCAAGTGTTGGTTAATGAAGGGTTCACATGTGTGGATGAAGTTGCTGAATCTATCACTCGGCTATAGTGCTACTCGAGTGTGAAAATGGACCAGACATCAAATCTTTGTGTTTTTTCCCCCTTGTCTTTGAGAGATGGATGCAGTGATGCTCGGCAGAGGTCGCTCGAGTGTCGCTGAGATGATTTCTGCTCAGGGGTGCAGGGACTGTGTCATGTGGAGAGGCATATGAAGGTGTGAAGCACTGAGTCCTGAATCCACTTCAGCTGCACTCATAAACTTGTCTTGAGTATGTTGATACATTTGACACGAAGACGTGAATGACTCCAAAGGGTCATTTCAACTAAATGTCAAAAACACTTTTCCCTACTTATCTCAAGTAACATTTTTTTAAGTAGTTTGAGTTTTATCTATAAACATGAAGATAAATCTGGGTTTTTCAGATGTCTATTAACTCCTTTACTGCCAAAACCAATTCATACAGATACTTATGAGCGTTTAAGTTACTACTTACCCATGCCTGAAATCCACAGAAAACATCAAAATGAGCAAAATGTCTGATGAAATAGATTAGTTACATAAGATTGAGTTTTTTCTTGAAAAACTTGTCAAAAATTGATCAATTCATTGTGTAAAGATCTCTCTTTATTTATGAAAATGTCTGAGTTGAATGTACAGTTAAAGGCTTTTGATTTAGTATTTAAACTTAAGCAGATATATAACAAAGACACCTGTAACAGTCTGTTATTTAGAATTGCCTGTGACTACTAGGTACAAACTAATAACACAATTGAAAAGGGTATGCAATAAAGTAAATGAATGTAAAAACAAACAGATACGAAGTGACACAATAAGAAGAACATAGAAGCAATGATTAAAATAATTGATAACCATGTGTTAGACATGCCAATTAAGTGTCAAAGATCCATCAAATTGGCACAGTTCTCTGCAGAACAGATTGTACGGCTGATTTGAAGCATGAAACTTTTCAGAAAAATGAGCATAATGTAAATCAACGTTATAAGAACTAACAATAAAAAACCAGACATCATACTTGGTTTTACTGACTGTAATAAATCATTAAGTTTAACGAACATACACATCCTACATTGATAAAGCTGTGAAAGTGTTGGTGGGAAAAGAAGAAACAAAAAGTCACCTTTGTTATCCCTGGTTTGCACATGAACGTCTATAATATTTGAAGATTTTGCTAAAATCTTAACGTAACAGACTGTAACTAAAGTTAAAAAATTTGATGATGCAAAGTTTTTGCAGGTAATTGAATGAGTAAAAAGTACAATGAAGTAAAGGATACACTGCCTACTGTCTGACATCTCATATGAGCTAACTCTCTTTGTTTGTTCAAGATTGATTACAATGGGCTCCTAAGTATAAACTTCCAGAATAAATGGTCACTTCCAGCCTCAATGTTTTAAACACCATGACTACCAAGGTGAGCAGAAATTTTAGCTGGAGTTAGGGGGCCATAAAGTTGGCCCTGTATGGCTTTGGATTAGATCATACAGGTGTTTCTAATTTCCTGTACAGTCTGCGCGCAGTGGAAATGTATAGGGCTCATTCAGCAACTCGGCTCATATGTGCATTCAGCAAGGAGACATAGCTGAATGTCAGGGGGTGCTTGAGGCTCCTGGAGTACAATGTTAAAGTGAAATGGCTGTTGTTGGTCTTGAATGGATATTAGTCAGCTGGCGTTATGTCCTGTTTGACTTGGCCTTGGATTTTATAGCCACAAGGGGAAAGGGCACAACTACACGAAATATATTTGCCAAAAAAAAAGGCATGTAAAGAACCATGCTGCATACGTTGAACTTATAATAGAGGTGGATCCCCAATATCTGCATCTGTCTCATGGTGGCTTAGATATTTCAGTGCAGACCAATAATGAAGTGGACTCTGAATGGTTAAAAAACTCTACATAGAGTGCAGGGCTGTTGGCATGGTGACAGACAAGACCTTTTGCAATAATATCATCTGCTTTGCTTCAACATTTTTTGGCTTTGTTGCTATTTTGGAAGGCTTAATGTGTTTCTCCCTGTTGTGTTAGTTTAAAGGTCAACACACACTTTCAGCCAAGATTAATACAAATATTTAAAATTCTGTAGATAGTGAGTTGAACATTACAGCCTTGGTCCAGTTTGGCTCCAGTTTTTGTAGTTTACAGTATGAGTCTTTGTCAGTCTGAAATAATCGCCTCTTTTCTGCTAGGAGTCCTGTTATCGTAGCGTTGAACTATACTGTAAGTTTATTACTTTATCTGTTGTGTTTGCTCTTTAACCATTCTGTATGTAACCTTTGTCTGTTGATAAAGTAATATAAAAGAGATATTAGTTCAAAATGCTTCAAACAGCAGAATGAACCACCCATGTGTGAATCCAATGGGTTTTGGACAAGAACATGAACAAGGCAAGTTGTCAAAGGACATCACTGAGTTCTAGAAAAAAAGTGATGGGTTTTGGGCGATGAAACTACGTCAATAATTGACTGGAGTGTTTTATGAATCAGAGTGTTTTGGCGACTAGATGAGCTCAATAGAGGTGAAACCCAACAAAGTAAATTTGTATTATGTGTAAGGAAAGGCTTCTGAGTGCAAAAGCTGAAGGGAGGCGTTTGTAAATGCACACATTATCCTCCTAACCCCTCATAATATGGATGTATTATGCTTTATAAAGCCTCCCTCAGACACATACTCCTGAAGTTTTATATATATTTTTATTTCAGCTCCAGAAATGTCCAAAATGCTAAGTCTTTCACAGTTCACAAGGTTGACATTAACAGTTAAGTCAAGCAACAGCGTGCAGCACAATTAGACAATGGAGTTGGACTCTTGTCCTTGTCTCAGTCTATAGGCACTTGGTGAGAATGCACAAAGTATGTCTGCCTCCACCACAGTAACTGGGGACATGCCCTTTCTTAGCTAATTATTACTATTAGACATTCCTCCCATTGGTCTGTTACGCCGCATGCCAAAGCACTCGACAAACAAGTCAGCAAGAGGCAAAATCACCTAAAGTTGAGGAAGATGGAATCAATTTAGCGTGCGCATAGATTCAAATATCAGCGCTCCAAATGTCTGTTGTACAATTAACAGGAGTCATGTCACAAACTTTGCCGTACAGATCCACAGCATCTTAGGCCCTGTCCACATGGAGACGAAACCGAGATATTGCCGCTTTGTCCTAAATAAAAGTTTTCTGTAAAGATGGAATGTTTAAGGAAATATTTGCGTAAACACGAAAACCACAGAAAGCGACTGAAATTATTGTAGTCCAAATGCCAAGCCAGTAAGTGGTGCTATGACACTGCTCGGAAATGCACCAAAAGACAGAAGAAGAGTATAGATCATGCATATGTGACATAATTGTTTCAAGAGACGTAAATTGGCATCTACACGTAGATGAAATGGTGGTCGTTTATGGATTCATCGATCACCGAGTGCAGCGGAGCTTCGCAGCTCAAGGAAGAACATTTATGATTATTACTTCATGGAAATGTAATCAGATCGAGACACTAAGGCAGAAGAACTACCGCATCTGCAGTGCAAAATGATGATTCTTGATAGATACGTTCCGCTGCACTTGGTGATCAACTTGTCAGGGCTCCCCCCACAAACAATCAGCTGCTGGAAGTGAGTAGGTGAGTTGTGTTTGGTCTCTTTTCTAAAGAAACCAGGCAAAGCTAAAAAGATGTTTGGTGGCTAGCACTATGGCTGGGACCCTATATGTACTGTTGATGAAGTTAGGTGCTGTTCTGAGCATTATTTGTGGCTATAGAGTGGCGTTTTGGTTGAGGTTTGCGAGTGGAGACATAGACCGCTGTGTATTGCTATTGAGCTAGAGAAGCAAGCGGTCGACAACATTCATCTCTTGAGGGGGTGTCTAAATCAGTGTTGCGGTGTGTTTGACTAAAACTTAAATTTACGCCGGAATATCCCTTTAAGGCCTCAAAACGGTTGTGAAGAAAACTGATGAATGACTGAGAATGACAAAAAACTTAATCCGCTTTATGTCCCTGTTCTGTTGTTGGTGGCTTTTGAGCATTAATCAGGCATTCAACCTTGATGTCAGCTTAATCTGTTATGTAATGTCAGTGAACTTCATATCTGTTGCATGGCCTGGCAGCTTTTTGCAGCCATTACCGGTTTTAGGCTCAGAGGAGACAAAAGACTCTCCTGTTGGGAGTTTCCGATGAGGCCTGATTGCCTTGGTTTATAATTTTTCACCCTTCAAGCTCCTTACTTACAGTCAGTATACTTCCCAGACCTTTGCTCAGCTCTTACTAACTATACAACCCTACAAACAAGACATACCAAAGTATTTTTAGTCTGACACAAAAATCAAGGCTGAGGACAGTATTGAAGGGGGTAACTGTAGCAGAGTGAAGCACTAAAACAGAACTCCACTTTGGGAAAAATATTGAGCAGTTTAATGAAGATAAGTATGAAGCATGAGAGCCTCAGGAGGACTTGTGTTGTGTCAGAGTTGTATTGCATCGCTGCAGTTTCACTGGTTTAAGATTACCTGTTCGGTCCGTCTGCTCCAATTGATGTCCTCACTTGCATTGAGGTCTTCCAGTCTAGAGAAATGGAGTGGTGTTTCAGTTTGAACTGACTGAGCATGCTCTGTGGAGACCCTCTGAAGAGGAGGACCAGCAGAGGGAGCCACCAGGTCACATGACCGGCGAGGTGAATGTGCATGCGGGGAAAGAAAAGGAAAAAGAGGAACAATCTGTTCGACACATTCTCGCTCTCTCTCCCTCTCTCTGTCCTCCCCCTCTCCCTCTCTACCTCTCTCTCTTTTTCTCTCTTGCACACACTCCCTCACGCAGTCTCTGATGCCTTCTTCTTCTCCTCAATGGAGGCCATGAGAAGAAAGCAGGTATGATGCTTCCTGGAGGGGAAAGACATGGTAGCTCTCTAGTCCTCACAGTTAGTTGGCTTTGAATGGTCTGAGGAGATGCACTGTCTTCTTGCTTCACTGTGAAGAAAGTTACAAACAATACGTTTTGATATCTCGCTCTCTTCTCGCTGGTTTCTTCTCTCGAGGCAGTTGTTAGTGCTTCATCATCAAGTGATAGCTCTTGATTGTTGACACTGTGGACTTAATCTCCAAGAGCAATGCTATTTTCTCGCGATGAAATGTTGCTGTGTCAAAGAGAGATCTGAGTGTGTCTTGTGTTAGATCCTGTTTTTTTGGGAGACCTCCTCATGGATTACCACCACAACTACAAGAACTGGAACAATCTCAGCACAGGAAATATGTCACACCACAGTGTGAAAGTCAGACCACCTGGGGAGATGAGAAAACACCTCAGGGGTAGTTTTTTATATCTCTAAACTGAATTTGTTTTTGTCATACCTTTCCTTTGCTCTCTCTTGTTGTACATTTCTTGATCAGTATATCATGAAGTCTTTAAGGACAGGATGTGGGTATGTGTGGTCCATTTGAGGTGATCAGGCACATGCTGGAACATCAGGCCAAACAATGCATGCTGGGGCTTCAATGAGCTGTGCTAGCAACAGAATGCAGGGTTTGATTTTCTGGTTATGTGTCAGATCTTAAAAATGCGCCATGGGACTTTTTTGAGTTTTTGGGGTGGATGCTGGGAATTTTCATTAGTTGACAATCAAGAGGGAATATAGAATAAGCTGAGTGAAAAAGGAAAGCATTGTGCCAGGGATGTCAGTTCTTTTGTGCTCTGCAGTGACATGCATGTAGTTGATCTTGGAGAGGAGCCATAGACCATTTACCTGTGGGCCTACATGTTTATCAGAAAGAGAATTTGCTTCACTTACTCATTATGAGTAGGGATGGTAATTGAAACCTGGTTCCATCCCTGAGGACCTGGTTCTGCATTTTTAATAACCTGAAAAATTAATGATGTTTGAGTTTATGGATACTGACATCAAGCCTCAAACTTTCCCGTAATCTAGTCGTATGCCGAGTGGAATCATTGGTGCACAAACATGCATCGTTTATCCAGTGCAAATGTTGTATGAAATTAAACGCACAGCTGACAGGTATTTGATTTTTTAAACAGTACATGGGATCATACACATCCTCCTCCTCCTCTGTGGTAATCACACCCAAACTTTAGCAGAACCAGGGTGTATAAAAATGAGGAAGGCTTGTCAGCAACTTAAAGAGGTGAGAAAAGATTATATCATAATGTGTTCATTGTTCAAATGCGATGTAAAGAAAAGGAATATTCAGCCTTTTTTAAAGCTACATGGCTGTTTTCCCAGCAATATAAACCAGATATTAAATGTGGACTAAAGGCCTGTTTAACCCCCTAATATCAATGCTTAAAAATCACTTTAAAAAGCAAAATTAAAAATACAAATTCAAGATTTTTTAAAGTAATTTCAAATAAAACAGTCAATTATTTCCCTGTCACTGAAAACACAACCCTTGTCATGACCCTAGATTGACAGATTGTCAAGGAGTCTCAGTTATAATATTAATATGAATAAGAATTGAACAAACTCCATCTCTAATTATGAGCTGAAGAGTCTATTCGCACAAGAAAACGAGAACAGACTGTTTTGGATTGCCTTTTTCTGGGCCACTGATATTAAGTAAGGCTTTAAATTTTGGGGAAGATTGATGTTAAAATGGATGCAGCAACTTTTTTGTTAATCCTATAAACAACATTTGATCGTATCATCACTGTATCATATTTGTGCTTCTTGTCATGTGATCATTGTCTCGATTCAGCTTTAATAGAATTAAATCCAGTCGACTGTGGGAACCACTGCGTCACAAGACCAGACAGGCAACTTTACTTTTGTTTTCTTTGACTGTGAGACCTGCAGTTGTGTACTTGAAGATTTTATCTGTTTTCATAGACGGCACCTTCTGATTGTGATTGGATATGTCAGAGACAAAGGTGAAATGTGCTGGTGCTTTGTATTCTGGTATTATTGGCTTGTTTTTCAGGCCTGGCAGAGGATTTTCAATTGTGGACATCTAGCTTTTGTTCACATTACAGAGAGGGGAAACTGAATGATTGTTAGAAAATGACATAGCTTTAGTAATATTGGATTTGCAGAATAATTTTTGGAGCTTTCTTACCGATCCAAACTAGATTGTGAGACCCCAACCATTTGAGCCCTGGTTCTGCAGCCATGTCAAAAGCTTTTTGGTCTATTTTAACATCTTTCCATTTCGAATGTGTTACAAAAGGTTCTTGATGGACACACAGCATATTGGATTCACGTTTGGAGCTTCTTTCTGCAGCCCCCATATCCTTTACCACCAGCCTTCAGACCCCTACTTCCTCCATCTAGTGGAAATCCGCTGCAATGGCCACGTTGTGTCAGTAAACAATCTGGTTGCGAAATGGCGGAGATCTGCAGACAGCCTTCTCTGCTCCCTTCCCCCCCTCCTCTCCTTTCTGTCTCCAGTGTGTATGTTCCATTTTCCACCACTAGGGGGAGGAAAAAGCCTGGTGTTTCTGTTGTGTAACTGGGTTTTCCTCAATCCATTAAAAAAAGGGACTGAAGGATACTTCTCATGTCACCCTCACATGTGCTCGCCAGATTCCTCGAGATCATACACCACACAGGATTGTCCAAGACCTGATGTTCTTTGGGAGAAAAGTCTCCCCAGCTCGGCTCTTGGTTCGACCTCAGTGCCGTTTGACAAGGTGCTCAGGGATCAGGGACTCAGGAGCTTGTGTCTTGGTGTAGATTTGGTAAATGCGTCTTAATGGTTCATTCAGTTGGTGTCTCAGTTGTCTGTGGATGTAAGGACACGTGCTGCCTGTCAAACCAGAGAATGTGACAGTCGGTGTCTTCTCTGTTGCCTCTGTCTCTGTCAGGTCATGAGATTGGGCCTTTGGATGATCAAACTGTGTGTATGCTTTTTACCTCTCTCTAGGTATCCCCCTGGCCTCAATCAGCACATGGTCCTTTACGTGTACCTTTGTGCTGCTTGGTAGAAGTGTCACATAAGGCTAAGCAGAGGATAAACCTTACAAGCATGTTGCTAATCAAGGCCAAAGTGACCCACAAACATGCTGGTGTGACATCTGATCTACACAGATAACTCATATCAAACAGTAAATCTGTGTTGTTTTGCTCTCGCGCCTCTTCAGTCTCCTCTGGGCCCGTTTTCCCCAGAGTGAGCACGAGGTTGATCCTCTGCTCTGGAGGAAGAGACAGTTTTACAATCCCTGGTGTTGCCTCTTCGAACACTTCCTCCTGTGAGATGTAAAGACGGTCTGTGGGTGGTTGAGATTTCTTTTGAAGCTCCGGCAGTGCATCTACTGCTCTGCCGGTTGGCTGAAAGAAAGAGGAGATAGACAATGAGAGTGCACGGGGGTCGCCCTCTTTCTCTTGGCTGGCTTGATTCTGACTAAGACGTATCACTGAAAAGCACAAAGAGGAAGGTTTTTTAGCCAGCAGGTCGTGCAGTAATGGCTGGTACAGACTCAGACTTTGACCTGGGAGACATTTGATCTGGTGTGGAGTGTGTCCCTCTGGCAAAGCCACCAGGCCCTGCCGTGGGTCCTCAGACGTCATCCAATATTCTCCCCCATAGCCGCACTGCAGGAGAAAAAGTGCTCAAGGCACTGGATGTAATAGGTGAAATGAAGACATTCACAGTCTTTGCAGGATGTTTCCTGATTCAGAAAGGAGAGGGAAAACGATCGGAGTGACAGGATAGTCAAGATGTCTCTACAGTGCCTTCTTATGGTGGCTGGATGGTAATGAATAGGAACATTGTGTCCCACTAATCAGGGTATTCAAGCACATTAGTTATTTTGGAGACTGTTACCGGGTAATGTTGACTGTAAGATATTCACTTCATTAGCTGTGAATGTATTTCACTGTACGATAAAACCAATAATGTCCACTTGAGCTAAGATTATCCTCACTCTTCCTCTCTATAGGTTTGATTCTGCCTTTCAAGGGTACAGTTAGGTCTTCAAAGTGGTTCAGTTTTGACTTGAACACATGCAAATATCTTGTTTTACCAGAGAGAACTTCTTGAACAATGGGCAGTTGTATGTGAGTCTCGAAATTGTAATAATCAGGGGAAAAAAGGTCAAACATCAGCTGGTTTTCTCAGTTTCACTTTACTTTATACCGCAACAAATATTCTCACAATCAGCTAATCTGGTAAGTAATTTTCCACTTGAGAATCAATCAATTTGTGCATGTGCAGTGCTCAGCATAAACAAGTACACCCCTTCAGAGTTGTCAGAAAACCTTTCATTTCCTTTCAAAATCAACATTTTCTGTGTCAGATTATACAACAAAACACTCCCCCAAATGTAGGCTGTTGATTGCAAACAAAGTTTTTAAAGTTGCGTACAAAAAAGTTTTTTTTTCAATTTGAAATCAGGATGCAAAAATTAGTACACTCCAATCAAAGTTCTGGGAGTTAAATTTTAGTGACCATATCACTCTTATTTTCATCTTGTGGTAAATAAAATGTTATTAAACTCAGCTTTGTCAAAACTTTGGAAATTGGACTTTTGTTCATCTAGATATTGAGTAATACATTGCTTTTAATAGGGGTTGTACTGACTTATGCTGGGCACTGTATGTCAGTAGTTGGCTTAGTAGTGTGCAACAGTCTTCAAACCCATATTTTTCCATTTCTAATCATGTAATGCAGTAAATCCTCAGAAGAGATACGTTTCTGCTTTTGCTCAATAACTTTCTAATATTGTTCTATCTTTTTGATTGATCCCTCTCATTATGGTGTCACCACACAAAAAGGCTGTCGGCAGCACTTTGCATAAAGGTTACTTGTCTCTGTCTGATCATTGTTGAGGCTTGTTACACTAGGCTACAAAATATTGTCATGAATGGTGGTTTTTCACATCCGCCACTAGAGTGCCATTGTTTCCTCTCTTCCTTTTTGACAGGATTCTTATAAATAGAAACCGTTTAGCTTTGTGCTGTTGTCAGGCATGTTTATTTCTATTCATTTTAATATGCTCTGTCTTCATCAGCCTGCTGGTCAGACCAAAAGCAGTTTGGATAAAGGTGCCTCAGCCAAGAAGGAGGAACTCAATGCAGCAAGAAACGGAGAGAAGAAGCCAGGTACTGGATTTGTATACCTGAAGTTTGAGATAATGTGTGTGATGAGTTCACAATTTTTATAAATTTTTATCATCAGAAATATGAAATAACACAATAACAGACACAATAAAAATGTCTGTAATTTGAAAATAATGCAAAGTTTAGGGGGAAAGTACCCTCTGCCAAAAGAATAACAGGGAGAACAGAAAAGAAAATTAGGTAACCAAAACTTAGGGCAGCTCCAGAGTAGATACGCAGACATACACACAAAGACATTTATTTTTCACTTGTAGATAAAGTTGCATGAACACATGAAAAATCCTGTCAATCAGTGTTCACGTCCTCTCAAAGGTATTCTACCTCTCATTTAAGTCTTTAATACTCCCCTCGTTTGCTAGTTTTGCTTTGGACACTGAGTGGCCATCATTTATTCCTGCCAGGAGCTTTAGCCACTCTGAAAACTCCAGTTTGATAAGGACTCTTCCAGTTGCATTAAATATGATGAAACTTGTTACGATCAGAGTGGATTTAGAAGGCACAAAATATGACCCCTGGCAAAATTAACTGATTCTGGAAGGGGTTACTCAAACCAGTTCCTGCCACAGGCCTTCAGTTTTCAAACTCTCCAGGTCTTTCTGCCGTATTGACTTTAGAGATTCCAGCTTGATTTTTGACATTTCCCTCATAAAATATTGAAGCAGAGAGTTGAGCACTAGCAGAGTTAGTCCAGAGACTGATGCTCATCAGCTGTGATACTTCCAGAAATGTCCTTTGTCAGTCAAATGACATAAACCAGCTACTTTTGTACATATTATTAACGTTGTTTATCCCTTTTACTAGTGTTTTATTCTATTGGTTTTTTTCCTACACAAATGGAAGTATTATTCCAAATAGAGGAGTAACTTTGTCCTATCATTCCCATGTACAACAAAGAGAGAGAGGAACTTAATTGTGTAACAGTGCTTTATCCTTCAGTGTGGAAAGGATTCTGGATACTTAGTGAGGCAGACAAATCAGGCAGTGCAACTTTTTAACACTCTTGTCATTGCAAGTTATGCAAATGAACATTTTGAAGCAAAAAAAGTCTCCAGTTTGCAGCAACAGCGAAATCCCCCCAAACAGACAGTGTCTTGAAAACCAGTGCGAGTTCTAGTCCAGAATTTTTGGTACCTTTTATTCTGTTGTTGCTTTCGTTATTTCTTTGTTTGTTTCTTTAATAGATGGAGACAAAGAGGTAGCAGCCAGACTGGCTTCCTCCGCTGCATCAGAGACGATGCTGAATGGCACCGAATGTGACGAGATAAGACACAAAAGTCTGACACACGGTTCCACAACAGGCAACAAGACTTTCCCGTTGGAAAATGGCATGTTGGACTCAGAAACACCCCACGGTTCTGTTACCGGAAGTAATGGATTAATTCTCTCTAAGCAGCAGCAGGAGGGCGGCTCTCCCCCTCACAGGACTAACTGGTCACCTTCGGGGTCATTGACAGGGGGACACACAGCCAAACCCTCAGCATCTGGGTGTGCACAGAGTTCGGGTGCACTAAGGACTGAACCCAGTGCAGAAACCACGTCGGGACAAGGAGCTTCTGACACTAAAAATGGCACAGCCTCGCCGCCTGTACCGGCTCCGGCACCAGTCACGATACACCGAGCTCGCAAGACCATGTCCAGACCTGCTGTCAGCCCGGCACAAAAGGTAAACCACCTGAACCTGGTGCATTACCAGCTACTTGTTAACTGATATGAGGTACCTCATCCAACCTTATCCAAAGGGCAACTGGACTTGTTTGAAGGTCTTGGTGTAGAATTGATGCAGTCTGTTGTAAAGTCTCATATTAACATTGATGTATGTTGATGTTATTTACAATGTACAGTCTAGTGCATTGGGACCACATGCTGAAAACTGATGTGTCTGTTACATCCAGTGACTCCATTGTGTTATTATGCTGTACATGCCAAGGTTGGAAATACTGGACCATTTCAAAAGCCTTCCTGTACATTCTCAGATTTTGCAATGAGCAGTGTATCCACACGTTAGTGTAACAACAGACTCTGACAATGTGTAGACATTGCAGCAAGATGTGGTGTTCAATGATCGGGCCACTAGGGACTAGATTTAATGGCCCAAACCTGCTGTGGATACCAAAAGTTTTCACAGCGGTCATAAATGTGGCCCAACACACACAAGCTTACATTAGGGGTGTCCCGATACAATATTGGTACCGGATATCGGTCCGATATCAGCAAAGAAACGAATATCGGATGATATCGGCCCGCATCTAAAGTCTCTGATATCAGCACTCCGATACAAACAGTGTTCACAACAACAGTGTGTACTCAGGTACAAACAAAGTAGCAAGGAGTAGGAGTGACGTCGGCCATGTGGCAGTATTTTTTGTTGAAGTCCAAACAGACATTGCAACTAAGTGCAAAACTATTCATGCCCAAGTTTGTGCCAATATCGAATCAATATCAGTATTGGCCAATACTGAAGGCTACAATACCGATATTGTATCGAGAGTAAAAAAGTTGTATTGGGACACCGCTAGTTTACATACTACCAGACCAACGTAGTGTTCCCAGACCACTACTGTATGTGAAATGAGGGATCAGATCCCGGCATGCATTGATGAGCGTCCATAACTAGAGAGAAAGTTATGCACTTGTGAGCTGATCACCTGGATGTGTGTGAACAGTGTCTCTGTGTGAGCTCACAGTCACTCCTGCTCTGCCGACATGGTTAAAACAAAGAAAGAGTCACACTGTTTTAAAAACAGAAGGTTGACTAAGTCCGACTTTGTGTTTCAGCGCTCATTTCTGTCAGACACGAATCATGTAGAATCATACTGTGATCTTAGAGAGAGAGAGAGATCAAACTACTTTGGCAGATTTAACCTGCATGGTTATGTCAAAATTTTGGTTTAGGCTCGATCAGATAATGGTTCTTGTATCTCTTTTTGATAGAAGTTAGTCCACCCTCTACATTTTTTCACAGTGTCATTAGGATGCGACTTACATAGATTTGAATTTTATCAGGAAGTAAAATTCATGCAGGAAGTACCAGACTTTTAGTATTTGACTGAAGAGCTTTCCCTGAGTGCTACATCAGAAACAAACGTGAAGTAAATGTATATTTCTGTTCTTTGAAAACCACATATTGTAAATTTGAAAAGTACGTTTCGTTGTGCTGATTCCTGATTTGAAAAATAATCTCAAAAATAAACATGAATGTAGTGTGATAAAACCAAGATCTTGATTTTGCCATAAAAAAAACAAATGGTGATATAATATTTTTACCATATTGCCCACCCCATTTAGGCTAAAACCTGACTAAACGCACTGCAGCACAGCTAAGAGTGACTCTGTACACGCAGGATTCTAGGTAACAGTAGTATTCCAACATGAAGTCACTTGATATAATAGGAGGGCAAAAATTCAACAGGGAGAAACATGCAAAACCTGTGAAGATGCTGTTCACTGTGAGCCCAAACTTGTGTGAACAAATGAGGGGAAAGGATGCCGTTTTATCCTCCTTCTGTAATAGTTAGAAACCCCAAATTGCACTGGGAATAAAGTTTGAATTCTTTGCTAACACAGTCATTGTTCCTTCCTTGTCACTTTCAGCTTCTTAACAAGGAATTAAGAGAAGCCAGGAACGCCAAATTGGAGAAGATTGACACTCATGTTGCACCTGACGCTCAGAAATCCTCACAGCAATCCTCCACTCAGAACCATCTACCTCAGAGTACACCGGGTACGCCAGCTTCAGCACAAACAGCTTCGTCAACCACACCAGCACCCTCTGCAGCTCCAGCAACATCGCCTGCTCCAGCACCTCCACCTGCTTCAGCATCTCCACCTACTTCTGCAGCCCAGATAGCCCCCTCAGCTCCTGCACTTCTTGCAGCTTCTTTGACTTCTGCAGCTCCTGCCAAGCTCCAACTAGGTGAGACACAAAAAAACACGACCTGTTGCAGAAAAACAGACTTTATCCTCTTTATTCTCAAGAGAAAGTAGGCTTCATAACCTTTTTTTTGTTTAATTGGGAATTTGTGTTGTTCCTTTTTGCCAAAGGCTCTTTCTCAGGAGGTTTGACGTCTCGCAAGAAAAAGAGAAGGATGGGGACGTACAGCCTCATTCCCAAGAAGAAAACCAAAGTGCTTAAGCAGAGATCTGTGCTGGAAATGTTTAATAAGCTCCAACAGTCTGCCAAGAGCCCAGAGGTCTGAACTCCTCACTTTTATGAGAACAAAACAAATAAAAACAAGCTAATTCCTTCTTGGCTAAAATCTGTTTTTGAACGTCACATTTTGAGATCAATCTCTTTCCCTCTTGTCTTTTGATGTCTCATAGACGAAAGAGGTAGCAAACGTCAACGGGGCGAAGGTCGAAAATGCATCTGAGGAGGATGAATCTGAGGAGGTGGAGTCTGAAGAAGAGGAGCGACAGCATCAATCTAAAAAACCTGTCAGTGCTGCTAAGGAACAAACATCTGGACCCATCGAACAGGTATCAAGTTATTCATATTAATATTGTGCACGCAAAGCAGCAGAAAGCAAAGAGAGTACAATAAACCTGTTACTGATTAATCAAAGAAGCAGTGTGGACCACATATTAATAACAATTGATGTATTCACTGTTCTGGTGGAGGTGGAAGAGGAGCAGGAGTCTGAGGAGTCTGAAGAAGAGGAGGGAGAGGAGGAAGGCACAGAGTCTGACTTGGTAAGACCCACTAACCTCTTGATATTAACCTTAATGTTGTTGTTGTTGTCAATAAACAATTTTTACTTCATAGTTGAGAATGAGTTTTTGTGTCCTTGTCTGTCTCAGAGCACAGAGTCGAGTCTGAAGAAGAGGCTGAAGAAGAAAGCAAAAGCAGACAGCGCGTGGCTACGGCCGTCAAGGAAACGCAAGAGGAAGATGAAGAGTAGAGGTGACTTTCAACCTTGATGTTTGAATTTTGATCTCACAGGATAGGGCTCAGTCTCAGTCTAAAGATGAGTGTGGTCTTACATCATGGCTATTGTACTCAGGTCTCCATCCAAAAAGTCGTTGTTCTAGAGCTCAAAGTTATAAGATCATGTATGAAACGACACTGAATCGTTTTCTAATTAGTCGCTGTGATGGTTTCCAGAAGCAGAAGGACTGGATCAGCTCCAGGGTTCATCGAATGCTCAGGCAGGAGACAAAAAGGACTACACACAGGTCCCCTCACCTGAGTCTGCCAGCTTCAACAAGCCTGCAACACCTGCTGCTCTCTCACAGAACAAAGGTGAGGGAACAAAGAAACGTGTTTAGACTCCAGTTAAGAAGACGAGGTTCATGTCTGATTCAGCGCCCCATCACAGAGAGTCCATTACATTCTACAGATGAGGGTTTTCACAATACCGGGGTTTTGAATTTCAACACAATACCAGGATGAAATCAAACAGCACTGACACCTTTTACAATATATTTATACCACAGCTACAAAAGTGGGACTCTTAAACACCCTAAACTGTTATTTTTATTTTATTACTGTAATGTTAAAAGCTGGTACAGTAAAAGTTATGAAAAGTCTCCAACATTTGATCTACCATCAGGTAAAAGTAGAAGGCGATTTTCCCAAAAAAAGAGGTGTGATGCTGTGATTTAAGTCTACCTGATATAAAGAAGTCAGATTTCTCTTGTTCATCTGTGGTGGTTTTTGTGCATGAAGCCTGAGAGATCTGTTTGTGTTTGTTTTAAACAAATGGAGACATAATATTCACCGTCTGTCTGCAGTCACGTCTGGGTCCGCGATTGAGGAGGCTCAGGAGCTCCCGCTCTGCAGCTGTCGGATGGAGATGCCAAAGAGTCGAGAGATCCTCACACTGGCAGACAGGAAGTGCATGGCCACCGAGAGCGTGGACGGACAGCTCACCCGCTGCCAGAACGCCATACTGAAACACGAAATGATGCGCCCCTCAAACTCCGTTCAGCTGCTGGTTCTCTGTGAGGACCACCGAAACGGTATGGTGAAGCACCAGTGCTGCCCCACCTGTGGCTTCTTCTGCAGGGCTGTGAGTATACCGTCACACATCTTCAGACCTGATGAGTATGTTTACATGGACTCGAGTGTCCTGGTTTTGATCAGATTTAAAGTATCCCATTTTTGTGTTTGAGCATAAACATTGTTCAGATTTCTCAGTGTGCATGGAAATCCCACATTCCAAATCTGATTAAAACAGAGACACAACTCTTGACTGGAATAATCAATCCTATGTGAACATATTCAGTGTCTTTATAAGTGAAAAATGTAGTGTAAACTATTTTACATTTGAACCCCTCTGATAAACTTTGAATTAACAGATAGCTTTTGTTAGCATGAGTTAAAAAAAAAGCCATAACCGTATCCAAAAACAGGCAGCAAACATGGTCAGTAAAAGTTAGTGTTCAGTCTTCAAAGCTATGGCCATAGCTCAGGGTGGTGGATTTATTTTTTTTATTTTTATTTTATATTTTTTTCCCAACATGTGTGTGCAAAACATGGAAGTAAACTGAAAACAAACAAACAAAACCAATGAGAATATTCAAAACAACAATTGAAATAAACAATAATAACGATAATGTGAACCCAACATGTCCGGCTCATTTAAACCTACTCCTTCTCCACTACTCAATTAACAGTCAGCATCTCCAACATTTATACATCATATTTACAAAAAGATTGAAAATAAATTGAGTAAATAAACAAGAACAAAATTTTTCAAACTGGGTTATGCCTGGACTACTGTCTCGAGGAGGACAAAACATGGGACCTTACCTCTCAATTTGAAGTATTTCCAAGTACCCATACTGATGTTAGTGATGATGTTTCTTTAACTAGTGCAATCACACCCTTCAACTCATGATCAAATGGGTGAATGGAGGCCATCATGCTTTGCAGGTCATGCTCATGGAGACATCTGTCCTCTCTGTTGTGCAGGGAACCTTCATGGAGTGCCAACCTGATATCAGCATCTCTCACCGTTTTCATCAAGCTTGTGCCTCAGTGCTCAAAGGTCAAAGCTTCTGCCCTCACTGCGGGGAGGAGGCCAGCAAGGCTAAAGAGGTCACCATCGCAAAGGCTGACACCACTTCAACCGTGCCCTCTACGGTCACACATGCACCTGCAACACAGGTGGTCCCTGAGGGCCGAGCCGACACCACCACGGGCAGGTAAACTGAACGCTGGTGTCACAAGAGGCACAAAAGCGAAACCAGCGAATTCTTTGTGGATTCTTTGTGTAACATTTCGTCTCCACTCGCAAACACAGTACCAAAGTAACTGATGAACTGATGCACCTTTAACAAAAATCTTCTTTTCATCTCCTCTCCAGCTCTTCTCGTTCAGCTGCAGGGCCTGATTTTAGCGGCAGAGCAGACAGCTCACAGTCTATTCGTTCTCCACATGGATTTGACAGCACTGCTATCCCCGGGTCATCCAGAACCGCAACCCTGCAGGCCGGGGCTGGAACCGCAGTGTCACCTTCAGTCCATCAAGGACCTAAAGAGACTTTGGAAAGTCTCCTCGTAGCTCTGGACACTGAAAAGTAAGGATTGTCATCTTGATTTTTTTTCCTGAGAGACCAACAACGAGCAATCCGTTGAATGTTTTTCTTTGTGTGTGCTTGTGCTCAGGCCCAAGAAGCTGCGCTTTCACCCCAAACAACTTTACCTCTCAGCCAAACAAGGAGAACTCAAGAGGGTCTTGCTCATGCTGGGTATGTTGGTCTCTCCACTCTGTATTTGTATTTATTTTAAACATCCTTATATCCTCGAATTAAAAGATTGTTTTCCTTCCTCATTTTCTTTCAGTGGATGGTATCGATCCTAACTTTAAGATGGACTCTCAGAATAAACGCACCCCGCTCCACGCTGCAGCCGAAGGAGGGTTCAAAGATATCTGTCACGTGCTCGTACAGGTAAGACTCCTGACTGATCCTGTCTAAGTCCTGCCTGTCCCGTAGTGAACCTTCAGGCAGCCCCTCCCAGAATCTGATCTCATCTGTCCTGATGTGTGCCACTTCAGGCTGGTGCGAACTTGGACATATGCGATGAAGATCAGCGGACGCCTTTGATGGAGGCCTGTGAGAACAACCACATGGAGACAGTGATGTATCTGCTGAGAGCTGGAGCGAGTGCCTCACACAAGGTGAACCTGCATCTCCATATCTCAAGAGTTTTATCAGATCCTTATCCTTCTTTGTTATCATTCAAACATGTTCATTAGACAGGTTTCTTTGTTCTTGGCGTCTGGATTTGAAAGATGAATTATTTTAGGGCATGCTTGTTTTTCTGTTGACTTTTTCTGGTTGAAAGTTGAGTAATGAGACTGTCTGCTGCTTTCAGGACGTTGAAGGGTTCACCTGTCTCCACCTAGCGGCAAAGTGTGGTCATTACGAGATTGTGGAGCACCTTCTGTCTACGGGGTTGATCAACATAAACTGTCAGGTCTGGACAAATTTACATTTTTCTTTCGGCAATTGTAATCACCCCTGTTAAAGAAATATTTACATAGGTTATGTATGTATGTGTATTATTATTGTTTTAATCAAATCCAGTTTTGTACAAGGAGTAAGATACTTCTGCCTGGCTGTCTTACCTCACACATGAGCTCTTGTCTCCATAAGAAGATCAAAAACAGGCAGCAAAGTGTTAATAATGTTCTAGATGTCAGAGTTCAGTAATTGGTTCTTGACATTTTACTATCAGGCTCATTAAAGGAACAGCTGATTGAATTTCAAGAAGCTGATAAACTGAATTTCCTTGTTGGAGCTTAATGAGCCGAAATACTGACTGCACAACTTGATTTTTCAAAACAGTGTTGTCAGACTCGGGTTTAGGTGTCTAACTTAAGTTTGACTCAGCTCAAAGTTCCTGGAACTTGTGACTTCATGGCTCATATTTGCAGTCAGAGTAGAGCATTGACTATATTTGGTCTCAGAAGATGGAGAGGCGGACTGAGATTTACTCAGTGAAAAAGTCTCTTGAAAAACTCCAGCTCATATAGAAAGCTGCTGCCAGAGTTTTCGATAAATGTTCCTCATGTGCTCCATACAGGCACCGGAGAGAGAGCTTTCTATTTTGATCAATTTCTCCTTTGACTTCCTTTAGTTGTGAAGCACTTGAGGCTGCACAAAAGGTACTCTACGAATACAGTTGAGCTGAGTGCAACATACTCTGTCTACTTTGTCTAACTGATGTAAAATAATTTCCTGGACTGTGAGGGGAAATGAGCTCCTTTGTTAAAACATAAACATACTTTGTGTGTTTTTTTATACGTACATCTGCAGTGGTGGGTGGGTCTTGTAAAAGCACTTTTTCCAGCTGTCAGAATAATTTTGTCTTATTAATATCATTCAATTAAATTTAGTTTAAATGTTGAGCTCATAGGACTAGATATTACAATCCCTTAGATTGACCAGCACTTGGAATTGAGTGGGGGGGGGTTTAAGCTTCACTGGGGTCTTCAGGTGGGCACCCCCCTTCACTGGTGTTTCATTGATAGGCCCACGACACCTCCAGGGGGCTCAACGGCGACACCTGGCGTCCCAGGTGTGCCCCCCTCTGCTTTTACCCCTAGGTGGTCATTTTGCAGCCCAGGTGGAGTCCTTTCTCTTGATCCAGAGCCATCTGCTGCTTCGTTCGGCAGCCTCTGATACTGATTTGATGGCTCGTCGGAAGGCCTGTCCTCGTACTCCCAGTCTCTTCAGAAGCTTGGTTGTGGATGTGGCCACGAAGCCTCTACACCCAACCTCCACCGGAAGCACCTGGGCCCTCCAGCCGCGCTTCTCTGCCTCAGCTGCTATGTCCGCATACTTCAGTCGTTTGCGCTCATATGCTTCACCAACTGCTGCCTCCCACGGTACAGTTAATTCAATGATGAACGCAACCTTCTGGGTGGTTGACCACAAGACCAGGTCCGGCCTGAGGCTAGTTGGAAGGATCTCAGGCGGAAAGATCAGTTTTTGGTCTAGGTCAACCTGCATCCTCCAGTCCCGGGCAGAGTCTAGAAGGGTTGCCTCCACTCTTGCAGATGGTTTTGCTGGTGGTTGTCCTGCTCTTACAAATGGGGTGGTGTTTGGGCGTCTAGGCATTGGGGGAGGGAGGGCATTGATGGTTGTTCTCCTTCCTTCCAGAGTGATCGCCAGTTGTCTTAGGACCTGGTTGTGTCTCCAGGTGTAGCGGCCTTGGGACAGACTGGTTTTACAGCCGGTGAGGATGTGACTCAGTGTTGCAGGTGTTTGACAGAGTGCACAAGAAGGATCTTCTCCAAACCATTGGTTTAGGTTTTTGGGTGTGGGAAGAACATCATAGGTGGCTCTGATGATGAAGCTGATTTGGCTTCCTTCCATTTCCCAAAGATCCTTCCATGTGAGCTTACGATGCTCCAGGTTTTCCCAGCTGGTCCACTGTCCCTGTTTGGACTGTGCTACTGCTGTCGCGCATCTGTTTGCCTCCTCTTGTTGCCGAACCTGAGCAACCACCAGCTTTCTCCTCTGGGTTGATGTTGCTTTGTGCCATGTGGGTCGACTTGTTCCGAGTCCAAACCCGCCTCTTCCATGCTGCACCTGTCCCACAATGTCTCCATGCCTGAGAGCAGATTTGGCTTGCTGTACCGCCTCAGATGGGTTCCATTTCCTCCCAGTTGCCAGTCTGGGAGCAGCTGCACGGATCACCTCATCTTGCGACTCAGTCAGGGTCATGTTCAGCCTCACCTTGGTGCACTTAAACTCCTCTGTGAGGCTAGAGATGGGCAGTTCCAGGGCACCATGTCCATACAAGCCGATGTTGCTGAGGCAACGCGGGAGGCCAAGCCACTTCTTGATGTATGAGCTCACTGTTCTTTCCAGCTTCTCGACTTTGGTCATGGGGATCTCATAGACTGTTAGAGGCCACATCAGGCGGGGGAGCAGTCCAAACTGCAGGCACCACAGTTTCAACTTGCCAGGAAGCAAGGTCTTGTCTATGCTGACAAGGCCTTTGATGGTTTCTTCCCTCAGCTGATCACTCTGGTCCGAGTCTTTGAGATGTGCGTTGTATAGTCGCCCTAGGCTCTTGACTGGCAGTTCAGACACCAATGGGATGGGTGTGTCCTTGATGTGGAACCTTTGGTCTGTGAGTTTCCCCCTGACGATAGATAGGATGTGTGTTTTTTTATACGTACATCTGCAGTGGTGGGTGGGTCTTGTAAAAGCACTTTTTCCAGCTGTCAGAATAATTTTGTCTTATTAATATCATTCAATTAAATTTAGTTTAAATGAACTTTATTGGTATAGAAAAATATAGCCAAACATAATTATTATGACATTTTCTTTCTTTCTTCCTTTCTTTCCTTTCTTTTCTTTCTTTTTCTTTCTTTTTATTCATTCACAATTGGACAATATTATGGCAAATCACAACATATAGCCAAATGTAATTGTTATTACATTTTCTTTCTTTCTTTCTTTCTGTCTGTCTGTCTGTCTGTCTTTTTCTTTTTATTCATTCCAACCAAGGCAATTTCACAATTGGACAATATCATGGCAAATCACAACATATAGCCAAACGTAATTATTACAACATTTTCTTTTTTTCTTTTCTTCTCTCTTTCTTTTTTATTTCTGTTTTACTTTCTTACTTTCTTTCTTTCTTTTTATCCTAACCAAGGTAATTTCTCAAATTGACAATATCATGGCAAATTACAACATTTCTTATTCATTGGTTGGAAGGGAGCAGGAAGAAGATACATCTTGTATTGTGTGCCCCTCACTCAGTGTCTAATTACTCTAATAATCTGTCACTGAGCAACATTCTTACCACATTACAAAACAACGACAAATCAAACAGAAACAGAGTTTTAAGTTGACTTAGCAGCCATTGAGCAGTATGCAATAATCAATGAAGTATATATTTGATTGATACAACATATAAATTGGTTACTATATTGTCATTCACGACTAAAACACCAGGGGCTGACCAAAGATCTCCAACTGGACTGAACAACCAAACAGACACTTATGTGTTTCAGGAGTAGCTTCCTCTGAGCAGCAGTGTTTTGCCATCTGCCCTTAAATGTAATTTGAGAGAAGTAAATTAGATGTAGACATCTGGGGAATATAAACAGAGAAGACTGCAGAGCCTCTGATGTGTCCTTCTTGGATTGTCTGACCTTGGTGCAGCCATTAGAAGACAATGTAATGACAAACTCTTTAGGGAAACTCAGTGTGTTGGTAACATAAAAAAAATCTTTTAGAGTGATTGTGAAAATCTTCTATATGTTGTTATTCTTAAAAGCTTTGGCTGAATTGTCTTTTTTTCCCTCACAGGATGATGGAGGTTGGACAGCAATGATCTGGGCAACAGAGTACAAACACGTGGACCAGGTGAAGCTGCTTCTGTCCAAAGGGGCTGACATCAGTGTCAGGGACAAGGTATCCTGGAGACTCCTCCTCCTCTTCATTGGATTTCCCTCATCTTATCATCTCTCTATCACCCATTTTACATGATCAAGGATCAAATACAATGCAGCAATCGTTTTTTGTGGTTTTGCCGTCTAGGAGGAGAACATTTGCCTCCACTGGGCAGCCTTTTCTGGCAGTGTTGATATTGCAGAGCTGCTTCTGAATGCCCACTGTGACCTACAGGCTGTGAACATCCATGGAGACTCACCTCTGCACATCGCTGCTCGGGAAAATCGTTTAGATTGTGTTACGTGAGTGACAACTTTAAAGGGACAAACATTCAAGAGTCGAACTTTCTTTCTGAGTTGTCCTAAAAAAATTAGCCTGATTTGATGAAGTAACTTAGGAGAGTTTTTAGAAGTGGCTTGTTGTTGTTGACGATCAGTATCTCCTCAGGCTTTTCCTGACTCGAGGAGCAGATGTCTTTCTAAAGAACCGGGAGGGAGAGACCCCTCCAGACTGCTGCAGCCACAACTCAAAGGCTTGGGCGGCTCTGCAGGCCAACAGGAGGGAGAGAGACAAGAACAGCAGGCATGCACGAGTAGAGCAAAAAATCCTTCACAGGTACATCATATATCACTCTTTCTGTCTCACTTACAGGGACTAAACTGGAGAAAAAGTAAGGTCAAGAGAAGAAGGAGTTACACTGGGGTTGGCATGTCACAGTGGATGAATTCGGAGCAAAAAAAGCAATCCGATTTGATCCCGGCAGCTGTTTGTTCCAGTGCCTCTGCGACAGATTTTTCAGATTTTGACAGCCTCAAACCAAAGTCTTCTCCTTTCACAGTGACATCGCTCTCGGGCAGGAAAGAGTCCCCATTCCCTGCGTCAACTCTGTCGACAGTGAGCCTTATCCAGACAGCTACAAATACATCTCTGAAAACTGTGTCACCTCCCCGATGAACATCGACAGGAACATAACACACTTACAGGTGAGTTAGAAACCATTTCATTTGGTATTCCCAAGGAACTGTTTTTTTTCCCCCTCTGTTCTTGGCAGTATGAAGTGACTGTAAATTTGTTCTTTTTATTTAACAGTACTGTGTTTGTAAAGAGGATTGTTCGACAAGCATCTGCATGTGTGGACAACTCAGTCTGCGCTGCTGGTATGACAAGGTAAAGAGATTTCTAAGTAGATCATCTTTTTTTATCTGACATACTCTGAAGCCTGATTCATACTTCTGCATCAAATCTGCACTGTAAGTTCCCTTTGTCGCGTATCTACCCACAAACAAATGTAGCCTGTTAACTGTACTTAAGTGTGGGTTTCTCCTGGTTCTGTAGAGCGGCCGTCTCCTGCCTGAATTTGGCCACGAGGAGCCTCCTCTGATCTTTGAGTGCAACCACGCATGCTCCTGCTGGAGGACCTGTAGGAACAGAGTGGTTCAGAACGGGCTCAGGTGATTAAAACTTCATCTCTCTGTGTATCCCAATATATCCAGCATGTCCAAATATCTTGAGAAGACAACTGCTGGAATGAAAGAGCATCTCTCCTGCAATACAGACCTCTATCGAAGATTGAACTCTTTTCATCTGATTTACTAACACTGTGGTTAGAAGGAGCCTTATAAAAATGTGCACTAAAACACCTCTCTCCTTGTCGCACTGTGTGAGGAAGCACTTTTCAAACATCTCATAGATGAGTCTTGTGTAGTCAGGGCTGTGAGCTGACATGTACGGCCTTTTTCGGTCAAATTTGTAAATGTTTAGGATAAAAATATCTGCTTTAAATAAGAAAAGTGAGAGAAACAAAACTGGAACTTGGTGCTGTTTTCAATCCTGCAGGACCAGGCTTCAGCTCTTCAGGACCAGTAAGAAGGGCTGGGGTGTTCGTGCACTGCAGGACATACCACAGGGGACCTTTGTGTGCGAGTAAGTCTCATTCAAGAATTATCCACCACTGCAGGTGGACTTTATTTTGTTCCCTAAGCCTTCGTTTGATTGTTGGTAGATACATCCTGCTACAGCTTGCATTCTGTCTTATCTTTCGAGTTCAAAGTTTGGCCTCTGACCACAAAGAGCCTGTTTTGTCACCCTAACCTGCACTCCTCACATATGTTGTGTGTCTGTATCTCTTTCCAGATGGTAGCAGGAGAGAGACATAGTTTTCACTTGTGCAAATGATGTAACTAATGTGCAAATCATTTCCTCGCTAATTTGATTATGATGGCATTTAAGTTTTTGCGTGGTATCGTAATCAACCAATCTTTATTTACATATCACCGATTCATGACAGTTATCTTAAGACGCTTTAGAAAAAAAGGTACAGAGCACAGTTTTTGTTTTGTTTTTTTGAAGAAAAAAACAACAGCAAGATAAGACCAGTCTCATGAAGAAATGTAACGCCCACTCCTATCTCATCTTAATCCTCTGAGTGAAAACCCTTTGCAGCTTTTAGCGAATTCCAGTGGAAGGGAAGACAGAAACCTCAAGCAGACCCAGACTTTTGTTACACGGTAATCTGCTGAGACTGTGTTAAGATTGGAAAGATGGTGGAGAGAGATCAAGAGAGAGATGGATAGAGACAGTCGTCAGTTGTTGGCAGTTGCTGCCTGACTTGAGAGGGCTCAGTAGATGAATGTATTAAATAAAACTTTGGGGTGAAATATCTTAAAAGTTTAAGAAATACATCAAAAGAATGTGAATTCTTTGAAGCGCAGTATCTCAGAACTGCAGTCCCCTCAAATGAAACCTTTTAAATCCACCATCATGAAATCTTGACACGTTTTAAACAGCGTGAGTAAAAAATGTCTCACTAAAGTCTGCAGCTGCTGACGGGTCACCTTCTCCTGAACAGGTATGTTGGGGAGATCATCTCTGAAGCAGAGGCAGAGATGCGGCAGAATGATGCTTACCTGTTCAGCCTGGATGATAAGGTAAAGCTGGGAAATCAAGCTTTTTGTAAAAAAGAAAAAAAAAAACATGAACTGAATTTTTTGGAGATGTGAGAGAGGAAAAAATCCTTTAATACCTCAACTTTTGATTCCTTTCAGTCCAACACTCTCCTCTCTGCTGTGCTCTTACTGCTTATTTTTCTCTTTGACTCTTTCATTTATCTTGTCTCTCAGCCACAGGATCAATACTGCATAGATGCCCGTTTCTATGGAAACATCAGCCGCTTTCTCAATCACATGTGCGAGCCCAACTTGTTCGCCTGTCGAGTGTTCACGACTCACCAGGACCTCCGTTTCCCACACATTGCCTTCTTTGCCAGTGAAAACATCACGGCTGGAGAGGAGCTCGGGTAAGGAATTATTTAAAGGCGATTTAGTCATCATGCTGTCTTTCTGGTTGATCACGACAGATGCTGCAGTTTTGGCTCGCATGGAAAAATGAATGATTCATTTCTCTTTCCTGACTGGCATGTCCCAGTCTGATTCATGTGATTGTTCAGCTTTATTTTACACACATGAAGTGGCCGATGTGACATGCAACGTGACTGAAGTAACGTCATGAAATATAATTTGTGTGAACGATTTGAACACCTGAACTCTTGCTTGACTCTAGATCAAAATATTAAAGGGATATTCTGGCATAATATTAATTTAGGGTCAAGCACACCGTAACACAGAGTTAGACACCCCCTCAAGAGATGAATGTTGTTGACTGCTCGCTTCTTTAGTTATGCCAACTTTGGTAACAACCGCAGGATAGCAATACACAGCTGTCTATGGAAACACACAAACCTCAACCAAAACGCCACTCTATAGCCACAAATAATGCTGAGAACAGCACCTAATTTCATTAACAGTACATACAGGGTCCCAGCCATAGTGCTAGCCACCAAACATCTTTTAGCTTTGCCTGTTTTCTTTAGCAAAGAGACCAGACACAACTCACCTACTCTCTTCCAGCAGCCTCTTGTTTGTACTGAGACCTCAGGCCAGTCCATTACCGCAGCGGGGTGACGCAGCTCCAGGAAGAACATTTATGATAATTTCTTAATCATTTCCTTGAAGTAATAATCACCATATTAATCATTTTGCACTGCAGACGCGGTAGTTCTTCTGCCTTAGTGTCTCGGTCTGATTGCATTTCCATGAAGAAATGATCATAAATGTTCTTCCTTGAGCTGCATCACCCTGCAGCAGTCTGTAATAGACTGACTCAAGGTCTCTGTACAAACAAGCAGCTGCTGGAAGAGAGGGGGTGAGCTGTTTAGTCTCTTTGCTAAAGAAATGAGGCAAAGTTAAAAAGATGTTTAGTGGCTAGTGCTGTGGCTGGGACCCTATATGTACTGTTGATGAAGTTAGGTGCTGTTCTGAGCATTATTTATGGCTATAGAGTGGCGTTTTGGTTGTGGTTTGTTTGTGGCTCCTCAGACTGCTGTGTATTGCTATCCTGTGGTCGTTACTGAAGTTGGTATAACTAGAGAAGCAAGTGGTCGGCAACATTCATCTCTCTCGGGGGTGTCTAACTAGTTGTTAAAGTGTGTTTGACCCTAATTTAATTTTACGCCGGAATATCCCTTTAATTATGATTTGTAGGGTTCCTCTTTCTTTCCAGAAAGGTGGCAGCCACTGAAAGTAACTTTGTGTCGACAAAAATTACTTCTTCCAAATTATATCTTTTAAATAACAGTTTTAGTCTGAAATCATTCACTTTGTCTTCTTCCCCTCTTCAGGTTTAACTATGGGGACCACTTCTGGGAAGTCAAAAGCAAGCTGTTCAGCTGCGAATGCGGCTCCTCCAAGTGCAAGTTCTCGTCGGCAGCCATGGCGTCGCTGCAGGCGGACAGCACACCGGAGAACCAGCAGCAGCCCAGTGCGTCACCGGACACCAGCTCTTCCAACGGCCCCTCCAGTCCTTCGTAAAAGCCTGACACTAAGCGTCGCTGCATGTACACAGGACTGACAGACACACAGAGGCGCCCGTCTCCATCCTCCTTCGACTTTTATCAGAGAACTTGTACTGTATCTCCACTTCTGATAAAAAAAACAACGGACCAGTGACCTTTGTGAAAACCCGTTTAAACGCTGCCACACTGAACCAGATGCACAATCAAATCCTGAAAAACAAACTGCTCCTTTATTCCACCAGGTGTGATATGAACAGCAGGGGGCAGCATTATCACGCACAGTAAGTCGGAGGGACAGTCACATCTAGTATTTACATTTCATACAGAACTTTACAGGGGAGGAGAACAGGGCATTTTGTTGTCTTTTTTTAGATACCTGGATGACGTGTTTAATGGCTTTTCCTACGGTGTCATGATCAACTTAATCAGCTGATTGAGGACAAAAGTCATGTTGTCTTTTGCGAAGGCAACCTCAGCTCACAGCTGTGTTAAATTTGTTTGACCTTTGTGGTTATTCACCATGAACCATTCCAACAAAATTAGCTGATGAATATTGACTTATTTTGCCACTTTTTGTGTAAATCCATTTTTGCGGCAGAGTTTAAACAGATGTGTCCAACCTTTGCCTCCATAGTCAAGTATGAATTGATGGAATAATTATGTGATGACAAAAAAGTGGATTTCTATTCATTTACAGCTCAAGTGAGAACAGATTGCCCGTTAGAAAGATGCTGTACCATTCCTCAAGAATGAGGTGATTCTCGTCTGAATAGATTGGCAGACTTTTTTTATTTTAGCATGTTTAAGGGGATTTTAATGTGTCAGGTATTTTGCCACACTTGCTACGAATTAATTACGGTGAAATGGCGTTACAAAATTTCCATGAAAATGGTGCTGAAAAGGGTTTTTACTTTTGTTTTCATTTTTATTACAAAAGTGAACATAGTTTGTAAAATATAAATAAACATTTTAAGTTTTTTATGTTTAATTTTAACTTGTTTTCTAATTGTAGTTACTGTACTTAGGCTGTTTTTAATTTTGTTTCATGATTTTGCCGACAGAAGCCAACTTGTCTTTTTAAATGTTGTAAGTAAAGCAGTGACTGTTGTGCAAAGTCTTGAAAGATATCATTGAAAAAAAGGTTAAAAATGCACTTCCATAACTTTCTGTTACATATTTCTTGACCGTGAACCATCCATCTAATTGGTTGTATCTTTTTCAATAAATTTACTACTAATGCATTTTTTTCTGACATTCTTGGTTGTTCCTTATTCTCTTGGAGGGGCAGGTCTGTTTTACTTGAAATGCTGCTGCAGAATTTTGATTTCTCATTGCTTGTTTGCACAGCTCATGCATTGCTAATCAGTGTCAAACATAAACACATCCTTGAGAGCACTTTAAATATGACCCTTATGTTATTCTAAGTGTTACTCGCAGATATTTTAAATATTTACACCTATTTTCAAGGCCTGTATGTCTTAAAAAGTCATGAAATTTAGCATATGCGTCATTTCTGCAGGAAATGTTGATCTTTGTTGCTTGAAAGTTTCACCTAGAAAGATGAGAATCAGCACACATACCCAGCTTTACCAAATATTGAGAGGCAGTACGCTAGTGGCTAAAGATCACCAGTTTTAGGGCCATTTCCAAGGGTTGTTTGAGGATGGACTCATCCAAGGGTACTGGTTTTACAGCAAGAACAGACATGAGCAATAACAAAGTTAAAAAAAGGAAGGTTTTAGTGGCAAGCCCTCAAAGTTGGGTGTTTTGCCATTACACAGGAAGTTGCTTTATCTCAGCTGTACATGCTCTAATCTAACCCAGACTTCACGTGTGTAGAGGGTCATATACATGTTACAGTTTGATCAGTTATAGCGCCCCCTTGTGGTCACATGACATTCCATACTGCCACACTTTAATCCAAAGTTCTTTGACTGTTTTCACATGATAATTGGTCAGACTATCCTTGAGGCGTTGGTCTTGATGTGTGCCAAAATCTGTAAGCCCCTATACAGTCTTGACAGTCAACCATGAAACCTGGTGTTGATATGCGGATGCTGCCCTAGCATCTTATCATCACTATCAAATCATCTCAATTTGCTCTGATTTTACAACTCATTTCAAACTGTTGGAAATCACAGTTGAAAAGGTTGTTATTCTTAATTCTGTAATCATCCAACTGCGCTTCAAATCCTGCATTCAGATTTCAGTTTTAATCAAAACATTTTGAAGTTGGGGATGACATTTGAACTCTGTAGTTGGGAAAAACTAAACTACATATGAATAAGAATCTAGGCAAAAGTTGCTTAAAACTTAAAACAACTTGATGCAGTAACAACCTGTGGAGTTTGACCTTAGTTTTCCACTGTGGCACCAGCAGGGAGTGAGTGAGTGTATGTGTGCATCTGCAGGCTTTTCAGGCCTCTCAGTTTGGCCGATGATTGCTCCCTTCCTGGATACCAGGGCGGACAGCAAAAATACAGTCAATAACTAAATCAGAGAAAATTCTCCCTGAGCATTGAAGACGGTTGGTCAGATAACAAGGCTCTTAACTGCCTGGACAGGAAGCAGCCTTTCCGCATTCCAAGGTGGGGGTAAACTTTTTTTTTTTGTATTTGGTGCCCCTGCCCTGGTGGTTAACATGAGAGTCTCCTACATGCAGGCAGACATGAACTGTGAGGGCAGAGTTGTTTATTGATCCTCCGTTCTGCTGGTTGTATAGTGTATCAGTAACCCTGGAGAGCAGTTATGAAGAGAAATGTCCCTCCTAACTCAAGATGGGCAGAGAGGAAATCTACTGTGGTTTATGGTAGGTACATTTGCTGTTTTACCTCTTACCCATTTAGTTTGTATATTTGTTTGGAACTCGTTTGGATGTTTCATGGGGATAGAGATGCTTGGAGAAGCCCCTCGGTTTACCCGTTTACTGTAGGTTACCAAATTTAACTTTAAGACATAATAGGATCAATAAGATAAGATGACATTCAGAATTGAAAATTGATTTCAAAAATGTTTGTAACTTAATTTTAAGATGTTCCTTACTGCATTATCAGAAGAACAGCTACTCAATTGTTCAGGGTCTCTTTTGGTCTCGTATGTTTTTTTCATTGCATGAGGTGCTATATGTTTCAAATGGGTTACAACTCAGGACAGCAGGCCGACCAGATTAGCACCCTGACCCTTCTACTACAAATACATGCTGTTGTAACATGGATGGCATCTAGGTTGGCCCTTTTTTTTAATGAAATATGGAGGTCTTCCTTAAAAAGAAGTGTTGTCTGGATGGTAGCCCTATGTTGCTCCAGAACCTTTATGGTTAAGCGTTAGTGGTGGCCATGTAATGGTGTCCACTATAGAGCCATGTCTGTTTTTAATCCATGCCTCTTAACTCAGATTGCAATTTCAAAAAGGGTTTGAAAGACATAAAAAACAATCTCATTTTAATCTATTTTTTTTTACAACATCCCAGCATTTTTTGGAATTTAAGTTGTGGATTGAAGGGAATGAGAGCCAGGCTTGGTAGCAAAATAAGAAGACAAGATTATTTTAGAATTGATTTTGCATTTTGAGAATAAATTAAAAATGTCGAGAAATAATAAAATTGTAAGAATACAAAGTTGAACTGGAGGATGCCGGTGTAGTGTTAGCTTCGGTTCAACTTCATATCGACTCAGGCGCTACATGACCTAACCAAATGACACATTAAAAAGTTTACGAAGTGAAATTAAAAAAAAAAACCCTTTCCTCTCACTTCTTTGCTCATTTTCTCACTGTCGTCTTCTGTGCCTAGATCGTAAAACACTGGTGCATCATCATTATTGGTCCCTGGCAGCTCACTTCCGTTGTGGCTTTTTATTTGCATCCTTTTATTTTTGCAGTAAATAACTTTTTTTTTTTTTTTTGCATCCCCACTTTTTTTTAGCTTCATTAACTTCTGTTGTGGCTTTTTTTTTCATCTGCACTGTTTCTTTTTTTTATTCGCAGCGGACTTCAGTTTCTTTTCTTTTCTTTTCTTTTTTTTTGCATCGTTAACTTCCGTTGTGGCTTTTTTTTTTTTTTTTTAAATCTGCACCATTTCTTTTTTTATTTGCAGCTGGCTTCAGTTTCTTTTTATTTCTTTTCCTTTTTTTTGCATCGTTAACTTTTGTTGTGGCTTCTTTTTTCTGCATTCTTTTAAATTTTTTTATTTTTCTATTTGCAGCAGTGGCGGTTCTCAGCCACCGTAGTTTAAAGACAAGTAACACAAAAACGGTAGATTATTGTGTCTTCCTTTCACTGATTGTCCTGCTGTTAGAGTTTAGTTTGTATTTTCATTTTCTCTAAAAGGAAAGACTTTCTGCTCAGTTGCGTTTCAACATGAAACCCTTAGTTTTGGTTCTTTACTCGCCAGCGGTACGAGCAGCCACACTGGGCTCCTGGAGGATGCTCACCCTGGGGGCGGAGTACGAGGACACCTGGGCTCAGTCACCTGACAGGGGCGGCACTCCCGGATGGCGCGCAGAGGACGAGCCACCGGGGCTTGGAGAGGCTGAAGACCCCAGAGAGCCGTCGTGGAAAGCGGCTGAAACCGAGCAAAAGTATGACGCAGTTTTGCACCTGGACGGGCTGAGCAGAACCGGAAGAAGAGACGGTGTACGTCAGGTAGTTAGAAGGCACGAGGCCCTGAATAGCGTGCCATGGCCTCGAGGGTGAGTGAGAAAAACACTATCTGTACACCATACAAATGTTTGCCGAGCAAGAAAACAAACAATCAAAACAAAACAAACTGAAAACTATAAAGTTGTGTAAAAGAAGCGTCATGAGGCCTAACCTGGTTACCCTGCAGACTTTGTTGGTCCCACAAAATGAACAGGGGACCACTACAGTCACTAAGAAACGCGATTTGGAGAAAAGATAAAATTAGGGCTGACTCTGCCAAAGTGGAGACTTGTTTTGTTGGGCTAGCAGGTTTTAAAATCATGGCGTTGGTATTTGGTTCCTACATGGCTGTATTTGGACCCTGGATTGTGTGTCTCAGTGTCCTGTGGTTAGGAGGTCACCTGCCAGTTACTGGTTACAACTTCCTGAATTATAGTTTTACCTCAAATAGGATAATTGCACAATAGTGAACATCATGGCTAGAATTGACTTAGAATTAATAACAGAGACTGAGTGTAGGTTGGCTCAATCAATGCTGAGGTAGGCCTCAATCATCAATGTTTTTGGAACCAGTGGACTAATCCCATTCAAGGGCTGAGTGTCTGTCTGCAGTTATTGTCTGAATTTCTTCCAACTGGTTTGTGTTTACTTTATTGATATTATTATTATTACTATTTTTATAACCTTTGTTTAACCAGGTTTGTCCCATTGAGATCCAAAATCTCTTTTGCAAGAGAGACCTATGGCAGCACATATAGTTTCAATACATAATCACATTAATCATATACAATACAAAGAATACAAAAAAAAAAAACCCACAGAGTTTTCAAAATTAGTTAAAAGAATTTACAAGATTCGTCAAACATTTGCACTCCTGAAGCCTGGATGTAATGGAATTTATCATGGATTTGTGTACATTCAGAGATACCAGACTTTGGAGTTTCAGGTCTGATTACAAGATGTTCCATGTACTCGGAACAGAAAATCTAAAAGCTTTCTTCCCCGTTTCTGTTTGTACCTTAGGAACAGTAGTAGTAACAGTAAAATGATAGAAGTCCTGGGAGCGGAGACTGTAGGCCGTCTTATTCAAGATTAAAAGTGATGATAAATAAGATGGAGTCATCTGAAGAATGGCCTTATAAATCAACACATACCAATGGCCTAGCCATGCACATGTAAAGATGGTCAATTTACTTAACTGCATAAGACACAATGATGTATTAGAGCTCCACAGTTTGTAATAAACCTCAGAGCACCATGATACACACTATTCAGCATATGGAGGCATTGATCAGAGGCATCCATGTAGAAGACATCACTGTAATCAGTAATTGGAAGAAAGGTTGACCCCACTAGTTTCTGTTTCACCCTCAAAGAGAAGCAAAACTTATTTCTAAAGTAAAATCCAAGTAAAATCTTCAGCTTCTTTACAGTGCTGAATATGTTTCTTAAAAGACAAGTGCTCATCAATCAAGAACCCCAGATATTTAAAAGTAGATACAAGTTCAGTTTGACCATTACTGGTGACAATGACAGACTGACTTGAGCTTGCTGATTCAGAATTAGTAAGTTTTGCTTTATCAGCATTTAGAACAAGTTGCAGTTGGCAGAGTTGTTCTTGCACTCTATTAAATGCATTCTTCAGATATGAAAACACTTCTGCAGGTGTGGATGTTTACACACCAAAATACTGAATTATTTGCATGCAGTTATCATATTTGGCTGTATGACTGTTTTGTGAGGTCCATGCCTTTCCATATGCATACCTAGAATGGCAGACCCTGTGGCAAGGAGAACACACCTCCCCTCCTTTTCATGTGCAATCATTAAGAATAATGGCAGGTAGAGCAGCAGCAAGAAACCTGGGATACAGTATGGAGCAGAACACACATTTTTTTAATTTGCCATGAGATAATATGGGCCGTGTTTGACTTCATGACCCGCCAGGGCCAGTTCAATATTTTTGGTTCTCTTTATAAATGTAGTTTTGGAGTTTTTAACATGCAGCCCAAAGTTTAGATCCTTGAGAAAGATCAGTTATTATGTTCCCACAGACTATGAAAAGAAATGAAAGAATGGTTAGTGGTCTTGGTTTGGGAAACTAACTGCATGGAGAGCGCAGATGGCTCAGAAGTCTAAGGGGAGACTATCATCCTTGTAACCGCGGTCGCTGGTATGATTTCTGGTTTCATTTCTTTGCTGCAGGCACATTACCCCCATAGTAACTTAAGATGGCGGTAAAAATAAAACTCAAATGATAGACAAAGTGAATAGATGAACCCATACACAGTAGAAACAAAGCTCACTGCTCAGGAGAGGAATAAAATGGCCACAACATATGTAATCTAATTTTGACAGTATTGAGCTGATAAAGGATAACCAGTTATTAAAGCAAAACTAATCCAAAAAAAAAAAAAGGGAAAACAAACAAACAAACAGACAAAACAAAAAAGTAAAATAATGAAGGCCAAAATGAAGATCTTTACGGTAAAGCCTATAGTGACAAAGTCATGTAATGGTGGGATAGATAGGCAGATAGGTGAAAGGATAAGTATATTGATTGACTGAATACAAATATATAAATCACGTTATTTTATTCTTTTGCAGTACATAAGCAAGACCACTAGATGGCACCTCTGTTGAATCTGAAACACTGGCCACTAATGATTTGGCTCCAGAGAGCTGAGTCACAATTTTTTTGGAGTCTGAAAAGGTAAAAAATAAAAGACAAATGACAAGATCTTTAAATTGGACTGCTTTAGTTGTATTTACCATAAAGTAGAGGTCAAGATTGGGTGAAAATTGAAAAAGTGGATTTTTTTTTTTTTGCGGGTGTTTGTGACGGTGAAATGCAGGCCCATTGAAAGGAGGGGGGTAATTTTTTCCCCTGAATTGAAACGTATGTTATCTGTACTAAGGTGCCATCTGCCAACATAGACTTCACATTATTTGCCCTAAAGACAACCAATTACTCACCTGTTATACCTTTTGTGTCATGTTTTAGTGTTGTTGTCTTCTTATCCTTTTATTCAAAAGGGATAACTATAAATTAAACTTTATTGAACAGCCTATCAGACTAACAACTTCATATTTCAAGGCAATTATTACCAGCTAGCGAATGACGTGTGATCTTTAGTATTTTTAAACCCATTTGAATTAAAGACAGAACAATAAAAGTGACATTTAATATCAATGATAGGCCTTAGATGTAAGTCTGCACAGGGAAAAAATGATGTTGCATTAATTCATTTTTCTAAATCTGATTTGAAAAGTCTAGCCATCATCTCCGGGAAATGCTACACACCAAATGTTCCCAACAGTAATTAGTGTTTACCTAAGCAGACTATTAGCTACATTTGGTCTCTGAACCTTTGAAGCCACCATAACCACGCCTCTTTTAGTTCCTGTCTATGATAAATAACCAAACACTGATGCGCATCAGTAGAACACATGAGAACACTCACAATATCAACCTCAACAGTGGTACAATAAAATACACTAAAATCAAATGGACAAAAAATCAAAACTTACTGGTCAGAATTTCCTGTGGGATGTATGACTCATTTTATTTTTTTGCAAAGGCAGAGCAGAGGATGTGACTTCACACTGGGAGAAGATGAACTTCAGCAAATAAACCAAAGGACAAATGTAGTTTGGTTAATGAAGGATGCATGGACACATAAAGGGGAGTCAGGACTTTCTAAAGAAATCATGGATTCTGTGTCCTTCTCTCTGGTGAGAAGAGGGACCACCCAACATGCACACAATTAAAAAGCCAGCACCCACAATGAATGGAGGCAGGATGCAGAAGTGCTGATGACATTAGTTCACACATCTAGTAGTATTCTATTCATGCTGAACACTATGTACACGCTACCATCCAGGTGCATCATTTTTCAGAGAAGACCTTGCATATTTCTGCAGGGCAATGCAAGTTTGGCTCCATACTAGAGGGGTGTAGTTGCTAAACTGGCTTGACTGCAGTCCGAACCCACTGAAAACATTTGGTACATCATCACTAAACAAAAATAATCTTATATTAGACACAAATGGAACAATATTCCACTTTCAAATCTCCAGAAACTGATGTCCATGGTTCCCACATTTATAGAGTATCACATAAAGAAGAGGTGATGCAACACTATGGAAAAATGCCTGTCTCAACTGGAACAGGTAGTGGTTGGTTGCAGGGCTCATATGGGAACAGTATTAGCTTAATGAATTATGAAAATAAGTTACATCCTAAAGAGTTTTAAGTCCATTTCTTCCAATATCTGGTGTGTTTCTCTGATCACAGTCATAGGGAGTTCAACAGTTTCTTCATGTATTTCACTGACAATAGCAACTCAGCTGGTCTTGGATGGTGAGGTTTTTTGGTTTCACAAGAAGCAACTTTGCACTCTTTTCAGTTAAACGTGGGATTTAAAATGATTTTCAAATTCAGTTTCTGTTTTTAAAGCATTTCCCTCTGTAACAACTTTTCTGTGTTGTAGGGGAGACCGGGGCTTGTTGTCACATGGGTAAGTTGTCACGTTGCAATTATCTTTGCCACCAGAGGGCGCAACTAAAAAGGGAAAACTAGTTTTCTTCCTTTACATGGTCAGGGGTCGTGTCCTGTCTGAGAAGAGAAGATCACATTGTGAGCTGAGATGAGTGCCAATTAACCATTTTGCACAACCTAAAGTAAAAAAAAAAAAAACTTTATATATTTTAAATTAAGCTTCTTTCAGATAAAAATCCTAGCAGTGATACATGTGGACTTGTTAGAGGAGAGATTAAGGCGACCTGTCATACCTCAGTCATTGTTCTGTTTTTGTAACACTTTGGAGATACCTGAACCACCGCCACGCAACCGACGTTGAATAACTTATCAACAATAACATCTTTGGATACTAACTCAAAGTCACGGCTGACATCTATTTTGCTGCCCTCAGCACCACGTTAAGCTCCATGTCTGCTCATTCAATTTACTTCTCCTGTTTACTTCTCCTACATCTTAAAGAAGTGAGCAGGAAAAGCTCGACTCTGATTGGCTATTGTGACACACACTTCCACTATGTTTGATCGAGTAAATATGCTCACAGCTGATCACCGTGATCAAACTGAAATTTATCACGATCACAATCATATAATCGCCCAGACCTACCAATAACCAAACGATATTTGCGGTCACGTGACTTGCGGTTCCGTTTTCTGGAGCGATTGAGTTTGTCCTTTGTGGACGCAAACTGGACCAGTTAAACGATCAAAACAAATGTATCGTCTTGCCTTGGATTCGAATCAGGAAATTGACCTCTAGGTGGGAACACGACCTAAGAGTGTAAAAAGTGTGACAACAAGCCCCGGTCTCCCCTACCTCATATGTAAGAAAGTGTTGAGTTTTTGCAATCAAGGTAGGTCTGTAAACCCTGTGCAGTCAGTGATGTAAGTCTGCAGACCGGCTTTTGAGAGAAATTGGTTTATCCTTGCAGTTGCTCACTGTTGAAAGCACTCTGTATTTTATAACATGTGATTTCCCCTTGTTGATGCTAGGAGAAAGATTGATTAACACTCATGTTTAAACCCTCAGGGCTTTTTTTCTTAACTTGAGTTTTTCAGTCTCCTGGATGCAGCCAACAGACGGTGAGCGCGTCTGCACGCTCCACTCACCGATAGGCTCGTGTTGGTCACATGCGCTCTTCCTTATTCCTCTGAGGACTTGCTTTATAGCCCTCAGCCCCCATACAGAGAGCGATCAAACACAATCACAGGACTACTGCTCGTCTTCGATTGGCTTGTCTTATCGTTGTTTTTTAGCCGGAGGAGAGATCAGAGGGATTGGAGTGTTTTTTTTTCTGACACTTTATGTGATTTTGACTGACATCCTGAACGTTTCAACTGGTGTTTTCACGCTGACACGATGCTGTCAGGGTTTTGGACAGAGGCTGGGTGGTGTGGTTTCCTTTCACCGTGATTTTTCTTTCCTCTCTCCCACTCCGAGGATGCAACAGCCTGAGCGAAGTGAATCATTTCTCTGCTGAAGTGTTTTTTTTATCGCTTTAAACTTTCATCTGTAAAATTCAACTGAAGATGAATGAGTGGGAAGGATCCAAAGAAAATGGTTTTCTATAATGCCAGCTTATTTTTCCTTTTTCCAAACGCAGCGCTTCACTCTCTAACGCTAAAGCTGTGGGCTTGGATGAACTGTGTTGGTTGTGATGCGTCTATCCCCTATTTCCACTGACACCAGTTTGGATTTTTCCTTTTGGATCTGTGCGTTTCCAGAATGGCTCGCTTCGCAGAAGATCTCCCTACCCGCTATGGAGGAAGTGCAGGCAGCGGAGGGAGAGGAGGACCTCCGGGCGCAGGGAGAGGGGGAGCCCGGGGCGGCGGTGGCGGTGGCGGTGGCGCTCCGGGTGGCCAAAGGGTTTACAAGCAGTCGATGGCCCAGAGAGCCCGGACCATGGCCATTTACAACCCGAACCCTGTTAAACAAAACTGCCTCACTGTCAACCGCTCCCTCTTCATCTTCCGCGAGGACAATCTCATCAGGAAGTATGCCAAGCGAATAACAGAGTGGCCATATCCTTTCTGACGCACAGAGCAGGTGCATCTGTGGTCGAGAACAACACACACACATGAAAAAAACACAAACAAATCAGCACAACCAGTGTTTTATTCAGGCTCGCATGTGGATTTCACTCTTGTTTTTATAGTTTGGTACTAAGATCCCGCTTGGCCCCGTCAGCTGACCTGTGATTTTCACCCGTGGAGCAGCCACAGCGGGGTCAGTCTTTGTGTCTCTCCGCGCAGCGCTGCCTGCACCTGTCGCTCCGCTTCTTATCTCTCTTCAACATGACAAAAAGATGTTTCCTCAATAGGTGCGGGGAGTGAAAAGACTTCACACCCGCCCTTTGTGCTTCATTTCCTTTTCCCTGCTCAATGTACAGTAAACCCCCCCTAGGTAGCTACATCGACTGATAAGTTCTTTTGTCAAAATGTCAGCTGTAAACTGTCAGGGCGGGCGCGGACAGCAGCCCCAGCTTGAGTTTAGCACCATCAAACATCGGTATCGATTTACGCAACCAGAAGTCAATAGAAGGCTGCGTGCGTAAAAGTGCGTTTTACGGCTGCTTGTCGGGACTCCGCTTCACTTGAAAGTGTCCCCTGTAATTCTCGAGTTATGTTGCAGTTTTATTTTGATCGATGGAGAAGCTTGGTTGAGGGTTGCAGCACCGCCTCGTTGTCTTAGTTAGGAGCTCTCTCCATGGTGCTGAAGTCGCCCACGCTCTCACTGCTCCACGCCACTCAGTGCAAAAAACATGCCCACTCCGATGAGTCGAGTCATGGTCTCTCTCTCTCCCAAATCTTCGTGATTTCTTTTCTTTTTTTTAAATTGAAGTGGTAGATTCTGTCAATGCAACACTTATGAGCATTTAGAGCAACTTTAGTGGAGTTAAGTGTTACATATATATCAAAAGTTGAATCAAAAACGAGTACAAATCTGCTTTAGCTGCACAAAAGAAAAACAAAACAGTGACATCCAATAGTCTACAAGAAAAGTCTTAATTCATTCTAAAAAAAGTGAATAAAAATAAGAATTTTTCTGTAAAAACTACATTTTGACTTAGTTGCAAACTGAAAGACATATTTTTCTGCTCACTCTTCAACATTATAAGGCGGATGAATTCTTAAAATTTAGATTTTTGCAGTAAATTGGCTCAGGCTTAAAGGGAAAATACTTGGTAGAGATCGGACGTTTTAGAAATGGACTATGACGTTCATAAGTATCCTTAAGCTAGTGCTAAAATTGCACAAATGCATAAATTAGTTAGCATTAAATGACACCTTTTGCTGTGAAAGCTTGACAAATGCATCAAGAGGCTTCTTGTCCTGCAAGGCCACTGTAAGGTCACTAATAGGAGGGGTGAGCAAGGGGGTATTTCAGGCTGAAATCTAAACTGTAAACAAAGAAGTGTTTTATTTTTTTGCATTAAATTGGTTGAAGCCTAGAAGTAGGGGCTTCTTTGACTCAAAACAGAAGAAGAAGAAGACAGCTCGATCTGTTTTGCTGCTGATAGCGAGAAAATAAACTGTATTCGTTTATAATGGCCTTGTCATTTAACCAAAATGAGGAAACCCACAGCAGTCACACCCACAGGAAAGTGGTACAAAGTAAACAGATCACTGTTGCAAATTGGTTTGAATCCTTCCTGGACAAATGTGTATGTGTGTTGTGCATAGAAAACTCTGCGTCTTTGCTTTAATGGTCATAAGCTCTGCATTCCCTTGCGATTCATAGGCCCTCAATAGACCCTGACCCGCAGGCAATGACCCAGTGAAAATGGATTGCGGAATGAGCCAACCATTGAAAATGGTTCGAAATGGTCAACCATCTGGAAGGATCATGGGCGTATATATAGGATGCTTTCTTTCCAGAAAGCCTTCAACAAGAGCAGGACGGGAAGTTAATTCTTTAGTGGACAAAATGTGTGCAACCTTAAGGATAATGGCATTTTTATACAGCACCATGCAGGATCATGTTCTTTGGTGTACAATTTAGCAGTTTGCCGTAAGAGGGCATCCATCATTGTGTGTAAATCAAATCAAGACCTGGCCTTTAAAAGTCAACACTTGCACTCCATGTGAACCCTTTTTTTGACTGAAAAACAGGTCCTTAAACAATCTACACTAAAATATGGAGCGCTGATCTAGTTTAAATTTAATCTGTTTGTTACCAGTCCTTAAATTCAATGTGTAGAAGATAACATGCCAGTCTGACTTTCCACCTACATGCAGTCTGCAGCTGCTGTCTTTTCCCATGAGCTTTCCTTTACTGAAGCTAGCGAGCTGGTCTCACAGCAAAAGCAGGGAAATCAAGTTTGATGCAGGTAGCCATGAAAACCTTGTAAATAGTAAATGGACCATGTTAATATAACACTATGGGACTGGCTCTACCACCGAGCCACATTTGTGCAGCACCTCAGGCTAGTCTGTGTTTTTGGGATTAACTTTGACTAACTTCAGGTTGATACTGTCAATATCTGGTTTGCTGTCAATGCTCAAAGTTTCCTTCTGCTGTGAAATGAAATAATGTCCTTTTTTTACCCTCGACTTATCCTTAACCCTCACACTCCATTTGAATACATGATCCTGGCTACGATTATCGCCAACTGCATCGTTTTGGCCCTGGAGCAGCATCTACCTGCCAGTGACAAGACGCCCATGTCAGAGCGCCTGGTAAGTGCAACATCATTCATGTTTTTAAAGGAATAGTGTGTAGTAATTAGCAGCATGTACCTAAACAAACGTTCTAGAAATGGATGGTGGTTATAAGCATAATGCTGCGTTCGAGTTACCTTGGAAAAAAGCAAAATCGGAGGCAGAAACAAGATGGCTACATCTAAGAAAGTTATTTTAGCGTTTGCCTTGTCCGAATCTTAGTAACTTCTGGACAAATATGCAGTCCTTTTACAAAATCTTGTTTTCGCCTCCGATTTTGCTTTTTTCTGACTTGGTAACCGAAACGCTCGTAACTCGGATGTGACGTCATTCCCAGCTCGGACATCTGACTGCTGAGGTAACTCGAACGCAGCATAAGCCCCCTCAATGACAAGATTGTAGTGTTTTTGTTCACTTAAAATGAGCTTGTATATCATTTTTGTATTCAGTGAGTGTCCACTGAAAATACACCAGATGGATGAAGAGAAAGAGAGGTGCTGTCGTGCACAAAAATATTTGTATTGATAGACGTTCAAGTTAAAATTTGACAAAAAGAGGTCCATACTTATCTTGCGTCACAGGAGCTTATTGTCCACCATCATTTCACCTGCTAGAGGGGTGAGCAAGGGAGCATTTTGATCCTGAGTCTGACTGTTAGATATATTGCTAGGTGCTTGCATTTCTACACACCGTATGCCTCTTTGAGTATCTTTTAAAAGCTGATTAAATGCAGAGTAATCTGGAAGCACCTCTGCTATTCTACCAGTGATGCATAGATCTGGCTTAATGCTTGCATTTCTACACAGTGCACCTTCATGGTTACTCTCTTCTGTCAAAGGGTGTTTAAAAAGTAAAGGGCTGAAGACAGATGTGGAGTTTAATCAAAGGTACAACTGCAGCTTGAATTCCCAACTCTTGTCAGAAGAGCCTGAGTGAGACTCTGTATTCAATGTACTCAATTACACCGGCACAGTTCACTCATTAGGCAGTGGGACACCCTGTGTATTTGTCCCAGATTTTTCCGCTCCAGTTTAAAATTTTTAAGGTGATTTTTTGGGGGGGCTTTTAGGGCCTTTATTCAGAGGGCAGGGCAGTGGGGAGAGCAAGGATGACTTACAACAAAGAGCTGCAGGTCAGGATTGAGCCGAAGACCACAACCCCATCCCCACTGCTTTTTATCTTGGTGGCAGAACTTCTTAGTGCGCTGGCTTTGATCCCTCCTCTTGCTTCCTGTTCCCACAGCTGCTCTCATATGCACTCAGTTTAAACCAGCAATTGAACCCTGACAGTCACGTCACCCAGCTAACCAGCCTCATGGAGAAAGTAGAGAGACTGTGGCATGGGGTGTAGGGGATGGAGGGGTGTCAAGTGGAGTATCCTGCTAGGAAAAAAAAAAATTAACCCAACAGAGAGCATGAGGCTCCATGGCTCCACACTTTTCTGTTGGTGTACTGCGGGGTGTTGTAGCTCAGGGGAGTTCGTCTTAAAATAGAGACTATAACAAAGAGCAACAGCTTGATGTGAAGAAGTCAATGATTTCCTCCCAGATTCAACCACCTGCTTCTGTTTCAAATAGACTCCGCGAGTGTGATGCAAATTCAGCTGTGAAAACATTACACAGAGGGAAACAAAAAAGGTAGTGTTGAGCAGCTGAGAAAGTGATTACAGTGGTTACACAGAGGAGAAAACCAGCATCCTCCCCCTGCCTCCTCCACCTTGAGGATGTAATACAACAAGAAGCCTTTTAATTAGAACAAGGGATCAGCTATTATTTATGAAGCTCTGTCAACAGAGTAGGAGGCGTGCTGTAAGCGGAGGCGATGATAGAAGCTTTTCAAGATGAGCGTTTCAGATTCATTGTAGGTCTTAAGAGCTCGCTGTTGCTTGGGAATCTTCCCAGCTGTCTTCAGGGAGCGAATGTATAATTGAAGAGTATTTTAGATGTATATATAATAGATGTGAACACACTACCAGCACAGACAATTATCCTGGCAGCTCTTAAGAACTGTCTTTTAAATAAAAAACTAAACTCTTTTTACCACACGCCGAAATAAATCATCTGTAGGTCACTTTGGATGACTGTAACTGTTGCTGAAACATAACAGGCTCCTGTATCTTCTCTTATTGGCCAGGAGCAAACAGCCTTTCTGTGTCTGCACAACAACAACAAGAGTTCCTGTTTACACCCCAGCCTTCAGACTTGATACAGTAACTCTGGTTCAACATATCTATTAACACTGATGTTCACTGTAGTCAGCCTGTGCCATAGAAAAGGTCACTTTTCTTACAGTGCTCTGGCCTGTCACACCGCTTTTACGTGATTATTTATGTTGGAGGCTGGGTGATGCTGGGGGTTGGGGATGCTGTCTGTCA